TGGAGAGCGTGCGCGATGCGCTCTTTACGCCGCTGTCCATGCCGGAGGCCAGGAGCATCCTGCAGGGGAGGCAGCTCGGCGTGGCTTCTCTGCGCCTGCTCCCAAAACGCACAGGTACATAGTGACCAACCATCCCTCAGCCCATTCTCAAGGCATCATTTCATAACAGCACCTCCGATGTTGCTGCTGGCTTTTCTGAATCACTCTTGCACCCCTGCTGAACAATAAAGGTAGCCCTGACAGAGCATCACTCGATTGCTCACCCACTTTAATCATACCTGTCGCATGTGGATCATTCCCTTTAAAATGGCTGGAATGTTGCAGGCATGCGGCCAATCGTGAATCTGGGCCGGTCGTCCCACATATCATTCCCGGCCCCCAAGCCCATAGGTGGCGGCTGGAGGCACAAGCGCGCTCGGCGCATCCACCTCAGCTTCCGCCCCGTCAACTTCCACCTGCAGAGCCTGCACAAGGTGTGCATGGCAATTCGCTATCTGCACTTTGGCTGCAGAATTCGACCAACCCTTGCATCATGCAAAATATTGTGTGCTGCACAACGCAAGCGTGGATAATATACCTGTTGCAACTACTAGTGGAGAAAAAGCAGGGAACATCAAGAATTGAAACCAAGCATACAATAGCAACAATGGAGGTTTTTCACCATGATGATGGGAGAGCCGTAACACACTTGTTCCTTGCCGGAACCATTCCTGAGGGCTGGAAGACGTGTATGAACAATGATCTGACGTTTCATACTGCTTTGCTGTCAGGTGCTGAAGTTCGAGGCGGAGAGGCAGCCGGGCAGGCTGGGCAGCTCGGTGCTGGGCTACAACGACGCCTTTGCAAAGCTGCACCCGGTGCTGCGCCAGTGGCGTGCCAAGCGGGCCGGCTGCGCCGGGGCCGCGCCCGTGCCATACTTAGTCAGCGCTGATGTGTCGCGCGCGTTTGACCACGTGAACGCTGACAAGCTGATCGTCATCGTGGAGCCCATGCTGCGCAGCCAGGAGTACCTCATCATCAAGCACGTGGAGGTGAATACGTTCCCTTCCCTTCCATGCGGACATGTAGCATTGGTTTCATGCATTTCATGTCTCGCATGGATTTTCAACGTGAACAAGTTGGACGGGTGTACGTTCCATAATTTGGAATGGGTGCACAAGGTTGTTGTGCAGGCACAGGGTTACACACCGGGAACGCCCTGATAATCAGTATTGTCAGTTTTCTTCTTGTCTGAGAGGAAGTGGTGCCGATGCCTCGTGCAGGTCATGCCAGCAGTGGGAGGCTGCCTGCGTACCGCATATCGCTGCACCGCCGTTGACGCCAACGCTGTCTGGCCGGGCTTCCCGGCGCATGCCTTGGGACTCGCCAACCGTGTGTCCCAGCGAGTGTTCTCCGACAAGGTCTGCTGCTTCTCTGTCTGCCTTGCAGTGCATCTCCATCCTCTCGATAACTTCATGTTTGGCTGCCAGCACGAGAAAATACTATGCACTGTTGTGATGTGCGCAAAGATAGGTGCTTGTGGGGTGTTGCAGGTGGTGTACAGCAAGGTGGATCGCGCGCAGCTTCTGCAGCAGCTGCGCGAGCACCTGCAGCGCAACATCGTACGCTTCGGCAGGACCTGGCACTACCAGTGCCACGGCATCCCTCAGGTACTCCTAACGTCACCATAACCCCCCCCGAACCCTTACCATCACTCCTTGTGCTTGCGCGTATGGCATCGTTTCACCCCAGCAAGACACAAAAACTACAGGAGAGGGAGCTGCAATTTCTGCATAATATGCTGGTGGCTGTGCTGTGCAGAATGGTGATAAAAGCAAAAAATGGTATGTGGCTTGTGTGCAGGGGTCCACGCTGTCGACGCTGCTGTGCAGCCTGTTCCTGGGCAGCCTGGAGCGGGAGCACCTGCACCCGCTGCTGCCGGGGCGCCCTCCACTTCCCGCTGCGCCTGCCGCCGCCTCAATGGCGCCCACACCGTGCTCCAGTGCCCGCTTCACCGACCTGGCGCTGGCAGCCGGTGCGCTCCCCAATTACTTGCCTTCCTTGATCAGTGCGGTTCAGAAGCGAGGTTGCACAGGCTTTTCAGAGTGACGCTGCCGTGCAGCGATTGTGCACTACAGGCTTTGTGAAGCTTGAGGGATGAGGGGCCTGGGTGCCTTTCAGGTGGGAAAAGATAAACATCTGAGATCCCATGTGCTATCAATTTAAATATAATATGAGCATGGCACTGCCATGTAGCGACAATGCGTAACTTCGCCAGGCCGATGATGGAACTGGCGCCCGACGGGTGAGAAATCAAATATGAGATCTCATATCAGATATGTCAGTGTAAGCAAAGTATGACTGATGTGGCGGCCGGGCAGGTGGGACCCCTTCTACGCAGGCGAGCGTGGGCCCGGCGCTGACGCCACGGGCGCGAGCGCGGGCGGCCAAGCAGCGGACGCCGGCCGCGTCGGTGCTGCTGCGGCTGGTGGACGACTTCCTCATCATCACCCCCTCCAGGGCCGCCGCCGAGGCCCTCGCCCTCCGCCTGCTGCAAGGTGTGTTGCCTACCCCGCCGCATTCCTTCTCTGAAGAGTTCTCCATCTCTGAAAACTTCTCCTTCTGAATTGATTACTTTCACAGAAAACGTTTTAATATCATGCCCGTATCCCAGGTGACAGCAGGCGCATTTCTATCATCCTCTTTCATATCGGTTTTTTAATGGGCACTGGGTGTCAGGCACAATGTCGTTTGTCTGCAAATGCTACGAGAGGGGAACAAGGCTTGTAGAGTTAGGAGAAGCCGGAGAGCTTCGGACAGTGAAAGATTCTTTTCATGGGCAGGGTTCCCGGACTACGGGGTGAGCGTGAACCCGGCCAAGACGCGAGTGAGCTTTGAGCTGGCGGCAGGCGGGCGGCGGCTGCCGCGCAACACGGTGCGCGCGACGGACGGGCAGGAGTTCATGCCCTGGTGCGGCCTGCTTCTCAACACCGCCAGCCTGGACCTGCAGGCTGACTACACCCGCTACGCTGGCGCCCACCTGGCCTCGTCCCTCACCATCCCCCTCACCAAGGTCTGGTCTTTCTCTCTCGCTACAACTGCTTGAGCAGTGGAAGCAGTGGATAGCACTCACTGACAGAAGTGCTCAGTGAGCATAGGGGGCATATTGGTGCGACGAGATCCGGGGCTAGTTTGGGTAGCCCCTTTGACCGTTGCCGCCTTGTTTCTCCCAAATGAAGGGAGGCCAAACGAGGCGGGAAGGTGTCTGATGATGCAGACAGGACAGACCTCCTGTTGACTGCGGCTTCCCATCTGCTGGAGGCACGCCGGCCTGAGCAGAGGCGCCGTTGCATACTTTGCGCAGAAGTCATGCACGCAAGGGTGTTTGGTGTTTGTGGCTGGAAAGTTAATGGAGTGTGGCTGGGGCAGGAGCCGGGGAAGGCGCTGGTGGGGAAGCTGTGTGCGCACGTGCGGCCCAAGTGCCACCCGCTGCTGCTGGACACCTCCATCAACTCACCCGCCACCGTCCGCCTCAACCTCTTCCAAATCATGCTCCTCGCCGCTATGAAACTGCATTGCCAGGTGCCCACAACTTCTCCCATCAGGCCACCATCGTCAGGGCCAGTTTGTTGCTAATCCTAAGCATGAAGTTGCACCGCATCTGTGGATGATGGAGACCGGAATAATGTCCTCTTATCTGCAGATCCTTTACCTTTTACGGAGCCTCAGTTTGCTGTATACATGCCTGTTTGCTGTTTTAGCGGTGTGTGGGGGCATTCATGGTGCCAGGTGGCATGCATCAGCGGCGGAGTCAGCAGTGCCTTAGTGCTAACGGCGATCCGGGCGGGCACCAAATACCTCTGCGCCCTCGTGCTGCGGCGCACAGCCGCCGCCCAGCGCCGGTGTGAAAATCTTGTGCCTCGTGACGGCCAGTCGGCTAGCCAGCGCTGTTTCTCATTCTCGCTTTTGCAGACAAGTGCCAGCATGGAGATCCAGTCACATGTGCAGAAGCTGGTGCTTTGCAGCCTTTTCCCTTCGATCACATCAGTCTCTGTATCGGAGACTGAGCAAACAGAACACAATCGAAGAGCAGGTTTTCAAGGCCGTGTGATGGCTGCGCAGGTCCAAGGTCAGCTGCAGCAACAGCATCTCAGCCTGCCATATCCGCTGGCTGAGCCTGGTGGCATTCCACAGAGTGCTGTATCGCAAGCAGTCCCGTTACCGCGCTGTGCTGAGCGCGCTGGAAGCAGACCTGCGCCAGCCGCCCTTCTGCCACCTCAGGGAGCAGCTGGCCTCTGTCATCGATCCAGCCAAATCCGCTGTGTTTGACGATATCATCTACTGATTTGTTTTTGTTTCCAGTTGAGCATATGGGCCCATGGCTCCATAAGCCGCAAAATGTCATGCTAGCAATCGCGCGATTGCTTCTCAATCACGAACCTGAATGAATTGAAGATGATGATGTTTTGTCAAGTATGCACTGATACAGTCAGCATTCTTTTATCATATCCAAACTGGTGAGATCCTTGCAACCGCTATTGCTGAGCACGTGCACTGTAACATGCATTAGATCTAGAGATTACAGAGATTGAGCTTCACTCGTTGCAACACCATATTATCTTGGTGATCTAAGCACGCACACTTAACATGCAAATGAAGCCAGACCTTCAACATCCAGGTCATTGAGGTGGCTTTATGCAGCTTAATTTGTGGTGTCTTTAAAAGGTGATACACATCACAGCAGTCTTCATGGCAGCAACCAAGCATGACACGATAATGGGTTTTCCCTGGACAAATCCTCGCCCTCTGGCCTTCACTCACTGTCTCACTCACTCTCATTCTTGGAGAATTGACATTCTGAATCAACCATGGTGCAATACAATCTCACGCCACTTAACTAATCCAAGGAAATTTGTACTGCTATGCACAAAGGGTGTCAAGACTGCGTGGCAAACATGTACACAAATTGCCACTGGATTGAACCAATGCAATTAAAGCAGTGTAGACGCTGCATGTTGATGTCAAGCATTCACAGCCGGCTTCAAAAGAGAACCGTATCTGCAGTCAGCTTTCAGAGACGCCAAGAGTGCACCGAAGTCTGTTGTGGTCGTCCCTTCACCCGGGCCCTTTGTTATCGCATCGATTGACCTGCACGCCAAGGTCCCTTAACACAGCAATATCTCTGTCCTACATTGACTACAGGACAATCCAGATCACGCATAGGTATGTGTGTGATTGGGACCTGCGCCATACCTATTGCTGGCCTCGGTCAGTGTGAGGCATTGCACAGTCACCTCCGCCACATCAGCTCGGGGGATGCTGCGGCTTTTGTTCTTCAACAATTCATCGTCCACTCCCAGAACGAGTTCCCTCTTTCCTCCCTGAACACAACACTCTCACTGAAAGCTCTGAGCGGTGTCGTCCTCCATTTACCATTGAAAGCCATGAATGAGGAGGGAACATTTGGTCACCTCTTCATCAATGAGGCCCCCAGGGTGAATGATGGTGTAATCAAATGCCCCCGAGTTGATCAGATACTCCTCAGCCTTGCGCTTCCAGATCAGGATGTTTCCATCCCCCAGCTTGTTCAATGGGTGGTTCTCGTCCGTGCCTCCCATGCTGGATATGAGGACCACCTTCTTGACGCCCGCCTCCTTAGCAGCATCAATCTGCGCTTTCTGCCCAAGCCAATCGATCTGCAACAACAGCACAAAGCTTTGGGCCATGCTCTTCGTAGAGACATCATTTGCATGTCCTGAAGAGGGTAGTACTAGTCTCCTGTAGAAACAAGGAATGCTCGAGCTCTAATTGCAAGCTATTCCGCGGTTTTATCTGGAAGCACCTGCTCTGGGAATTGGCCCTCCTTGAAGGAGAAGTCGGGGCGAGCCCCCTCTTGGCGCAGTAGCTTCTTCCAGAAGACCTGCAGCGCACAAGAGGTATTTGACATCTGATCACACAAGCTCTTGGTGAAACACCTCGCAAGTTCTGTAATCTGAAGTGTTTTCCTCTAGCACCAGGCATGAAAGATCACACCGTCAACAGCGACAAGGGCTTGATCTGTGGCACGGCGCTGGTGGCAATGACCAGAGCATCTGCTCCAGCCAGGGATCTCTTCAGCTCCTCTGTGCCTTTCACAATGTCGCCCACGTACAGCTTCTCGGCTGGTATTCCCTCCCCTTGCAGCTTCTCTGCCGACTGCACATCAAGACATAGAGCTGACACCCAATTGGAGGGACTCATCCATCAGAGTCGGCAACCTTGCACCGGTTGGGTCTTCACCTTTGTGTTTCGGACCACACCGCGCGCCTCAAACTTGTCTGGCTGGGCTAGGAGCTTCTGCAGCACAATCTTGCCAGTCCTGCCACCGGCTCCTGTGACAGTCACCTAAGGCACGACATCCAGAATGATCGTGTCATTAATTGAGGGATATCAACCAGATTCATGAACGTGGGGCATGAGCATGCCAGAAAACAGCAAATACTCACTGTCATGCGCTCCGCGGCTGCGGCCATGACCCACACAGATACCTCTCTGCGTGCTCTGCTGTTCCCTCTGTAACGCTGGAAGCTGTACTTTCTGGGTTGAGCAATACAGCACGTTTTTGCTCCTGCATATGGCAATGCAATCCTGTTGACTCAAGCTCAAGAATCACTCTCAGTTCCAGGATGCCGGATAGAGATTGTCATTAATGTGTCCCACCTGTCAGCACGGGACTTGGACGATATACAATGCCGTGGGCACCAACCTACGAATACAAGGGTCTGTCAGTGGCAGATCGCCTGATTTCTCTTGTAAAGTTGATACATTGGAAGATAAGACAGCCAGCTTAATAATGGGCAGCCAGCCATAATCATAATTGATGCGTGTCAAATCTTGAAGTATTATAATCAAACAAGAATGCAACGTGCACCAGACGTTCCATAGTACAGCATAATTCCTTGAAGCATACCTTGTTACAAGAATACACTGAGCCTGCGGCAGCTGACATGCATGCAAGGTACGGAGGATAAGCTGAAGCTGTAATAAAAGAAGCAGAATTCGACCAGGACAGTGTCTGTCCTATCGCTGGCTCGTTCAAGAACATGAAGTCAACACGTCTTGCCTCCTCATGCCGGCACGTGCTGTGAATGCAGCATCTTTCTCACTTTCGGCACCTTCGTGGAGGAGCAGAAGCAGAAGTGAGCACGTTTGATATAATTTCCCATTGAGAGCTGTGCTCTTGTTGCATTGGTCGCAAGGGAGTGAATATTTTCAGTCAGACGATATGGGAGCTCTGGAAGCGATCTCTTGGCAGCTTGGTCCACCAGCATCACTGAAGCTCTTAGATCAGAGACTTCTGCCCCTTGAAAGTGTGTACTTGGACATTGATGGGCCGAAAGCTGCTTTCACAGCCATAAAGGTGTGCAACTGGAAGACTTGATCAACACTGCAGCCTGCCTGCCCCGTCGGCGAATTGCAATGCTCATCGTTCAAATGAAATGTTTAATCCAAAAGAGACCTCCTTGAGCTGGTCGATCCTGGACTTTTGGCTTGTGACACGTACCGGCAACTGTTCTTTGTGCACCAGGATATGGCAGTGCGAGGAGCTCCAGCGATTGCTATCGCTGCTGCTCTTGCGCTGGCTGCAGAATTGGTTAACCAGGGAGGGGGAGCACAGTTCGAATCTGCACAGGCAGCATACCAGAAGATCACAGAACAGCTGGAGTACCTGGTCACCAGGTGCGGCTAAGCTTGCTCCTGCTAAGCTCTTATTCGTTGCCTGGCTGGCAACAAATGTTTGCTTGAAGATGAAGCGCCGTATGTTGCTGCAGCCGGCCGACGGCGGTGAATCTGCAGATAGCAGCGAACAGGCTGTCTGCTATTGCGAAGAAGGAGGCCTCAGTGGAGGGTGGGTCCGGAGTCAGCGTGACCATTGCTGTCATCAGCGCTGCCGATGCAATGTTTAAAGATGACATTACAGCCAATAAGGTCTGCCGCCTCAAGTCCTATCATTGTCTACCGTTCTGCTCTTGTGAGCTGTTTGGTTCTCAGTCCTGGATCATGGGCCTGATCCCCTTCAAGATGTGCATTTCCTGCTTCAGCCTCAACAATGGGGCTGATTGTCTGATCAGTATTCTTTGTAAGTGCACACAGACAATGGGGAAGCTTGGGGCGGAAGGCATTTTGGCAGAGCTGGCATCGCGAGGCGGCAGCAGCGGGGCGGGCGTGCGCGTGCTGACGCACTGCAACACTGGCAGCCTGGCGACGGCCGCGTACGGAACAGCGCTGGGCGTCGTGCGCGCTCTTCACGCTGCCGGCCACCTGCAGCACGCCTTTTGCACGGAGACTCGCCCCTACAACCAAGGTGCTCCGGCACCCTGCCTCTGTGGCTCTGGCATAGACCCTTTCTATTGGACCTAGTTTCCTGGTTCATTGAGCTGCTCCGTTTGTGGCGGCATGCACCAACGCACTAGAGACTCTAGCGCTTGTGCAGGCCTCAGATGTCCTGAGAGCTGCTGAGAGCTGCAGGTATGACACGAGCTGTTGTGCGCATGCAGGGTCCAGGCTTACAGCGTACGAGCTGGTGCACGACGGCCTGCCGGCAATGCTGATAGCCGATTCGGCGGCGGCGGCGCTCATGGCGCAGAGAAAGGTGGACGCTATCGTGGTGGGCGCGGACCGCATCGCCGCCAATGGCGACACTGCCAATAAGATTGGGACCTTCTCCCTTGCAGTCAATGCTGCTCACCACGGGTACCCCCTCTCCCTCGGCTCGACTGCTGCCTGCCTTATCCACAGACATAGACCTGGCTCCGCAGCTGCCCGTTAAACTGGTGTAATCGGCAGAATGTCTCTCTGGTTGGTGCCTTTCAATTGCTGGCCTGGCACCTCAGTCAAGGTGGTCTGCTTGAGCCTGCGCAGGGCAGCCCCAGTGGATGTGCCTGCATTCAGACCCACTGCACCGTTCTGGACTTGACTGAGGCCGGGATGTCATGGTGCAGGATCCCCTTCTACATAGCGGCGCCGACCATGACCGTGGATCCTTCACTGCCAGACGGGACGCTGATCCCCATCGAGGAGCGCAGCTCCACAGAGCTCACGCATCACCAGGGCCAGAGGGTGGCTGCACCCGGCATCAATGTGCGTCTCTGACGCTCAATTTTGCAACTCCACAACCCCGTCTTGTCAAGTTCTCTGGCTCAGAGCAGCATCTGGAAGCTGCAAGAGTCTCGTGTCCTTTGTTGCTTAAAGGAATTAGTGTGGAAGTATCATCACTGCTGGAGGACCAGGAACTAACATCAATAACGCAATATTTCTATCACCCAGTGCAGATGGTAAAGAATGTGTGTGCAGGTGTGGAACCCGGCCTTTGATGTGACGCCGGCCAGCCTCATCACGGGCATCATCACAGAGCAGGGCATCATCCAGCAGCGGGACGGCGCCATAGATGTGAACAGCTTCCTGAGGGAGCATGGCCTCTTGGAAGCAGAGGAGTCCCGAGATAACGGTGATTGCTTGTCCTCTTCTCCCAATTCTCACTGTGTCTTCAGTGGCCGTTGCCACTCTGGACCGCTGCTGTCACTTCGCATGCATTGGGAGAGCCGGTCATGTGATGGGGCATGAGGATGCATGGGGGCCACGCCGACTGAGTGATAGGTAGCTATCAGCTGAACAGTAAGCGCGCTGACAGCGGAAGGGGCTGATGCAGGGGCAGTCACCAGCGTGCCTACCAGCAAGATCCCGGGCTTCAGGGCGCTCAATCTGGAGACAGTGAAGGAGTATGTGGCCGAGCGGCCGGACCTTGGCGAACGTGTTGGCCCCAGCGGCAGCAAAGACTCCTGGACTGTGAGCTTCCTACTCTGACTTCAATTCATTTGTCACTGAAGATTTGTGTCCTAAGGACTAGGTATCTCAAGCAGCACCTGGATTATTGGCAACCTTTAAGCGAACTTTTCAGAGTAAATCACGCATCCTGATGGAATTTCGTATGCCTTGCATGGTCCTTCTGCAGGCAGGCTGTGTAATCAACAGATGGATGGCATGGCGTGCAGGTGAGGGAAGTGGGAGATGGCAACATAAACTTTGTGTACATCGTGGAGGGCCCCAGTGGAGCTCTGGTGGTGAAGCAGGGGTTGCCCTACATTCGCATCGCCCACGACTGGCCCCTCACCCAGGTGTGCTTCTAAGTCTGTGACTAGCTTCCTGCTGTCAGATGCCCAATGCTACCACTGAACTTGATGAGGCAGGTCCTTGCTGCAATGGATTTTCCCAAGCCCCTCCATGGATCCTAATCAATGCTGCAACGGCCCAACCATTCTAGTTTCTTAGATCACCCTTGGACGCCTCCCTCAAGGTGTGCACAAGTATGGTAATGAACAGGCCTGAGTCGGAGGCAACGCCTGGCCGGGCTTCAAGCCTAGGAGTACAACGGACGTGTAGACCTAAAGTGCTACCAGTAGATATGCCTATGGCAGTTCTTGACAAGTTTTTGAGGAAGCTTGATGAGGGCTGCGCTTCCACTGCTTGCAGGAGCGGGCGAGGTTTGAGGCGGAGGCGCTGCGGGAGGAGGCGCGGCACTGCCCAGAGCACATCCCAGAGCTGTACCATTTTGACGCCGCGCTGTGCCTGCTGGTGATGCAGTACCTGCCGCCGCCACACCTGGTGCTGCGCCCCGCGCTGACGGCCGGCCACAGCTTCCCTTCTCTGGCGCGCCACATCGCCCACTTCATGGCGACCACCCTCTTCCGCACCTCCCTGCTCGCCCTCGACTCCAAGGCCTGGCGGTGCGTGCTCGAACACATAACCTCTGTCTCCAACACCCCTAGCAGCTTTCCCTACTGAAGCATCAGTGGTTTACGGCGCTGATGGTGTTCGTATAACATCGGTTTGGGTCCACAGTAGGGACACTTCTGCTGCTTAGTAAGTGATAAAGCTCCAGTGCAGGGTCCACTGGGATCAGTACATGTACATTCAAATAAAGTTCCCCTGCAGGAGGTCTGTGCATTCTGCTGCATGTCGGAGCCTTCTGGCGCTCTGGCACAGGAAGGTATCAATGAGGTAGGTCCAAATATCTTGCGAGGAAGGTGGGGAATTGATGGCTGTTCATACTGCCTGGCTGCAGGGAGCTGGTGGGCAGGTTTGAGAACATGGACATCTGCCGGCTGACGGAGCAGGTCATCTTCACGGACCCCTACTACTCCGCTCCTATGAACCGCCACACCTCCCCCCAGCTGGACGACCTTGCAGACGCCTTCCAGCATGATGTGGCCGCCAAGGCTGCCATCGCTGCTCTCAAGGTGCAGCCCTGCCACTTCCTTGCTCCTGGGACAAGTTGCCATGCACGTCTGCCCATGATTGGTCACCCAATCTTTGACCTGTGTAAATATGGCAGCAGTTTGAACAAAACAGGCTGCCTTCCCACTAGCATTGACCTCTGGTTTCTGTGCATGAGGACTTTCCCTGCTATCCTGCTCATTTGGGAGCCAGCTGAGCTTTGATTGGGAGGGGTTGTCAGGGGCCCAGTCACAAGGTGCTGAGTGGGTGGTGGATGCATGTGGGATGGCAGGCGAAGTTTGTGCAGCAGAGGCAGGCGCTGCTGCACGGAGACCTGCACACAGGCAGTCTTATGGTGACAGCAGACACCACGTACGTGATCGACGCGGAGTTTGCGTTCGCGGGGCCCATCGCCTTTGATGTGGGCAAGATGGTGGCCAACCTGCTCATCGCTTTCTTCGCCGGCGGCGGCCTGCAGACGGCCGAGCAGCCGCGCACCGCACAGCGGCGGTGGCTCCTTCAGGTCTGCAGCCTGCTGTGCCCGTTCTATACCATGGAAAGGTTGTGCCAGCTGAATTTTTATTGATACTTATGAGACTGTGGGCTGTTCTTCCTTGATTTGGTACATTTTTCGTGTTGAGAGGGGCGGCGTGAAGCAGCTTTGTGCAGAGGCTACATTTGGTGGTATAAATGCTGTGACGTGACAGAGCAGCTTGCTTGGCGGATGTTGGGAAAGCAGTATTAGTGAATTTAATACTGACAGAGGTACTGATGGTGCTGCCACAGGCGACTGTGGAGATGTGGGAGCTGTTCAAGACTGAGTTCAGGGAGCTGTGGAATGCGGCGCTAAAGGACAAGAAGGCAGGCGACCTGTGCCCTGCTCCCCTGTTCGGCAATGATGCACCGGCCGGCCCTGATGCTCTTCAGGTGTGCAAGACCCGCAGCTCTCCAAAGTGCTGTGCTTGCGTTGCCCCTGCAGTTCAACACTGGGTTCATGTGAGCCCTTATTTGAAGGTCATTAAGGAACAAAGTAGCATCCTTGTCCTCTGGGGTGTTTGCACATTTCCGAGCATGATAGTGTGCTGTCTTATGAGGCAGTGCCATGCAATGCAGGCGGTGCAGGAGGCGTTCTTTGCAGGCCTGCTGCCTGACGTCCTGGGCTTTGCTGGAGCCGTCATCATCAGACGCATCCTGGGCATCGCCCATGTCGTGGACTACGAAAGCATCACAGACGTGGATGCCAGGCATGTGAACTCAGTTGCTCACTCAATTGAATGCAGGCTGCATGCTGTGGTATCAGCTCTCCGCAACCACAAGGATAAGCCTTGCTGGACATCAGTGCAAAGCTTGCCGCTGAATGCAGCTTCTTATGTTGCAGCTCCGCTGTGCACTGCAGGGCTGCTGTGGAGAGGAGGTCGCTAGCCTTTGCTCGCAGGCTCCTGGTTGAGCCGTCATACTTCTGCAGCATGGATGCGGTTGTGAATGCCGCTGCTGCATGCGACGCTGCATATCTGAAAGAGGCTCAATGAGCTCTGAGACTCTCAGTGAGAGCAGAGGCAATTTTGTTGAGAGGAAGTGCCAGACGGTTTCCTCGCTTGGCCAGGCTCTTTAAGCCCCTGCATTCTGGCAGCCATGGATGCAGGGGCAGGTGTCCGGTCATCATCATCCGGATCGTGTAATCTATGAGCTGAAAACCCAGGTCAGCCCGTTTTAGGCGCACTTGCTCAGCTTGGCATGCCTGGTGTGGCAGCCATACTATGGTGGACCAGATGTAGAAGAAACACACATAAAGGCTGTAATTGTCCCTTTCCCAGGCTCTGCCTTCCTCACAGGCAGCGCTAGCACTCTGCAAGATTGCTAGGATGGACCCAGCAGCCTCAAGCAACCCCGAATGGCCACGTCTGGTGACTTATAATAATCAGCAACATTTCTCGTATCAATCAAGGGTTCGACCTCCAAGGGTTCCTTGAATTTTGGATGTTCGTAGATTGCCTGACAGTAATAGAACTTCAAGATTTGCCCGTGCTACCGAAAGGTCGCCACACGGCTTACAACCAATATCCCCAACTAGATTGCTGCCAAAAACCCAGCACAGCAGCCAAAAACCTCCGATCTCCACATATTCTGTCCCCAACCAGATCTTCAAACGTGGCACAGAATCGGGACGCGCTGCGCGCCGTCGGACGGGCAGCTGAAATATCTTCCTTTCGCCGATTCACTCTGTATCTGGAAATCGCGGGTCGCCCATGATTCAGACATACCTGAGCGCGGACATGGGAGCCGGATAGATACCTAGCAGCGCTATGTTACAGCCGGGCGGTGCCGGGGCCGCTGCGGTGGACATACTGTCGCCGCAGAGCCTTCGTGTGCTGGTAGTGGACAGTAAGGCGTCGGCCAGGCAGGAAGTCGTCGCCCTGCTGCGGAAATGTACCTACCAGGTGCGCTGCGGGCTTGTGAGCAGCGTCAGATGGCAGGAAGCCGAGGCCATCGGTCGGTTTCGCGTCGCCGTGCCCCCAGTGAGACCAGGTTGTAAGCCCCTCCCTGTGCTGCAGGTGATGGAGGTGAAGAGCACAGCAGAAGCGCTGCAGCTGCTGAAGGACCAGCAGGCCAGAGACGGCGCACCCGGAGTCGACCTGATCTTGAAAGAGCACGACCCTCCGGCTGCGAACGCGTGCCGTCTGCTCAGGCGGACACTTGAGGATGACGTCCTCAGGACCGTTCCTGTAGTTGGTGAGCTCTCGACCCCCCTAACGGCCACTCTGGGCGCCACCATATGCACCACGGAGCTTGGGGCAAGCGTCTCCGGAGGCGGGGTCGCTGCGCGAACATCCTGACGGGGAAGCTGCAAAGCGCTTTTAAGGGATGCAGATGGTCCGCTTGCGGGTCGTCGACCATGCAGCCTCAACCACATGTTGCTGCGCTCATAGCTGCTTTATTTTGCTATGCCGTCCTCTTTCTCTGACGAGGGGCCTTTTCTGTGTTGCAGTGATGTCCTCCCAGGAGGATAGGGATGTCATGGTGGCGTGCCTGCAGCTGGGGGCAGCAGACTACATGATCAGGCCCCTGCGGCACAACGAGCTCCGGAACCTGTGGGCGCGGGTGTACTGGTGGCGAAGGGTGAGCCTCTGCAGCCAAGACTGGGCTGTGCTGCCTTGTAGCTTCCTGAGTGAGCACAGTGAGCTGTGCATACCTCGGCTTTGCATCAGAAAAGGCTGAGCAGAGTGGGGACGATGCAGTGCAGCCAGCCTTGAAGCGGCATACAGTGTGGCTTGCTCAGGATATGTGCAGCAGGGCAGCATGGCGAGTATTCTGAGGAGTTGTGATATCTACCTTTGCAGGCGTTCTACCTGCAGCAGCAGGCAACACACGCACTGGGCGCCAAGGAGCATTCTTTGCCCGGGCTCAAGCTCCGCTACTATCCCAGCCTCTCTCAGAGCTCGGATGAGAGCGAGGAGACGAAACGGTATGTTCGCTAGTCTCACCCCGCATTGCCTGTCATTTCCCAGAGTTTTGTCTTTGCGTGCAGGACCTTGACGTTTGCTTTGCATGTCACAGTTGTCAGCAGGCGCTGAAGCCGGTGAACAGGGAAGAGATGGAGCGATCTGGGGAGGGAAGCGCCCCCAACGGCAGTGGGAACGGCGGCGCAAATGGCAGCGGCAATTGCAGCAAGGATGGGAACGGCAACAGCAGGTGCGGTCCAGCTGGGCGACAAAAAAGCTTTTGCAGCCTGATAGCAAAGTAATACAGAGGTTTTCAGTTAGTGACATGCATGAGAATTGAAGCCTTTGTGATTGGCAGGGTGCATCCCGGCAGTGGAGGCAATGGCAACGGAAACAGTGCCACGAAGCAGTGTGAGGGCAGCAATCAGCCCAACGGCGAGTCTGGAAACAACGGCAATGGTGACTCTGCTACCAAGGCAGGCAACCTGCACTTTGGCAATGGCAACAGCGGCAATGACGCTTCCACCTCCCGCCAGGTGCTCAATGCTCTGCAGTCTCATTGATGTAGCACATTCTGACTGTTCTGGAGGCACCACAAGCAGGGACACATATGGAGATCTTGTCACCTGCCTGAGGGCATGTAGCATACTCCAAGGGTGCTTGGTGTTGAACAAGGTAAGGTGGATGCGTTGTAGGAGGTGGCGGCACTGCAGGGCACAGCGCAGGGCGGCAAGCGGTATCGCATGGCACAGGAGGCGGGCGCAGAGATGCGCGGAGCGAAATGCGAGGGGGGTGCTGAGGCAGGCATGGAGCCCAAGCTGTGGCCGGCCGACGGCGTGCGCCCCGTGAAGCTTTACCGCGGCGGCCATTCCCGCAGCGACGCCGTCAATGACAACGGCAATGGCGTTGTGGGCTCCACCACTGGTGGCCAGGCTGCTACTCTTCCAGGTGCCCCTTCCGTGTTTTTTGGGAGTAGGCTTACGTGTCTCTTCTTAAGTGCTCTAATTTTGTGAGAGCAACCGCCGATTATAATCTTGAGACTTGAGAAGGTAGCAGTGCTTCCTTGCCTACCATGTTGTGGTCTGTCCAGAATAGATCGCATCACTCCCCCATGGCCTCTATCGTGAGAATTTTGACTTGTGGGGGACAGGCAGCAGCAGCCGTCAGGACAGCAAGCCCAACGGCACGAACGGCGGCGACGGCAGCAGCGGGCAGGACACGGGCAACGGCAATGGCGCGATGACGGCCAATGGCAATGGCGGTTCCACGTCCCATCGCATGGAGCTGCCTAGCAGTGCCGAGGGCGCCCAGACAGGCGGCCCCCATCAGAGCACACGTGAGCTCAATTTCACCTCTGCATGTGAAAGAGTCATCCTACTTGCAAGCTGTCATTGAGTCGCGCAGAGTAGTACATGGCGACATTGCATAGGACCGACTGGAGGCAGGGAAATAGTGGATGGTGATGTGATGTGTATGCTTCCAGGGCTGCATTCAGAGGCGGGTGGCTTCCGCGCGTACATCGGCCAGGCGCACAAGCGCAAGGCGTCGGAGATCGCCACCGTATCAGAGGTGCCCCTGAATCGTGCGAGCAGCCAGGCACTGGCGCGCAACTCCACAGCAGCCCCGCGCCCAGCCGATTGCACAGAGGTGAGACCTGCTCACACCTGCCCACCTGCAAAGAAAGGAACATTGGCTCGAGACAGTGGGTCTTGGCCAAATCGTGCTTGCTTATGTTCGAGGGTTGCAAAGGTGATTATGATAGTTCTCAAGCATGGTGTGCCCACGATGCACGCCATAGCCCGTGATCCCTTCTTTCCAGTCATTCAAGTGGAGAGGTATTTGTTGTGCCCTGTCAGTCGTCAAAGGGACAATATCTTATTGTCTGAGAGGGTGTGTTGCATGTATAGGCGGGGTCAATGGCGCGTGCGGGCGGTGCGGCAAGCAACACCCTCGGGCCGCAGACGACGGGGTCGACGCCCACAAGTGCCAGCGAGGACACGCGCATGGTGGGCTCTGATGGCAAGGGCACCTCCATGCCCCTGCGCCTAGGCTCCAAGTCCGGCTCTCTCGACCAGGTCAGCATCTTATGAAATGTTGAACCTCCCGGTTTTGGGTCACTGTTTCTGGCTTGCCTTTGGTGGGAGCTGATGAGCGTGTGGGACCTTGACTGCTTATCATTGTAACGAATTGCCATCATAATCATTACAGAGGTTTCCACTGTTGGCTGAGCTGCTGGCCTGGTAGTGGGTATCTGTGCGTGCAGTTGAGAACGTGTGTCAAATGTAGGTCCAGGTCCAGTGGCCGCACAATGAGAGTGCGCAGATGCAGCAGCGGCTGCAGGCTTCAGCCCAGAGGCAGAACAGCGGCCCAGCCCCACAGATGCCGGGCTTCAGAGGGCCCGGCAACTTCAACTACTTTGGTGCGCGACATGCTCCTGCTGCAAAATACCTATCATATTGAATCTGCTGTATCTCATATCTGTCATGTTTCCAGGTCACAGGGCAGGTCACAGGGGACAGGTATTCTCAGATCTGTGTTGAAAAAATAGAGCTGAAAGAAAGTCATGGTTGCAGGCATGCCACCGCCGAACTTTCCTATGCCAGGCCCATTCTGGCCGGGCATGCCCAACCCAATGGGGCAGGTTTCTGGGCAGTCCAGCGGGCAGGGGTCTGGCCAGGGCGGCTTCCAGGAGGGCAACCCACAGTTCGATGCTTTCTTTGGACCCTTTGGTGCACAGCAAATGGCAGCGGCGATGGCGGCTGCTGCGGTGCGCCTCTTTATTTTTTCTGCGGCAATTGTGTAATGATATGCGGATATCCGTGCCTTCTACTGTTTTGGAGGCACCTCTTACATTGGTAAAGTTGTCAAGTGCATCTGGGGGTTCCAACTCCAATGGATGCTTGCTCTTGTGGCTGTTTAATGATTGTATCTTTCCCTTCATCCAGCAGGGAGCGGCAAGCACTGGCAATCGTGAGAGGGAGGCAGCGGCTGCGGCAGCACAGCAGCAGCAGCAGCAACAGCACCATTTCGCAATGATACTGCAGCAGCAGCAGGCGCAGCAGCAGCAGATGTTCCTGCAGCAGTACGGCTTGGCGGCCAGCAACATGATGCAGCAGATGGCCGCGGGTGGCCCCTGGCAGCAGTCCAATCGGGCGCAGCCGGGCAGCCCGTCCGCCGCCGCCGCCGCACAGTTCGCCGCTGCGTTCCCCTTTGGCAACCCCAACGGCAGCGGGGGTGCGCGCTCCGTGCCAAGCTACCCCGCGCACCCGATGGCCTCTCGTGGCGGCCCCATGCAGCAGTATGCGGCGGCCCGCGCGGCCGCGGCCGCCACCGCAGCCAGCAATGGCGCGCGGCCGGGTTTAATGCATTCGGCGCCGGCCGCCGCGGCAGGAAACGCCGGCGCGACGCATGGCGGTGCCGGGGTGAATAACGGCGCCACCTCGCGTGCGCCCCCGGGACTGCAGCAGAACGGCACGCAGCAGAATGGCGCAGAGGAAGATGCTCAAATTGGCGTGAAGGCCGAGCAGGGTGCCGATGTGCTGACCAGTGGCACCGCGAATGCCACTGGCAGGGAACGGCGCATGCAGGTGATGTCTTGCAACATCCGTCTCGTGTGTTTTGATAGCTGCGTTTGCACTCTTTTCTTACATGTTTGGGACGCTCGTTGCATGCAAAGCTTGAGGGCGGTGAGTGCGCTGATGTTGGGAATTCTACAGTGGTGCTGACGCAGTCTGTCTGTGTGTCTCACAGGCGCTGCACAAGTACAAGCAGAAGCGCAAGAACCTGAACTTCACCAAGAAGATCCGCTACGAGAGCCGCAAGCAGCTGGCGCAGGCCCGGCCGCGCGTCAAAGGCCAGTTTGTGCGCATGGCGTCCGGCGCCATCGACGCTGACGCTGTAGAGGCCGCCGTAGAGGCGGACGCCGCTGAGATGCTGGGCGATCTGCCCAATCTGGCCGCTGCCGCCGACGCTGCGCTGGCCGCTGCCAAGGTGGCTGCCGAGGATGAAGGCATGGATTTCCAGGATGACGTGAGCATCCCTCTTGACATGCAACTATCCTTTTCCGCCAGACGAGAAGGCACCAGATCTGCAGAGCAAAGCCCAATTGCATGCTGCTGGTGTTGTGCAGACAGGAGGGGTCTTCAGCATTGGAGATTGGGTGTTGATGGTTATACTGTGGGCTTGTCCAGGATGAGAGCGTGGACAATGAAGAGGAGATCAAGGAGGAAGCGGCGGCCAAGTGGCAGGCGGGGGCTGCGCAGCCACCAGAGGAAGACGATGACGACAATGTGGTCAACAGCCCCCAGGACATCTTCAACCGGGTGCGCAGCTGTACTAGCCATCTGCCGCTTGTTCACTGACCTCGATTGCTGACATGGATCAGGCAGAATAACCTTGATTTGTTGCCAGATTATTTCCCCTGATTGGACTCATGGACCCTGTTCTGTGGCGCAAGAAGAGACTGGGCTGTGAGGGAAACTGACAGAGGACTCTCCTTTGCGGAAGACAAGTGGTGTTGAGATGTGATGTGCATGGGGTGAGCAGGTGGCTGGCCCAGCCAGCAACAGCCATGGGCAGCACAGCGGCTCGCGGCTGCAGAGCCACGGCATAGCAATGCACCCGCACAGCAACAGCAACAGGACGGCGTCGCCCGTGGTGGTCTCAAACACCCACGGCAAGGTTGCTGTAAACGGCAACGGCTCCTCAGATAGCGGGTCAAACTCTCCTGACATCAAGGATGGCCCTGGGGAGTCGCCGGATGCAGATATGGAGCAATGAAATAGGCTCACCCTTGCCGGGCACACCTGTACACAAGCAGCAGCGTCTGCAGCAGTACTGACTCGTATTATTTGTCAACGATCCCATTTTTCGTCGATCTCATGCATGCAAAGCGCGCCGTTGGCGTCACTGACATTGGCAGCAAAGGAGACAGTTGAGACGGATGGAGGGTGTTGAAGAATTTGAAACCAAGTCTGTTGAGGTACGGTGGGAGGGCGTTGGGCTGCTGACCTTGGTGGTCAGACATTAGAGGACAATGCCGCGAAAACAAAATATGCAGCTCTTCATGAGAGCGCCTATCACACATACGAGCAGTCCTTTTGAGTGTCTGGATCCCACAGTATTGATGGTGTCTAGGTGCACAGGGAGAGAGCATGTCAACACCTGGTGCACTGCTGCACAGGGTTGAAAGGAATACAATGTTCTGAACATCGCGCCAAACTTTCGTTTTTCTTCGAGTGGATTGGGTATTTGCCGGACCAGTGTTTGAGAGTGGCCCTGATGCCTGCTGTGTCAGGATTTGAGATGTGTGTTGTCTATTCACAGTGTTTCTTTGCTTCCATTCTTATTGCTGACCGTCAAGAAGAGTCATGCGTGTCTCGGTCATGCCTGCAGGCGCAATTGCACTCGCGCTCAGTCTTTTACACTTTTTGTTGTGCACAGCAGCGATTATGAACAGATGGATCATGGATGTATGGGGCAACTCAGGAATCAGAAAACGCACTGATCAGGGCAGTCTGTACATATCTCAACCCCAAATGTTTTGAGGTCGGTATGTTTATGCATGCAAGCGTTTGCTGATTGTTAGCTGGTCATGATCGGGGATTGTGTTGATGCTACTGCTGCAACAATGAATGTGTAATTGATCATTGGAAATAATCACGTGCAGCCCAAACAATGTGGTGCACAGACTCACTGCGTTTTGAACTGCAGTACAGCTGCCTTTCCATCACAACAGTCAACCAGACGTTTACATTGCAAAGATCATGTACGATACAGCTGCTGACAGCATCAAACTTACTGTCAAGACATCAGGCCGGGCTCAGGACAAGAGTATTGAACACATCAAAAAAGTCTAAAAGCTGCATCAGGCATCTCTCTCAGATCTCTCGTCCCCCAGTCCATGACAGCAACACCAGAGCTCCTCACAGGTGACAGCACAGATCTTGCATCAGATCTTCTTGACGATCTGCACGATATCCTCGTCCTGCAGGCGGTGGTCCTTGCCGACCTTCTGGGGCCGGTGCCTGACGGATGTGCCCCACACGAGCGCATACTTGAACTGCTTCGCGATGCCCTTGTGGATGCGATTGCAGAAGTCCTCCACCGTGTTGCGCCCCGCTGGCACCACCACCGGATCGTTGTAGTCCGGCAACCGCCCCTGCCGCAGCCCAGAATTTGAATTCAAATCACCGGCTAATAACTCAATATTTCGAGAGCCTCAACCTTCAAGTACTCTTGCAAACCCCATCAGCGCATGCACAGATGATGCCAAGGGAATCTAGAGCAGAGGAGGCTCCTCAAGCAAGCAGCAGGCCCCGGCTCTGAGGAGGCCATGCAAGCAGTCCGCTGCATGTGGTGGTCAGGCACCCTCCCTGTCAGCTACTGATACGGGGCTGCTGCACTCCAAAGTGGCATGCAATGGCAGCTGATGTGATTGAGGCAGGGCCGAGGACTTGTTTTGCTGCATGGCAATGAGATGGGGCCCCACCTTGGGCTTGGTGTAGATGCGTAGGAGGTCGAGGTACTCCCAGATCATCTCCACCAGGCCATCCAGGTTCCAGTTGTGGTACGCGCACACCGGGCAGTAGTGCGGCAGCCGTGACATCACATTCAGCTCCTCTAGTGTGATCTGGCCCCCAGATCAGCCAAACACCCCGTCAGCCACTCTTTGCAGGCAGATCAACAATTTGATGCAGGTGAGACCTGATGCAACTGGTCATCAGGCAAGAAAGAAAAGGTACCAGGTTAAAACCCACGGGCACCTGAGAGAAGCCATAAGCCAGAAGAGAATGTCATGCTTCACGCCTGCTGTGATGACATGCAGCGCACTACATGCTTTATAAGCAGGCATGCATCACCAAATAATGTATATGCAATGGGCGTAAAGGCAAGTGTCACCTGGTCGATCTTGTTGATGACGTAGACGGCTGGGATGTAGACTCGGCTGCCCTCTATCACGTCCACCAGGTCGTCTATGTCGCAGTCGTCCCGCATGGTCACATCCGCATTGTGTATTCTGTACTCGCTGCACACCGACTTCACCGCTGCACCCACACACGCCCACACACTCAATGGCAGCTACTCTGGCTCCATTTCCTGAACGCTTACAGATATGCCAACCTTCCTCTGCAACTGAACGTCATGATGTGCTGATATGGTTGGAAATTCGCTCCTTATCAGAATGTTGAACTGGAAGAAGTCCCAGACGCTTCACTGGAGGAAAGTATTCCCCTTATAGGTGTCCACTGTCTGAGGTCCATTTCTCAACCACGATCTCTTCTTTATATATATATATATAATTTCAAGCTTGCCCATGGGAACGCGCACCGTCCACGTCGAGCTTGGCGTTCTGCACGGTGGTGCTAAAGTTGATGCCACCCTTCTCCTTGCGCCTGAAGCTGATGGCCGGTGGCTGCTTGTTCAGGCGGATGCCAAAGCCCTCCAGCTCGTGCTCTATCAGCTTCTTGTGCGAGAGGGGCTTTAGGCAGTCCAGTACAATCAGGATCAGGTTGCACGTGCGCGCCGTGGAAATAACCTGGCCACAAAAGGAATTTCAGATGTAATTTCTTAGTCGGATCCCTGCCACACACAAATGCAGTGGGCAAGGAAAAAAATTTCCGGTGGAAGCTTTGAGTCTGCATGAACTCAGTCAGGTTGAAGGCTGCGGGTGAACAAAGGATTGCTGGCCCCTGTATGGCAAGGGGTCCTGCCGGAATGTCCAGGACTGTGAGCCCTACCTGGCGACCACGCCCTTTGCCATCCTTGGCCCCCTCAATAATTCCTGGCAGATCCAGTAGCTGAATCTTGGCTCCTCGATACCGCACCACTCCAGGAATGCAGGTGAGGGTTGTGAACTCATACGCAGCCACCTGACACGAGCCATGGGAAGCTGGTCAGCCACAGAACACACCCAGATGGAGAAGAAAATTTGGGCTGTATTTTGGTGACAGATGTCCGCTGCCGAAGTGTCAGGAGCTACATTTAACGGCAGACAGTGCGAGAAACTTGCCTCTGAGAATGTTCCTGTGAGCTTGTTGAGCAGCGTGGACTTTCCCACCGATGGAAATCCTGCATCAGTGATAACCTCAGCGGCCAGATTCACTTGTCATGTGACACAAGCTCCTGGCAGATTGGATGCTCAGCGTCACTAGATGATCTTGGGAACAGTGCTTACCAACGAGCCCCACGCGAGCATCTCCAACCTTATTGACATCAAAGCCTGCATGCATGCAGCTGTCAGAGTACAGCACCCTGAAACAGTAGTTGAGGGAAACCACACTCACAGATCTAGACTACAACGGAGACCTCTACAGATCAAGAGAAATTTCAGTGTTAGGTAGGAGTGCCACCTTCGCCCTTCCCGCCTCCACCGCCTCCTGTTCCTGGTTCTAGCAATTCTCGTCTAAGCTTTGCTAATTTGGCCTGCAGCAGACATAATCTTGACGACCTGGTGCTTGTACGGTCATGCTAAGGAATATGAAGCACACATGCGATGGAATCGTACCTTGAGCATGCCTAAATGCCCCATGGTAGCCTTATTTTTCTGGGTCTTGGCCATCTGCAACAGAGAGAGTTATTCAGGGCGGTGCTTACTTCATCGGCATATTATAGATTTCTAACACAAGACTGATATCCTGTGCTGCAGCATCTCGTACCTCGGCCTCAATCTCGGCAATCTTTTGCATAGTCGTCATTGTTGTAACTTTGTGTTCACCACTGCCAACGCACCCTTTCAAAGATCAAATACTGCCTATACGCAATTGACTAGAAACACGTGTTATATTTGGATGATGATCAAATTGACTTGTGTCTTCTGTCTTTTCTTGAGCTTGATTTTGATGTGGGAGAAAGCGAGGCAGGAACGCCTCTGCACTGCATGGTATGCACCTTCTCAAGTCCATAAGCTGCCAGCCCATTAGTGGCGACCTTGGCCGTTTTAACCATTGTGTCTCTGTGCTCCCATTAGATTTGCCTTTAAAGGTACACAGAGGTGTGGGTGGAACCTGTGAGAGGTTTGAAGCCCACCGGCCGCATGCATCTGCAGGGCCGTTAAATTCATGTCCCATATGGTGCACGGTGTGCACAGATCTGAGTTCCTGATCGGCCAAGAGATCTCTCTAGTCTCATTGTGTGACCAGTGGGTGAGACCCAGATGCAATGCCAGGATGTTCATGTCGAACAAGAGGGCTGCTGAGATCTTTTACTGTGCACCATGTGTAATCCACTGCATCACAATCAACCCGATACAGGAACACTGTGGCGCCACAATATTGTGCCGGCACACACTGCCCTTCATCTTACTTTATAACCGCAGCTGTGCAGCGCTCATGCATACACGCACAGACGACTCCAGTACCCATTGTGACATGACATGCCGTCCTCTTGATATCAATACCAAAACTGTGATGCTCTTATTGACATCCTGTCACAAAATTATCTTGATGGGCTTTGCTCAAAATCAGTGTCCATGCCGGGAGTCGTTCTCTCACGCAGCTCTGCCTGCGAGCAGCACCAATTCAAATTCAGCATCTCTTCTTCTTGATCATCATCTTGATCATGATGATCCAAATGTTGGTGGCCTGTGACAGCCACACAGGCATGCAAATTCCCAACAGGCCAGCCTTCAGGTTTTCTGCAGGTATCATCATGATCATGGCATGATGAAAATCCATGCAAGCGCTTGCAAGCTAGCACTAGCACCCCGCACTGCCAGGACATATTGATCAGCACAGCGGGTGTGGTGTGAACTCGGCACCTGTCGGCCAGGGCGCTCGGTGCCAGTGGCCGTCTCAGCCAGCCGCGGAAGCCGGCGGCGGCGGCGGTGGCGGGGGCGGCGGGGGAGGCGGCGGCGATGGAGAGGGTGAAACACCCGGCGGTGTCGGCACCGCAGGCGTCACAACGGGGCTGGGAGTGACTGGGGGACTCGCCACGAGCGCTGGGGTGGGAATGGGGGGTGGAGGAGGGCTGAGCACGGGCGAGGGGACGGGCACAACAGGCACAACTGGTACCCCAGAGGCCACCGTCTGCTGGATGGTCTGGCCGGGCGAAGCCGTGCCAATGAACCCAGCTGGCTGCAGAGAGCAGTACACCCTGTCAGGCCAACGTTTGATAGCACAGTGGCAATGCACACGAAGACAAGAAACAAGTCTGTCAGGCATGCTGTAGAGGATGTCAGCAACAGCAGGCTGGGAAGGCACATCTAGAGGAAGGGTGGGGCTGCACCGGAGCGCCAGTAGCTTGTGTCCCCAGCAGCACATTTTGGCCTGATCCTGAGGCAATGGCTCCAGTTTGCAGGATGCTACGCCCGACATTGACTGCACAGGAGTTGTGGATATGTCAGTTTTGGCTATCAATTCTGTGCGGCATCACAGGCTTTGCTGAACATTCACCGAGTCAGGACTCCTCCATAAAAAGTCCACTACCCAACAGAAGATTATGTTGCAGCCTATCATAGCAAGGCTTTCATTGGGGTCACAGCTCTATATGTGCTGCTAACAGCATGCAGGGTGGGCAGCTGTGACGAGTTTAAAGGTTCTGGTGCTAAGATACCTGTGTACAAGTTGACAAGCTCGTCGGATGGGATCTCCTCGACACCCAAAGGCCTGCAGACAGCTCACACTACTCGTTAATCCTTCGCTTTGTGTCTTTGTGTTAAATATGTTTTCGCAGAATTTACACGTGTAACTTTCGGAAGTAGTATCCGTCTTGTCGACAGAAATAAACCGATAAATCGACAGCGCTGCCCCGATCGATTCGACACACGCATCCCCTGGCCACACGCAACGCACAGGGAGCTCTCGGTGGCATGACATATTATAACCAGCATCTCTGTTTGATCGGTTGTCACCTGGCAGCGCATACGCAAGCCAGCCCGAGAAGCAGCAGGGCAGCCTGTGCAGCCCTCGTCATCTTGATCGAGCGTGGCAATCCAGGCAGAATACTTCTTTCTTTCTGGCACGATCCTGGCGACGCGACACTGTACAAGGATTCATCATGCGAGGAAGGAATCTATCCCCAACGAGACATGTGTGCATGCATGCTGACTAGGCTGGCAGGTGCTCGCTGACGAGGCCCTTTTGCATGCCATGAAGTTTGGAATTGTGGTGCAGGGATGCATCAAGGGCATGCTTTGCTAATAAAAAAGCAAGAAGGGCTGGTTTGCTTTACAGGTGGCAGAGAGTACACGCTTTATCCAGTGCTGTCATGGTAGGCATGGCGTGCTAGCTGCGTAAATGGCTTAAAGATGGCGGTGGTTCAGCCTGCCGTCAGGCTGAGGGCATCAATCGAAAGCGGTCATACAACCCAATGATTGCCGTACTTTTATGGAGGGTAAAATTTGCCCCCCTATGCATGCATTGGCGGTGTCGGTCAAGGCATGCCCCGCCAATGGGCAATAATTTGTGCATCTGTTGTTCCCTCCATCAGTTCTGTTGCCTGTCACAGCCTCGGCGGTCACTTCATGAGGCCTCTGTCATGCGCCTCCAGCTCAGATGCCTGTCTGAGCTGGCATGCAAATGCCTGGCAGGATAGAGTGCGCCCTCTGCTGAGCGAGCATCCCCTCGCATGCGCCAGGAAGGGCAGCTTCCGCAGCATGCGCCCTGAGAACCCAGCGCATGCGGCAGCCGCTTCCAGCAGGGCAGTGCTTGCATCCTGCTGCGCCTGGCTCACATCCTCCTCCATGGCCTGGCTGGCCTGCATGCCCACGCACATGGCAGCATTGGATGCCAGCACAATCATACCGTAACGCATGCATTGCATGCACACGCCAGGGCACGCCGCCTAGTCGTGAAATTCAGTTTGTCATAAAAGCGGTCCTGTCAAGCACCACGCAGGCATGGTGCACTCATGCACATGGTAAACAGCAGAAGCCATGGGGCGGCTGACCTGGGGCTGGGAGGGCAGCTGTGAGAAGGGCAGCGGTGCGGCCGACTCCTTGGCCAGGATGCCCACACGATGCAGCTCCAGCACGCAGGATCTCAAGATCTCGTACCGGGCCTGCCAGCGACAGAGCAACCAATTGGCCAGGAATACATGAGAAGATCAAGGATGAGGACGACCAGCTGGAGGCTAAGAGGAATAAGGTGTACCCACATGCTACTAGCCCATCCACATGAGCAAATCATCATTTTCATCAGCATACTTTGGCATATATGGGTTGTCAGATACACGGACCTGGGCGCCGGGAGGTCCCACATATGCTTTGATGTCTGCGCGGTCCACAAAGGCCAGGTCTATGGCCTCCGTGATGTTTGATGTGGTCAGCACTAGGACGTTTGGGTAGGCCTTGAGCGCATCCAGCTGCACATTTTAAGCAATCAAAATATGAAAATTGACTCAGCGCTGTGCAATCTTAGTGATCTTTCAGGTTTTGTGCATGCAGTGCGAGAAGTGCGAAAAGTGAAGATGGCTTGATTCTGGGAGAGAATCAGAACCTGGGTCAGCAGTGCGTTGACGGCCCTGATGGCGTCGGCTGGCTCAGATCCAGAGACAGAGGCGCTGCGAGCGCGCGTGAGAGACTCCACCTCATCAAGCAGCACACACACCAGACTGTCCTCCTCCTCCACCTGTGCACAAGACACAATGGACCATATGCATCTGCTGCTCCACAGCTGCTTCTTGATCTCTGGGTGTCTAGAAACATAATATGCAAAATATGCTTCACTGAACTAAAGGGCCGATTAAGTGGCATTGACAGGGTTTGGTCAGTAGGCGGCTGCATACCAGCTCCATGATCTTGGAGAAGAGCTTTGACACCAGCTTTCCGCTCTCGCTGAACCACTTGCTGAACAGACTGTGCGCATTGACTTCAATGAGCTGCCCCTGGGAGAACCTGCCATGGAGACATCATGTGTGAGCCCAACCAACCATGGCACTAATGGCAACTGGTGCAGGTGCGGTGCATGTTTTCCACAAGCAAGATTGGTATTACACCACCTTCTGCTGAAGCGCACAGCTAGCTTCTGTGCCAAGGCTTTGCAAAGCGTGGTCTTCCCGGTGCCAGGTGGCCCATGCAGCAACACCGTGCGGTTGAAGGACACCAGGTGGCTGTCCACACCTCTCTCACCAAACAGCAAAGCCTGCACAGTGGAGGCACACATTGAAATTCCTTCTACACTGACCTGTTTGAGACCTGCATCAATGCCAGGACTTCGTCTGCAGCCTTTAATGATTGAAGAACACACCGTTGAAGCATAATGGAGCAGACGCCCCTTGATATCCTCTTCATATAGGAGGCTATCCCACAGGTTGTGAAACTCCCGGGCTGGCAGCATCCATTCTCTGTAGACTGACACGTTGTCTTCTGTCTCATCATCATCTGCTGGTCCCTCCTCACTCAGCTGAAATACATGCACGTTCAGATGCACCTGCATGCATCGCATGAGTTTCATCATGACCTGAGTTTGAGTATGTATATAATGTGATGGCAGGATGTGCTGCAGAAAGGGGCTTGGTCCGCCGCATCAGGGCTGGCTATACTCAAGATGTGATATTCGTGTACCTGCCAGAATAGAAGGCGAGTTCCCAGCGCTGTTTCTCTGTCTGTTTCACAGTCGCAAAGTCTGATCGACTCCACATGACTTTGTAGGTATTGGTCCTCCTCAGAGACTGGAATGACCTCATCTTGGTAGACAAAGCTGCGATTGCTGAGATATTGTCTTACATGATCAGCTATCTGAATTGGATCAGCTGACGAGGTAGCATACTGGCAGACTTCCACTGTGAGGGCAACTTCTGAGCTTGAGCCTTCCTGATCATCATGACATTTGCCGTTCTGCCCTACCGATGCTGGAATATAAGTCCTATTTTCAATGTGAGCATCCATGTAATGCAAGCTCACACTACACAACCAGCGACAGATTTTGTCCGGAAAGTGAGCTTATTTCCACGCTTATTTGCATCAGTTTAAGCTTCGCAATTGCACATCATAAGCTGATCAAGCATGTTAGCACCTAATTCTAAGCAAAATGCCGGGAAGATGGCCCAAAATGGAGGCAGAAATGGAGAAAGATGAATGATCAGTCGCCAGTTCTATCCGGCGATTCGATCTGGCGACTGAGTATTTTCTGGCTTTACTGGCGTTTCTGCCTGAAGCTTCATGCCCAAGCTTTTTTTCCATTGTCGCTTCCATTGTCGTCTATAGTGTTTTTTCCTTAGTAAAAACTTGTATAGGAGCTTTAGAATCCCTCCTAAAGTTGCAATGTGGTGGGACGAGAGACCTGTGGTGTCCCAGGACGAAGACAAGAAAGCGACGCCGCAAGTGCTGGAAAATGGGGTATGCACGATTGCTAGAGGCAACTTCAACCTCAATTGTTTGGAAATAATGCATTATTTGTCATCTGTGGCTTCAATTTTATCTGTTAGCGTTGGTCAGAATATATTGCAAGTGCAGATCGAGTTTTGGTACTATGCTTGATCTGCGCATTCGATCCTTGATCTTTCTATCTACTCCTTTGATATGTTACTAGATACTTAGCTCTCTCTGTCTATCTTCACTTTCGTATCCTTCTGAAGGCACATTTATCAATCTTGTGTGTGCGCATAGGTTGGCATTGAAATTGCAGCTGCAGGGGCAGTCAAACCAGGCAAAGGTGGATCAACAAAGGATGCTAAAGCAGCGAAGAAAGCTGAACGGGTGCGGTCTAACTCCTATTTACGAATCCAAAGTCTTTTGTGAAGGTCATGCAGAACTTGATTTACACTGAGTTAAGGGGGTATTGCATCCCTGTGGACCTTTGCATGTTCTCTCATGCAGCATAGGAACAGCATGGGCTCGGGTGGGGATCCTATGCAAATTATCTTGGATCCTCAGCTCCCTGCTGACGATGCACATGTACTTTTGTCATGCACAGGCAAGTCAGCGACAGAAGGCAGCTGCGCCCACACAGCCAGACCCCGATGACCCACTCCGCGAGCAGTATGGTGACACGCCACTTGTTCAGAGCAGGACACAGAGCGGAGAGAAGTACTATCAGATCTCAGAACTGTCACCAGAGCTGTCTGGACAAAAGGTGAGGGTGCTGCAGTGCTCCTTGCATTCCACTTCAACTACCGGATAAAGCCACCTGCCTGAAGGCATTCGCCCTGAGGGAGCTGTCTGTACATGTGCAGGTGTTGCTGAGAGGGCGAGTACACAATGTACGAGGCAAAGGCAAGTCGTGCTTCCTGGTTCTCAGACAGCAGACCGGGACAGTACAGGTGTGCACATGACAGATTGACAGCACATTGTGCCTCTTATGAACAGCAGAAATTTCTTGACCTTCTATCATTGACTTTGACCTAAAGTGATCCTTTTGATGGTGCTCTGTCTCGTGGAAAATGTTCATTTGCTGCAAGCCAAGTCCTGCATGCTCTCCAAAATGTATTCATTATCTCTTTCACCTTGCAGAAAGCTGCCTGCTTGAGGGATCTCCTACAAGTGTACTGACCTGATGTGGTTTATTTCCTGGGCCAGGCTGTACTGTTTGTGGACGACAAGACAGTCAGCAGGGGCATGGTGAAGTACACGTCTGCGATCCCCAAGGAGTCCATTGTCGACATCAGCGGGGAGGTGCACGTGCCTCAGGAGCCTGTGGCGGGCTGCACCTGCTCACAGGTGAGCACTCGCAGCAACTCCACTTGCTTCTTACTTCAACTACCTTCAATCTGCCGCCCACAACAATTTCCATCCTAGATCTTTTGCCGTTAAGCTTCACCAAATTGGTGTCTCATAACATTTTCCATGGGTGTTTAAATGCTTCCAGGCACGCCATCATGGACTGTAGGGCGCCCAGATCATGTTGTCGGGCGGAGACAACGGCGTCCTGGACTTGATCACGATTCTCGGGATATGGGAGATTTCATGCCATTGAAGCACTGCACATCATGAGCGCAGGTGGAACTGAAGGCGATGAGCGTGAAGTGTGTGTCGCGTGCGGCGCCACTGCCGTTTGAATTGGCGGACGCGTCGCGCAAGGAGGAGGACCTGCAACGGGAGGACGCGCAGTTTGCCACGGTGACCCAGGACACGCGTCTGGAGAACCGGTGGATTGACCTGCGCACGCCCGTCAACCAGGCCATCTTCCGCGTCCAGTCCGCCGTCTGCCAGGCACGCACGCCCCACCTCAATCGTCATGTCATGTGCTGCCTGCCATGCCACCTACTACTGCCTCTGACCGGTAGCAATAGATCAACGCATGGCTGTGCGGGGCGGAACCTTGCTCTTGGACGTCTTAACAGTGTGCTTTTGGACAATCTTAGCCACTGCAAAACTCCTCTGGGCAGCTCATTCCTGCTCCGGCTTGTTCTGCAGAAGTTTGGATATCCGGTGCCCCTTCCTCCTTCTCCTTCCTCCTCTGCCCTCCTGTGATGGCCACTGAGGCTCACGGTAGCAGGGAAACAGCATGCACACGTTCTGAGGATTCCTAGGAATGAAAACGTGTCGCATGCGCGCAGCTGTTCCGGGAGGCGCTGCTGGCGGAGGGGTTCCAGGAGATACACACGCCCAAGCTGATCGCGGGCGCGTCCGAGGGTGGCGCGTCCGTCTTCCGCCTGGACTACATGGGCCGCGAGGGCTGCCTGGCGCAGTCCCCCCAGTTCTACAAGCAGATGGCCATCTGCTCCGACATGGCCCGCGTGTTCGAGCTGGGGCCCGTCTTCAGGTGCCGCGCTCTTCTCATGCCCTGGATTTGCCAATTTCTGCACAATTCTCATACTTGCTAACTGAAATTGTTTCACAGCCTGGCACCTCGAAGCTTGGCAGCCCAAGATGCTATATTTGCGTGCTTGAGAAGGCATTGTTGCTGTGTCCATGCTGCGCCCAAGTCAGCGGCTCTGATCACACTGGTGGACAATTATGTTCTTGCATGGAGCTGTCCCTTTCTTTCGCTTTCCATGAGGGCAGAATAGAAGGAGGAGGTGTCTTGTTGCTGTGCAGGGCGGAGAAGTCGTTCACTCACCGGCACCTGTGCGAGTTCACGGGCCTGGATCTGGAGATGACCATCAATGAGCACTACAACGAAGTGCTGGACGTCCTGGACCGCCTCTTCGTCTACATGTTCGACGGCATCAAGTCCCGCTGTGGTGAGTCTCTGCCATGCATCTCTCTTGTTGTCTGAAGCATGCATCTTGTATTGTGCCCATCAAGCAATGGAATCCTGAAACGCTTAACCAAGGCAGGGATAGTTTGATGGTAAGATGCAGCCTAGGCATTGGGTCTTTGCAGGCCCCCTTGGATGTGCATCCAGAAGGCGATGAGTAACATCTCCTTGCAGCTAGAGGATTCTGCTGGTTTTGACATGCTATGTGTCTGGCGCCTGGTTGAGGGTCTGGCGATGTGATGTGTTTCTTGCAGCGGCTGAGGTGAAAGCCATTCAGGAGCAGTTCCCCTCGGAGCCTCTGGCCTACCTGCCAAAGACGCTGCGGATACCCTTTGAGGAGGGCATGCGCCTGCTGCAGGAGGCCGGCTTTGAGGTGTGCCCTAATTCCTTATTGCAAAGATTGCTGTCAGTGCTCAGATAAACTAACAGCCCACTCAGCAGGGGTCCAATGCCACCAAAAAACCTGAAAGAAGCACATGAACGGATTGAGTCCTTGTGTGTGCAGCCTGACCCTCTGGGGGATTTGACGACGGAGCTGGAGCGGAACTTGGGCAAGATTATGAAGGAGAAGTACAACACTGACTTCTACATCCTCTACCGCTACCCCCTCGCAGTGCGCCCACCACCCCACTCCCTGCCCTGTTCTGACCTCCCTTGTCCCCACACTGAACCAAGAACATCCACCTCTGACAATCAGCCAATTTCAAACGGAAACTTGCAGACTTGCCCTACGCCCGGGCCATTGCAGGGACGCCTCGTGTGTCACTGCGAGATGCAGTGCTTGCTGTGTGACCCTGTCCTTTTTAGTTCTAAGATAATGTACCATGCACACAGGTGCGGCCATTCTACACGATGCCAGACCCGGAGGACGCGCGCTACAGCAACTCATTTGACGTGTTCATCCGCGGCGAGGAAATCATCTCCGGCGCACAGCGCGTCCACGACGCAGCCCTCCTCACAGGTGCCCCCCTGCTCTCATTTCGCCCGCCTCTCTCTGCCTCTCAATATTGCTTGCGATTGCTGCCTGAGTGTGTCTATTTCATTTTGATGGTAAGGGAAGGCAGTTTCAGAAGCAGCGCAACAGGGTGGCCTGCCCCCTTTGGGCTGCTTCTCTTAGTTAATCACCCAGTGTTACTGATGCCGTGTTTCTTGCACTTGGTGATACTGTTGATGCACTTTGTTACACCTGCAAGGCAGCCCACTGTCCCAGCTTTGTGGCTTGCACTGTCCTGCATGTCCTGCATATTGTCTTGTGTTGGTTCGTGGAAAAGGGAATGATAGGGCATGGCGTGCTGACAGCTGTGTGGGTTGTGGCTGCGGCAGAGAGGGCGCAGGTGCACGAGATCCCCCTGGAGAGCATCCAGTCGTACATCAATGCGTTCAAATTTGGCGCGCCTCCGCACGGCGGCTTTGGCGTGGGCCTGGAGCGCGTGGTGATGCTGTTCTGCGGCCTGGACAACATCCGCAAGACCTCCCTCTTCCCCCGCGACCCCAAGCGTCTTACGCCCTGATGGCCGCGCACCGTACAGTCACTTTGTAACAGTCAAGAAAGATCTTTGGTCATGATCATGATGGCTCTGGCGTTGTTACTATGTTGTTGAAGGACTTGAGAAGATGTGCTAGGATGCAAGCCTGAGTGCATTTCAAGGTAGTATGAGATCTTATCATTGGATGTAAACACTGATTTTCTTCATCCCCTTCTGCCTGTGAAATGATTTCTTGATTTGCTGCATGGGCATTCCAGATTATTTCCTGCCAAAATGTTTCTTGGGCCGTGAAGCTCGCCGTGTGGCTCTATCGCGGATCTATCCTCCGATTCATTCTACTTAGCTTTAAAATTTTCTTAAACATAGTTTGCCACTGAATCCAGCAATTATGCACAGTCCGTTCAGCAGAAGATAGCCTGGTCCAACTTTGCCGACTGGGGCGTCATGGCGAGACTGTCTCCTCTTTGCGCCACGCTGACCGTCATCACATCTCTACTAGCATTCACAGGTAGTTCACCTAATTCACAATACCGCCATAGTGCACGAGGAATCATGGTGCTGCACAGGCCTCGTTGCAAACACGTTGTAGACTTTCAAAATTCGGATGGAGGTCGAACAAGCACACTGGAAGAATTTCACGTTTGCAATAAAAGTTTTAAATCGAAATATATTCTTACCATAATGCATGTTTTACATATTAACCTAGGCAACGTATGTGAAGAAATCAACAGTCGGCATCTAGCCAGCACTCTTCTGGATATTGTCAGCTTACAAGTCTTGGCATGTGCTTCGCAGAAGCTTCTGGAAGACAACTCAGGATCTCTCAACAGCCACATCCCGCGCGGAAGGGGCACTCATGTATTGGCAGGGACGGTCTGTCGTGTTCGCGAAGCAGACCAGGTACATGCTCAAAGCTTCTAGGGTCCTATGGAGAATTATAACACTGCAAACGCCTATAAGTTGGTTTATTGGAGTTTTACACATCCTTAGATATTTAGGTGTAGTGCATGGCCTCCATGTTCACTTGGTTTGTCACAGGCTTGCTGCTGTCTGCAACAGGTCTGGGAATCCGGCGGCTGGCTCATGCACATGGCAACTCATTGGGGCACGTGGGGAGGCGACTGCGGCAGGACACGGGCCAGAATGGCAACAACAACGGAAACCTGAACAATGGGAGCGGGAATGGAAACAGGAATGGGGCCGGCAATGCCGGGCGTGGCAACGGCAACAACAATGGCAATGCAAATCCCAGCGACAACAATGGCAATGACAATGGCAACCAGAGCACCGGGAACAACAATGGAAACAACAATGGCAACGGGGCCGGCTTCACTGCCCCTGAGATTGTCTATGTCGGCAATGGCAACCAGGATGGTGAGAATCTGCCTTGGCATCTGCATGCATGCTACGTTCCCATTTCTGCTTCGATGCAAGCACTAATCCTGCCAGCTCGTTTAAGAGACATGCACCCATCTCTCTGTGGCAATACAGCCCTTGCTCAATGCAGGCACTTTCAACAGTGGGGACTTCAACGGGCGCAACAACGGGAACAACAACAACTCAGACGGCAATGGCAACGCTAATGGGAACCAGAACAACGGGGGCCAGAACGGCAATGACAACGGCAACCAGAATGATCAGCCCGGCAGTGGCGTGCCGCCTGATACTGGTGGCACAAGCGCAGCCGCCAGAGCCAGTACCAGGGCAGCCAAGAGGGCAGCAACCAGTGCACCTGCCGCTGCCCAGCCATCAGGCACACAAACCACAACGACAGCTGGGGCCTTCGTTGTCAGCGGAGGTATGCTGTTCCTTTGCATTTTCTCTTGTGGGCATCTCATGATCTGACATGCCTGGCTTGCCTTGGAAGCAGTTCTTTTCATGTATGCAAGGGTTTGCTCCAGCAGTCGAGCGGATGTCAGCGCAAGGCGGCTTTTTGACACCTATGTATGTGCAATGCAGGTCGATGATGCAATGATGCCGGCACTTGTTGGGTCTTCACCACTGCAGCCATCGATGTTTAGAAATTGGATCATGCTCAAATTTGCTGATAGTCTCTGAATTACATTCTGTTTCTGCATGCAACATCAGTTTCCATTCAGCAATTCATGTAAGGTAGACTGTTCAAAGGCTTTGCAAGCTGGAGTGACCTTCTGCAATCCTAGAAAGGAAAGGATGTCAAATAAATTAAAGAAGAAACGCATTCTCCCTAATAATGTTACAGGCTCTATTGGATGTCATCGACTCTCCTCACACTCACACTCTCGAGCAATCTCTTCTCGCAGAACGTTGATATCAAGACTTGGGACCCTTGTTGAAGTACTGTGCAATCGATGCCGTGCCATGTGCGCTCCTGGCCTTCTCTGATCTCCTCTTCACGTCATTCCGCGGAGCTGCAGGGCCGAAGTGAGACACGGCAGACCAAGCTGGCCGCTGCAAACCACAGGTTGTCAGTCAGTGGGATGCCTTTTTCAGCACCGGGCTGCTCCAAGTGTGATGGCAGCCAAAAGCAAGGCAGACATAGGTGTGCCGATGGATGCACACACCGTATAGTACCATCAAGTGGCTTATCAAAAAGCATTTCCAGGGACGCATTCAGCACCCATGACTAATCAAACAGTGGCAGAATGCTCCTCCTACCTTTCCGCCTGACAGTTGCAAGGAGCCCATCTTGAGCACCGTTGTCCTGCCGCCTTTGCCGTCTGCGCCGCGGCGCACAAACTCACCGTTGGGCCCGCCCGAGCTGCTGCCGGGCTTCCTGTCCAGGAAAGAGCCCCGCCCCTTGCCCACACCAAGGCCCAAGCTACTGCTGGCGTGGCTGAAGGACTGCTTCCACCTGGAGGATTCGCTGTCCTGCACCTGAACACAGATGTCTCTATATTTGCAAGAATATACAATGAGCCAGGTTGGGTGCTAGGAAAGCCAGCTGGGAGTAGAGAATGTTGGAGCGCTGTCGATTCACCACAGATATAGGGCAGACCACAAACTGTTATCAGTTGCTGTGACGTCCATGTTTGTTGAGGGCAGTGATGTCGGCGGGGCTTGGAACAGCAGCTCTGCCGCATGTTTGCCGGTGACAGGATGTGCGCAAGTTTATTCTCAAGGAGCATTGTGCTGACAGCTCACCCGGTGGCTTCGCAGCGATGAGGTGCCCAGGCTTTCGCCTGAGAGTTGCTGGCCGCTGCCGAGGCAGCTTGATCGGACGCCTGCGCCGGCGCTGCTCTCCCGCCCAGCCGCAACGCTCCCAAAGGCCGCCCCGCGAGGCGACAGCCGCGGCACCTCGTTTTCCGAGATTGGCTGCGCGTCCTGGCACCAGTCGGGTGCGCCTGGTTGTATGTCATCATCTGCATCACAGTCCAGGTCGATAACGTCGTCCGACAGATCAAAGGTGGCCTCTTCGCGCACGGGTTCGGCTGGAGGCTCCGGCTCGCCGCAGCCGGGGTCGGGGCTGTAGAGCCGCTTGAGCCGCTTGCGAGCGGGCGGCTGCCGGGAAGACTCCTGGCTGCGGATTGCCGCCTCGTCCATGCCGGAGGCTGCGGAGGCAACGCCAGCATCCGTCTGCCACCTGCGCGCCAGCTGGACGCCGAGCGCGTGCTGCGGCTGCGCCTGTGGCTGCAGATTCTCTTTGCCGCCGCCCGCATCGGCCCGGCCGGCCGGGCCCGCCGTCTGGGCGGCAGCAGAATTGCACGTGCCGCCGAGCCTGCTCAAGTGGGACGGCTGCTTGCCGGGATCTGAGCCGCTCGTCGGCTGCGAGCCTGGGCATTCAGCGCCCTGGGAAGAGTGCCTGGCAGGGGGAACCCTGTTGAGCATGGCGGACACGTCATCGACTGAGACGGACACGTCCACAGCCGTTCCCTCCCACTGCTCCAGCAGCCGCTCCTCCTCCTCGTCCCAGGCCGGCCACTCGTCTGAGTCCGGTGAGTCATTCTGGATGGAGCACGCCATCCCACCATCATATGCATCCGTCCTGGGCGCCGCCTCTGACGTCATTTGCAGCTGCTCCTGAGCGCAGCCGCCGTCCTCTCCGGGACTCTCTGCAGCCACAGCGTGTGGCCTGCCCGCGCCGGCAGAAGCTGCCTGCCGGTCTACCTGGCTGCCAGCCGGCGCGCGAGCACGCGCAGCAAACTCGGCCGCCCAGGCCGCGTCCGGGCCGCCGTCATCGCCGTCGTCGAGGAGCACTTCAGCGTCGGCTGCTTCACACGCGCGCGCAGCACCGGAGGAGCTCCTGTGCGCGTGCGCGCCAGGCCGATCGGCCACCGGCAGTCGCACAGGCAGCATGTCTTCCTCCGGCGTGTTGTATGGGATTGGCGCCTGCCTGCCGCCCCGGCTGCCCTGCAGCTGCTGCTGCTGAGCTGGAGTCACCGCAGCTTGGGCGCTTGCCTTCAAATCCATCTGCAAAAGCACACCACCCAGGTAAAAAAACACAGCACTTCTTTGGCGAAGAATCTGAACGGCCCTCCGTCAGTGACTCGTTGAGTGCCTGGGAAGGCACTTTGAGCAAGGCGGCATGCCTTGAGCTGGTGAAGCTCCCGCCTCTGGTCGGCGACTTTCGAAGCGAGCTCGCGCCGGTCGCTGTCGAGCTTCTTCTTCTGCAGCAGCAGGTGCCGGTACTGTTCGTTGCGCAGCTGCAGCGCATTCTGCAAGGGCACCGTTGCATCCTCCTCCTGCGCAAGCACATGAAGCATCAAGAAAGTCCTGTTGAAATGAGTCACCCTTCAAGTCATTGGGGTGGCTGCCACATGTACAAGAACGCCATGCAATCTCTGTACCCAGAATATCCAACGCCAGGTGCCTTGCCAGTAAGAAGAGTCTTCTCGCCTTGCACAGGCAACAGCAGTATGAGCACTGCAATCACAGGTGTGCAGGGTTTGCCTGGGACATGAAAACGCTGCACAGACCTTGGAGCTGGCGCGTAGGTTCTTCGCAAGTGCTGCCATATCCTTTGCTCCCAGCTCCTTGTCCAGCTGCAGCTGCAGCGTTGCAACCTCCTTTACCAGCTGGTTCTTCTCCCGCTCCTCGCGCACGGCTTTGCCTTTCTGCACATCAAGGCGGCCATGACATGTCCGGTCAGTTGTAGACTGGCTTTCTGTAGTTCGATGCATTGAATGAATGCATGGAGGCATAAATGAGACCAGATGGCGGGACCCTCACATAGAAGTTTGCTTGCTGCTCGAGCTGGGACTTCATGGTGTGCTTCTCCTCTCGCAGCTTCTTCAGCTCCCTCTCCTTCACCAGCACATCCTCAGCCAGCTTCGCACGCTCCTCCTCCGCCCTGCATCATGCATCTCCATGTCAAAACAACTCACCAAACAAGTCCACCCATCAAAATCATCGGATCTTGAGCACGCTATGCGGCGCGCTTTCATGATGGCAAAGGGGAGGTGGCCAGGTACTCTTACTTGTCTCTCTGCTCATCTGCTTCCAGCTCCTGCACACGCAGCTTCTTGCTCTCTTCCAGCAGAGCGGCGGTGGCGGTCTCAAGTTTCCTGGCCTCCTCTTTGATGCTGGCCTGCAGCTCCTTCACCTCCTTCCTCAGGTCCTCAGCCTGTGAGCCACAGCCGTACCAGACACATGTGAGCAGCAATGTTGACTGTAATTCGCCTGACGGTGTGTGATCAGGAGGTGATTGAATGTGTCTGAGCTGGGGCTGGAGGTTTACGAGGACTGTGCCCACCTCGGTGATTTTAGCAGAGTACTCCCCGGATGTGACAAGGAGGCAGCCAGGTGTGGCAATGGTGTCAGGGTTCTGGCTGGGGTCAGGTGCGCTCTGCGGCGCCAGGGGCAGGTAGATTCTGTGCTGGTGAGCCTGCTTATCCCTCTCTGGGCGCTTCGCGGGGGCCTGGAATCCAGAAAGTGCCACACAACGACCGATTAGCCGTCTTAAATTTGTTTGATTCGGTGATCGTGTTGCTTTACTATAAGGATTCGGAAAACTTGGCACACTTGCAACAGCTCTCACTGAAGTGGATTGTCCATCTCACATAACTTAAAGTACAGCAGAGTCTCGGAGCTTAATTGCAACACCCTGACTGCTTCAATCGAATGCAGTGAAGAAATTTGACGCACCCTGCATATTGGACATTCCTTCTTGTAAACAAGAGCTTTTGCCACACAGTCCTCATGAAATACATGGCCGCAGCTGTATAGAGCTCCCCAGCTCTGATCATCTTCCAGACTCGCGCATGTCTGACATATTGCACATTTCAAAGTGATTTGCGCACTCATAATGTAATATGAGTGGAGTGCATCACAATCGTCAGAACGTGGTATAGCAAGCAACGTAGGAGCACTATTTGTGAAATTTGTCACAGGTCCCAACAATATGGATCTACGAGACTATGTGTCATTGCAAGTTTCGGAATGCTGCTTATTATGAGGATGCTTGACGGTGAAGATCTCAAATACAAAGTTTGAAGAAAAAATTGAATCCTTGCTTGCGCCCATAAATTCCTTTATTGTTGAATTATTTTTGCTGATCATCACTTTGATGGTAGATATACCTCCTGAAAAACCGGCCAGAAATGACAGATGGCTTGATCAATTTGTAAATCAGGCGTTGCCTAATTTGACTTGCATGCAGCCTTTCAATATTTGCCCATTAAGACACTTGGGCAGAAATTTAGGTATCAGCACAGATTGTGACAAGTCTCAGTCCTTATCCAGTATATTTACATGGGATCACCATGGTGAGGGAACTAACTGACCACTGGAATGTCAAGCCTTCGTGAAATTTGTGATCACTACCGTTACTAATTCCTTCCAAAACTGTCCTTGGTCTTTGTCCTATCAGAAATCTGCACAGACAATGTTGTGCAGCTGTTGCATTCAACTTGTAATGGTCCCTCATTACTGGAAACCCCTTCCTAGCCTACAGCTTCCAGCATGTCAGAATCCTGGTATGATGATGCAAATAATCTGCTGCAGTAATGTACAAGTCTCCAGAGTACAGTGCCCCTTCAATTCCTCCGGTCCCCAACAGCACTGGAGTCCTCAGGAGGTCCCTCAGTCCTCCACCCTCCAGGCGTCGTAGCGGCCGCCGTCGCGCACAGCAGCCAGCATGACTGACATGGGGGACATCTTGTCTTTCCAGGCATCCACATCCGCCCCCTTGTCCATGAACAGCTTCAGCAGGTGCCCACTGCACAGCAGAACACATAACACACTCAGACATCCTCAGATCAGATTTTCTCAAACAACATCAACAAGACTCCAGAGGGTGATGATGACATGTCCCATGTCAGGTTTAGTGTTATAAACCAGGACAGAGCCTTCAATGACATTTTCTGCATTGCAATCACATGTGCTGCAAAACTACATTGAAGGGCTCCCCACCTGAAGCCGGAGACGAGGCAGGCTCCCTTCTCGTGCATGGTGATGGGCGTGGACTTCTTGCCATAAATGCTACTGTCACTCAGGTTCCAGAACACCACCTGTGGCAGCGCGTAACCGGCCGCCTCGAACCGCGCCTGCCGATGCAAACACTCACACATCTCAGCAGCTGCCTCGCGACAAAAACAAACACATGCGCCTCCTGCATGCCAACGATCAGCAGCCCTGGGTGCCAAACATGATAATGTATGGAGAGGTCTAGGAAGCACCTTGACGGCTTCATAGTTGGTCGGCTCGCGCTTGCGTGTCTGGCGCGATCCAAGTGACAGGTTACCGTAGGAGTAGACCAGGTCATCATTGTCCTTGATGTGTGTGCACCGGTCAAATTCCATGTCCGAGAAGATGAAGAGGGTCTTGATCATGTCCTGCGGCTTCAGCTTGTAGGCCACAGCACGCTGCACAGGCAGTGGAACAACATGTCAGCAGAAGCCACATACTGGCAATCAGCATCCCAGGCAGGCATGAGTGCAGAGGATTTCTGGCAAGAAGATGACAGAAGCTTCATGTTGCAAGGAGAGGCTTGCCTGGAGCAGGAGCTCAAACACAGCGTTGATGTCTGTGTTCAAGTTCCAGTTCATGTCTTCGACGTCCTTCACCTGAACAAGAGCCAAACTTTGCGTGAGTGTCAAGTGTTCTCGCAGAATCTGAAGCAGGACATGCAGCCACAAGTGACCTTGAAGCACATTATGTTATTCTTGGTGAGTGGGCCCACCTGCTCCATGAGGGTGTTCCCCTGGACCAGGTGCAGCTCAGGGGTGGATGAGAAGGTGCAGATGATCTTGTTGAAGGGCGGCTTGGTCACCTCAGCAGTCAGCAGTGACAGCGCAATGGCCACCTGCGCATGCATGCGGGCCAACCTGTCGCGGCATGTGTTGCACACCCAAGAAAATTTCTCGGATGGAAGCTCCTGATATAGAGCGTATTTGTGCTGACCCACACTCAGCCCAATCTATCAGCAAAGACAAGTATTGTTGATGCTATTATTATTATTCCACGCTGTTGCTGCCAAGAGGCTAGATGCGGTGCAAAGATACTTGTAAAGATGAATTGTTGTATGTTCTTCTTGGCAGCTCTACTTGGAAGGGTGTGGGTTGGCACTGAGTGTGCGTACCTCCATGGGCTGCCCGCACATGGAGCCAGAGACATCACAGATGGCCATGGCGCTGCTGAGCTCGCCTCCTTCGCGAAGCTTCTGCACGTATGCCTTCCACTGGGCCTCGGCCACTTCCATGCCTGTGTCGCTGACCCCTGATTTGGAATCGTGCATCCATGCACACCTGCAGATGTGCATGCTCTGATGATTTAGGCAAGCAAGCTGGCCAAAAAAAAACAGAGACTTTCACTGCCACTCTGTTCAAGTGCTATTTTTATGACACATGTTCAAGTGTTATTTCTCCTGCCAGTGGCAAGGTGTGTCTGCAGACAAGCTGCAGGTAAAGGCTGCCACAAATCCAACATTGTGGTGGACTCGCCATATCCAAGCAAGACCCAATCAACCGTGGGCACGGTGCTCAGTATTAATACTGCCCCCTGCCAGCCGGGCAACATTGGTCAATATTGCATCATAAAGCACGTGTGCGTTTTTGGGTGGCTCACCCGGCCTTCTGCATGGCCTCCTTCACGATCTCATGGGGCTTCAGGGCACCGGCATTGATCGTGACCTCTCCCTTCTTCACCCTCGCCAGGTACTCCACTAGGCGGTCCTTGTCGTGGTGCTCAAAGGTCTTCTTGCTGCGTTTGAAACACACCGAGGCCACGCGGCTGTAGTCGATCTCCGACCACTTGCGCTTGGACATCAGCACCTGTAAGCCCCACAACAACATGCATGTCATTATCCCTGATTTAGACATTACACGAATCTGCCGTGCTGCCGCAATTGCAAGCAAGCACAGACCCTCCAGACACACAGAAGCAAGGAAATGATAAATACTCACCTCGGTGACGGGGGCTGCCTTGCGCAGGACGGTGGTGTACTCCTTCTGGAAGCAGCGCCTGGCCAGCTCAGCATAGTCAGTATAGGGCATTCCGTCCGTGCGGTGCTCTGCCTCTGGGTACAGCAGCTCCGCTATGCTGGTCGCGATCAGCGTTTGCTTGTCGTGGTGCCCTGCCAAACAACGCAAAATATGCAAAGTTTCAGTGCATGAATTTTCAGCTTGAGAAGCTGCAGGCATACCTGCATTTATTGACATGTCTGCGTTGCAATATTACCAGATGTGCTGAAGTGCTCCGTGGCCCTTTAGGCTCTAGGCCACCCTCTCCCCTGAAGTGCGCTACCCCTCTCACCACTCCTCAAGAAACGACAGCCAGATGAAAATGGTGAGAAGTTGTGGGGCTTGAGGCTCACCCTTTGGCGTGGGCGCCCATTTGGCGGCGAGCGAGGAGATCTTCTTGCCGGCGTGCAGGTCTGCAAGGACACGTCGCAGCTGCTCAGCAAATAGCAGCGCCACGGCCGTGTGCAGCGCGCGATAGACCGGGTCCTCTCCCAGCATGCTCCGCGCCCTCTTCAGGGCAGCCAGCTGCGCCTCGTGCCTCCTGTTGTGGTCTGCCTGCCCTTTTGCCTTCAGCGCCGCTGCAAGCAAAAAAATTGCAAGACTTGCTCAGGTGGACTATTTAAATTGGACATCTGCATGTAAATCTGCATGGCATGAGAGGCAGGGATGCAGAGAGATTGACGTTCTATGAAACAGGATGTATGAAGTGCATGGTTGACAGGGAAGCTTGCAGGTGTCTGGTATGCAGTGGCAGATAGCAGCTGGCAGATAGTGTACCTGTGTTGGATTTTGCACGGGAGGTCTTTGCAGCCGCCCTTTTCTCCGCTCTCTTGATGCTCTTGAGCGAGGTGCGCCACTCCTTGAGCCGCTGCTTCTTGGCCGCCTTTCTGGACGCGTGGTTGGCCCCCTTGCTGCCCATGCGCTGCTCCTCAGCTTCAGCGCGCTCCGCCCACTCCTCCTCCCCCACACACAGCCGGACCAACAGCTCCAGCAGATCCTTCCAGTACCCGCACTGCAGGCACAAAATGACAGTCATCAGGGAGATGCAACAATGACAAATGGCTACCAATCCAGATGCTGAGCACTGTGCCCACGGTTGATTGGGTCACGCTTGGATCTGGCAAGTCCATCAAGGGGTAGGAATTTGGCCTTCACATGCAGCTTGTCCGCAGACGCACCTTTCTTCTGGCAGGAAAACACGTAATAATAACCCAGATATCAATTAATGGCAATGCCATCGCTCCATGCGGCTGAGTCACTTTGAGCTGTAAAGGCAGGAGAAGCAAAGACAAACATAGGAGAGGTATATGCACACCTTGACCATCTCGGGCAGGTTGGCGAGCAGGGTGCGTGGGTGGTGCTTGGCCAGCCACACGTAGGCGTCCAGAGAGCGCGCGGTCTCCCCCTTGCCATTACGGATGTCCCGCAGGTGCGCGATCAGCTGCAGCATCACCAGCGGGTCCTCCTGCCAGCCCTGCACAGCCGTGCCAGATCCATGCTCATTATTATGCATATTGTTATTATTATCAAACAAATCAACTGCCAAGAGGCAAGGTGCGCCTGCAGATAACGCTGCAGGTAGCGTCTATCAGAATACTAACACCCTGGAGGACCTGGAGGTTCATCGAGCATAAAAAGTGCCAGTCTTCAGGATTGAGCGTTTTGCTTGCTAATGCATGTTGCAGGACAAGCGCAAGCTTTCAGGCAAGCATGACCGGCAGCGCAACAGCAGGGAGGGACGATGCCGCACCCTGGTCAGGAGGTCATGGACGAGGGGGCAGGAGCTGTCCTCCACCACCTGATAGAAAGAAGTCCACCAGGCTACTGCCGCTGGAGCCGAAGGTGAGGGCGCCGTTCTCTGTGCGCGTCTGGAGGTTTGCAGCCTCAGGCACGAGCATGTCCACGAAGGTCGCGCTGGCCCCGTGCGCATTCTCAGCTGGCTGCCGCGAAGATGAGGATCCTATAAGAACACAACAAAAACTTGTAGCCTTCCAGAATGGCTGAATGGAAGATGTCAGGTGGATGCTGGTCTTCTGATGGTAAGGTGCACACCTCTTGATGGCAGGGCTGAGGCCAGCTCAGCCAGCAGCTCAGACACTTGCGCGGCTTCTTCCTTGGGAAGAATGGGCAGGCGGAAGCCCTCAGGCTTGAAGAAGCTGAAGTTGTTCCAGGGCCCGTTCAGCAGAGGCCCGTCAGAGGTCTTACGCCTCTTGAATTCGGACCCCATCTCACCTGCTCGTAGCAAGAATAACTTGTCAAGACGGGGACACTTCACAGCGATGGTGCCCGGCCATCGCGTTGTGTGCCGTCCGAGATGGCATGAACCCGCAGGGAACGAAAGCTCACGACGAATACTCATGCAGTAGAGCAGTCATGCGTGACTTTTGCGCACTTGAGGGTCCTGTTATGTCCGACACGGTGCCACAAAGGCGGGTTTTGGCACCCTCAATCAACGGACCTCTGCTCCACCTACCAAAAGGAGGCTCAACTCGGCAGGAAAACGTGCGTTGGGAGAGTATGACGCAGCAACTTACTATGAGAAACCATGACGTACTCGTGGAGATCATCCTTGGCCTTGGTCTTGGCCCTTAGAGAAGGCTGATGAGCTGAGGAAGGGACGGGAAGCGGAGAATGGGGCGGCGCGTTTTTTAGGAGCATGTCTTTATACGTCATCCTTTATACGTTCAAAAAGACAATTCAGCACAGAAACTTTAACGGCACAGCACATGAAGAGGCAGTGAAACAGCTGAGTGTGGTGAAGAGTGCAGATGCTGGGAGGATCACCTGCAACTGGTCCTGACGGACCGCTCTAGGCACTCGTATGAGATGTGCAGTCTGAATTCCCAACGTCTCACAGCATCAAATCATGTAGCACTTCCAGCAGACCAGGTGAGCACATTTATGTAGGAGACGAACCGATGGCGGGTTTTGTTTGCACATGAGGTAGTGAGGTTGTGTCAGCTTCTTGCAGCTCCTATACCATCTAGAATCTTCGATCGACGCTGGCGTGGCCCGACCAGCCAGGTCGAGCAAAGAGAGAGCCTGTGAGTGGTGTGCTGTCATTGCCATTCCGTTGTGTTGCTAGCATTAATATATCACTTGCGGTCCGACCTTTTGGGCTGGATCAAATATGCTATCATAGCCCATGATGGGTCGTCCCAACTAAGAACGAACAGAATATGAATCAGCAACACTGATTCTGATAAAGCCATTTGCCTATACTGCGATATATTTGTGTTTTTGTAATCAGATATTTTTTATGTGAGGAGAACTTTCGTTGCCATTGAGCACCCGGTGCAGAGGAGACTTGCTCTGTATTACACCAAGGAGACTTGCTCCATTCTCCAGTATGTCCCCTAATCTCTCATGGGAGGCCCATGCACAGAAAGTGTGTAGAGCTGCTGCTGATTGCCAACTTGCCTTCCTTCATCACCTCCAAAAAACAAATGCTGCTGACAGGCATCATCTTGACAGGGAAACTTCTAAACAATCACAAAAAGGCACACGGCTACACTGTAAAGCTAGAATTGAACCCGACCTGAAATTCTCACACACAAGTACACAGACAATCATGAAATGCTGAGCTGAAACAAAGTCAGCAGCAGCCAAGTAGCTTCCAGAAGTTCTACCATCTGACGTTGGCTGATGCACTGCGCTATGAACACACCACAATAAATGGCCTCTCTTCTATATTTTCACATGCTGACACATTGACTCTGTCTCTAGGTGTGTCTTGGCTCAGCATCATCCACGCCACTGCTCAGGTCGCCAAAAGCCTCACTTCAGCACATCAAGACTTCCTCTCCTTGTCGCGCTCAGCAGCAGCTGTTCACAGATCAGCATATCTGCGCACTTCCCACGCCAGGAGTCAGTGCCAGATTGGAGGCCAACCTACACAGGGGCCAACTTGTAACTGCCCAAGTAAACCCTGCCTCTGCCCACACCACATGATTTATGCTGAATCAGGGATGCAAACCCTTCAGATTTCCCGGCGAACAGCTCACCAGGAAGTAGTTGAGGGCATTTCCGTACATGAAGCAGTCCTCAGTCCAGCACCCTCCAGTCCTCGTAGCGACCGCAGTCGCGGGTGGCAGCCAGCATCACATTGAAGGGGGACATGCGGTCCTTCCAGGCATCCACATCGCCCCCGCTCTCCATGAACAGCTTCAGCAGGTGCCCACTGCACAGCAGCACATGGTAGACTTAGTCAGGCAACTCCAGACAGACAACCTGCTGCCGCCGGAAGTATAGCCTTGAAAGAATGTGCTGTCATTTGGAGCAGCAGGAAGCACTGCGGAGATGCCCACCTGAAGCCAGACACAAGCGCAGCTCCCGCCTCGTTCATGGTCACAGGCGTGGACTTCTTGCCGCCCACGCTGCTGTCCCTCAGGTTCCAGAACACAACCTGCGGCAGCGCGTAGCCGGCCGCCTCGAACCGCGCCTGCCAGACACACAAACACACGCATACGTCAGACAGATTTATGCGCCAAGTGGTTGAACAGGACAGCAGGCATTTGCCTTTTCTGCGATGAGAACGTCCAAGGGTGCCAATGGATATGTCATTATGTCAGAGCAGCACCTTGGCGTCCTCAAAGTTGGTCGCCTCGCGCTTGCGCCGCTCCAGTAGAGACAGCCTCTGAACGTAGGAGGAGATGTGGCCCACCCCGCCGTCACTGTCGCTGCTGCTGCTGCTATTGCTGTCACTGTCGCTGTCGCTCGGACTGTCATTGGCATAGCCGCCATAGCCGTAGTCATGACCAGGCCGTGTGGCTTCGTCGAACTCCATGTCTGAGAAGATGAAGAGGGTCTTGATCATGTCATCAGGCTTCAGCTTGGACGCCACAGCACGCTGCACAGGCAGTCGGGAGAGCATGTCAGCAGTAGGAGGAGATGAAAAGCATACATTGGCACAGGAATTAGATTGACTTGTGCCAAATATAAGTACACGCAATGCATGTCACACGTCAAGGAGTGATGGCTTGCAGGGCTTACCTCCAACAGGAGGGTGAAGACTGCATTGAGGTCTGTGTTCATGCCCCACTTCATCTTTACGATGTTGGTCACCTGACAGAACACCCGTTTGTCAGCATCCCTGTGGATTTCAGAGCTAAGGAAAGGGGAACAACAATAATGACTTTGAAGCTGCACATGGTTGTGCAAGGAGGGGATCACCTGCTCCACGAGGGTATTCCCCTTAACCAGGTGCAGCTCAGGGGTGGATGAGAAGGTGCAGATGATCTTGTTGAAGGGCGGCTTGGTCACCTCCGCAGTCAGCAGTGACAGCGCAATGGCCACCTGCGCATGCATCCGGCATAGCTGTCCTGATCTGCAAATCTTAGAGTGCAGGTGCCTGATACCATGTATGAGCAGCAGGGTTTGAAAGCGGTCCTAGAAGATCTCAGGCCAGCCTCTAAATAGGGCAAGGGCAGGCAGGGGCTTCGCCCCCGCCTGCTGCCCTGATAGTAGCTGCCAGCTTCAGTAAAATTTCGGGGCATCCCTGAGGTTCCCAAAATATTTCAACAGGGAGATGTAGGTTTTCCCTTAAATTTGGCCTCCAGGTGGTCCAAAATGCCTGAAATTCTGGAATGCCCCTAAGTCAAAGCCAAGTAGCTTCAAGGCGTTGTCCTGATGCCATTTTGCCAAATCTGTATATATTCTGGGGTTGCCCTGAAATGTCACCCCTAGCCCTGAAGTGGGTTGGCCAATCCCTTGGGGGGCCCTTGGGGGCTGTCAAACCCTGATGAGCAGCAAAGTGCCATAAGGGTGGTCTTAGCCTGTTGTTGAGATACTCTCCTGCATCATGCATGATGTAGGCAGCAACACACAATGCTGCACACGTGTAGAGAGGCTGGCAGAAAAAGAGGCAGACCTGCATGGGCTGTCCGTGCATGGAGCCGGAGACATCACAGATGGCCATGGCGCTGCTGAGCTCGCCTCCCTCGCGAAGCTTCTGCACATATGCCTTCCACTGGGCCTCGGCCACCTCCATGCCTGTGTCCATCTCATCATCGCCTGCCTTGTCGTCCTCAGACTCACTGCCTGGGTTGCCGTAGCCCATGTACTCACACCTGCATCAGACAAGTGCCTGAGTAGATTAGCAATGCTACCCTCTTCAAGAGGTAAAATCAGGGCTTGCATCTTCTTATATCAGCAAGGAGTACAAGGCATCCGAGATTGCACATAATGCATTGTATTCTTCATCAGGTAAGTGTGTGTCAGGCAGCAATATCGGTCTTTCGCTGGTGGCTCACCCAGCCTTCTGCATGGCCTCCTTTACGAGCTCATGGGGCTTGAGGGCACCGGCATTGATCTTGGCCTCCCCCTTTTTCACCTTGCTCAGGTACTCCACGAGGCGGTCCTTGTCGTGGTACTTAAAGGTCTTCTTGTTGCGCTTGAAGCACACTGAGGCCACGCGGCTGTAGTCGATCTCTGAAAACTTGCGCTTTGCCATCAGGTCCTGCATGCATCCATATCCCTCCTCATCACGATAAATTCTGTCCAGTTTGGGCAGTGCATGAGTGACATTGCATATGGTCTCCTTGCTGTAATATCATCAGATTAAGCAGTTACATCCAGACACAGAAGAGCACCTCGGTGACGGGGGCTGCCTTGCGCAGCACAGTGGTGTACTCCTTCTGGAAGCAGCGCCTGGCCAGCTCAGCATAGTCATCGTAGGGCATTCCCTCCGTGAGGTGCTCAGCCTCGGAGTACAGCAGCTCCGCAATGGTCGTCGCGATTAGCGTGTCTCTGTCGTGGTGCCCTGTCCATCAGGCATGCATGCACTTAATCCACACACCCACATGTTGATAGCCAGAGTTCAGCACAGAATAACTTGGAGTTGAATGTCAGCATGCCTGCAGCCTCTGAAACACATATAGGTATAATTGAGCTGCCCTTAGGGGAAGTTCAGTTACCCCTAATATATGCAGGCCTCACATGGCTGTGAATGCAATCACATGCAAGCATCTGCACTCTGGAGAAGAAGCATGCTCACCCTTTGGCGTGGGCGCCCACTTGGCTGCGAGCGAGGAGACCATCTTGCCAGCATGCAGGTCGGCGAGGTCCCGTCGCAGCTGCTCAGCAAACAGCAGCGCCACGGCTGAGTGCAGCGCGCGATAGACCGGGTCCTCATTGAACTTGCGCCGCGCCCTCTCGATGGCCGCCAGCTGCTCCGCATGCCTCCTCTCCTTGTCACCATACCCTCGTGTCTTCTCTTCCTCTGCAAAAAACAAACACGAGTGTTCTCAGAGCTCATGCCACAGGCACAGCACTACATGAATAGCATTCAAGGACAGGACATTTGCAGATGGACGTCATGTAAGGCCAGAAGGCTACCTGCTTTGGTTTCCGCACGGGCAGTCTTGGCAGCCTGCCTGCCGTCTGCGTCCTTGATGCTCCTGACAGATGTGCGCCATTCCTTGAGCCGCTCCTTCTTGGCCTTTTTCCTTGATGCATGATTGGCCCCCTTGACCCGCTTTGCTATTGCTTCAGCGCGCGCAGCCCACTCCTCCTCCCCCACGCACAGCCGGACCAGCAGCTCCAGCAGATCCTTCCAGTACCCGGACTGCAGGCAAATGAAAGACATTAGGCATCACCAATGGTTGCACAATTTGTATCCGTTTTAGGGAGTACAGCTGCTAGGACAGGCTCATCAACACATGCATGTGAGTCATCAAATTGACATGCATGGAAGTTGATCTTGAGATGGACATGCATGAAAGGTAATTATGAGACTGACATGCATGGAACAAATTCCTACCTTGACCATCTCGGGCAGGTTGGCGAGCAGGGTGCGTGGGTGGTGCATGGCCAGCCACACATAGGCGTCCAGAGAGCGCGCGGTTTCCCCCTTGCCATTACGGATGTCCCGCAGGTGCGCGATCAGCTGCAGCATCACCAGCGGGTCCTCCTGCCAGCCCTGCATACAGCCACAGGACACTCGTCAAGATCATGTCTGTAGTGCACATGACAGTGTGATTGTCTAGCCTTCATGCACTCGCTTCGGAATACTTCTGAGTCCACAGACATCATGTCTAAGAAATGCCTGTCCCAAGCTCAATGTCAGCATGCAAAAAGCCGCACCTTGGTCAGAAGATCATGGACCAGAGTACACTTGCTGTCCTCCACCACCTGGAAGAACAAGTCCACCAGGCTGCTGCCGCTGGAGCTGAAGGTGGGTGCATGGTTCTCTGTGCGCTTCTGGAGGTTTGCAGCCTCAGTTATGAGCATGTCCACGAAGGGCGCGGTAGCCTCCTGGCCTTCTTGTCGCTGAGGTGACGGCCCTGGTGCGCCAGAAGATGGACTGTCTCTACTTCTTGTCTTCACATTATGAACATGGCTGCAAACCTGAAATCTGCATGTCTCCTCTGTGGCTGGTGACTGTGCTCACCTATCGGTAGAGGCAGGGCTGAGGCAAGCTCCTCCAGAAGAGACGTTCGCACGGCTGCTTCCTTGGAAAGCTTGGGCAGATGGAAGCCTTCAGGCTTGGCGAACCCAAAGTTGTTCCAGGGCCCGCTCAGCAGAGGCTCGTCGCAGGTCTTCCGCCTCTTGAATTCGCACGCCATATCCCCTGCTCGCACCATGATAATTTCTTCAGACGGAGCCAGCTTGCCGAGCCTTTGCAGTGGGCGTCGCCAAACTCAAGCGCGGGGTGAAAAAGTTCCGTCACAAGTTCCAGCACAATGCAATCAATGTATGAGCTTGCGCATCTTGTGGTCCTGTGATCATTGACAATGCGCCACAAGAGCCCTCCTTGATCGACCTGTGGACATCCCAACCCGCCAATGTGTTTACGGCCTTGGCGGGATTAGAGGCGATGCTGATGAGTGGAAAGGCGACTCACTTGATGGATCCATGATTTGCTCCCACTGCTGAAGGTCGTTAGCGGCCATGGTTGTCGAGGTTGAGGTGATGATGAAGCGATGAGAAGCCGAGGATGGGGCAGCGCGTCTTCTGCAAACAACCAACCGCCTAGTCGCTCAGGCGCGCAAGATAGGTTATAAGGAGTCCAGAGGGCAGTTGTCAGCTCCTGAGGCAGGTAAGACAACAAGGATAGTTTTGGTGAACCAGTTCAGATGCTCTCATGATCACCTGCTGCTGTTCCCGGCGGACTGCCAAGGCCTCCAAGCGGTTGTCAAAGCTGGGAGTGCAATTTCAGAGCGGTATAGATCACGGAAACGTGGACCAAATCGAGAAAATTTGTTTCTTGGAAGCCGCAGATACAGGTTTTTACCCAGCACATGAGGCGGTGAGGTTAATCCTGTAGCTTCTCGCAGCTACCAGTTCTACTTCCTTCTCAACTGTCGTCTCCTCTTCCTCCTTCTTCTTCTTCTTCTTCTCAAAAAATACAAGTATCCATTATTCAATTGCTTGCTTGGCATATATATTGACCTTGAGCACATTGACGGCATGCCTCAACACTACACACCACAGCAAGGGCTGCAACAAGATTTATACATCTCATCTGCGCTCCTTCTCCCGCTTGGCAAACAGCCGCTCCAGAGACCGCCGGGCCTGCAACAGAGATCCCATGCCACAGATCAGTCTCCCAATGAAAATCTCAAACAAGTTGACACCAATGCAGGCGGGTGAATGTGCTCCATGTATGGGTTCTGCTGTAAGAGTGCTCTGCTCTCTGCACTCTCCATCTCATTTTACTTCTCACATTCGCAGCTGCATGGAAAGTTGACGGGTATTGTGGTGTAGCCAGCGCGCACCTCGCCAGGGGGGTAGTTCTGCAGGTCGTAGTAGTGGGGAGCGATGTCCACCAGCCACTCGCCCTTGATGTCTGTCACTGTGCGGATGTAGTTGCGTGAGGTCAGCACAAACTCCTGGTACAGCGCCCACTCGGGCTTGTGGTCCAGGCAGGTGGAGGGGTGCAGGTGCACCATCTGATTGTCCTTCACCGTCAGGTAGTGCCCCGTCCTCTCGAGGTGCGCCACCTGCCCCCATGCGACATACATTTCATGCCTCAAAACGATTTTGCGTGGACTTTCTGTCCTGTGCACATGCTGCCCCGCAGGTCTCTTGCAGCCCTCTGCCTCCCGCAACTCTGCCTCCCAGACACTACAGTCAGTTAAAACTAAAATGAGATTAACATGAGGCCTCTTGTGAGTGCCATGAAAACAAATGAAACACGGCAGGGAGTGGCGTGCCTGCATGAAGTAGCCGGCCGTGATGGCCTTGCGGATGTTGGGGTAGTAATCGCGTGACTTGAAGTCTGCGCTCACCAGCGGCGTGCCCAGCCTGGTTGCTATCCGCACCTGCGCAGACACATGCATGCTTCAGTCATCAAGCCACAGCCACCCTCTGATGCACATTGCCTTTCTAAACAACATGATTCCCACCATTCAGCGCTCCAACATGCATGTAGCAACGCACGTGTGTGCAAGAGGTTTGCCAGCCAGAGATGAGCCATATCGTGAAAGCTACGACAGTCAGAGCAGGCCACAATGTGATGCATGGATGACCTGAGAGGCCAATTTACATTTGCAGGATAAGGTGAAGCCATCTTGAGGCAGGGGCTGCGCACCAGCTGACCGCGCACACTGTCAGCCGCCTTCAGGGCGCGCGAGTTAAGGAAGTGGTCGTAGCACCAGTCGTGCGCCTCTCCATTCTGCTTGTATGCGTGGTATACGTTCAGCAGCGTCAGGTGATCCCCTGCGCAGCCACGGCCGCCATCATGCAATGCATGCACACTGCTTCAGCAAGCATTTCTGCCACTAGCGTTCAAGACGCTGTGTCCTTCACCAAGTTGCTATACAGTACAAATTGGCAAACAGCACGTCCCTTGTCAGCTGCATGTATAGGAACATAAAAGGGTGTTCTCTGAGGCCCGTAAGACCGAGATGGAACAACGCACCGTCGATGTGGGCAAAGCGCGCTTTGGCTTCGTCGGCCGCCTTGGCCGCCTCACGCGGCCGCAGGAACACATTGGGCACCGACAGCATGGCCGCGATGGACAGGATCTCGTTGGAGCAGCTGCACACACGCAACACAACGCCACGAGGGCACACGCCCGTCAGGACTTGCAAGTGAGTGACTCCAGACATTAGAAGGGGACCCTTCCTAAAGGGCACGACACATGCAACAGCATCGGCTGCCAGCTACGCAGATGGATGGTGTATCTGAGACAGCAAATATCTGACGGTGCTCCAGAGATCAAAGAGAAGATCCTCAGCAACCAATGGTCTTGATAAAAGCTGAACTCAAGACCCAACCCCACTAGACACCCTAGTGAAAAATTCCTAATACTTCAGCAGCCCGCCCAGGACAGCTCCAATGCCCTCATACAGAGGAGGAAGAGACGGGAGATGCCAGCCGCCAGCAGCCACCTGAACTCTGGGGAGGCGACCACCATCTTCGCCAGCTGGGGGTCCAGTGGGTACTCCGCCATGATCGTGCCGACCTGCGCCGGCGATGGGAGCGAGCACGACAGAGTTTTCAGCAGGGTCAATGCACATCTAGTCTCTGTATAGCTAGGGCAAGACATGCTTGTCCTAACAGCAGGGTATAAAACCACCCCCCGCACGTTATGATGGAACGACGAATTGTCAAAATGACATTGCGCAGCCAGTAGCAGGTATGCCCAGTTTCCACCATGGAAAATGGCACAACTTCTCAAATACCATGGCCAGCAAATGCTTGGGAGGGAGCATAGTGCATGTCTTATGACTTCATATATTACAGGTGAGAAGCGGCCCAACCCACAAATGGGGCTCACCTCTGTCAGATTGCCATTGTCGTCCAGGCCGCCCAGGTAGTTGAGGAGCTCCAACGCTCGCATCAGCGTCTCCGGGGCCGGGGGGTCCATGAAATCAAAGTGCACCTGACGAGCGCCACAGAGCCACAATCAAAATGCAGAACATCAACAATAATCGGTGGACAGAGAATCTGTCACTGATGATCCGGAAAGGCAGACACAGGTACCTAGGAAGAATGTGGCAGGAATGGTGCGCTCATATTCTATGGGTAGATTGTTTTTGTCCTCATGCCCGCAGGCTTCGGTACGAGGAATGTGTTATCATCATCGCGCAACCATCCCTCACATAGCCCAAGCATTGCATCAACATTGCATGGTTTGCATAAATTGCATTGCAATAATCTGCATGCATGCCTTCTGAGAGGTGCCTACCAGGTCATCGATGCCCAGCTTCTTGAGCTGCAGCACCACAGAACCCAGGTTGGAGCGCAGGATCTCCGGGTAGGTCTGCTCCTGCAGGTCGGACTTGAAGGAGGCCTCTGTGTACAGCCGGAAGCACTTGCCCGGCTGCGTTCGCCCGGCTCTGCCCGCACGCTGATGTGCGCTCGCCTGCACAACCACCAAGCTCCACAGTCAATCTCAACGCAACAGGAAATTGCAGAACAATAAAGAGACATGCTCCCATCATGCACATTCTATTGCTCCATGCACGCATTGCTCACAAAGTGTTGGCTCACAAGCCGGTGTGGTGGGCTGCACCGTACAAGTGCACGACAGGGGATGTCTTGACATGCATGCAGGAGGCAGGGGGAGCGGAAGGGGTGCGCACCCGGGAGATGGGCGAGACGAGCAGGGACTCGACGCGGATGCGCGGGTTGTACACCTTCTGCTTGGCAAAGCCGGGGTCGATTACATACACGATGCCGTCGATGGTCAGCGACGTCTCCGCAATATTGGTCGACACCACAATCTTGCGTCCCTGCGGGCCCCCCGGCCGCGCTGGCGGTGGCGCCGGATCAAAGATCATCTGCTGCTGCTTGGGCGGCAGCGTCGAGTACAGCGGGAACACCTTGATGGGCCCCACCTGCACGCATGCGCCGCTGCTTCATCAATAAGAGTAGCAATATACCTGCATCTGTGCATGTGTGAACAATATTCTTGACAAAATACTTGCATTGCACCACAGAGAAGCAAGAAGAGCTGTACGGCATTGGGACAAACATCATTACTAGCGCAGAGGCAAATCCAAGGGCTCAAGATGCAGCAATAAGAAAATACCTGGTCTCCCATCTGGGTGATCTCCCTGGCAATCTTCTTGCAGGCATCCTCGATCTCCTCCTCACCCGTCAGGAACACCAGGATGTCGCCAGGCGGCTCGCACACATGTATTTGCACCACAGTCCTGATAGCCGCTTCAAGATAGTCCCTCTCTGGTTCCTGCGCCAGGCAATGTTGGTCAGCCACGAGCATTGCTGAACTGTGCAACCAATTAATACATGCATATTTTACCCACATGTGTAAGGACATGATGAAACACCTGTGTGTAGAAGATCTCCACAGGGTGCAGCCGCCCGGGGACCTTCATCAGAGGTGCATCCAGGAAGTAGCCCTGGAACTTCTCTGCTTCCAGCGTTGCACTCATGACCACAAGCTTCAGATCCTTGCGCTGCTTCAGCACCTGTCACACAATGCCAGGTAATCAGCACAGCTCCTACAATATGCGTGCAAAAGAGGCTCCAACAGAAAGAATCACACTGTGAGACTCGTATATAGAAGGCCAGGCAAGGGACCGCAGAATACTTGCCTCCTTGATCAGCCCAAAGAGCACATCTGTGGCAAGCGTCCGCTCGTGGGCCTCATCAAGAATGACGACACTGTAGCGCTCCAGCAAGGGATCGCTCATGGCCTCTCGCAGCAGCATACCATCTGTCATGAACCTGAATCACAGCAGATTTTGTCAACACCCGAGTATTGCCACTACAACAGTACTGTCACCGACTGAAGCTGCTTGAAGGGAGGCAAGGATGCAGGAGCGCACTTGATCTTCGTCCTTGGCCCTGAGCACTCCTCAAAACGGATGGAGTACCCAACCTCCTCACCCAGATTCACATCCACTTCATCAGCCACACGCCGCGCCACAGACATGGCCGCCACCCTGCACTCATGCAAGGTGCAGACTTACAGCCCGGAAAGCAGAGAGAGCTTGAAGGAGCCAAATATGGATACTGGAGAACCAAAGATATGAGGGCTACGAAGGAGGCTGGGTGCAAACCTGCGCGGCTGTGTGCAGGCTATCAGCTTGCCAGTCTGTTGTGTGTAGCCAGCCTCCATGATAAACTGTGCAATCTGCGTGGTCTTTCCAGAGCCCGTCTCTCCAACCAGAATGGTTGTCTGGTTCTTGTGGATCATGTCCACGAAGTCTTCCCGTGCTTGCCATACAGGCAACCCTGTGAGCTCACACCAGTATGTTACTATGCCATGACAACGCACATGCTCGCAAGCCCTTCAGTTCACTTTCTCTATTCTTAAAAGGGTTCTGACACAATTTCTTTAATTGATCAAGAACTAATGGATCCATGAGAGAGATAGACAAAGGGAGGACTTGCCCTTCCGTTTCTGCAAAATGTTCAAGTATTGTTGACTGTAGGGACGCCCCGTGAAAGGATTGATCAGGCCGTTTCCATTCTGCTGAGCGCCATTTTCCCCCGTGAAGACATCCAGCTTCCTCTTCCGATCACCCATATCTCTGCCACTTTTAAGATCAAAGTCGCTGCAGCATCACATCACATCAGCACAGCAGCATAGTTCCGTCACGCATCTCAGTATCCGGGTTTAATAAAATCCAAGAATATACACGACGGCACAGCGCGAGGCAGTATTGTTCTGACCGCTGGCCTGTGGCGACGGGAAGTGAAAAAGGGTTAGGGTTATAAGGCAAGGGTGCAGGCATGAAGGGCAGAGCCTGCAATGACGTTGACTTCAATTTGAGTGGCTTGAATTCTCATAAAGTATAGCACAATGCAGGCTCTCGCAGGAACCCTAGTCACTGGTGCGCCGAGCTGCAGGCTGTCTGCAGCCAGCCCCAGCTCCCGCTCTGTGCCGCAGATGGCGTCTCTCAGCTTCGAGGGACTTCGCAGAACTAGCCCAAAAGCGCAGTTCTTGGTGTCTCCAATGTCTGCAAGGAGGATGTCTAGCAGAAGCCGGTCATCGGTTGTCGTCGAAGCAAAGGCCGGGGCGCGCAAAGTGGCTCTGCTGGGTGCTGCCGGCGGGATCGGCCAGCCACTTGCGCTGTTGCTGAAGATGCAGCCGCTTATTGCAGAGCTCTCTTTGTACGATATTGCAAACACTGTGGGAGTTGCCGCTGACTTGAGCCACTGCAACACAACAGTCAAGGTGTGATCACCATCGATCTGGAATACTTCATACAAAGATACATTTCGTGATTATCTAAATCGGCTGAAACTCAACTCTCGTCTTGTCAATCTACATGTGTACACCCAAATTGTGTGCCCAAGTCCTGCCGCTGTAACTCTTACCCAACAGCAGGGGCAGCACGAGAGATATTATTGTGCCAGCATGTGGTAGTGAAAATGGAGTCAACTTTGTGTGGCCTGTGTGTCAGGTGACTGGACACACTGGACAGGAGAGCCTGGCTGCAGCTCTAGAGGGTGCTGACCTGGTGGTCATCCCTGCTGGAGTGCCCCGCAAGCCGGGCATGACCCGTGACGACCTGTTCAACATCAACGCCGGCATCGTGAAGACCCTGGCTGAGGCCATCGCCAAGCACTCCCCAACGGTACCCACTGGACACCCCATCCCCCGCATCAGTGGCTGCCCTTCCATGCATTCGGGGCTTTAAGAACGCCAATTTCAGTATCATGTTCCAAAGAAAGATGGCATTATCAGCGTTATGGCGCTCAGCAAATTTAAAGGCAACCCCTTGAAGGTTATGTAAACATGCGCATTCTCAAGGAAAACAATTATAAGGCGCCCCTTTTTTTAGGTAAAACAAGCACAGCAAACAGAAAATCATGCAAATCTGGGCAGGCTTTCAGTGTTGCATTGTTGCAGGCGGTGATTGCCATCATCTCCAACCCGGTCAACTCCACCGTGCCCATCACTGCGGAGGTGCTGAAGAAGGCCGGCGTGTACGACCCGCGCAAGGTACCGTAGCAATGGCTGGCTGTGCTGAGCTGCAACAGATCCCTTCATTTGGGAGGTGCTGCAAAGCAGGATTTTTCCGGATCTCTTGTAACTATGTATGGTATCATAGGCCGGATTGTGGATGTTGCCTTTTTTTTGGGTAAATATGCATTTGGACGAGTGGTGTATGAAGCTATAATGGTGCATCATGGCAGGTGCTGGGCGTGACAACGCTGGACGTGGTGCGCGCCAACACCTTTGTGGCCGAGGCCAAGGGCCTGGCCGTGCAGGACGTGGATGTGCCAGTTGTGGGCGGCCACGCCGGCATCACCATCCTCCCCCTGCTCTCCCAGGTGCCCTCCCGCGCTCTCTCTGCGATATCACCTGTGTACGGTATTGGAGGCCTCCAAGAGGGAGAAACTGGTGCAACCCTATTACAATTGCAGGATTACTGCCGCTGCTGCACCTGTCTTGCCGCTGCTGTAGCTGTCCGGAAGCTACAAATTTGCGGAGCAAGCCCTGTCAAAGTGCTGCCTCTGCTGTAGCTGTCCCGGAGATGGAAATGGACTGCTTCTGCAGCATTACTCAAGAGTTGGGCTGGTGCTTGGTGCTGTGCCTTGGGTGTCTAGAAAAGTGGATCCAGCTCGTGGTTGAAGGTGGAATGTGCCTATGCAGACAAACCCGGCGGTGTCCTTCACAGAGGACGAGGCGGCAAAGCTGACGGACCGCATCCAGAACGCCGGCACTGAGGTCGTTGAGGCCAAGGCTGGCGCTGGCTCTGCCACCCTCTCCATGGTGCTTCCTTACATCTGCCAATATAACATATAATAAAATCTGACATGGAGTTCTACTGTGAGTTGATATGCTCGGTGGAGTCACAGTGCAGTGTGACACATACTCAAGCAGTTCCTCAGCCCATGCGCAGGATCCGCATGCAAGAAATGAAGAAGCATTGTGCCAGGCTTGCTTGAGCTTTTTGGGGCGTTGTGAGTCCTCGTTTGGGATGAACATCTGTGGGGCTGTATGGGAGCCTTCCAGTTCAGGGTGACGTGTACAAAATTTTGTGTGCATTCCACAGGCGTACGCAGCGGCGCGCTTCTCAGAGTCTGTGCTGCGCGGCCTGGAGGGCGAGGCGGACGTGTACGAGGCGGCGTTTGTTGAGTCCAAGGTGACGGAGCTGCCGTTCTTTGCGAGCAAGGTGCGCCTGGGGCCCAACGGAGTCGAGGAGGTGCTGCCCCTGGGCAAGCTCACCCCCTTTGAGGAGAAGGGCGTTGCAGACCTCATCCCTGTGCTGAAGAAGAACATTGACACTGGAGTGGAGTTTGCCAACAAGTGAGGGGGGTTGCCTGAGGGTAGCTCTAGGCAGGATAGCTGACCCACGCTAGGTGATGTGTCCTGCATGTACAGCGGCTGCGTGCTTGCATGGACAGGCCCTACGTGGCAACTGAATGTCTGACAATCGACTGGCCAGCTGATGGGTTGTTAATTTTGTTACATATAAGTGACTGTGCTGTCAACAATGCCTGTGATTGATCCCACAGATGTGGCGCAAGCATTGTAAAGTGTCAGATGATATAAGTCTGTTCAACTTGTGCTTTTGCTTTTCAAGAACTCATGCCAACTGCCAAGATGGGTGATCTCCTCTATGCCAGGCCCACCCTCAGCTACATACCCTTCGCAGATGAAACCTATAGTGCTGCTGCCATCTTCCAATTCCACGGTTCCCAGGCCTAAGGGTGCTGGTATCTGCTGCAAGAAAGCTCCAACATTCTCTGTAGGAAGGCTAAATACCTCTAGATACACACTGGCGCCATCATCCTGTGATGTCTTCACCATGCCTGTGCACAGCCCATCACCTTCTCAAAACGCAGGAAAAGACTCGATCCCTGGCAACGATGCCGGTCAAAGATGAACACGGACCCACATCTGCAAAGTGCATCATTTGTCCAACTGTACCTGGCTTGCACTTCCCAGAAGTTGGGTCCGTGATGGCAAAAAATCTGTAGTTTGGGCTCGATCGGCAGGCTCTAAGGAAGGAGGCTCCCAAGTTTATGAGGCTGCCATTCAAAGGTTGACCTCGCAGATGCAAACCACAGACGGCTAATGAGATTGACCCAGCCATGCTGCAGCACAGGAAAGACGCTCGCTTTGCTTTAATCGTGTTCAAGGGCTGCTATTGCTCACAACGACGAGAAGAATGACATTAGTCATGTTCAATTTTGTTTGCTGAACAAGGTATCGATTGTGCTTGTAGCAAGGTCAGTTCGGAAGCGCAACCATGTTGATTCACCCACAACGATCACGAAACGATCACTCGCTTCCACTTGCGGGGAAGCTGCAGCTGGGTGTCCGAGGGATTCCAGATGTTGATTCGATCGCCAGATCTTACGCACTTCCATTCCTCAGCAGTGGATTAGAAAATCGTCCGTAGAGCGGATGTTGCATTCATCAGAGTGCTGCCAGTGCACTTTGTCTGCACTTTGACATTGACCCTGCTTACAAGCACTTATTATTCTCAGTGAGGCTGGCTTTCACATTCTGGAGCCTAATTGGGATCTGGCATATTCACAGCAAGTTTGATTGGAATGGAGGTAGAGCTGCATCCGAGCACCACCCATGAGATACGGGACAGCCTGGTGGGGAAGGTTTCCCATGTGAGGTTAAAGGACGAAAATAACAACCGTGGGGGTCACGGTGCTACATTTAGCACGGATTCCAAGAAGACCGGTTTATCAAGAATTGTCCCATCCTCCTGCTTTGGAGGACAAAGCGAGCATGGACAGGACACCAGCGCCTCTATAGTGCTGACGGTGGACTCGGTGGAGGTGGGCTTTTCACCTTGCTGAAGTGTGCAAGAAAGTGTACATTAATGCAAATATATAATTTTAACATCAGATCAACGCAGCTAATTTGAAGAGGGGGTGCTATTGCTTCTCTAGGGTACAGCACTGCTACTTGCCACAGTGCTTGTTGGTTTTCTGGTTTCTTAAAAGATCAAATTTGGTTGTCATTAATAACCTGTGTCTGCAGGTTTATGCAGAGAGTACCCATGATCCCCCCAGTTCCAGCGACCTGGGAGAAGAACCAGCGTTGCACGAACCTCCATCTGCTGTCGAGGGTCATTCCTATAGCTACAGCATCTCGATGTCGCAGGTACAACTTGTGCCTTGGAGGCCTAAGAGCTAATCTCTTGAGCTAGTCACTAGATCGAGCACTGCTTCATTCTGGTACGGGTCACGTAGCTTCTGTGGTGCATACACAGGTCTTAAGGGTGGTGCAGCAGGGCGCGGATGTCATAATCTATTTCCAGCCAGATACTGCAAGGCGGGAACATGGCACCTTTAGAAAGGCAGCTCGCTTTGCCTGCGAGTTTTCATCAGCTGAGGTGTGCTTTCCTACAATGCTGACCACCTGGTTGTTCAAGCGTCACCTAGAATGTCCCTTTTTAACATGTCCACATCCTGGATTGGCACAGGACGCTGCAGACTTTCTGCAGTCTCTGGAGAAGGTGTTGGAGCAGTTTGCACGAGCCATGCTCCACATCAGCCGCGGTTATGCCCTGCCGGAGGACGACTTTCAGATCTTGTCAGTCAGCCATGGTCCCGCGTCTACCGCGAGGGACCCTTGGAAAACACAGACTGGCCCGGCGGCAGAGGCTGTGGTTTCAAGGGCGCCAAGGTGGAACAGTGAAGTCCCGGCGCCAGCCTCCTGGTTTCCTGAACAGGTGCGAACACCTGCAAACATCATTGCACACTCCCAATTTGGCACCTACTCTGATCTAGTGTTGAATTGCTCGTAGTGAATTTCACAAATGGGACAAGATTTACTGCTTGTGGAGCAGGGGCTCAGCGACACAACAGTATGGGTCTACATCAGCACTCCACTGGGACCAGGACTTGCACAGATCACCCGGCAGGCTGCTGCTCGCAGCATGAAGGTTTGTTGCTTCCTCAACCTGCACAGAACAAAGTCCTTCATTGATGCACTTGTGAAATGGCGTTATAGCCTTGCACAAGCTGGAGCTGGGGAGTTATCCTGTGATCCCTCCTTTTGGCCATGTGCAGGAGGAAGGAGGGAAGCTGTGTGTCAGTGTGGCGTTGTGTCAGCACTACCTTCCCAGCACGCGCAGCCACACCGTGCACAGGAGCTGCTCCAACGCTGAGCTGGCAGATGGCGCCAGGAGCCCTGCTGACAGCGTGTCCAGTGCTGCAGGTCATTCAGAAGAGTCACAATGCTGCTCCATCTTGAGTGGCATGCATGGCACCCACTACTGCACGCCTCATGTGTTGCATTGACGAATTCAATGCTTAGCAATATGAGTCCTCGCTTCACAGACGGGTCTGACCCAATTTGGGTTTGAAGAGGGAAATGAAGTAGTTGTATTGGCTTCTACAGGCAGTGGCCCTTCAGGGCTGGGCAGGAAAAGCGAGCTGGCAAAGACCGTGCACCTGCACTGCCAGGTGGCGACATCAGACAGCGCGCCAGCAGCAGACAGCGCAGGCAAGGATTCCGGACAGGGCAGCTCTACGGAGGGAGAGCTTCTAGGCAGCGCAAGTCCTACGGCCTCATCTCAGGAGGCCCTCCCAGAAAGGAAAGGAAGTGGCGCTGCGGAAGGGATGTATGCAGGGGGAAGCAGTGTCCGGCAGATTCTGCTCCAAAAGTGGGTGATTCTCCAAGGGGTTGTGGCAGCAGTGCTGCTGTTGGCAGGCTGCTGCTTGGCTCTGAGCAGGTCTCTGAGCGAGGCTGTGGCAGGCTTGGAATTGCTACTTATCCTCAGCCTGGTAGCTGCAGCGGTTGCTCACAGAAAAGGGTGGCTGCAAGAGAGCCTGCCTCCAGCCTTCAGGACAGCAGGTATTTGCCCCTTATAGGTTTTTCCTCGCAACTTTGCTCGAGCTGATCGGGCCCCCACCCTCACTTGCACATGCATCAGTTGCCTCTGGCTAAATTCCTGAATTGGGGCCTGCAGCGGATGTTGTCATGCTGAATGGAGAGGGAGCAAAGAAGCACATGCTGCTCATCAAGCTGCTGAAGGCAGAGGTTGTGGACCGTCAGCGGGCAGGTGTGCACAATTTTGCCGTGTTGTTCCACTGTAATAAGCACCTCTTACTTTTTTACTAGACTCTGACCACCTCAGTCTCCTGTGGGCATTGCACCTGGCTTGGACTTGCCCTGGACTGCGCGAGACAGGATACATTGCAGACGTGAGGCCACCAAAACCATGTGATGGAGGCTCCCAGGGCTGTTGTCAGCAAACTGCCTGGCTGTGCTTGCAGGCAGAGCCCAGAGCCTGAGCATTCTCCAGCGGAGGACCAGCATGGCCCTGCCTGACAGCAGTGTGAACATCGAGTCTGACACAGGCTCCCTTGACAGCCCCACGGGCTTTGGGAAGGATGTGGTCAACCGCTTCATGATTGGGTATGGGAATGACAAGGCAGCCGCCCGCCGCGCCATGCAGCGTACTTATGTGAGCATCACCTTTCCCATTTGTTATCTGGCCTGCTGGTCAGTATATTTATGCAAGAAGATCAATCCTGCACAAGGATAAATGTGCAGGACAATTATCGCAGTTATTTTAGAGGGATCAATTCAAGAAAATAATGTGTTTGAGACTCGTGTCATCAATTGGCTGTGCTGCAGGACTGGCGGAAAGCCACAGGCACCTTCAACATCCTGGACCAGGCACAGCCCCACTTTGAGACATTCAAGGTCTATTTCTCTCTCTACATTACAGCTACCTGCAAAATGCAGGATTGAATTTTATGCCAGTGGCCTCTCTGCAGCTCTCAGAGATGAGATTGTTTCACACAGGGATTCTTTGATCATGGAGTGGTGGGCATGACAAGGAACGGACGCTGTGTATGGGTCATCAAGGTGAGACAAACAGTATCTTCGACCTGTCTGTGAGTCAAGAACATTTGTATAATCGTGAAATGCCATGTGATCCAATCGTTCAGCTATGGTGTCGAGGCGTGTTGTGGCATTGTGCAGGCGGGCATGATGCGGGAAGGCTGGCAGAAGTTCAAGGTGACTGGGCTGAATGACAGGGATGTTGCCCGACACATCGCCTTCTGCCATGACTTCCTCTACAAGGTACTGGACACAGAGCCCATGCCCGAGGGAGGCCGCACCATCTGGATCAACGACCTCAAAGGTCTGCCGTTCCCAACTGTAATCTGTGCTTTAGACCTTACTCACATGCATTGTAGTGTTGAATGGAATAGGACATGGCCTGTATACACGAGAATATGAGGGCACCGTGAGTGGCCATGCGAATGTGTTTGATCTTTGATGGGCTGCTGGCTGCAGGTGTGGGCATCCGGGACATCGGCAGCAAGGCCATGGACTTCGGCCTGCAGATGATGGGCCTGCTGGAGAAGCACTACCCGGTCAGTTCCCACTCTGCTTTCCCCCTTCTCTTCTGATCTGCACAGGGAAGAGAACCCCACACAGCAAGATCTCACAGCAGCTTTTGTTTTGGGAACAGGAGCGCATGGGCAAGGCTCTGGTGGTGAATGCGCCGTCCTTCTTCAATGTCCTCTGGCGCATCGTCCATCCCCTCATCCCCGCCTCCACCAAGAAGCGCCTCGTGGTGCTGCGATCCAAGGAGGTGCGTCTTACACAGCTCCCTTGCAGCTATAAGGGGGGCAAACTTTGTGGTTGGTTGTGGGTGTGGTTGGTGAGAGGCATCGCCTTCCAGCACCCAGGAAAAATCTCCTGCAGGCGTACTAGCCCAACAACACCTTGGACTCAGGCCCTTATTGCTGCGTCACCACTTGCCTGGCAGGCTTGCTGCCCCATGCAATTGATCATGCAACAGAGCCGCCACAAAGACAGCATTTCTAAACATTCACCTAGGGTGCGTCCTGCTGGAAGGTGTGTGAATTGTCTTGGGAATTGTCTTGGGCTGCAGGATGTGCACAAGGCGCTGCTGGAGTACATGGACGACAAGGACATCCCCAGTGAGTATGGCGGCAAGAGCGAGAAACAGTTGTATGAGACTGAGCCTGAGAGAGCGCTCAAGAGACGTGTGGAGGAAGTGAAAGGGAGCAACATGAGCCCGATGAGGAGCTGGCGCCTGAGTTCAGACGATTTAGACCAGTGACTGTACAGCAAAGGATCTAGTCACCAGGCATCAAATGCACAGAAGCACTTGGATAGTCAAATCAGGGGACTCTAAACTAACTAGAGTCCCCTGGTCAAACGCAGAATAGGGGATTAGAGGAAGAGAGGGATTTGTATGGGCCTTCACGGACATTCCTGCTCTGCCTGTGAAGATTGACGTTGACTGTGCAGTCATGCACCCATGTGCAAATGTATCCTCCTGTTAACCCTTACTTGGTCATACATTGTGCCATCGTAAATACTGTGCAGTGCTTGCCAGGATGACAGCTTAATTCCTCTGTTTTGCATGTGATAACTCCTTACCCACGGAGGCAACTGTCCAAGTCGCAGTGAACATAGAACAGCCAAGTATTCACATATTGCAAATAGACAGATACACTATCAAATTCTGCGCCCTGTGGCTCTCTGCAGTTGACCGCGCCCTGCTAATCACCTCCGTTATCGCTTTGCTTTACCACAGCCATATTTTGCTCAAGTACCAATGCACCATAGATGTTTATTGCGGGGAACATGTACTATTCTGACGACATAAGTGAGGTCCAACTCTTGGAGACTCCAGAAAAACTGTGTACATTGCTACTGCTCTAGGCTTGACGTATGTGCTGCCAGGGTCAAACTCCTTGAAGCCCTTCATGCGCATTTCGTGTACTTCTGCCAAACACACAATCTTATGCCTGGCTTGCTTTCAAACAAGTATGCAATCCCAACGGGGTAGGCTCATCGAGGGAAGCAGCTCTTCCATCGTCTCTGTGTCCCATCAGTCGCGCTTGGCATGGGTGAATGAGGTCCTGCACTCTAGAGATCTCCAGCAAATCCCATGCATGCTAAAATGCCTGCGCCAAGGCACACGGCCATGAAAAAGACATTCAAGCTGTACTATACACAACTCGCGTGCGCCTGCTGAGAACATCAAATGACTGTAGCCTGCTACGTATAGACAGACTCTCACCAGTAAAATTATTGAGCGCTCGGGTCTTCAAGTGTGCCCACAGAGCATCGACCTCCTGCTTGTCTGCAGTTGCTCTGTGCGCGAGGAGGAAATAGTCCATCACCTCAAGGGGCAGCTCTGAGCGCTTCTGCAGGTCTTCCAAGGACAATTCATCGATTTCTTCAAAGGCTGCGAGCACCACACACATGTCAGGCGCTTCAGGAAAGGTAAGCACCAACAAATGCTGCAACTTAATTGACAAGGAAAATCAGGAAGCCGAGTTCAGAGCACTTTGATCCGAACTCACTCAGCTCCGACCCCAACTGTCCAACATTATCCTTCATTCTGGAAAATTGTTTTTGTATGTAACGGACGTCAACGCAAAGCTGAATCCTGCGATCCTCGTAATCTCCATAGATACACCAGAATCCCTCCTCTGAGGTGCTCCTAGCTATAGAGATCGGACTGCCGTCGGCATTGTTTCCTGTGCAGATTCATCTGTAGGTTGGTTGCAAAAAACGGACGTGCCCACGTTCAAGCTCTGCAACAATGATTTTTAGGAAGTTGCCATGCATTTTTGAGAGGGTCCAATGCGAGGTTTGTTCTGATGGGAGGTTGACTACCTCGCAAGGCTCATGAACATGCTGGTGACAGACAGAATTCATTAGGCCTCACTGTGTTCCTTACACGGACTACTTCATGTGGGGAGGAACAGCACGCACTAGTGGACATCAAATGTGCAAGAGCTAATTATAATTTTTGAAAGGTCGTCTTGTTTATATATTGAGGGAGAGAAGAAAGCAGACTTGATACAAAGCAGATTGATCGAGTCGAGTGCGAGCCTTGAAGAGCGGGCCTTGGATTATTAAATTAATACGGCAGCCTGGGGGCAAAACATGCTGAGATCTAATAATAGAAACCATGCATCCGCTCATGTGGTGGACGACCCAAGAAGAAAGCGAGCTTCAGCATTATTGTACACTCATCTTCTGCCCACGGTCGTCATACTATTGTTACATTCTATACGCGTTCCATGCATTCCCACAATTTTTCTCCGCAAGAATTATTATTGAAACCTCAGGTGAAGACTATATATAGTCCTTAGACTTACAAGCCAGATAAGCCAACTTGGAAAAACTCCTGATACGCAGTTAGCTGAGCGGCCAGAGATGTGTTGGAGAGGCTGAAGCTCCTGAGAAGACTGTTGCAGCTTCTTGTACGTGCTGGTAGACAACAGGCGCGGTGGCGCTGGCACAAAATCCCCGGCTATCCTTGAAGCGCGTCATGTAGTCCCAGAAAAGCACCAGCTCAGCCACGCCCACCATCACAATGATCAGAATTGTTGGTTTGGCCTCGCTGATCAGCAGTTCCCCAACCTAGTCCAGCTGCGGAGAGGGTTGAACAGTAGCTGCAGGGCTGATCATTGTGATGGTGGGTGTCACACGGTGGCTGAGCTGGTGCTTTTCTGGGACTACCTGACGCGCCTCAAGGATAGCCAGGACTTTTGGGCCAGCGCCACAGCGCCTGTTGTCTACCAGCACGTACAAGAAGCTGCAACAGTTCTTCTCAGGAGCTTCAGCCCCTCCAACTTGGTGTTGAACACATCTCTGGCCGCTCAGCAAGCTGCGTATCAGGAGTTCACAAAGAGGTTGCCACCCGCATTGTTTGTGCCCTTCTATATGTGGCTTTACTGCTGCAGCATAACCAGACATGGAGGGCTGCCACTGATGCCTGCTAGAAAGCGGTGTCAGCTGACAATGCAACAAAAACAATGCATGGAGGCTGCCACTGATGCCAGCCGCACGATTGTTGCATGCCTAAAGAAGGCTGTTGCATCTGCTGTTCCCTGGCTCTCTTTTGATGGGGCCAATTGGAAGCTTGCAAGCGCGGGCCCGCCGCTGCTGCCGTCATGATGCTACTTTTGCCGCAGCGTCCCAGCCCAGGCGCTAATTGCCTGATCAGCGTGTCACTAGAGCTCCTTAGCCCGACTTGGAGCCATGTTTTTTCGGTGCCGCAGACTTGGCAAGTCTGCTGATCACAGAAGAATCAACTGTGCCGGCATTGCTCTGTGTGCTCTTCTGCAGTCCAAAACCAGGATCTAGGTTTGGATCCTGGGATGCAATGTCGAAGGCTGCTCCTCTAACAAGCTGCACAAGAAAGATTCACAGTCCAACCATCATGATGGTCTGCAGTGCGACACCTCTCAACGTGAAAAGCCACAAATGGCTTGACTGGCTGAGTGATCTGCTCACCTGCTGGGCTGGTGACACTGCATTGCCTGGCTTGGCATAGTGGCCATAGTGGCTTTTTGAGCTGGTGGGGCTGGACCACGGGCGCTGGTGATTAGTTGGTAGGGGCTGCGCCCGGCGCCAACTGTTGTAATGGTGCACTGTAAAAATCGGCAGGTCCATGATTTTGTACCGGCCGATAAGGCTGCAGCCTGGGCATGTTTCGAGATGATAACTTTAGCTCTCACCAAGCAAAATCATCCTGAAACTCTCACACTCTCCGGTGTGCGTGTGCGGCTGCGCTTCATAAGTAAACTGCAATTTTGGGTATCCACGATCGCAGGACCATCGTGGATGGCAGACGTCCAGACAGGATGGTGATCGTGCCTTTAACAAGTTACTTGCACCCTCTATGTGGAAGTGCAACAATGGTCTGCGATCGCAGCTACGAGGACTGGACCACAGCAGCCTGAGACAACCAGGGTGAGTTTCTCTTGGACGATGCTACGAACGAATTGATGTTCTCAGGGTATTTACCCTGTTGATCTGGGGTCTTCTGGTATCTAAGCGTTGGATCCAGCAGCTGGATTCCAGCTCCAGTTTCCGTCGCGGATGCGAAGAAAAGTCTCCCTGATTACAGATCGAGCTTAAAAGATAAAGTGTGGAAAGTAGGTGCAATTGATTTAAAGAGAAGAGGGGCAATCTATCACGCATAGGGGGTCCATGAACGTTGACAAGGTAGAGTGAGTAATTGATCTCATCATGGATCTCTTGGAGATTTGTGTCGATGTTATCTGCTTAAGCTGCAAGTTTTCTTCACATCGTCTTTCGATCTATAGAGTGTGGACCTTTGCAGGGGGACACGGCTGGACCTACTCCTTGCGATGTTGCAGCCCTAAAACAATGTTTGGAGGTGAATAAGGGAGATCAGACGAAGTGTAATCATCTTGTAGAAGCATTCAGGACTTCGTGCAGCAGGCCTAAAATTGGCCATAAGTAGTTTAGTAACAAGCTGAGCACCGTCAGCCTTATTGCGTCTCTGACAACCGAAGATACAGCGAAGTAGCTCGAGCCCTTCACAATATGGCACTGACAGCTTCCATACTGGAAGCTGGCGAGTTTCTAAAGGCAGCCGTGAGCCCAGTCCTGCATGCAGAGAACCAACCCGAGTTGCGCAGCTCTAGCAGAGAAGCAAAGTCACTCATCTTGAATGCTGCCGACAGCCTCCTTTTGGAAGTCACCAAGGTATGCACATGTACTTGACCCCCCACGAGAGTTCAAGCACGCTGTGGTGTGATTGCAGCTCTTGCCTATCGGGTGTTCTGTCACAGATGCAAGGTGCAGGTCTTCTATGATGGACTGGGCTGGTGTGCACAGATGGCGGTGTTGTTCAGCGGCCAAGGCCAGCCCAGTGACACAGACGCAGCAGCCATCTTGCGCACCTTTCAACAGCGATTCGCAGCCGTCTGCGCAGTGCTGCACAGTGTTGTTGGAGGAGCAGGCCCGACCATGCAATCAGCAGTCAACGGTGCCGTCAATGGCCTGCTCTGCAGCTGCCAGGCATTCCTTGATGACCTCAAAACTGAGGTGCAAACCCTTTCCATGCAACAGCAGTACTGAAGAGCATTTCAGCAAATACTGTCATTTCCACCTGACTTCCTGGCGCCGACTTTGTCCTTTCTGAGGGAAATTGCTTGTGATTTGAGGCAGAGCAAGGGCCAGGGATGATATGTGCAGGAGGGGAGCACGCAGCTGCCACAGCGAGTGGGTGTGATCAGGGAGCGTTGCGAAGCAGTGAAGCAAATACCCCTCAACAATGCTGTCGCCCTGGGGCGAAAGCTGACCCTGGTGCGCAACGTCTTTCCGGCTCAATTCAGCACTGCATAGATGCCTGTGACGTCCCACTCGAAATTTTCTTCAATTGCATTGGATTGTGGCCGTGCAAGTGGTGTTGCTGAAGTTTGGGTCTGCTCACACTGTGCTCGGGCTGCAGTGCGCTCGGCAGATCAAGGACGCGCACCGGGAGGTGAAGGAGTTGGTTGCTACCGAGAGAGCACGCAGCGGTGCATCCCTGCCAGAGGACCTGCCTGCTGTCACCGGGACAGGCCTTCCTGGGAGCGAAGAGCTGTATCGGGAGCACAGCAGCACAGCAGAAGAACCCAGCCCCGCAGATGGGAGCTCTTCACCTAGTGGCAGAGATGCCCACACCGGTGGCGACAGTAATGCCCATGCAGGAGATAGCAGCACCGCAGCTGCAGCAAAGACCGCGTCAGAGCAGTTGCCTAGCGCAGGCGGAGCACTTGGTGCAGACAGCATGGGCACTCATGGGGGCCAGGCGCATGCCAGCGAGGAAGAGGGCAGCAGGGGTGGCTTTGAAGAGTACGAGACGGATGAACTCAGTCCGCTGGAGAGGGATGTAGCTGCAGCTGCTGAAGCGGTAATTTACTCGACTGGCTTATCTCTTGAGAAATTCTTGCAAAATTTCATCCCCAAGTACCACAAATGGCAATGGAGCCTAACCTGACTGGATATTGCTCGTGCAGGAAGTCTCAATGCAGCTGCATGTGTGATGTAGGTGATAGGACAGGTGGTGGAGATTTTGAACATAGTTATTAGAATCCTGCTGCGTGGAGCTGTGCCTGTGGGTGAGGAGCTGGAGAGCTGGGAGAGTGTTGGGTTCCACTGCAAGAACCTGGAGACCACTGCCAATGACCTGGTTGCAGGTACTCCACACTATCTTACATGATAACCTGTAAATATGCATTCAATCTCAAGGTGTTCTTGGGATGTGCAGCTGCATGTGTACCTGCCTCAGTGCAGCTTCCTTTTTAGATAGGTCGTCCTACAGCACATGTGCAGACAATTTCGGTGTTGCGCAGAGCTGTACGGGCCGCAGGATGCGGAGGAGGTCAGCAGTGCATGCCAGGCGGTGGCAACCGGCACAGAGCTGATACTGGAGGAGCTCCCAAGCTCTGTGCTGGAGCAGCATGGGAGTGAGCTGGCGGAGATTGACCGAATTTTCACCGCTGCACAAGAGGCGCTAGAGCAGAAGGTGGAGCACTTCTTGCAAGCGCAGAAAGAGCACAATCTAAGCTCTGAGGAATGATGCAGAGCTTGATCATAACAAGAGGATTAGCCCGTATGAACTGTGAAGTCGCGAAACGTGTACAACGGCATGTTTGTTTACAAGGGTGGATCAAGTAATTGCCCTGTTATTGGATCATGTTAGTCAACTTTCACAAAATCCTTCATCAGCTGCCATTTCTACAGGCCTGTCTTGGTTCTCTACAAGCTGATTTGCCTTCATGGAGCGGCTTGCTTAATCTATGCCTCAGACTCCATTACTGAAATAATGTGCTTCCGCCTAATTCCCCAGTGCCTTCCCGCCTGCTTCAAGGTTTCTTTCTGGTGTTATTCTGCCTCTGCGCCTGCTGCCCCATGGTGTAACCGCTTGCGCTCCTGCCAAATAAGACATGCCAGGCTTAAGAAGGGCACTGCAAGAAGGACAACCACATGTTGATGAGGTCTTGCTGACCACTGTGAAGAGCATTACCATCAAAGCCATGGCGATAAGCTTCTCCTCCTCCTGATTAGCCTGTCTCCTGTGCATGACACAGATGGTGGTGTCATAGGATAGCACAGAGGTTGAGGAACTTCAGAACAAGGCCCCTATAATTACGTAGGCATTCCAGGGCCTGTACTGCATCGCCAGCTTCATTGCAGTATGATCCTCCCACACAATGTGGTTTGACGGACCTCTCGTCAATCCTCCAGCTGATCCAGTCAGTCCCTTTCAAGAGCATCCCCATCGCGAAGGCTGCAGTGATGTAGCCCAACGTATTCGTCACACCGCCCATCTATTTATCTGCTAGATTATTACTGTCAGACGATCCAAAGGCACGAAGCCAGCCCCAAATCTTGAGAAAGGGTGTCGGCCCAACTAGGTCTTCACCAATGGACTGCCAAGCCAAAGTCCTGAGAGCCCTGTTTGAATGAGCTGAGAAAGCACAAAATTCGAGAACAAAATCAAATGATGCGATCAAGGATGGACTGCAGAATGTGTGAGGCTTATTTTAATAGAAAAGATGCCTGATCAGACTCTCGCACATGCAGCTTTGATTTTGCATTGGTGTTAGACGTCCAAGAAAAGCATCAAGTCGAATTTAACGATGCTCACCCGTTCGACATACAAGAACATGTTAAACAGCAGTGAAACCAGGCAACTTTTTTGCCAGCTGTTCTTCACCCTTCTCCCCTAATCAGGAGAAAGTGCTCTACGGTTTCGGCCAACGGCATGGTAAGGACCGTCTGCCAAACAAGCGATAGACACCACTGTCCCCTCCTTGAACTCACCAGTTCGAAAAGACATCTGAGTATTTTCTATCGTAAGATCGTGGACAACGTGAAGCGTGATCTTGTCAGGGTGCCTTCACTCATGAGAGCCGCATCTTGAAGCAGAGGGAGGCAGAAGAAACGCTGCAGGGCTTTCAGAGCCATGTCAAGGTGCTCCTTACCGCATAACTCCTAGCATACAAGATATCAACAAGATTTGTTAGTAATCCTTACGGCCAATGGTGCAAAGCTACACTGAGAGACACAAGGGCCTCTGAGCTTCTGCACACCTGCTGTGACACTAGGAGCAGCGAGTGTTCGAGTCCAAAGCCAACTGGGAGGTGCAGTCTGGGATCAAGGCACAGTGGATGGCTGAGCGCACCCAGCGGCACATTGCAACCGAACAGCATGAAGCAGAGTTGGCTCACCGCCGTCGTGAGCTTGCACAGAAGCTGGCTGCTGAGAAGGCCAAAGAGGTGGAGGACCTCATCAAGCAACAGGTAATCAAAACGCTTGAGTTGGCTTCAGAGCCCAACAAACATCTAGAATCCTCACTTAGAAGGAGTACTCGCACATTCTAAGGTATTCATCTGCGAGGGAAGGCCAACCTGGTACACCTGGCGTGGCCTCCTGCGAGGTATGATCTGCTCTTGACCTGATGAGGTGTGCAGGCGGCAAGAGCGGCCCAGAGGAAGGCTGAGCTGGCGGAAAGGGCGCGGCAGCTGCAGGCAGCCCGAGAGAGGGAGCAAACCGCCACAAGGGAGAGGCTCCTGCAGCAGCAGTTTGCCGCAGGCTGCGACCCGCTGCGCACAGAGCAGTCCAAGCGCTTCCTGCACTCTGTTGTGCAGGGCCGCCGAGCACAGGTTGCACCACCACTGCATCATGCCATGCATATTATTGTATTTAGGATATGTGGCAGCCTTCACCTGCAGCTTGTCTGCTTGTGCACATCGACTCTTGCAGGAACAGCGTGTGGTAATAGTTATAATTTCTTCTTTCCTGGACTGCTTAAAAGCGCTTGTGAAGGTGACGGGAAATATGTCTGAATGCTGCCATGCGCGCAGGAGGAGAAGCTCAAGATATTGAAGCAGACCGGGGCTGAGCAAGACCGCGAGTTTGGTGCAACGATTGAGGAAGACAGAATCAAGCAACAGACCGAGTGCGCCTCTGACCTAGGTGCATTGCCCCAAGATAGCTTCTGCAACGCATGCGAAAGCTGCACTCCGGTGAGCTGATAAAGATGTCAGCAGTCATCTTGACTGGGCTGATGTGCAATGTGTGTGCAGTTTGGAGCACGGCAGGCAGCGGGCTTGGGAAAAGACACAGCAAGTGGCGGGCATGCTGTCTAAGCAAGTGCAGGAGAGGCTTCAGATTGCTGCGGCTGAAGAGTCCAACCGTGCCAGAGAGGTCAGCATGCACAGCAGCACACCAAGTCCTCTTCATTGCCTTCACGGTTTTGAGCAACAATCGTTACAAATCAGGTGGTGATGATCAATGCACTGCATGGCAGGTGGCTGCGATGAAGGCAGAGTGGGCGAAACAAGAGGCAGAGACAAAAACAGAGGAGGAGCAACGCCACATCCGCATGCAGCAACTGCGAAACGAGTGCGAGGAATTCAACAGGTGCACCTTCACAGGCTTCATTTCAGCATTGCAAAATAGACAAATGCACGCTTTAGCTCTCGAGTTAGTCCCCTTGAGACAGATGTGCATCAAATTCTACAAGATCTCACAGAAGGGTTGGCGTGTGGCCCACACTGTGGCTGGGACAATTGGTCATTGAAGTAGTCATTTGATGGTGAAATGCAGGCAGAAGCTGGCGGAAGCTGCGGCCGCCAAGGCGGCGGAGGAGGCACATGATTTGGCGCTGTTGGAGGCTGCACTGCGCAGGGAGCGGCAGGAGATCGCTGCCGAGCAAGCGCGCAAAGCCTCCGACCGGCGCACCCAGCAGCTCTACAAGTAATCTGTAGCTAGAGCTTATTTTTAACAAGTCAATGCACCCAAATGTATGCCCTGGCTTCAGCAGTGCTTTCTGCGTCACACTGCATAGCTCGTGCAAGACCCACTGCATGTAAATGCACGCGCAGCATTTTGATCCTCACCACACAATCCATCACGTAAACTTGAGAGGGAAATGCATACCATAAATTTTTGTCCTGTGTGTTAATTGGTTGTTCCTTGCAGCGTTGGTGGAGGATTGCCAAAAGCACAGCAGAAGCGCTGCACTCATGGCTGGAGTGCATGCTTGCAGGCAGCAGCTGCAGGCGAGCATGCAGCGCCAGGTGCAGGATGACTTGGCCCAGGATGCAGCCATAGAGCTGGCAGCCAAGTTGGACGCGCAGCGAAGGCAGGAGGATGCCAACAGGCGCGCGGCTGCACGAGCCCAGCTTCTGGCAGAAGTGGTCCAAGGCCGGGAGCAGCAGATCGCCCTGCATGAACGACTCAGGTACTGTACACACTGGAACAACACATTTGAAAGGTAAAACACAGACAATTTTGCACTGCGTGTACTTGTTGGGGCAAGAATGGCACCTCTTCAAAAGTTGCAGTCATGGTGGTAGCAGCGCTGTTCGTCAGTACAAGTCAAAGAGATGTTGTCCCTGCACTTCTCTGGACTGTGAGGCAGCCCTTCCTCCCCTCTTTGGCGCTTGTGCTTCGCGTATGCACTCTCTTCTGCTCTCAATCCATATTCTTTCATTATTGTACATGCAGGATGGAGGAGGTGTGTGAGAAGACCATGGAGAGGAGCAGCCATGTGATGGAGGCTGCCAGAGTTGAAGAGGACCGCCGACTGGCCAAGGAGCGCGAGCTGGCCGCCCAACTGCGCTACGCCGAAGAACTCAAGGTGTAACAGCTGCCCAAGATTGTTATACGGCTGACATTAGACCCTTTTAAAGCCCGCATTCCAGCACCACAGGGTCAAGAGGTGCCTGACAAAAGCAAATTCTCCAGTCCTTGTGAAGGTCCCAGGGTAGTAACATCAGCTCTGACTATATTACACTTACGTTTGCACCTGTGCATGCAGGCCCAGATTGCTGACAAACAGCGGCGACGCGCCAAAGAGGTGTCTGAGAAGCTTCAAGATCAGCAAGCTGAAGCACAGCAAGAGCTGGACATCAAGGCCAGAATCGAAAGCGCACTATCGCAATCTGCGGCCAATTTGCCGGCATTGGCAAATAACCCCAGACGCAAGCTTGACTGGTGACTCAGCAGTGCAAGGACGTGAGCGTCGGCCAAGCATAGAAATCTCAGCTAACTCAAAATCTGAATTTAATTTCGTTTGACGTGGTTTCAGTTCAAACCACAAGTGACAAACTTGACTACAGGACGATAGTCCATAAAATATACACGGCCTGCTGCCAAGAAGCTCAAGACCTAGCTGGCTCTTTTATTGCGTTATTCCATTGGAGAATGTATCTGCAAAGTTTCCACATTTGTAGAGAAAAGGTCACAACTCCCCGGAGTCGTACAGGGAGTGCGCCCCACATGCATGCACAAGATCCATGCAGAGCAGGTGCCTGACATGTTCCAGGCCGTCTGCAAAGATCCCATTCTCCAGAGCGTCCCTGTGCTGCCCAATGATCCTGCACAGGAAATCAAATTGATGCTCCCCTCAGCATGCAGTGCATTTATGCAATCAAGGAGGACAGCACATGGTTGAGAATATTGAAAGTTTTGGCCAATGGTGGCATGCACTGAATCTGCATTACCTTTGGCATGGTGCTGTGTAATACTCCCCGAGCTTCTTGGTCGCCTGCAACACATGCTCACAGACATGACACATTGCCATGGTTGCACTGATCAGAGGCAGACAGTCATGCACTCGTCAAAATTGCTCATCGTCAAGGGGAAAGGCTGTTTGAGAGGGGTTGCGCCGCACCACTTCACACAATCCGTCCAGAGCCGCGAATATTTGAACCTCGCTGCGAGGGTGCAGCATGCGCCTCCTAGGCCTGCAAATGCGAAGGCACGGGCTCATTGCACCGCATGCAGGACAGAGCACTCCCCCTGCACCAGAATACACGGGAGGCTATTTTGGCTGGAAGGATACCTCACCTCACATTACCAACGAGTTCATCGTCCCCTTGATGATCAGGTTCCAACTTTGCCAACTCCACCTCGAGGACCTTGGCCACCCTCAAGCACTCTGGCAACCCCACACAGCAACAGATCAACGCAGATCACAGACCTTGCCTTGCAACGAAAATCTCGAGCTGCATGACAAGTGACGCCTGCTGCTTCAAACGTAACTTGATGACTATACATAACTCACCTTCGCAGTTCAAAACCGTGTGTGTCTTTGCAGAGTGAGTGAGCATGGACTGTTGTGCTAGTAGAACGAAGGCCAGCGACACCCATATAAATACCTTCATTGTTTCAGTGTGGAGAAGTACCTATGCATCATTGTTTGGTGGGAACAAACCCTGCAAAATTCTGTGGGATCGGGAAAAGCTTCAAGGCATTTCGAACTATTTTGGTCACATGGAGCGACATCGGCGCCAGCACGACGGCGTGTCACGGGTTTTTGCTCATTTGCCTTTCACGTGATAGTTCTTTAGGCTTTTGCAATTCTGCTCTTTCAGAATTCAGCTTGGCGTGTCTCGAGAAGCAGAAGCTTGACACTGGCGACCGAGATCACAGCCTGTAGACGTGTGGCCTGAAGGCCACCCTATGGCAGCTCTCCTGCAGCGTTTCTCCCTGCCCTTGAATGCCCGACGTTCTCAGGTGCCACCAGCTAGTGTTTCGGGAAGCGGCCTTAGATGCGGACGGACGGTGCTTAGATCATATGATGGACTCAGGAACGCACAGGTGAGCACGACTCACACACCCTGCAGGGACAATAACTTGGACAATGGGGCCGCCCAGATTGAGGGTCCCCCGGCCGATACTCATACGGATGCATGGAATACCTTCAGTGGATGTGTCTGAGTATATTATCTGCCTCATGGTCATGCATCTGACGTACGATTCACAGCATTGCGCCTTTCTGTGCGACAGGTGCAAGCCCTTCCGAAGCGGCTCCATGGAGGTCGTGGGTCCCTGCAGTGGCGGCCTCGCGGCCCTGGCCGTGGAAACTGCTTGTCCATTGTCAGCATGGCGCACAACACCACATGGGACGAGCCGCGGGGCTTGGTGGACCCCGCCAACGACAAGGACGCCTGCGGGGTGGGGTTCATCGGCGAGCTCAACAAAGTGCCCACCCGCAGCTGCGTGGTGAACGCACTTGAAATGCTGCTGCGCATGACGCACAGAGGAGCCTGTGGCTGCGAAGTCAACTCAGGTGCGCCTCTGCTTTCCAGCTTCTGTAGAGATATCGAGTGGGATATCTGGAGATACTTGAGACGTAAAAAGCGCACCATATGTATTTTTTGTGCAGTAGTTCCTTCAACATGAACATCCTGATCTGCATGTCTGCAAAAGCTGAAAGCTTAATACCCAGCTGTCTGGCGCCTCCTACCGCGCTGTGAAGCAGAATTTTCCATCAGGCTTTGACCACGATCCACACCCAACCTGCCTTTCAGGCGATGGTGCTGGCTGCCTGGTGGCAATCCCGCACGACTTCTTCTCGCGTGTGGTCCGGGAGGACTGCGGCGTGCGGCTGCCAGCCCCGGAGGAGTATGCCATTGCACAGCTCTTCCTTCCCAGGGAGCCCGAGCAGTACCATGCAGCCAAAGGCATTGTCGCCAAGTGAGCATCACCCATATCAATTGCCTTCACCCTGCAGCAGCCTGGTAGCATCAAGCTTGAAGCAGTGCCAGCCTTCTCCTAGGCAGGGAAAGTTTGACCTAAGTGTGATTTCTCATGCATGTGCTGCTGTGGGAAATACCAAGCTGTCCCATTCGGCATGTGGGCGCCTACTGGATTTGTTTGGATGCTAGCCCTCTAGTAATCAATGCACGTTTAACACCATCAATGATGTACTGCAGGGTGGCGGCGAAGCTGGGGCACACTGTACTGACGTGGCGCCGCGTGCCCACAAACAATGCCGGCCTGGGCGATTCAGCCAAGGCCACAGAGCCGCTTGTGGAGCAGTGTTTCTTGTCCAAGAGCGGCGCCCCTCAGACCACGTCCCCTGATCCAGAGGCGCAGGCATGCATTCCAACCTTAGCATGTTGATGTCTACATGCACATGGTGGGATCAGTCAGTATCTTACAAACCTCCACTACTAGACATGATGGAGTGCGAAATGGTGTTTGAGGGGTGTCTGGGGTGCAGTTCTACGTCCTGCGCAAGCTGATTGAGCACGAGTGGAACCGCAAGGGCTATGACCACAAGCATGCCTACATCTGCTCGCTCTCCGCCCACACCATCGTGTACAAAGGCCAGCTCATGCCGCAGCAGGTGCGCAGATATCGCACCCACAACCCCCACTCTTGACATCAGAAATCGTTGCATGCCTGCCGACGCATCTCACTTGCGTCTCTTTTTGCATTAAGTACAGGAGGAGCCAGCAAAGAGGGCAGCGAGACGGACTGCTAAGGGAGACAGCAGGGGACTGATACATTAGTTTAGGAGTCCCCGGGAGACAGGGCTGACGGGGAATGTCACGCAGGTGCCGACATACTACCTCGACCTGCAGGCGCCGGACTTCATATCGTACATGACGCTGGTGCACTCGCGCTTCTCCACCAACACATTCCCATCCTGGGACCGCGCGCAGCCCATGCGCATGATGGGCCACAATGGTGCGCCCTACAATTTATTTTTGGCGTCCTTGTGACAAGCTACTTGTGGAAGGTCAATCTGCCAGGGCCGCAAATTGCAGAGGTGTCATCAGCAGCTGAGGCATTTTGCTGCATTGGGGAGATTGAAATTTGCATTGTGAAATTGAAATTGGAATTACGCTCGAGAACATTTACAGAGGCCTGGAAGCTTACAGGAAGGAACATAAAGAGCGGGAAAGAATGGGAACTCTGGAGTTGAGACCTCTTGGCAAATCTTACCCAGGGCCAGGGCTGTGTTGCAAGGACACAACGTTCCTCATTTCTGAGTGCTGGCTGGTGCAGGCGAGATCAACACGCTGCGGGGCAACAAGAACTGGATGAAGGCGAGGCAGGGCGTGCTCAAGTGCGCAGAGCTGGGCCTGCCGCAGGCGGTGCTGGAGAAGCTGCTGCCGGTGGTGCCCGAATGGCAGAGCGACAGCGGCTCCTTTGACACCGTTCTGGAGCTGCTCGTGCGCTCCGGCCGCGACCTGCCCGAGGCCATGATGATGCTCATCCCCGAGGCCTGGCAGAACGACCCCCTCATGCCCCAGGTCAGCGCTACTGCCCCCTCCGAGTCACCCTTGTTTGTCCCTGAATGAGAGATACGGTAGGAGTGCTTGTGTGCCACTGCTATCTAAGTCTCCCACTCTGAAGTATGCCTCTATTTTGTTTGACTCTGCCATGCTGCTAATACGTGACAGCAGCACTGCATGCACTGGTGATCTGAGCAACTGCACTGTCTTGTCATGCGGGTGTGCCAGTGTTGTGCAAGAGATCAGCGACGCACTTCTGCTGAGCTTTGGAACTGATGGACGAGTTTGTCCTTGCCAGGCGAAGAAGGACTTTTACCGGTTCAACAGCGCGGTCATGGAGCCCTGGGACGGCCCTGCGCTGGTGTCATTCACCGACGGCCGCTACATTGGCGCCACGCTCGACCGCAACGGCCTGCGCCCCGGCCGCTACTACCTCACCAAATCCGGTCGCGTGGTGCGCCATCTGTTCCCCTCCGTGCTGCAGGGGTTGTTTTCGTTGCTTTGCAGTCATTCTGCTGCCAAATTTATAAGAGGACACAGAGTGAAGAGAGGAGGAAACAGAGAAATGAGATTAGAGTGGTCGAATATTATTTGTGGCCCGATAACCAAGAACAGGTCTGAGACCCCAGCAAGGCACAATGGTTCGATTTTTAGTGATACTAGCATCCGGTTGCTGGTGAGGGCATTGACTCATTGTGTAATGCATGACAGGAACAAATCCGTGATGACAGATGTGCGACATTCCTAAAATTTTAATGGTGCATGTGCAGATCATGGCGAGCGAGGTGGGCGTGGTTGACGTGCCAAACTGGGACATCGCATCCAAGGGGCGCCTCATGCCGGGCAACATCTTCCTCGTCGACTTTGACGCCGGACGCGTCATCAAGGACGAAGAGGTCCGCCCTTTTCCCTTGCCCCACTTTGCAAATCCCCAGCTGGGGCGCTCCCACAAGCCTGCACCGGCTGCATGTGAGCAATGTTGCACAGCTCCTGCATGTATTCATTGCGCAGGGGAAGCACAAGTATCAGGATCCCTCATATGGCTCAGGACTCGTGCTGAGTAGTGATACTTTTCGCCATTGATCAGATGAAGGAGGTCTTACTTGTGCTGATTTGTCATATTTTGTGGGTGATCAGATGAAAGAGCGCTACACGACAATGCGGCCGTACGGGGAGTGGCTGGAGCAGGAAACGGTGAGCCTGCAGCAGCTGGTGGACTCTGTGCCACCCGAGCTGCGCGTTCCGCTCCCAGTTGTGCCCGCAGCCCCCGTCCTGCTCAACGGCGCATCCAGCAACGGCAACGGAGCCGCCGCGGCGGTGCGCGCCGCCCTCCTGTGGTCCTTGTTGCCATTCCGAGGCCGGTTGAGTGAGTCTGCTGCTGTGTGAATGTTTATCTGTGATTGTGCTGTGTTCGCCAATAGGCAGTCTGGCTGCTACAATCTCCTTCAGGCGGCCTAGGAGCGACCCATTTCTTCCATATCTGCTTTGTAAGAGTCTATTGCGTGGGATTAAAGATGGATGTGTGGACATGCACAGGCGAATGGCAACGGCACGTCCGCAAACGGCAACGGGGCGCACTTGACCAGCAATGGCGCTTCTGCCAGCCACAGCTCAGAGGAGGAGACTGGTACCAGGCGCCTGCTCAAGCTGCTCAAGGTGAGGCTCCAGACCCTTTGGTACATCCACCCTCCTTCAGGCCCAAGCGCACTTAGCTTGCCTGATGAAAGCTTTCCTGCTGGTTGTCCTCTTCTTCCCGTCCTTGTTGCAGCGGCTGCCTTGGTCTTGACATGTGGGTGCTTGATTGTGAAGGGACAAACTAGAGTGGTGCGCACATAGGCACATGCTGGAAAATTCTCACGTCTGCAGTCTGGATCTACGTGTGGATTTGCTGTTGTTTCGAGCTCCCCGTTTTCTGTCTTTTTGCAGCTCAATGTAACATTTGGGCAGGCCATAACGCGACAGGGCCCATTTCCTCAGTTGCTCCTCTAGAATAAGCGGACTAACAAGAGATGAGTGCTGATGCAATGGGAGACGCGGTTGCAGGCGGGAGGGTACACGATGGAGACGCTGGAGTTGCTGATGGTGCCCATGGCGCGCACTGGAGCGGAGCCGCTGGGATCCATGGGCAACGACGCGCCCCTGGCCTGCATGTCCCACCGCCCCAAGCTCACTTACGAGTACTTCAAGCAGATCTTCGCCCAGGTGCCCCTCCCCTTCCCTTTCAGCATGCCTGCCTTGTCCTCACCCGTGACATAGCTCTGCAGTGCTGCTGAATTTATCTCTCAAATGCCCTGACCACACCGTGCATTAAGCATGATTTTCATCCGAAATCCGCATAGTCACTTGAGCAGTCACGGACAATCTGTCCAGAGAGGGAGAGCTGAATGCACACTCTTGAGGGTTTGTTCCAACGAAGGGTGTTTGATGATGTCATTATGGTCATCCAGGTGACGAATCCGCCGCTGGACCCGCTGCGCGAGAAGGTGGTGACATCGACGCGGTGCATGATCGGCCCCGAGGGCGACATCACCGACATTGGCAAGCCCTGCCAGGCCAGGAGGTGTGGACCCTCACACACCAATGCAACTGCGCACACCTCGTCCACAATTGCACCCCACCCACAAACCTCCCGCGAGCTTTCTGCAGCAGCATGTAAGCAATCTTGGCAGGACCTTGCCGCCTCAGTGGGGACATTGGCAATAAGGACCAGACCAGGGTAGAAATGATGCTAGATCCTCGTGTTGGAGAGGGTCTCCTGTCTCGAGACTGCACCTTGCAGCTTCGGGATATGTTGTGTGCTTTGGGAATCCGATCTCTGCCATTCCTACCTGCAGGCTGGAGCTGATGCAGCCGATCCTGCGGCCGGCGGAGATGGAGGCGTTCAAGAACATGGACCTGCGCGGCTGGTCCACCAAGGTCATTGACGCCACCTGGCCCCTCTCCGAGGGCACGGTCGGCCTGGAGAGCGCGCTGCAGCGCATCTGCGACGAGGCCAGCGCCGCCATCGAGGCCGGCTTCCAGTTCATCGTCCTCTCCGACCGCGCCCAGGGTGCGCTCTTTGCCCGCATGACTTAAGGTTCTATCTTGGTAGGTTATACTCTCAGCTGCTCATGGTTAATGACTGAATGCACAGCATTCTGTCTTCGTGTGTCTATGCTTCCCGTTTTCCAATTTGCATGGCAATTACAACCCAGGCAGGGCCTGTCATCATCCTAGGAAGTGCTACTTGCCATGTCTCTATCATCAGCAAGATGTGCTCCTTGTAAATTTGTAATGCTTCTGTGCGCTCTCTTTGTGGTGATGTGAATTTGGGGAATGCGCGTTGATGCAGGGCCGGAGCGAGTGGCGATATCGACGCTGCTGGCGTGTGGGCGGGTGCACCACCACCTGGTGCGGTGCCAGATGCGCAGCCGGGTGGGGCTGCTGCTGGAGGGCGCCGAGGTGCGCGACGTGCACCACTTCTGCACGCTCATCGGCTACGGTGCCGACGCCATCTGCCCCTACCTCGCCTTTGAGACGCTGGCCGCCCTGCGCGAGGACGGCAAGCTCAAGGCCGACGAGTCCGACGACGCCCTCGCCACCAAGTACATCAAGGTGCGCCTGTGGGATGATTTTTTTCTGAATTCCCAAGCCCTTTGGGTGTGGCCGCCACCAATGCTATACATGCTGCTGTGCCTTCAGCTATTTTGCAGGCTTTGAATTTATCCTCGATAGTATGCTGACTGCCATTTTTAGCTTCCATGAAACAAGCGCATGCCTTCTTGAAGAAGGGCACACGCCGGAACATACTGAGTTAGTAAATTCCCAACCAATGAGATGTGGTGGTGCTGCGCGCAGGCGATCAACGCAAGCGTGCTCAAGGTGATGGCCAAGATGGGCATCTCCACGATCGCGTCGTACAAGGGCGCTCAGATCTTCGAGGCACTTGGCCTGGCCAAGCCCGTGGTGGACGCCTGCTTTGCAGGCACGCCCTCGCGCATCGGCGGCATCGGCTTTGAGGGCCTGGCGGCCGATGCGCTGGCGCAGCACGCTCTTGCCTTCTCCGGCACCGCCTTCCCCGAGGGCACCGCCGACGCCTATGCCCTGCCCGACCCGGGCGACTACCACTACAGGTGCGCGCCCTTGCCCCGTGTTTGTTTTCTTTTCCTCCTTGCACGGGTGTCGCACCTGCTGCATCTATATTTTGTCACCTGGCATGCGGTGCGCTTTTCCTGAATCAAGGGCGCCAGCGATCCTGGCGTGGGATGTATTTGGATGATGCCTCCACTGGCCATCATGTCGTTGAGCACTCTCTGAGCTGTGCTGACCCCTGTGTGTCAAATTCCGCTGCGCAGGGCGGCGAATAACGAGAAGCACGAGGTGCACCTGAACGACCCGATGGTGATGGCCAAGCTGCAGGAGGCGGCGCGCGACAACAGCCGCGAGGCATACCGCGAGTACTCGCGCCTCACCCAAAAGCTTAACCAGCAGATCAACCTGCGCGGCATGCTCAAGTTCAAACCCGGCAAGGCCGTGCCCCTTGACCAGGTGCGTGCCATGGCTCTCCTGTTACTATCTGTAACTACCAGGGCTGTTTTTTGCTACAGCTGCCCAGGTTCGATCAGAGCAGCCTTTTTAAACGAGCAGACGAGGCCTGATCAATTATTCTATCAATGTGAGCCTCATGGCCTTTAAAATGCATAAGAAAGGTGATATGGGCTCAGTTACAATGTGCAGAGCAGATGCTGAGGGTATGAAGTGCGGTGTTGCCAGGTGGAGCCGGCAAAGGAGATTGTTAAGCGCTTCTGCACGGGGGCGATGTCATACGGCTCCATCTCGCTGGAGGCCCACACCACGCTCGCAGAGGCCATGAACGCCATCGGCGGCAAGTCCAACACAGGTGCCCTCCGCCGCTGGATAATTTTGCGACTTAATTTGGTGTTTGTCTGTGGACGTGCATTTTGCAGTATTGCAGCCAGTATTTATTTTGGTTGTTCTGCTTGAGGACTTTGTTGGCTCATCATGCCAGCACTGACGGTGCAGCCAATGCTGTCTACAAGCATCACCACCAAGGTATCTAGAGTGGCTGCAACATCTTGAAGCGCATGCAGCCTCTCTGAAACCGCACAGGAACGATGAACAGACTTGCATGGGCTTTGCTTCGCATTTGTTGCAGACTGCCTGACCTTGGTGATTTGTGTGTTAGGCGAGGGTGGCGAGAACCCTCGGCGGCTGCTGCCCAACCCGGACGGCTCGCGCAACACCCAGCGCAGTGCCATCAAGCAGATTGCCAGCGGCCGCTTTGGCGTGACGGCCAACTACCTGACCAACGCCGACGAGCTGCAGATCAAGATCGCGCAGGGCGCCAAGCCCGGCGAGGGCGGCGAGCTTCCCGGCAAGAAAGTACAGGTACATTACTCTCCTGCTTTTTTGTACTCATTTCTTTGCTCATAACTTTCCATCTGTGGTATCGCTCCAGCCACCATCCTATCTAATTCTATCCTCACTCGACTAGCATGCATCTGGTGCTTCTTGATCTTTTCTGTGTGAAACCACAGCGTGCATGTTGTGTTTCGTGTGTGGCATCATGCATTCCACGATTCCATGGCTGCACCCAAAGAGCGCACGCCTCTTTTATTTCACCAAGACCTGGGTAAAGTTACTGAGGAATTGTTTTGGATCTGTGCAGGGGGACATTGCAAAAACTCGCAATTCGACCCCCGGTGTGGGGCTGATCTCCCCGCCGCCGCACCACGACATCTACTCCATCGAGGACCTGGCGCAGCTGATCTACGACCTCAAGTCGGCCAACCCGGGCTCGCGCGTCAGCGTCAAGCTGGTGTCAGAAAACGGCGTCGGCGTTGTGGCTTCCGGCGTCGTCAAGGGCCATGCCGACCACGTGCTCATTTCCGGCCACGACGGTGGCACCGGCGCCGCCAAGTGGTCCAGCATCAAATCTGCAGGTGCGTGCTTCGCTTCTGGTATTTTCAGAGGTATGCAAAAGGATCGAGGAGAAGGCAAAACATGTTGGGGCCTTCCATGTGTGATTTTCCAGCGCAATGTTTTGCACCTGTACCAGGGTGATGTATTGTTCATATTGTACCTTTTCGGCCCTTGTCCTCCTACAATGCTTGTTGAAGGACTTGGTGCACAGACTGCGCTTTAGATCTTGCTGGAGAAGATGCGAGGCATGCCGGTAAATTCAGTAAGCAGGAGTAGCAAGAGCTGTGACTGCAGAATTGACATGGTTTGACTTTGCCGTGGTTGCGCTCAGGGCTGCCGTGGGAGCTGGGTCTGGCAGAGACGCACCAGACGCTGGTGGCGAACGATCTGCGCGGCCGCACTGTGCTGCAGGCGGACGGCCAGATGCGCACGGGGCGCGACCTTGCCGTGGCCGCCCTGCTGGGCGCCGAGGAGTTTGGCTTTGCCACCGCGCCGCTTATCACCATGGGCTGCATCATGATGCGCAAGTGCCACACCAACACCTGCCCCGTCGGCATCGCCACGCAGGTCCGCACGCCATGCCCTTTGTAAAATAATAATACAACCTGCGCACCTTGCTGCCTGCATGTTCTTGTTAGGCCCAACATGATTGAGTGGATAGGGAGGGATCTTTGTGTCCGTGAGGCAGAGTGAGACCAATGCCAATCACGCCATGCAGGTCCTTTGACATTGTGAATACTGCTATGCCCTTGAGAGTTTTGATGTTCGTGGATTATTCCTTTCTAGCCGGGTGCCACATCTTCCGCTTGTTCTTGTGTTGGTGACTGACCCTTTTTGGCTGGTGCACAGGACCCTGAGCTGCGCGCCAAGTTTGCGGGTGAGCCGGAGCATGTGATCAACTTTTTGTTCTTGGTCGCGGAGGAGCTGCGCGAGTACATGGCCGACATGGGCTTCACCAATGTCAACGACATGGTCGGCCGCGCTGACATGCTTGAGGTGACTCACTCTTACGGATGTGTACGTGCATCGATTCTTCTTACAGCAATAGACAGCATGCAGATTTTGATACCTCCTTCATGATGCTGCTGTGTCAGCTTAGTTGGTTGTGATGTGGCAGGCTGATATGGATGTCATCAACGCCAACCCCAAGCTGGCAGGCATCGACCTGGAGAAGATCCTGACCCCCGCCTCCGAGCTGCGACCAGGCGCCGCCCAGCGATGCATCATGGCACAGGCACGCACTCTCTGTGCACCTTGAACCTGGCATGTATCTCCCCACTATTGCATGTTCTCCCAGTCAATGCTGGCCCTTTGCTTGTTTTAGAGACAGGCTCATATTGCCCAAACTGCGCTCATGTTTGTATGCTTCAATCAGAGAGTGAGGCCAATAACAAAGATCACAATACACAAAACTGTTAATTAAATGGTGTTTGGCTGCAGGACCATGGGCTGGAAAATGGGCTGGACATCACGCTGATTCCCAGGTGTGCACCAGCGCTGCCCTTCGGCAACGCCAAGCCGGTGCCCGTGTACATTGAGGCGGAGGCCATCAACACACAGCGCGCCATCGGCACCACCCTCTCCCACGAGGTGCGCGCTGTGCCTATGTTTTTTGGCAATAAAACTCTCGTGGCTGTCTTCTTATACTTGAAGCGCGATGCACAGACCAAGGCAGACATTGTGACGTTGATCAATGCAATTGAATTGGTCTTTCCTCTTGGTAAAAATTCTGTTGGCCCGTGCTGTCTATCTTGTGACAAGAAGCAGGGGATTCATGGGTGACAGCCCTCCAGATTTTCTTCCCATTTCACAGCGGGCCAGCGGCAGAACCATGCTATGGCAGTTGTGCAGCCACAAGATGATCTGGTGCCCTTCTTTTCTTTGTACAAAGAATGATCGGCGTGCCGGAATTCGCGCAGGTGACCAAGCGGTTTGGGAGCGCGGGCCTGCCGGACAACACGATCCACGTGTCGCTGACGGGGCACGCTGGGCAGTCCATGGGCGCCTGGCTGTGCCCGGGCATCACTCTGGAGCTGGAGGGCGACGCCAATGACTACGTGGCTAAGGGCCTCTCCGGTGGCATCGTCATCGTGTACCCGCCGCGCGACTGCGACTTCAAAGCCGCCGAGAACATCATCGTCGGCAACGTCTGCCTCTACGGCGCCACCTCGGTGCGCGCTTTGCCCCGACCGCTCAGTCTGCTGCCGTTCTTACCTTGCATGCTTAATCATCCTAGATTGCTCAGGACATGTGCGTGCACAACATACCCAGTCACTGTCTGCATGCAAATATGGTGACGGATTAGCAACTGGGCATGTTTCGTGTGAATTACATCAGGGCAAGCACAGGAGATTCTTATTGCCTAAACGATACAGCACTTATGTTCCAGATTATAATTTTCTATTATTTATAATTTCTGTTGGTGCGCAGGGCGAGGCGTACTTTTCGGGCGTGGCGGCGGAGCGTTTCTGCGTGCGCAACAGCGGTGCGAACGCGGTAGTGGAGGGCGTGGGCGACCACGGGCTGGAGTACATGACCGGCGGCAATGTGGTGATCCTGGGCCGCACCGGCAAGAACTTTGGCGCCGGCATGAGCGGCGGGCTGGCCTTTGTGTACGACCCCGAGCGCCGCATGCCCTCCCTCTGCAATGAGGATGTCTCCGGTGACCTCAGCCCCCTGCAGGACGTTGAGGTAGTGCCCGCGCCGTACTTCTTTCTTGATGTGCTGATGTGATCTACAAATTCAATGGATGGGTTTTAACAGTGGAAAGAAGCTGTAGACGCCAAGGTAATGGAACACTTGATGGATGAAGGAATGATTGTTTGACGCCAAAATGGATGGACAACCGTTTGATTCTGAGATACAAAAGGGAGCTCATGTATCAGGGTGTTTGATAGGCATAAAGGTATACCATCAATACAAGCCCCTTCTTGCTGCTAAGATAAAGGCTCAGCTGAGGGGCAATGGTGCGTTGCAGGACGAGTCGCTGTTGGTGAGTCTGATCCAGCGCCACCTCAAGTACACGGGCAGCGCGGTCGCACGCTCTATCCTCAACGACTGGGACACCGCCAAGGCTGACTTTGTCAAGGTCTTCCCCCACGAGTTTGCCCGCGCCATCAAGGACAAGGCCGACACCAAGGTGTGCCGCCTTTCCTAATAATTTCAAGCTCGGACTCCCTCTCCTGCCTGCCATTCTTTCTAGTAGCTTTCCAGCTACAGATATCTATAGACAATTGGTTTGCATGAGTTCTGTCTGGAGCTCTGAGTCTTTGCCGCAGGCTTTCTCTGGCATGCAATCTTATGTGTGGAAAGGTTCGCAATGGAAATAAGGGGCATCTACGCATGCTCGTGAGCTGGAAGGCAGTGCAGTGCTTACACTGTGAATTGTGTGTAGGAAGGATATGTCTGCTCATAAGATGCATGCTTGCATGTGCAGGAGGCGAGGAAGGCGGAGGAGAAGGCAGCGAAAGAGGCGGGCCTGGAGGACAAGGACGCCTTCGCGGAGCTCAAGGCGCTGTCGCGCAGCGGCTCCTTCCACCAGAACGACCCGCGCGAAGATCTGGAGCGGCTGTACCGCGACGCCGAGGAGGGCGTTGTCGTGGCCGGCCGGGTGCCCACATGGGAGGCCACCCGCCCCTCCGTGCTGCCCGCCGGCCAGCCCATCAAGCACCGCGGCTTCATCGACTACCGCAGGTCCCTCCCTATTTCCTCATCCCATGTTTTTCTCTAACCTGCGGCGCCTTGTATCACCCTTCGATGTCCTTGTGCCTGTGTCCTGGAGAGACATGCACACTTGGCCCTGCCTAAGCTCCTTGCAGTGTTCTCATCCTCCTCCTCCTCGCCATCTGTTATTCTTCTCTCTGCCACCGTGCTCCTGTCCAGGGCAGAGATGTTTTGAACATGCATATGGCGGCATGGCAACTCGGTCAAATAGGGCCATTGAATACGCTGTGTGGGGTAAGGGCGCCTGGTCGGCTGAAGCCTTCATGGGAAATCAGGCTGAAAGAGGATTGTGTGTGGCGCAGGAACCCGATGCCATACCGTGAGGTTGAGGAGCGCGTGAAGGACTGGGGCGAGGTGCTGGCCAAGCTGCCGACCGCGGAGCACGCCGACCTGCTCTCCACGCAGTCCGCCCGCTGCATGGGCTGCGGCACCCCCTTCTGCCACCAGACCGACTCCGGTGCGCACACGCTGCTTCCTGGTTTACCCCCTTTACCCTCTTTCCTTGATCTGTTATTCCACTTTCACCCTAGTAGACCAGATGGACCTCTAGGTGGTGCATGCTTGTTGCTCCCTATTGGCCACATGGACCCTTTCTGCATTGCGATGCCTGCTAGGAAACAGGCAAGATTTGGCTCATGGCAATGGCGGACAAGGGGTTATGCGCGAGTCAGATGCTGACAGGGCTGGGTTGATGGATGCAGGGTGCCCGCTGGGCAACAAGATCCCGGAGTGGAATGCGCTGGTGTACCAGGGGCGGTGGAAGGATGCGCTGTACCGGCTGTTGGAGACCAACAACTTCCCCGAGTTCACCGGCCGCGTCTGCCCCGCGCCCTGCGAGGGCTCCTGCGTCCTCGGCATCAACGAGCCCCCCGTCACCATCAAGACAATGGAGGTCTCCATCATCGACAAGGTCTGCCCCTCTCTTCCTTCCTTTGCTCCCCCTTTGCACAATGCTAGATTACAGCGCACCCTGACCCATGTCAGCATCACTACCTTGCAGCCATATGCCACCTTTGCTGTCATTTTACTTGAGGGAGATTGGGTGCTCGTAGGAATGCAAATGGTCTGCAACACTCAGGCAAGGAAGGGAGCATCATACAGGCATGGGTGGGAGCATTTGCGCAGGCACAATGCAGGGCAGTGAAGAGTGTTGCTATTTGTGTGAGTGCAGGCATTTGAGATGGGGTGGATGGTGCCGCGGCCGCCGGCGGTGCGCACGGGGCGCACGGTGGCGATCATCGGCAGCGGTCCGGCGGGCATGGCGGCGGCGGACCAGCTGAACAAGATGGGCCACAGCGTGACGGTGTACGAGCGCGCCGACCGCATCGGCGGCCTCATGATGTACGGCGTGCCCAACATGAAGACCGACAAGACCGACGTCGTCCAGCGCCGTGTCGACCTCATGGTCCGCCCTTCCTCTTCCTCCCCTGTGATTTGCCCTGCTTATATCTGGCGACCCAACTTTTTCTCCTACCCTCTAAACGTGCCCTGCATGTCTCCTGCTGTCTTTAGAGGAATGGGGCTTCCTTGGGAACTGCCTCAACATGAGTGGAAGGGTGGTCTTGGAGAGATGCTAATCGTTTCCGAGTCTGGACAGTGTCCCGTTGGTATCCTCTGGGACAAACTCTCAATCCTGACACATTCTTCAGGGTCTGTTTCCAATCAAATTCAACCGCAAAGGGCCTAAAAGGATGCCGGCCGCTTTGCTGATGTGTAACGGTGCCACAGGCGGCTGAGGGCGTGCGCTTCGTCACGAACGCGCACGTAGGCAAGAACGTGGACATGAAGGATGTTCGCGCAGAGCACGACGCCGTGCTGCTGGCTGCGGGCGCCACCAAGCCGCGCGACCTGCCCATTCCCGGGCGCGAGGCCGAGGGCGTTCACTTTGCCATGGAGTTCCTGACCGCCAACACCAAGTCCCTACTCGACTCCAACCTTGCAGACGGCAACTATATCTCCGCCAAGGTAAAGCTGCCTAGCTTTAAAGATGAGACTGCCTTCTGTAGCCTGAGGAAGGTGCTGCCTTCTGTGCGTATTTTATCTATCTTATGAAGCACCTTGATTCTTGGACGGTCAGCTTTGGACACTGCCTTGTGTCTCTTCTTTCATTATTGCACATCTCTACATTTTCCCTGCTATTCTGTTGAAGAGAGTGCTTGTCGGCTGGGCTTCTGCTGAAGTTGAGTGAGTTCAAATTGCAGGACAAGGCGGTGATCGTGATCGGAGGCGGTGACACCGGCACGGACTGCATCGGCACCAGCGTTCGCCACGGCGCCAAGCAGGTGCTGCCAGTATCTCTATCTCCGCTTGTACATCTGCCAATGCCACTGCGTTTGCTTCCTCCACATCATTCTCCTCTTGTCTCCTGCCCGTCAGTTCTCCTAAGCATGCGCTAAGTCACAAGGTTGATTTATGAGCAGATTAAGATGTAGAGGGGTTATTGAGCGGTATAATTTTTTGTGGCAGGTGATCAACCTGGAGTTGATGGACAAGCCGCCGGAGAGCCGCGCGGCGAACAACCCATGGCCGATGTGGCCGCGCATCTTCCGCATCGACTACGGCCACGCCGAGGCGGCCGCCGCGTTTGGCAAGGACCCGCGCAAGTACAACGTCATGAGCAAGCGCTTCGTGCTGAACCAGGGCCGTGTTGTGGGCATCGAGATCGTGCAGGCACGCCGCTCCTTCTAACTCCCTCTGTGTGACCTCCTCTATACGAAGTCTTACGTAATGGCAAATTTGATTATATTGCACCCTCCAAGTTCAGTGCACATGCCGCGCGCAGGTGCGGTGGGAGCCTTCAGAGAACGGCGGCCGTCCCAACCTGGTGGAGGTGCCGGACAGCAGCGAGATCCTGGAGGCGGACCTGGTTCTGCTGGCCATGGGCTTCCTGGGACCCGAGGCCACCCTCGCTGAGGCCCTCGGCATTGACCTCGACCCCCGCTCCAACTTCAAGGTGCGCACTTGCCACCCGCATCAGCTCCTTGTCTGCATGCTCCCTGGATGCTCTCCTTCCTGCTTTGTCGTGTACGATCTATGGTGGGTGACTCCGGGGCTGCTGCAAGCTGTTGCACCAAAAAACCATCCGTCGCAGGTAGCATCATTGCACCAGGTTCTGACTTGACTTGCGCGCATCATTATAAGTCAGGCTGCCTGCAATTGGACGCCAGTGTCTGTCGGATCATCGGACCAGCCGGCCAGGCCTCAGTTTGCTGCACAAGCAGCAGAGCCCGGACAATGTGCTGATGGGAAGTCACTAATGTCCCCGCAGGCGGAGTTTGGCGAGTTTGCGACGTCGATCGAGGGCGTGTTTGCAGCGGGCGACTGCCGGCGCGGGCAGAGCCTGGTGGTGTGGGCCATCCGCGAGGGCCGCGACGCGGCCACCGCAGTTGACTCATTCCTGTCGCAGCAGCCCAGCAGCCGCTCCAATGGCAGCCTCCAGGCCGGGGAAAAGCAGCTGGTTGCAGCCTGATTGTTACCCACCTCACAGCTTAGGTGTTGTGAGGCGAACCATGCTGGAACGGCTCTGGTTTAAGAGGCTTGCAAGCAGGGGGAGGGAGAGAGCCGGAAGCTTGGCAGCAGTTGCGCAAAATCTGCTGGGAGAGTGTGGGTGTAAACTGATCCAATTTTGTGGTGAGGGGGGGGTGTAACGGCTTGCATGGCCTGGCTGCCCCTGGGGGTCTGATGCATCAGAGGTCGACCACTTTTGTAGATTAGGAAGTTGTTTGTACCATGGCACAGCCACTCTTCCTCCTGGTTTTACAGGAGCCCTCCTGCTGTGTTTGGCGTTGCACTTTTAAGGTCCATTGAGAAAGACCGTCCTTTGGTTCAGCACATTAGCTTGGCTGTCCTCAGCTGCCTGTGTCCTCGGCAGATTTTGACGTGGTGACTCTTTGGGGGGTGGGGGAGTCCTTTCTGATCCATTGTCGCTATTTTGAGTGAGACCTTAGCTGGTCTTGGCTTGCACTCTTTGCCAGTGTGAGTGGCATCTACTGCAGGGCCAGGGCGCTCCTGGGGTGACAGGTTGCCTTCGTTGCAATGGAGTCAGGTGCTACATTAGTGCTACCTTACTTCTTTAAGACTTCCCTGCATATGCAAGCGGCTTGGCAAGGTCCTGAGAAGATTATGTTTTACAGGTTGCTGGTGCACCATTCTTTAGGCCGTGTAGGTGTTCTGCGCGAATACGTAGGATTTGCTGTCAAGATGTGAGTTCGAGTGAGGCGGAGGCGGCGTGATCAATAGAGCATGGCGCCCTATAATGACTTTGTTGATCGAGTTCTGCACACAACAACGCAGTCCATAACGAGGGATACATTAGTTGTTAGATCTGTTTATTCTGTCGAGGTGCCACGTGGAGGTCAGCTTGATGCTGACAGCATTGGTTTGCTTTAGGAGCGTGAGTAATTGTGTACATGTTTAAGACTCGCTGTAAATAAGATTGATGCTGGGCGCTGGTCCCTTTGCATGGACCCTGCATCTTTCTGGAGGATTGTTTGCACTGACCTGAGCTCTTTCAATTTTAGAAAAATTCGCGCAGCATCCATCCCCAAGCTCATTGTAAACTCTTGCCAAGCTTGGCAAGCTTGAAAATTTTCGATGCTCCAACACTTGACATTTGCATTCCTGCGCCCTGCAACCTTTGAAGTGGAATTTTCTCACTGGCGAGACCCAGCATCCAAAATCATGTGCTGCAGCTGGAAGCGCTTCCACATTCCTTTGTGTGCATATTGGACAGTGCTAATTTCTTGGAGTCTCTCCCCACTGCAGAAGAGCTATGGCGCCAAGTGCCCTACACAAGCCTGGCGTTACAGTGGGAGTCCTTCTCGAATCTGTTCATTATTCAAGTGTTTTATCGTCATCGATTGAAGAAGCCAAAGATTTTCCGTTTGACCAGTCGCCGCTATGTCGGTCGGGCAGGGCACAAGCAAGAGTGTGTGGGGATAGTTTCGAGGTTGGAGCATAACGAGGGGCACGCTCCTCGATGCTTGCAATAAAACAGCGCAAGGCTCCGGTGTAGTCAGATTTTCCTTACAAATATAAATCTTGAATACTGTGACGAGTCTTCTACGATTCGAAGGATATTTCCTTTGTAGAGTTGGGATTCCCGACACTGTGAGGATGACAAACATACCCTTCGATCTTGAAACTTTGGGCGGTGATGCAAAACTTCGCAATGACTTGTCACTTTCAAAGCAGCCTGAGCAGCAACTTCCATCGCCAGCGTTGAGAAACAAACAGAATATAAGGCGGCGCTGGATCGCCGGCCTAGTTGCCCTCCTCATATGCCTGGCTACGGTAGTGGTGATTGTGGCAATCGTCAAGAGCGTGTCGGTCAGGCAGAGGATCAAGGGGATCAGATGTGACCTGAAAGGTGCGTAGCTTCGCATAAAAATTTGGGGTTTGGTTGTCACCCGATCCCATGCACGTCACTCAAACCCAGAAGGGCAGTCGTCCAACACGGATACCGATCCACGATAGATTAGAAGACTTAGAAGAGATAAGGCTTCAATGCATTTCAATGAGGAATGTCGTGTGGTATTTCCGTCGCTGAGCAATATGGAGTAAGAGGGTTTCAGTGAGTCATAGACGTCTGCCCATACGACACTTTCATATACGTTTCTCTGCATCACTTATGACTTAGGGTACCGTATAGATATGTGTGTGCCACTCTGCAAGCGATATGTCCTCAAAAGGAAGTTACATATGGCGTCCTTGAGTTTTGGCTTTTCGTAACAACGGCTGGGGTTTCCTCCAGGCGCAATGATCACGTTTCATTCAGTATATCCAGCATATAAAGTGTGATGCTATGGACGTTCTGGAATGGCAGTACTGCGAGGGCTTGCTATCGTGTGTTTCACCGTGACCGTGCTGTATGCAGATGACTTAACAAACGAACAGTATCCTCTGCTCTGCGGCAACACGATCTCAAAAGGCTTTCAGCGCCCCAAGAACAAGCAGGGCATCCACGATCAGCGCTTCTATGATGCAGTGCGCCCTCTGCTCAAATGCCTCACTGCCCAACAAGCAAGATAGTGTAAGGCACAGGATATTGTGACCACCCCTACCAGCACTTATAGGAGATTTCTGTGCCCCTGCGCAGGCAAAAATGCAGCCGACAGATGTGCCTGATCTGGCTGATGCCCGCTACGAGGCATACACCCAAGACATTGAGCCTGGCGTGCGGCGCTACAATGTCTTCTGGCAAGCCTTTGAGGGGTCTGATGTCTTGCCCTCACAGACACCCATCTCCTGCAAGCCTGGGTACCAGCCTGTGAGTCACTTTCACCTTCATTCCTGTGCAAAAACTGGCATTCTAAAATTTGCAAAGGACTTTTTCTGATCACACTGCAGAATCCCTGTGCAATAAGAGGCATTTAGTGAAGGGGGACTTCACACTTGCAGGTGCCCGCGAGTCTGGACGAGCTGCAGCAGAAGGGCTACAACAGGTTCCACTGCTATGCGAGCGCCCAGATCCAGCTGTTTGAGGCGTACCTGGCCCTGGATTCCCTGCACGGCATCCAGAGCTGCGCCACCATCTGGGACAGTAAGCACATCATCTTCACCGCATAACATTCTGCTAGATTTTGGGAAGGTCTTTCTGCATTTGTACTTCTATCTGCATACAATGGACATGCAGTAAGGTATAGTTGATGGGAGGAAAGAGATGGCAGGAGTGACTTTGTTGCTGTGCAGTACCGGGACCCCCCTTCCGGAGCCCTTTCTGCGGGGGCCAAATTATCCACAACGCGACCATCCTGGGAGGCTGCATCCCCCAGAGCCCGGACGTGATGCTCGACTTTCAGGACTTTGTCAACTTCATAGCAGGTGCGAGCACCAGCTCCATGCCCCTTGTATGACAGCCCTTGTCTATGCACTTTTATATCACTCCTGACAAGGCCTCTCTTACCATCTTCTGCCGATTTGCCAGATCTGAAGATTTTTGGGCTTTTCAAGAGTCCTTGAATACCTTATGACAGTTCTGGCCTGCTCACATGGCTTCTGTTTGCGCAGAGCACTACAACCGCAATGTTGGTGGTAGATTCACCCACTACATCATCTGGAATGAAGTGGCTAATGGGGATTGGTTTGACGCTTCTCCCACGATAGATAACCACAAAGAAATCTCTCAGTCAGACATCAGCCTCTGGCTGGACACGTGAGTCCTGTCCTCACTATTCCTTATGAGCCAATGGAGAAACAATGCCAATTGAAAAGGATGCCATCATGGGCAAGCTAATGCGCTTGATAGAAAGGATGTCCTTTTGGGGTGCAGGTATGCGCTCATGATGAGGCTGGCCCACGACGCCATCCAGAGGCACAGCCAGGTGCCCACAATGATCTACATCAGCCTTGACCAGGTGATCCAGCACCCTTCCAAGTTATCTTCTTGACGCTGGCAGTCTCGCTCATGCAAAAATTTCAGATGGCATGCTGATGAACAAGCTGGAAATTTTCTCTTGAATTTGGAGGGCAACTTCATTGCAAGCAGCGCTTGCAGCAGACTGAAAGCAGCCTATACTTACTGACTCCCTTTGGAGTGCTGAGCAGATATGGGAGAAGCAGGCAGGAGCCTGCCCGCCCTACCTCCCAGGGCTGCAGCACTGCCACATAGGTAGCCTGAATGTGGTGAGGGGCATGTGGGAGCGGCTGGGCCTCTCCATGGACTGGAGCCTGGCCATCCACCCCTATGGCAACCCCACCAAGGCATGTCCTCCGCACTGATCAACCTCCCCTTGCTTGCCTGGCACTTGATGCCACTCAAATTCCACCTCGCATGCCTGACATGCCACTCTCCTGCATTTCTTTCTTGCACGCCTTGCGATTACATCATGGCAGCCCTGTCTCCTTACTCGGGTACATGGCGGGAGAAACACCTTGTAATCTTGCATTTCTCTTTATTGAAGGCAGGAGTTGTTGTCATGGTGTGGTGAAGCTGGTGTGGGGAATTTTAGAACGAGGTTGTGGGGGGTGTGCCTGCAGCCGGACTGGCCGACATACTTCCACTTTGCGGACATTGACCGCATAGCAGAGTTCCAGATGGACATGCTGCGGCGCGCGGGAGTGGCAGAGCCGCACCGCTGGCCCCAAGCCATGATGGCCGCTACCGAACAGGGCTGGCCGGTGAGCGCCATTCGTGACTGAGATTTGTGTCGCAGTGACTAAAATTGCTGAATGTGTTACTGCAACATCAATAGCCCACCATCTCGCAGCACTCTAGGTATCACATTGATTTCAAAAGCTAGGAGATTGGGTGGCTCAAGTGGCTGTGCTGGGCTGGACACAGGCTGTGACTAAGGAGCAGGAACTGCAGGCAGCTAGCTACATATGCATCGCCCATGACATCGTAGTGGCCAGTCAGTTTGCGCTCTTTGTGACCCACAATGACTTCCAGCAACCCAGCCTTGATGACCGCACCGGCCTCATTCCCCGTTGGACAGGTAAGGCTTGTTCTGTCATACAGTGTCTCTCTGTACCGGATCTATTCCTTTTTGCTGCAAGCTATCTGCTGTCAGGTTGCAGAGCTAGGGGGTGTGCTTTGCAGGGCGCACACTGAACAACACAGACAGGATGCAGTCCTCAACTTTTGCGGCGTACATTTCGTCCCACCCCAGCATTTGGAATACCGACCCCAGCCACTACTGCTGCATGATGCACCAGCGCGGCTGCCCCACATCTGCCGGCAAGGCCAATGCCCCAACCTATGCCAGCATCTGAACTGCACTGCTTGGCTTGATCAGCCTCACACCGGCAGCAAGCAAGTGATTGCTCGGAAGATCTTCATTAGGAAGAGTAGCGTAGCAAGTTCTGGTCTGAAGCTATTGTGTGTGCATTGAAATATCATGTACACTGCAGGTAACGAGTAGGCTAACAATTTACTGAGCACAGCGCTTCCCGGGCAGCCAGAGCGCATTTGGTTGGCAGGAAAGAGCCGGGCTGCTGTTGCAACTAAGTAGCACATTCTGATACTTGGTACCTGTACTGATTTGTACATTATTGTGACTGATTGACAAGATCAGACATTAGGACTAGCAAGCATTTTTGCTAGGAGTGCCACCTGTCTTACCAGCTACCCGCTTGTCTGTTGCCAATGGATTGCTCTATTATAAGTACGTTTCACATCGTCTTCATTCAATCTTTGCAGAATGATATGAATAATTACGCAATGTATAGCTCAATTAAGTGGATCAAGATACTGTTTCAAGTTGAAACTTTCAACTAGGAATTAAGCACCTTCCAACAGGTGGGAAGCTGCCTACCCACTTCTCAAACCGTCGATTGGACAGAACAAATTTCCTCCTGGATGAGTGCAAACGGCAGCAGATAGTGAATGATCTGTATTAGTTTGTCTAATTCCCTCATCAAATGATCACTAAATCATGAGAACGCACACCGTCAGAAACCAAACATCGGGATGTCAACCGTTGAAGTTGGGTTGTAAAGGCGAGTTCTGAAGCACCATTTAATAAATTACAGAGGAACAGGATGGTGCCTTATGAGTGAGGTTCTTTGAGTCTGAAATCTTCCAAAAAGCAGGAGCTGATGATGCGTTGGCCACCAAAGTTGCAATGGTGTGTGCTACCGCAGGTAGACCCTTATGCCGCACCAAATATAGAGCTTTCACACCGATTTGTAGTTCCAACGCAGCGGCGTCAAGTAAGGCTGCCACCGCTGCTCCGTTGGCGTCCTCGAATGGAGCTGACAGTTATGGGGTCTTCAAGCTCAGCTATGATGTCAGGAACGTGAGTCATATGCGAGAGTATCCAATTCTTGCCCTTATGCGTTCCTACAATTTTGTAAATAAATTAGTACTTTATGCTGGGCCCCTTGACTATCATTTTGTGGCTTCTGAGTCCAGGAAGACCAGGAGCTTCTACAGAAGGTTTGGAAGAGCTGCATCAGAGTGGCGGTCAGTGGCGCAGCTGGCAATATATCCAGCCATCTCCTCTTCATGGTGACGCATTCATTTTGTCGGCACCATCATGACATACAGCGCCATCCATCCCTTGTTCTACGCTGGATGAAGAATGCTTCATCTGTCACATGCAACTGTTCCTGCGCAGCTGGCTAGCGGAGGGGTGTTTGGGATGGATCAGCCTGTCAGCTTTCAGCTGCTGGGGAGTGAAGAATCGCTGCTGAAACTGGAAGGCGTTGCCATGGAGCTTGAGGACAGTTTGTACCCGTTACTGAGAGAGGTGACAGGCCTTTATTGCAGATGTGCTCTCAAGCTATTGCTTGCGAAGATGTCCACCACCAATTATTGTGCAGCTGACATATGGGCCAATGGTCAGGTGAGAATAGGGACAGATCCTCGCAACTTGTTCAAGGATGCTGACTGGGTCATACTGCTCGGGGCACACCCACGGACGCCAGGCAAGTTTCCGCCTTTGTTGGGTAACGCTAGTAATATCTGCGCAGTCGATTGCACATCAGATGACTCATTTCTGCATTAACAAACGCCAACTCCTTTGTACTGCAGGTATGACAAGGGCAGAGCTGCTTGACATCAACGGGCAGATCTTCCGTGAGCAGGTCAGCCACCAACCCTCAAGCTATAATTATGGGCCCATCAAAGAGATTCTGGTTGCTATCTCTTGCATTGATCGCTCCTGCTCAGAAGTTGGCATTGCATGCATCTCCTGGTGGCAGCTTCATTTGAGAGAGGGGTGCCAACGGAGATGTGACAGATGTGCTATGTCTGAGTATTGAAGCACTGGCAGCTGAGCAGAGAGGATGGTGGTAGGGTCGCGCGTTGGACGAGGTGGCGAGCAGAGACTGCAAAGTGCTGGTGGTGGGCAATCCCTGCAACACCAACGCGCTGATCTGCATGGAGAATGCGCCTCGCCTGCGCAGAGAGAATTTCCACGCGCTGACGCGGCTGGACGAGAATCGTGCCAAGTGCCAGCTGGCGCTCAGAGCGGGGCGCTTCTACACCAGCCTCTCTCGCGTCGCCGTCTGGGGCAACCACAGCACCACCCAGGTGCTTGAAACCTCGCCAAGTACCTTTGCCATCCTGACCATTTTTGTCTTGCAGAGATGAGCTGATAACTTTTTGCCAGAAGATCAATGCAGCTTGCTGAGGTGCTGAGTTTAGACTTCGTGGGATGGTGAGACAGAAGGTGTTGGAGTCACCAGGGTCCTTATATATATTAAGAAGGCGTCCTAGAGGCAAAAAATGGCGCAACCCTAGTACAATCACAGGACAAACGCACAGCACCTTCACACTACAACCGCATCACGCTACAAACTGTGTGACAGCAAAGCAGCATCCTTGTCCTTGGCATTCGTTGACAACACGACTGCACAATGGTGGCACAGATGTGTGGATACATTAGCAGTACTTTAAGACTGTAGAGGTGTTGTTTAAGCAGGTACCAGACTTTCTGAACGCCCGGATCGCGGGGGAGCCTGCCGTTGATGTGATTGGAGTTGAGAGATGGTTCAGAGAAGAGTTCACACCGACCGTTGCAAACAGAGGTGAGGAGCTGCTGCGGCGCAAGCTGCCAACCCATATTGACCATTGAGTAGCTTGTACATAGCTCAAAAAATTGTGGGCTTGACTGGGCCACGTATTTTTGCAGGTGGCGCTATTATAGAGAGGTGCAGCAGATCCACAGCAGCTTCAACAGCAGTCAGCATTGCAGATGCGCTCAAGAGCTTAGTCACGCCCACGCCGGAGGGTGACTGCTTCTCTAGCGCAGTCTGCACGGATGGCAACCCATATGGAATTGCTGAGGGCCTCATCTTCTCCATGCCATGCCGATCCAAGGTCGTGCTGCCTCCAAGCCTGCCCAATTCTTTAATACTAGGCATGCATAGAAATGTGGGCAAGCATGCTGTGTTGAAAGTGCATCCCTGCTTTAAGGCAGGTACTTGCTGGAGCCGCATGCATGACAGAGACTGATAGACCCTATGTTTGCAGGATGATGGGCGGTATGAGATCGTGGACGATTTTGTGATTGATGAGTGGCTTGATGAGAAAATTACGGTGGGTCCACTCCTGCCTCATTTGGAAGTGCTCTTCAGAATGTAAATTTCCAAAATCCCAATGCAAGGTGCCTTTCAGAGTTTGCTTTCCCTGCCTCTGCTCTGAATTACTTCTGCGATATTGCTGAGTGGCAGGCGAGTGAAGAGGAGTTGCTAAAAGAGAGGGCATGCGTGTCCCATTTGATCCCCAATGCCCCGCCCGCTGCATGTGAAATCACCCTGGACACCATGCTGCCAGGCGAGATTTGACAATACCGCCGTACTTTTGGATCCCTCGAAAGGCTTTTCATTGTTTGCCAAATAATTCCGCTAATAGCGCTGCAGTCTGCTTGTTTCTCAGGGTCTAATCAGTGCGAACAATGTGCATTCCTTTGTTGTTTGAACATGATTTGTACGGGCCATTACAACAGTCTTTTCATGGAACATGTCTAGCAGCAGGACTCTTATAGTACTGAAGAGGCATTGTCAAGGAATGAAAAACCATTGATTCCTATGAGACTTACAACTTTTCCCACTTACATGCTCCAATCATGACGCGTCTAGTGTTGCAAAAGCACTCTTGGTACATCCCGTACATACGATATGAACATCCCAAGTGCAGCTCTTTTATCTGCCGACTTGTCCTCTCGGTCCTCGGCCCACTCTGTCATCATGCAGGCCAGCATAGCTGGCTAGAAATCAAGCACAGCAGCTCTGGCCTGCAGGCGCTTGGGCAGCGGTCCAGTCAGGTCCTTCACCAGGCGCCTCAGGTACGAGCACTTGGCCTCATGCGGCCATGACGGATTGGCCTGCAGCAGTGCACCGTTCATCTCAATACTGTATATCCTCCGAAAGGGAATCCTCCCAAGGAACACAGTTTGGAGCACCAGTATGTGCCCATGTGCCCCGTAAGGGCAGCAAATTCAACGGGCGAAAGGTGGAAGAAGGGCGGAGGGAATGCCACCTGCAGCATGCGCAGGGAGCGCTGCAGGTGGCCGTGCATCGCGTGGCCCTCTGGCAGCAGCTCTGCAGCCAGCGACTCCAGCTCCTCCAACTCACCCTGCACTCACAGGGCCACAGACTCAGCATTCTTCAGCCTGCAGCATGCTGAACCTCACCAGCTCTCCCTCACGCTAGGCCCCAGAAACGGCAGCTGTCGGGGTCTGTCCTGCGACCTACACTGCTTTACGTCCATGGCGCTCCAAAAGGCCGGTCCGCATCAGCATTAAACTTGCAGTGTCTGACCAACATTTGCTCATTTGGGCTAGAGTCGCACCTTTTCATAATCCCAGGATAATTCTCAAAATAGTTGGCTTCAATCTGATCCAAAAGCAGATCATGCATGCAGCACTCAAGGCTGCCAGGGCGCGCACCCAGGTGTCGGGGGTGGATTGGATGCCCAGGGAGTCGATCTCCTCGGCGATGCCCTCCACTGCCTCGGCCCAGGCCTCCTCGTCGCCGGGTGCCATGCCCAGCGTGTGCATGAGGTCCGGCTTGAGCCGCTCCAGCGCCTCCGCCGAGCTCAGCCGCGGAGCCGCCACGCGCGAGGGCGGCGGCGCGCCAATCGCGATGTCCAATCCAGGGTCCAACAACTCCAGCTGCGCATGGGAAAATGATGTCAGCACTGTCTACTGGTCTCATGCGTGCTGATGGGCACATTGCCTGGCATGAGTGGGCCAAAGACCACCGGAAGGTTGCAGGGATTGCCACACCGGCAGAAGCAGAAGCTATCTGGTGGTCAAGCCTGGACCTTGTGTCCAAGAGCGGTGATAGTGTCGGTTTCAACTTCCAAAGACAGTGTTGTGTGGAACACAGTAAAACACAGAGATCCTGCCAAAACAGAGCCTGTAAGCTTGAGTGGATGAGGAGACGCTCGCAGGCGCGGTGCAGGGAGGGTGCTGCTGAGATGAGTCACCTTGGCGGTGCGCTCGCGATCCTTCATGATCTCGGCCGGCACCGGGATGAAGGCGGGCGGGTCGGCTTCGGCCATCTGCCAGGGCCCCGGGCGCATGAAGCCCAGCCGCTGCTCCTCCTCCACAAAGCGCGCCATCGCGTCCCGGGCCTGCAGCAACCGCCCACATCTCTCGAATCCAAATTGTCATGGAGCAGAATTCCTTGCAAGGTGCGGAGTGACATGAGCAGAATAAAGCGGGGGAACTCTTATGTCTCCATCATGCCTCTCGATGAATAATAGGTAGGCCATAGGAGGCTAAAGCAGCTGTTCCATGTATGACATTGATCATGCAAGACTTCTGTGTGCCGTACAAGTCTCACGCAATTGCAGACATCGCACTACTTTGTCATTGTGTTCGGGACGACAGACCCACCTCCCTCTCCTCCTGCGGGTTGACGCCAGTCTTCCACATGCTTTCTCCCTGCCTGCCCTCAGCCCTGTTATATTCCTCGTCGACCTCTGCCAAGCCGCCCCAGTCCTGTGCTGCTTGCCTGCACAGCAACCCCTCACTTGAGCCATTTCCCTGCACAGGCTGGCAGCAGATTTTCCAGGTTCGCTGGAACGCCCAGAGCCATGCACCACAACCCTGGTGTGGTGTGAGCTACGCTTGCATTGTTGACAAAATAATATCCACCCCTGCTGCCCTGCTTTTGTGTGAGGTCTCTGTGGATTTGGATGGATCGCTACCCTCCCAAACAGTCATACAGAAAGGGGCTCAAAATTTTGTACCTGCGGGCAGGCCTCCTGGCCACATCCCCTCCCTCCTGCCCCTGCATAGCGCCGCCCCTGCCAGGGCCGCGGCTGCGCATGGCCAGGGCCCTCTCCTGACCGCCCTCCTCCTCAGGCGCACCGTCTCGCATCGGCTTCTTCATCAGCGACTGGCGGCGCCCCTGCCACAGCACATACATCCCCCAGACATCAGACGCTGCAGTGAAGCTATCATCATCCAATTTGATCTCCTCTCTTATGTGAGTTTGAGCACATCTTCATAAGAAAGATCCGTGAAAGTGCTGTCAAATTGCTAACTCAGCTGGAAGTGATGGGTACCAAAGACATGTGTTTGAACAGCCAATGTGTATAAGCAGGGCTGCACCCGGTTCCTGGGGCCCAGTGAGGGGGCCAGTGGGTCCTCATCGGCGTCCTCAAATCGGCCGGAGGCAGCTGGCGGCCACTGCTCCTGCCCGTCCTGCCTCTGCTGCCCTCCCCTGCCCATCTGCTGCCCATACGGCCCCGGCCCTGGCCTGCGCATGCCGCCCTGCCACACCGCACATGCACCAAGTTACAGACAGCAGATTTTAAGTGACCCAAGGTTTATTGGGTCTTGCTTGGATCTATCTAGCGAGCCCATCAAGGGGAAGGGTCTTGGCACCCTTTTCATGGAGATCGTCTGCAGACGCATCTTGCCTCTTGGCAGGAAAGGCGTGCAAATTCTAAAAGTACTGTCATATCTTACAAGCCAGAGCCTCACAGCTTTAAAGCATTAGGGGAGCCTAAATCATGACGCAGTAATACAGCAAGTGGTGTGAGGCAGACCTGCTGGGGAGGGCCCATCCTCCTCTGTGGTGGTGGCCCCTGTGGCGGCCCCTGTCTTCGGTCAAAATAAGGGGCCTGGGGCGGTCTCATCTGGGGCCGCATCGGCCTCATTCCCTGGTCCTGCTGAGAACAATCACCGGTGATATGTCAATATAAGTCAGTGCTCAAACTTCCAGGCTGGCTGCAGCTTCCTGCCAGTAGCTCTGTGCCTATATATACATCGCAGACATTCGCGCATGTCCATGGACATGCAAGATCCAGATTATTATGTGCAATGGGAGTGAGCACTTGCCTGCTGCATGTTGCTCTCCTGAAATCTGCCCGGTGCGCCTGGCCCAGGGGGTCTGGGTGGAGCTGCATGCACAGTGTGATGGTTACTATACTGCATTTCAGTTGGTGTGCTGATATATATCATCAGAATGCTGAGATCTAGGAAGAATTGAGGATGTGACAATTGTGCTCCTGAGCCCTTGTGTCCTACCTCCCTGCTGCCGACTGTCCTGCGGCTGAACAGGTAGACTCAATCCTCTGCCCCGTCCACGGCTCCTGGCAGGTCCTGTTGTCTCAGGAGGAGCACTAGCCCTGCAGACAGGAGACAACAACATTCGGGCGTGATAGAAATACGATGTGGAGCCCAGCCCCACAAGCACTGAGCAGGAAATAAAACAAGGGAAGGATAGAAGTTCCATCCATGAGGATGATGGTATGTCCCACCCTGGCTCTGAAGACAAACTACGCCCCATGCCCACACCAAGTTGAGCACCCGCAGCTGTCCAAGTTGGCAGACTTTGCTGCAAGACATGCTGTGCCAAACGTCGTCTTCCCTGAGCATTTATCATTGTGAGAAATCTGAAAATGTCTTGAATGTTCCCAAAAGTTGGGTCAGCGATTCCAACTAGATCGGGATCTGCCCCGGACTTCCCTGAACTGCATAGCCAATCTGCTACGTTATAGTTGCAGCAATCTCAAAGATGAAGCCACGCTATCCTAGCATGCTTTGCAAGAATGAAAATTATTTGCGGCCATCAGCGAGAGAGAGAAAACCCTACATGCTGACGACTAGACCCTGGAATCTGGTTCGTGTCCATCAATCTCTCTTTCTGAGGAATCGCTCTTCTTTGACGTCGATTTTGTTAGAATTTGGGACTGCAAAGCTTTTGTACAGTTTATATTAGCTCAATTGAATTGCACAGCACCAATCAATTACCCAGCTGATCAGTCCGAACACAAGGAGTTCATAGTTCCACTTGCGAAACGATCAGGACTTGTACGATTGAGACATTGTGAACTATCGAGTGAATTTTTCCAAATTGACAGGAAGCCTAATACGCAGCGGTACGATTAGAAGTGCAGTCTCTAATGGCTTGAAACGACAGCACTTTTCTTCTCCATCGTACTTGCTGCAGGCCACAGAATGAAGAGAATACTAGTCGCAGTAAAGCGGGTCATTGATTACAATGCTCGAGTTCGTGTCAAAGCAGACAAGGTGCGTTGTCTCTTCTGTGAGCAGTCCCATCAGCCCTGACTTGACTCCCAAACTCTATGGGGATAGCAATGGCTTAGCAAAAGGCTGATATCTGCAGAGTGGTGTGGAAACTGCCAACGTGAAGATGAGCATGAATCCATTCTGCGAAATTGCAGTAGAGGTAACCTTGCCTCCTCACCTTTTCCGCTGCCATTTAAAGGAGAGACAAAATCATTTGAAAGGGTTTGAAAAGGCTTGAAGGGCTTATTGCATCCGTCAGGAAGCCCTGCGGCTTAAAGGAAAGAAGTTGGCAGAGGAGGTCGTTGCAGTCAGCCTAGGACCCAAGGCCTGTCAGGTGCGGCGGCAGGCCTCAACCGTGCCAAAAAATTTGCTAAAGAGTCTCTAAAGTGCCAGTCATTCGTCAAATCCAGAGTCCAAACGTTGCTTCAATATTACCATCGCAGGATCAGATCAGGACAGCAATGGCGATGGGGGCGGACAGGGGCATCCACGTGCTGACAGACACCGAGCTGCAGCCGCTGGCAGTGGCCAAGCTGCTTGCCAAGATCGCGGAGCGGGAGACCCCAGACATGTTTCTGCTGGGAAAGCAGGCCATCGACGACGACTGCAACCAGACAGGCGCGCTGCCTCACTTGCATCCTCCCATCACTGCTGTCACAGCTCGCACACATGCAAACTACAGCCCTGAACCCGGACCACTGCACTCAGTCAGATCCCTTGCTAGTGTAGCCGCACCTGGGACAAACCATCATGACAGCCGTGGTCTTTGTAGCTCATCCCAAGAGAGAGTCACTGCTGCAGATCGCATGCATACCGGCCTGAATGAACTTGTTGCCGCAAAGGGAGGCTCAGAGTAAAGTATTGTGTGCGCAGGCCAAATGCTGGCGGCACTGCTCAGCTGGCCACAAGCGACATTCGCATCAAAGGTGGAGATGGAGGCAGGCAATAAGAGAGCAGTTGTGACAAGAGAAGTTGACGGGGGGCTTGAGACGCTGCGGCTGCGGCTGCCGGCGGTGGTGACTACAGACTTGCGGCTGAACGAGCCGCGGTATGCCACGCTGCCCAACATCATGAAGGCCAAGAAGAAACCCATCGACCAGCTCACACCCGAGGTGCGTCTGACTGCTGTTCTGTGCAGTCTCGGCCTATACTTGGTAGCTTAGACGGACCAAGTGTGGACAGTTGTATTTGTCCCACAGTGAAGGCAGATTTGGCTGTTTTGCTTGTGGAGAAGTGAACTCAGTGAATCCAGATCAAGGTGGTTCAAAGAAGAATTTATGGATATATGCTGCGTTTGCAAAGCGCTCTTGCTGTACCATTTGTGGTTGGCTGATTCCAAGGCTATCAGCACATGACAAGCTTCTGGGGAGTTGAAACCGGAACGCATGCTGCCCTGGTGTGCCATATTTGTATATCAACTGTTCCAGGACTGCGATGCTGCAGGAGCTTGGCGTGGACGTGGCACCCAGATTGCAGACAGTCAAAGTAGAGGAGCCGCCCAAGCGCAAGGGCGGCATCATCGTTAAGTCTGTGGAGGAGCTTGTGGACAAATTGCGCAACGAGGCCAAAGTGCTCTAGATACTGTGACTGCCGTCGCAATTCCGTGTACTGTCCAGCATGTTAAGGGTCTCAATGGAGACAGGGTCATTGAACATGATCTGGCATAGCAGACAGATGTTGGAGGGTCAGTAGCAAAGGATGCTATTTCCAATGACTTGGCCGCACAGGAGTCTGTGATCTTCTTACATCTAGATTTAGGATACAAGCCTTTGCATAATGTTAAATTGTTTGCTACGCATCTGCTGAATTAGTGCTTGTTTTTGCACTGAACTTCATTGAAGGAAGGTTGGAGAGTGATGGCGGGAAAGACAGCACTGAATAAGGATGGTGCAACGCATGTCCTGCACGGCTTCTCAGCGTGGATCAGAGCTCCAACTATCTCTCTCACATCTACTTGTCATCTGTGTCATGGTCCACAACCCCAGCCCTCGCTGCTATGAGTTCCTGTGCATCAAGGCACCGCTCCAAAATGCTTTTGTCTGGCACCTGCATGCCAATGTGCGAGCACCCACTCATATCAAAAATTACCATTTCCGCAATGCGATAGGATGCAATGAACTGCGGGGGTGCGTTGCTTCCTTGAAACATCAAAGGAGTGCATGAAGCTTGTAGCGAGTGAGCATGGCTGCCCGTCAGCAGATGGGCACATGCAGACTGAAGAGAGTCACAGTCGGTTCCCACCTGGCATTGGTTCGTCTTACCAAACCACTGATACCTGTGGTGGGCCACAAAGCCATACACAGCATCGCGCACAGGCACAGGCACAATAAGAAAAACGCGTGCCAGCGGCCAGGGGAATTTCAAGAGCCCTGCGACCTGGAGCAAACATAAAAGTCATAAACGGTACACTACCCAAGGATGTTTGAGCAACAGAGGTCCTGCTAAAGCAGTTAGCACGCTCACATCCAGCGCAGCTGTTGATGCCCTCGAACAGCTGTCTCCTTGGATGAAGACAAAGCGTTGGAGCACCTGCTCGCGCGAAAGCCGGCACCTGCAAAGGTGCCAAAGGTCTCTGTCTATCCGCTGAGAAGTTTTGGGACACAAGGGATATCCTTATGTAGAGGCGTACACATCGAGGTACGGTTGAGCTTGCTTGCTTTGTACAGCGCAGAAGTTGATGGTCCTGGTGCTATCCCTTTTGGCTACAAAGCGAATGCCCGAGTTGCACAGGTTGCAAACGCCTGTCCATAAACGGCAGGAAAATTTTCAGAGCTTCATACCAGCAATCATGTAAGTTTTTTCATTTGCGCATATCTTACCATCATATAGAACTACGCGTGGTGCCGCGAGGACCAATCTGGATGCTGTGGCCATCCTGATGCCATCCCTTGCGGGTGCGTCCAGATGAGCTAAGGTGAGGTGCTATCAAAGCATCTTAATAATTTCTCTGTGATGCACTTTCCAAAACGCTTCTCATGTGTCGATAACAGTAAGAGAGAAGTTGCCTTCATAAAGTAGGTCAGCAGCTTCCCTGGAGAAGGAAGCTGGCACAGCACCGGCTTTGGAGCCGAACATCTGGCTCCTCTCAAGCACCGTCTTAAACGAGAAGCTGGGAAGTGCAACATCGATATAGACAACGTGGACGTAGGGAACATCGAAATTGGGCTTCACATTCCAGACATGACATGGCAGTTGAGAGACGACTTCAAAATTTTTTATGGCGTTGCACTGGGCCGAGACAGTCGTGATGGTAGAAGCAATCGAGAAGCATCAAGCAAAGAAACAAGCAGACATCTTTCTGGGCACATGGCCTGATAGGATCCAGAAAGTCCTGGGGCGTCGTTCGTAGCTTACAAATTGCATGCAGATCTCAAGAGGCACAATTCCGCCAGGGTTTGCAGCAGATGCGAATAAGAGGTGCCTCTGCAAGCTGTTGACATCAGAAGAATGGTCAGGGTATCTGTGATCACTTCAAAAACAATTGCAGCACCATGCATGATGCATCTGCATATGTGGTGATTCTAACTGCAAGAGTAACATGCGCAACATGATATGGACCGATGTCAGTCTTGTAGCATTCTTAATTGTCACAGTGGTCTTGACTCGTCAACGGCCTGTTTAGGACCAGAACTTCTGGTCCAGAAGTGCACACGTCAGCCAGTATATCTGTACAGGACCCCTCACATGTGCTGCTTCTTCATCAGAGCTTAGAACCAAAACCTGAAAACTCATGCAGATAATGGCAGGCTCAATTTCAGTCATCACGCATCAGTCATCAGCAAGAAGGTTCTCATGGCCTCAATTGCTTTAAGGAAACACAAGTCAATCTGCACAGCTGCTAATGAGCTCTTCATGAAGTTGCTCTTGATCAAGTTTAGCAGCATTGCAAGCAATCACATTCTGCCCTAAATAATAAGAGGATTATTCTTATAATCAAGTCTGCATATTGACAGCGTCCCTGAGCTCACCTCGCCAAGGGGCAGCAATACACCAGTGACAATAACAGGCTTGAAAATTGCCCAGAAGCCCTTCAGTAGAAAATTCAAGATACATAAAGTACGCAAGAAAGCACCTGGCTCTTTCGTTGCTATTTTGCGACTCGGTGAACTCAGCTGGCATGCACTCATGTGTACCCAAGGGAATTGAAGCAATATGTTCAGACGTTTTTCAGTGGGCAGGGTACAATAAGCACAACAGGCAGCCCCTAAAATTGGCTCGAGCCTGTGCTGGCAGGAAGGCATGACAGGAACACTACAGTCTGACCTGCGTCGAAATGTGCTCTTGTGAGGAGACCAATGGTCCAGGGTGCCCGTGAACAGTTGCACTATGGTGTAGGGTTTGCTACTGCAGTGTGTACATGCATATGTGGTTCGATTAGCCAAATGTGCTGGTCTCAGGAGGTGAAAAAGACAGGTTTTTAGTGTGTGTATCAGACTTTGCAGCCCTGAAGCCCTGAAGATAGTTGCTGGATGTGTCCAGTAAGAGCAGAAGGTGAGAACAGACGGGCAACATTACTGCTAAACATTTATTAATGTCAGCAGAAAAGGGTCCTTAGACAGTTGAGGCCTGTACAAAACTCCGTTACATATTGTTTCCAGGCCACTGAAGACCATGTCGTACATAGACCGAGCTAAAAGAGATGGCATCCAAATAATCTTAAGAAAGAACATCTGGAGACTATCCCTCAATGACAACTGAAAGACGACAGGACTGTTCACGCTTAGCTTTTGACAAGCACAAAGCAAGCAACTACCTCATATAAGTCATGACAGAGCGCTTATGACAGCTGTGTAAGCCACATTTCAGGACGGTGCTAGGGAAATTAGTTTAAGACTAACAGACACTCAATGCCAAGTTCCAGTTAGTCTCCTCCCAAGAAAAGGACAAGGTCAATTATGCACACGGCTAAGCACGAGTTGCATTCACCACAGGTGAAGCAGCTGTGCATCTGGCATGTGTTTGCAACAGAGCACTGCTGCTGCAGCCCAGACAAGCGGTACAAGCTCACTCAGAGCGTGCAGCATAGCTGTAGAAGTCGGACGCCCGGCAGTCAATGCCCACCATGGCGGGGCCCAGCCCAGTGCTCATCTCTGCCAACACCTTGGCGTCGTTGTAGTGAGTCACAGCCTGCGGTGCACACACGCTCCTTACTTACCCCTCCCCACATGAGCACACCCTTTCCCATTTGCTTTTAGAAGTCAGCACGCCTCTGCAACTACATGCTCTGCACTCAGATGCCCCTTGGGAAACAACAGTGCTCACACAAACCAATGACCAGAGCCCCCAGCATTGCAATCACAGAAAAATATATCTGGCCACCCCAGCACCACAAGCACAAGAACAAAGTTCCAAGACACCCCACCATGAAGCGCAGAAACAAATCTGTAGAGACAAAATCAAGGTCAATAAGAATGTCCGCGCGATTCAGGGCTGGACCTGAACAATGGCGCGGGCGCGCTTGGCCGGGTCGCCAGCCTTGAAGATGCCACTGCCAACGAAGACACCATCCATGCCCATCTGCATCATCAAGGCGGCATCGGCCGGGGTCGCCACACCGCCAGCCGCAAAGTTCACCACTGGGAGCCTGCCCAGGTGCTTTGTCTGAGCACACAATCATAGAAGCCACTCAGTGTACGTTCTCAATGCGGCTTCTCAATGCAGCTCTCTCCAGAGCTAATCCTAGCGAAATGCAACTTCACGATGCGCCTTGATGCAGCTCTCTCCCAAGCTATCCCTAGCGCCTTGCCCAAATATTGAAAAGCGCTACTTTGGCTATCCTCTTGCAACGTCTTCCGCAGCACATGATCCTGAGGCGGGGGAGATCACGCGCCAGAACAAGAAACCGAAAGAGGACAGTCAAAATTTATGCCTGGGTTCAAGGAGCTGTCAAGTGAGCAGCGGAGCAGCAATACAGTGATACTGTGGCATAGTGTGGCTGACCTGGCGAACAAGCTCGATAGGGGCGCGCAGCTCCTTGGCGTACACATAGAGCTCGTCGTCGTCCATGGTCTGCAGCGCGCGGATGGCGCCCATGACCGACCTGCAGTGCCTCACTGCCTCCACCACATTCCCAGTGCCAGCCTCACCCTGCACATGATCCCACTCATCAGGGCTGATTTCTGAGGGTCAGCTGTGTGCAAGACTCTTAGGCTCAGTGCAACCACTCAGGCTCAACTCTCTTTGTCCATATCTCATCAGCCTACAGTGAGAAACAAGACTCTGCGCATTGCAGAGGGTCAGGGAGGGGTCCGTTGCGGTAGGAAGCTCACCTTTGTCCTGATCATGGCAGCACCCTCGGAGATGCGGCGCAGGGCCTCGCCGAGGTCCCGGCAGCCACACACGAAGGGCACCTTGAAGTTGTGCTTGTTGATGTGGTGCTGGTCGTCTGCTGGAGTCAGCACCTGCTCGTGCACAGGAGCTGCGATCAGTGGAAAGAACAAAGTGCGTTTCCAGAGCTGTGAATCACCAAAAATCAGGACTGTAATGAATCGATGAGGGGCTCAGAGGAAGTGCTCACCTCCGACTCGTCGAGGTAGTCCACCTCCAAAGCCTCGAGGATCTGGGCCTCCACGAAGTGGCCGATGCGGGCCTTGGCCATCACGGGGATCGTCACGGCCGCTTTGATCGCCTTGATGACCTCGGCGTCGCTCATCCTGGCCACGCCGCCCTCCTTCCGAATGTCGGCAGGCACGCGTTCCAGGGCCATCACGGCAACGGCACCGGCCTCCTCTGCAATGCGAGCCTCCTCTGGAGTCGTGACGTCCATGATGACGCCGCCCTTCAGCATCTGGGCCAGACCCACCTGTATACCACCAAAACAACTGCTCAGAAAAAGCAGAACTTTTTTAATGTGATGTATTCGCGATCCAATGGAGATGGCATGGTCTACAAGATTTTACAAAGACCTCATACCCTGCAACGTCTTATAAATCAAACGTGAAAGTGCAACTGCACCGACGCACCAGTTAAATGGGAACCACTAGTACAGCAAGAAACGGCGACGGAGAGGCATGAAGAACGCAAGGCATCATATCTCATACAATGTAAACTTCGCAAACACTTATCATATGACAACCAAACTCATTGAAGTAGAAGGGGGAAACCTAAACAAGATGCACCGTACGCACCTTCACGGCGAAGGTCCCCTTCTGTGCCTCCGTCATGGTTGTTTCGGTCTGTATGTAGCAGGAACAAAGGAAATAGGTAATGAGACCAACAACCTGGGGGATTCTTTCGACGTCTACGCGGAGCTATGTGAACCTGTTCTTGGAGGTCGTGGCGTGGTTCAACGCCAGGACGCCGTGTCAGAACGTGACGTTTACATCATCTCTGACGTGGCGGCGACGCGGCCATTCTCCTTCCTCTGTACTCTCGAGTTTCTTTTTTGGGAGATTGATCGCTTGAATGTATTGTTGCAAGCATTGAGGGTTTTTTGTGATGGCTTAGTTTTACACAGGTTGCATGAAGCTCTCAAATTGGTGAAAGGAAAGTAATTACACAGAAGACTTTAATAGTGGATAACTAGTGCGGGATCTGCGAATTTAAAAGAAACTTGCAAGTCTTATGAAGCAATCGAAGCCTCGACAGGGGCTGAGTCTTGAGCGCTTTGCTCATGCAAAGACTACATCGTACGACAAGAAGAAGGCCAAAGAAAAGGAATTTGCGCTGAATGCCAAAAAGGTGAACAAGTACAGGAAGCTGAAACAGCGTCTGGCGAAGGAAGGCAAGCTTGTGCCGCTGGCGGGACCCATCACACAGGTATAGCTCTCTCTGCTCCTGTTTGGGTTGGGTCTATCCTTCACTTCAAAGATCATGCGATGCAACAAGTTTTAGACAACGTGCAGGGTGATGGAGATGAGGAGGAGCTTGTTCGAAAGGCGCCGAGATCGAATGTGCGGAGCAGCCCCCATTCACGTCCACAAGGAGACGCGGAGCTGGACAGGATCCGCGCACGGTGAGCTGCAGGACTGCTCAAATGCTGCACACACATCTACCCTGACTGGGTGCAAGCTCTTCCATCATTCTTACAGTGTGTTAAATTGACTAAAGACGTTACAGATCATCTGAATGATTGTTTTGTGTCCTGCACATAGGGCTGGTCCAGTGCCGGATGAGGATGATGAGACAAATGAGAGTGACATGATTGGCGAGGAAAGTGATGAAGATGTGCCCCCTGCAGCATCACATAGACAGAGCTTGGAACAAACCGCGGAAAGGCAAGGGGGTTTGAGTCGTCAAAAACAGAGTGGCAGCAATGAGGCCAAGATACACAAAGGAAAAGGGGAGCGGCCAGCAGAGGCTGCTGCAGGGTCAGCAAGGGAGCAGCAGAATCCTATCAGGCAGCAAAACTTGCCTGTTCACAGTCAGGAAAGACTCCACAGCCCAGCAGGGGCATCTGCAGCTGCAGCTTCTGGGAGTGCCCATGTAGCTGCAGCAAGCTCAGACGGCGTCGAGGGCACAGCAGGAAAGAAACTGCCTCATGGGAAGCCTCACAGGAGCAGGCCACCATCCCGGATGCAGCGCATTGCGGCAGAAGTACAGGCCAGAAAGGTGCCTGTCACATCTGTTACCAATATTGTGCTTGTTGCAAACTGCATGCCGCATACCGCAGAATTTGGGGCAAATGCTCGGCAGGGTCTCATGAGCTGGTGGGTGCATGCTTGCAGGATGCTGAGGCGAGGGCCAGGGACTCAAGGAGGGCAGACATTGACGCACACAAGGCAAAGGTGGCTGAGGTAGAGAAGCAGCGCAAGCAGCAGACAAAGCTGCTGCGCAAAAGGACAAGGCATGGACAGCCAGTGATGCGCTACAGAATGGACAAGCTCCTGGGCCAACTGCAGGCTGAAGCCCAGCACGGCTGATATTTACGCATTGACTGTTTTGTGCCTGTCATCTGCGTTACGCATCGTGTTGTTGAAGAAAGGCGCATTGGTGCCTCTCCAATGTGAGCAAGCATTCATCAGTATGAGGCCATAATGTGGCGTTGTAATTGAAGTGGTCTGATGCACCTGGAACGATGAGTATCATAAAGGCCGATCAGCTCTCAAATGTGGCTCCAGGCAATGGCATTACATTTTTACGATGGCAATTTCATGAGAGCCATCATGAGGAAATTGCACTACGGACCGCACACGCTCTTGAAATTACCTCAGGTGCTCAGAGGCTCTGGCAGACGTACTTTAGTATATCCCTACACCTACGGGTTAGTCCTTTGCTCTGTTTGCATGCATTTGTAGACAACCAAAAAAAAGCTAATACTAGATACCTACTTGTCTGATCGTCCACCTATCTAGATCTGCTGTCGTCCTACAAAAATTGCAACAATTGACCGAGGCATTCATTGGGCAGCAAGATACATGGACACAGCATGATACAGCTGTTGGTACATCCAAAAAGAGAAGACATCGGTACACGTTCTACGGGACATCAAAATACAAGCAGCTCAAGGCCCTTGGGTGCAGGCAGCTCTCCTGTGCGCATGACTACTATTCCAGCCGTCATGAGTCCTAATGTCGCGGCAAAGGCAACATAGCCTGCCCATCTGCGCAGAGCGCCGCTGTGGTCCACATGCATTACATCTACCTGATCCTCTTGCTCTCTTTGCTCATTCTCTTGTACAGCTGAGGTGTTAGCATCCGAGCTCTTCTTCGGCGGCAGCAGTACAGGAGAGAGTCCATAGCCGATGTAAGCGCCCGTCAGCAGGCCTGCTGCATGCCCTGTGGTGGAGCATACCATTCCTTTCAGAGGGATTCACATTCTTTCTGGCATTTACTTCAAGCAGCTCTTTGACTCACGCTTGTGCCTCAGATGATGGAATTTTATCGTAAGCAATCTGCTTTCAGGCACAAGATGCATTGGTGAGGTGTCAGATACATGCCTATATTGTCAATAGAAGTCTCCTGAATACCGCCCATGACTAGGTTGACGCCCACCACGCCAGCAATGGATACCAGCTGCTTTGAAGTGCGCTCCAGGGATCTGTTCTTCAACAGATAGGCCACCAGAGCTCCTGCAAAACAAGCATCACTATCAGCCTTGGCAAGTCTATACTAACATGCCAAGATCAATAATGCAGCAGCCCAATCCAAGGAGTCATAAAATAGACAATCAGCGATGCAAAAACAGAGTACCCACCAATGACGCCAAAGATTCCACTGGAGGCTCCCACAGTCACCGCATCGCCCAGAATGAAGGTGCCCACAGATCCCCCAACTGACGACAGCAAGTATGTGGCCAGGAAGATGTCCCATCCGAGGACCTCCTCAATGGCTGGCGCAACTGTGGCTAGAGCGTAGCAGGAGGAACCCAGGTGCACAAAGGAGTCGTGCAAGAAGTTTGCTGTAATTAACCTGCAGTAAGATGGTATTGAAACATATTTCACATACACGGGATCATGTCCACACTAAATATGGGGAAACACAGACTGCATCAGGAGCCATTCAAGGAAAACAGGACGACAGGTCCCTTTCATTGCAATGGAACCGATAGAGGGAATGTGTGCCCACCTGTAGTATTCTCCAGCTTCTACACCGACGTCCGTTTTGGCCAGTGCTAAAAAATAATCCTGTTGAGCATCAGCGCCCTCTGGACCCAGCCCAGCCACAAGCCCCGCCCCATACACCCCAAGGTTGATCGCCAGAAGAAGATACGCCACCCTTGGCCTGATCTGTGGCATAAACAAGGCATGTAAATGCAACCACATCTGGGTGACCAGCAAGCCTGAATGATCACACGTGGTAATTCTATGTGAGCTATCGTACCTTGGGTAGAGCAACTGCATCGTCGCTTACGAGAAGGTCCTCTGCAGTGGCTCGTTTAAGCTTTTCTAGGAGGAAGTTTTTGGCGTTCCGCACAAGTGACTGAGGCACTGGCACTGCATCTACCTCCCTTGTGCGCCTGCACTAGCAACTATGTTCACTAGCTAGGATAGCACAAAACCAAGAAACCTGCCATTTGAATGGATAAGGCCAGACAGATTATACGATCGATGTCACTGTCACAAAAGCGTACCGACTGCCGGCCTGCATGTCTCCACGCATAGGTGCTGACAGCTGCTGTACAGATACAATATCTTGAACGGAATCTGGTCCATCCGGAACATTACTTGCTAATGTGGTGTTTGGCAAGGCAGAAATGCTTGTGCCCTCTAATTCGCCGTCATCCACGCTTCCTAACAAGCTGTCCAAGAACTTCAAAGTGTCCTCACTTCGGCTAGGTGCTAATGGTGAATCTTGAGAAGAGCTTGCAAAATTTAAATGTGAACATCTGGCTCTTTTATTTCCATGTCTACGGCCCAAGAGAGAAGATATTGAAAGCTTGTGTGCACCACATGTCCTAATTCTCTGGCTGGCATCAGCTGCGATCAAGCATGGTCCTAGTGTCTGACGGCCACATACCACATTAGCCATCTTGATGGTACAACCACTGATGTTACGTCGCTCCTGCCTTTGATCCTGGGCAGATATAGAGACATGCTAGTGGTGACGTCAGCATTTTGACGTGGCCCGACTCGGTAAGCTTGCCACCTCATGCAGAATGAAGTTTTGCTTGCCTCTCCCCAGCAGTACTTGTCCAGCGTAACAGTGAAAGAGGGCTCTGCGATGTGTTCATGTATTCAGTGAACATGCCTGTCATCCAAGGCTAGAAGCAACGGCCATCATGGTGATCATGCAAAGCTTCACAGTAAGTACCACTTCTCACTCATCACCACTTCATCACGCTGCACTGAGGCTTGCAAGGCAAATGCGCCAACAAAAAGGCATGGAGGCAACAAACAGGTGATGAGACCAATTACTGACATTGAGACAGTAAACACAAAAGAAAGGAAGGTCTAGACGCAGGGCTGCCCCACAAAAGTGCTTGGATTTCTTAGCAACGCGCCAATCTCAGGTCAGAGGCTCTCAGTCAATCTCATGAATACAGGGAATACGTGTCAAAGTCATTGCAGCATCACAACGTTCTCATACATTCTAACATATTGTGTACACCTCATACTCAGCGCGCTGCTGCATGGTTCCACAAGCCCCTTGGCGGCTCCAGTGGCCTTAGATCCTGCAAAAGAGTATTGACCATCAAATGCACAATCCTGCGTTCAACTTTGTTGTGCGCATGCACCGCACTCAACACCATAATGGCAATGCAGTCATGCATGGTATGAGTTTACAACAAACATGGTGATCTTGACCATGCACCACATTTTTTATGTTTGTGCTCACCCTTCAGCTTGCTCAACAAATGTGCTGCAAGCACAGTCAAATGTAGATGTAACAATTTCTCACCTGCATCTTCAGGGCAGCCGGGATGCCAAAACCGATTGGGGGTGAGGATCCAAGCGGCGGCGATGCAGCACTCTTCAGGGCGTCTGGCTGTGCAATGGGAGGGAATGGCTTCTGAGCCTGCACCACTCCATTTCTAAGTACTGTATGTAGAGACTTAAATATCTCATGTGTCAAAGCCAAGAAGTCTAATGTGAAACAGCCATTGTTTGCATCTGTGACCGGACTTCAATATGCCTGGCAGGGTATATTAAGGAGAGCACACCCACCTGCAGCAGGTTGTGATTGGCTGTGCGCTCCGACATGACAGCAACAAAGTTCCTGATGGCTGCTGGCATGAGCCCATGCTCAGACAAGCTGTATGTCAATTCCACCACCGCTTCAATGGGCAGTCCCAAAGCCTGCAGCAAAATGCATTGATTAAGGAGCTCCATGCAGCATATTCAAGGCCCAGACCAAATTATAAAGACAGGTTTAGTCAGGAATCCACACACAGCATATATGTGGGCTTGTTGATTCTTGTGATGTCAAGGATCTTGCCTGCACAGAGTTGTCTGATCCCAGAGGAGGCGCCACGTCATTGCACAGCTGCGCAATGCGAGCACGTCCCCACGGTGAGCCCCCCTGTAGAGCCTTGGCAAAAACAGGCGATGATGGGTCTGCTCCAATGACCAGCTTTGTGCGCAGTGAGGGCCTCCCCTGCATGCAGCATGCTACCCTTCGAAGCTGTCCATTCACAGCAACTAGAGTGGTCCGCTCGTAGGCACTTTCTTGAACACTCCCTAGTCTCTTCCCTTCATCTATCTGTGGATCTGCTGTTGTTCCGAGCTCGTAGCCCCTGTTTTCTCGATGTGCATTTGGGCAGGCCATAACAATGATGGCCCCTATAGATCGGGCAGACTAATAAAAGACTATCAGAAAATAGAAACGCGCCCTTACATTACCAATGTGTTTCTGGAGTGCTGTGCAGTGACCAAACTCAGGGAAGGATCTATCGATCTCTTTAATTCGCCAAGGATTTGGAATCAATTCACACCTGGAAGGTCAATCCCATGCCATCACGGTCCTCATGCAGCCCAGTCAGCTGGTGGGAAGTCTCCACAGAGCCTCGTGGCAGCGCTTGCAGGCAGAGGGAGTGCAGCAGCGCCCCGTCAACTTCCAAGGGTGTGTGGATGCCTCGAGATGCAGGAGTGTACAGTGGCTCGCCAGTGTTGGATGTCCGCTGGCTCCCACTGTCGCAACGTGCAACGTGGTTAGCAGCAATTTTTATGCTTTTGCAGCATAAGTTTTGCTAAGCATGCACAGAAAAGTGGGCATAGTCTTGGATCAACGAAGCCAGCGTAGCCTATGCTGCATAGGGTTGAGCAATTACCTGTGCTTTCCTGAAGGCTCTGCATGGCTGGTATGCAATGCCCCTTCTGCTAGGCTCTTGTAAAGAGAAGGGCTGATAGCGTAGATTGCATTCTGTGCATTTGGAGAAAGTACCTGGATACACAGGAAACCCGCTCAGAAGCCCCTAGTACTACTGGCCCCTTGTTCTTCTGCCCAGCTTGTAAATCATAGCTGCACACACAAGCACAAGCCACAGGCATGACAATGAACTTACCAAGGTCTTTGAACCTAGCCCGACGTCATCTGCTGCCTCGTACACCTGTGAGGGAAAGACTGGCTTGAAAATCTTGGACAAAACCTTGGACTTGTACTACTTGGCACTCTTAGCGATTGAGAATTTTGCATGCTTGTGTTGGCGTTGCCTCAGCAGCAGAATATTCCATGATCTTTAATGCACTGTGCAACAGCACAAGCTGTCCTCTGCAGAATTCACTTACCTTCACATTCACAGAATCGAGATGAGACAAGCTCAAGGCGCATAGCAGGCCTTCCGCGCTTCCGCCGATCAGAGCAATGTCTGGACTGTCACTCTGTTCCCTCCTAACAGGGTAGTAATTTTTCATTGACATGTCCGCACCGGTTCTTCGCGTCAGAAACCCCTGTCTCTCAGATCTTTGGACACACTCGCCTTCGCACTGACCGCTTATTCTGCCACTACTCCTCAGTGATTCTCCGTTAGACACAAGCACGATATTTTATCACAGTCGATCCTAGATGTTGTGCGATTGCACATAATTGGCCAGATGGTCAAGGTCCAAGTCTGCTGAGGCGTTCCCTCGGACAGATTGCAAAATGAGATCATCACCTTCTCGGCATCGTCATTTTGAATGTGACGCATGGCCTTCATGAACGTTGTGGAAATTCAGGATGGCAGATGAGATGGAAGCCATTGTCTTTGACACGTTTGGGCCGCCCAGTGTCCTCAAGCTCGTGCAGTATCCAAAGCCACGCCCCCGGAAAGGAGAGGTTCTGGTGAAGATCCATGCTGCAGGTTGCCACCAACTCTCATTTTCAGACATTTTCGTTGTTTATTTCGTTGTTTGAAGACGTCATGCAGCACAATCAAAGACAGATTAGCGGAATTTTCATCTCTCCGAGAGACAGATCAAGCAATATTGGATGTGAGAATGTCTAATGTTGCAGGAGTGAATCCTGTCGATTATAAAATCCGCAAAGGAGAGATGATGAAATTCATCATTTCGAAACCGAAGATCCCTGGAGGTGACTTGTCGGGTGTTGTTGAGAATGCTCCAGCTGAGTCCAAGGTAATACTTCCAAGGTTTGTCTATATCCAACCACAAAGCCTTTGAACCTGTTCAGCCTCATTCTTGGTTGTGTACAGTCTTGAAAAAGAATAGGTGGACACAACTGGATGCGTGCTGCTGCTTGTGCACTCATCTGTTTTGCATGCATGCGCAGTGGAACCCGGGACAGAAGGTCTTTGCACTGACAAAAGGATTCCAGCCCTGGAACAAAGATGGCACATACGCTGGGTACTACGCTGTCAAGGAGGAGGATTTGGCCGCTCCCCCAGCCACCATGAGCTTTGACGAGGCCGGTGCAATGCCCCTGGCTGCCCTGACAGCCTTCCAGGTGAAAATCCCCCCTCCCTCTGTTTGGTGCATCATATTTGAACTTGCAGCTCTTTGGAGTTTTCTCACAGTATCGGTGCTCAGCGCAGTCCTTGGAGGCGGCTGGAGTGAAGGAGGGGCAGCGGGTGCTGATCCATGCCGGGGCTGGCGGTGTCGGAACATTTGCAATTCAGCTGGCCAAGGCGCGCGGCGCGCATGTGATCACCACTGCAGGCCCCCGCAACCTCGAATTCGTCACCAAGGTGGGCATCCCTGTTGCGCATGCGTGCTTAATGCAGGCACTTTCCGATGTCCTCGGCACACCTTTTGCTTGGCATGCCTGGTGCACCCCTCCAGTGTAGCATCGGCATGCCCCAGTGGGGGAGAGGCGCTGCAGCCATTGTGCCCACAGCCTAGCACCTGTGAGTGTTGTGGCAAGGCAAGGGATGATGATTAAACATGTGCTGCAGGAGCTGGGTGCAGATGAGGTGATTGAGTACACCACGCAGCGCTTTGAGGATGTGCTCAAGAGCAACCCGGTGGATGCTGTGATCGACCCAGTGGGAGGTGAGCTGCAAGAATGATCCCAGCTTGGACATGTGCACCCCTTCCCATTTCATTTCTGGCGTGGACATCTGTACTCCTTCCCTTCTTTGAGCATGCCAGCATCCTTCAATTAACAATATAAGAGTTTCCTTGCAGTGAATAAAAACTAATGGTCCTCAGCAAACACTGCAATGAATGTATGCAGGCCCTGTGGAGACGCGCAGCTATGCAGTGCTGAAGAGGCGCGGTCACTACCAGCTCATCCTCAACGAGAAAACATCCCCTATCCGCATTGTCACAGGGTGAGGCCTTTGAAGTCTACCCTACAAAGCCGCCTCCGTTGTGCTGCACACTCAGGAGGCCACCGGCAATAATACACCATTGTGGAGCGACTCATTTGTGCTCCATGACAGTGATCTGACAGACCGATATACCTCCGCAGACAGCATTATGGCCAAGACACGGACCTCGAAATCAAGACGAATCACTCGGCGGACCCTTTGGAAGTTGCGAGCTTCAGCCTGCAGAATAGCAGACCTCTGGCCTGCATACTTGCAGACCTGCTCCGCTGATGTACGCCTGCGCCTCTGCTGACACGAGTGTGCTGGTGTGTGACAGGGTGGCAAAGGGCCTGCTGAGGATGGGGCCCACCTATGGGATCACGGCAGTGTCCCCCAACGGCGCGCAGCTGCAGAAGATCTCTGACATGGCGGCCGATGGCAAGGTCAAGGTCATTCTGGACCGCACCTACCCCCTCGTGGATGCACCGTGCGCCCCTCCTCCTTGCGAGTGGCAGGGATCTCTACATTCAGCCCTTTTCTAAAACTAGAGTCCCCGGAGGACTGTTAATATCTGTGGGGACTGCCTGCATGCATCACAATCACGCAAGCTGTTGAAAGATCAGGGCAGCCCCAAAGCATACAGGACACAGGATACCACAAGTTGTGCCACAGAGCATACGAGCATGAGTCTTTGAGAAAAGGATGAGCAGCAGATCTAGATGTACTGAACCCTGGAGACCCCATTTCTCAAGCAGGGAGGGTCTCCTGTCTGAATTATGATAAACTACATACGGCCTTCAGAGTCGACGCCTTATTATATTGATGCAGTGGGTGTGTGCTGACAGGGCGGCGCATGAGTACTTGGAGCAGGGGCATGCACGCGGCAAGGTGGTCCTGAAGGTGGTGGAAGGCTCATAGGTCTGTAATTGGCATGCGCTGGATGATGGTGCACTACGCTTCTTGCAACTGCAGGAAAAACACCAGGCATCCACAACTGAGGTGGAAGTATGTGAGTTGAAGTTGTACGCTGTAAGCTGTACATTGAGTTGTATATGTATGCCTTGTGTTTGAGTGAGCAAATGTGCAGATGCATTTCAGGAAGTAGCCTGACGTGCTGCACGTCTAGGCTGCATGTTGTGCATGCTACCCTCGTGCGCATTTAACATAGGCCCTCCACGCGCCAGGAAGTTAATATGTGGGACAAACCATGTAAAATAAAGTCCACAGCAAATTGGTTGTTGAGGATGCTTGACTCGGATCAGAGTCTTGACCAGGAACGGTGTCCTCTAGACTGCATGTGCTTGCTGCTGGCACCAATTCAACTACCGCCGAATGCATATTCATCGCATATCTTCATTGCAGCTGCAAAAAATATGCGGACGCAATCAGGAGCAATAAATGTTCCTCATAGCTGAGCGACACACTTTTGAATGGAAGAGGATCATTTACTGGGGTCAGGGCAGCAATCCCTAGAGTACCTGCTTCTATGCACTGCTTTTAAAGTCAAACAAGGGCATTCACGAGGCATGCTGCATAACTTACTGTCAGCATGACAGCTGGGTTGCCGCCCTGGATATGACTGAAGCTATGCTGTAAGGCAGTCCTGCAAAGAAGGCGCAGAACATGTTGCTCTCACTCATTGGGTGAGCATAACCTGCCGTCACCTGCATGCACAATACTCATGCTCAGAGATGCGCGTCTCATGATCCTGTAAGACCTTTCAAAAAAGCGAGCTTTGCATTGCACTCACTTAAAGGTATTGTCTGGTCCAGTCCTCACCCTCAGCAGTGATGTGGCATGCGCCATACAGAGAATGGCACCGATGCCGATGTGTTCCAGCCTCCGCACATTCTCCTCAACATCCACTGCGTATTTGCAGAGCACACCACTCTGTCAGCTCCTGTTCTCTCCAGGTGCATGTCAGCATGTCCCACCGCCTCCATCCTGATTTTGGCATCTTCATGAGGGCAAGCTTTATATGATGAGGGTGTTATAAAGCTCTCGAGATGAATAGAAATAGTCAGGATGTCATGGCAAGGAAGCTTACCGCTGCCATTGAGCTCCTTTTGAAGCGCTTCCCGCAGCTCAGCGTTTGATGGTGGCGGCTGGCTGCAGGACAGGAATCCAGCAGGCCCTGCCAGCGTCCGGAGATCAGAAATATCACCCTCCCAATGCGAAGCAGCTTCAAACCCACCCCCTTCTCTGCTTGACCGCTGCGGAGCATCACTTGCTTCATCTTGCTCCGGGTCACCACCGGCCATGTTGCCATGAGACCGATCAGCAGACTCCATGGGAGGCTTGCAGGTGGCGCTAAGCGCGGCCCACGCAGCGCAGACGCCCGCAGCAAACTCAGCCGGCGGCTCAGGAACTGACTTTCGGGGACTTGTCCTGCGCGACTCCGTTTGACCGCTCGCAGCCTGCAGCACATCCGGCCAGTACACAGTGGCCGGCTCACTGGGAGTCCCTGTCACCCGACTCCGCTTGCTCGGGCGGCTGTCTTCCTCTCCTGACATCCGTGCAGCCTCGCCCAATGACTCGTTCCCCTCTGATGCGCCGCGCCTCTGGCCTGCCGTCCCATCATTGGCACGCTGTCTTACAAGCGCATCAACGAGAGGACCAGCCCTTCCTGAGCTACGCTGTGTGCTGGAGGGGTTCTGGTCTTGAGCGCTGCCCCGCACAGGACCCTGCGAGCTGACGGAGGCTGGTGGTGTTGACTGTGCCGGTGTATGCTTGAGGTCTGCCAGCTCGGCCGCCAGCACCTCACACAGGAGCCCCCCTGCCTCGCTCCAGTCCCCGGCCGCTTGAGGCATGGCGCCGTACTCGCCTGCCAGCACCCCACACCCCTCAAACACCCCCATGCGCAGTTTATTGATGCGGAAAAGACGATACCGAACATTCTATTTCACTAACATTTAGCATTCAACCTTCTCATAGTAACACTGGTCATTGATCCTACAGCACTTTAACAAGCACGTTGCAGCAGAGCGAGCAGCAAGCAGCAAGATGGCAGCAGTCTATCATGCGTGTGGGTAGATGCGCACATTGTTACTTCAAAGTCCCTTGGCACCGTTCATGCAGGGGGTACTAAAGACTACAGGTGGTACAGGACCCCCTGTAGTCTTCAGTACCCCCTGGTTCATGCTGTGAGATATATGTGCGCAGAGCCCACCCCTGCTGAGACTGCCAGAGTATTTGTTGGGCCAATCTCTCTGCACCTCTGCACACTTCCATGCGGGAGAACTGAGTGCGTTAATACTGTTTGATCCTTGCATTGTCTGTCTCACCCACTTGAGATCTTTGCTAGGGGAGCACTGCGGACGCACCAACAGCCAGGACTGCCTCAGCAGCGCCGGCCTGCAGCAGCGTGTACATGGCGGCGCGTAGGAGCGCCACGCGGCCAGCTCCTAGCTTGGCGCTCACCCTGTATGCGCTGACTAGGCATGCATACAGTGCCAGGCAGCGATAGTGGTAAGGGTGCGCCCCCTCCTCAACAGCCTGCATGGTCCCCCACACACTAAGCAGCCTTACTTCCCGAATTATTATTATCATTACAGGTTGGCAAACCCAAAACCAAAGGCCATAGCGCATACATGCAGGGCGTCTGCAGCCACGTCTGCGCGCCTCCAAAAGTCTGCAGCCTAGCTTGTTTCGCATCTCAAGGACCAAACCATTAACCCTCAGGCACTCCTAGGTCGGATACATACCCTTTATACATACAGTAGCCCGGGATACCTCTGGCCCTGCCAGCAACGCAATACCCCTCAGGTGACGTTCAGGGTATCGGGCGGGAAACCCAGAGTTGGGCAGACAAGGCAACAATCACGTGCAACTTCTGGACACCACCAATCGTGGGGCGCCATTCTGTGCAGGTCAAGGTGAAGCTGCTACACTCCCAGCAGATCAAAGGATGGTAAATGACCCCGATCGGAAAGTGACTCGACCAGACAAAGGACATCTTATTTGTCTGATGGCAAGCAAGGGAAGTGAACCGCTCAGAATATGCAAAAAAAATCTGTTAGCAAGTGAAAGAAGTGGATACCTGTTGTGCTGAAAAGCGAAACCTCACATATCAGAGGTGATAGCATGTGCTGGAACAGACCTGCAGAATGCCGGCCTCCAGGGCTGTCCAGGCGGCTGTGGCATTGCCCTGGCGCACAAACTCCTCTTCTGCCTGGCGAGTCAGCCTTGTCAAGCAGCTGTCCACCTCTGTCCCGACCGCATTGGGCGCTATCGCTGACAGGAACCACGTCGGCGCATGTGCAGGTGTGCCATCCTGCAGGCCTGCAATTGCATGCAGCCGCACAACGATTAGTGCGCCCAACACTACAGAAGTCCTCGCCAGTGAGTGTCCACGATTGAAGCCTGCCCAAAACAATAGAATAGCAGGATGTGTGCCATGGCCTGGGGATTCAGAGCAAAGGAAACCTCGCGGATCAATGGAAGGCTGGAATGATGAAGTACAAGATCCAAGTGCGTATCACTCGAGTTCATCTGTGATCAGACAGAGAGCAAACTGCTGAGCCACGCCCGAGCTGCAAGAAGAAGCTGACATGCAGCAAGATCAAGGCAAGCAAAAGTAGCAATGTGAACCTGCACTGCTGGGTATTCTGCCAAGGCCAGTCATGGAAGTGTCACCTGTGGACGCCAGCATTTGCTGCTCCAACGTGCAGCGCTCGCAGCTGCAGGTGAAGCAGAAGCGCTGCTGCAAGTCCTCCTGCCGCCTGCAACACAGGAAAACTACTTTCCCTCATGCATCATCATTTTATACACGTTTTCCTGTCCTTAAGGACTAGGTACGTCAAGCAATACTTGGATCATTGTGTCCAGTGTTCACGATTTTTGCACTTCCTCCACCAGTCATATGCATGCCCAATAGCATCGACGCCATCCCTCCCATAGTCATTCCAGCTCTTCAAGGGTCTGCCTCTAGCCCGAGTGCCTGACATTGTGCTGAACATCCTCTGCAATGGCATCCCTCATGCAAATCTAACCAAAAGATTTGGCCAACAAGCAATTAAAAACATGACTTGTCCGCGAGCCCCAGGATTGTTTGGTAGGACATACCTGGACAAGGGCTGAAGTGGGTCGAGGTAGGAGATGCACAGCTCCTCGTCTGGATCTATGTCAACCACCGCCCTCACCACGACCGCGCCGCCTGCCTTGAAGTGGTAGGCGGTGTTGGCCCGGCAGGAGTGGTTCAAGCGGGAGATCAGGCTGTACATGGCTGCTGGAGGCTGCCCTGCCCATGTACACTACACAGCATGAGAAACCTCTTTTCCAGTATTTATCCTTGACAATATTGGGCACGTGTACTTGGCATCAACACACTCTCACAGCCCAATATGCCACTGGCAGAGCAAGCTAAAACAAGCTCAGATCATTCATCTGTACTTGACGGAGAACCCGGAAGGAAAATCACTGCAGGAGTGCATCACCGCAAAAACAGGCGGCAGCTGGGCGACAGGATCAATGGGACAGGAACTGATAAATTTGAAAAATCTCATCAGCCAGAGGTGCTACTCGGGCAGAACTCCAGATGAGTATCAGGTACTCTACTCGACCAACCTCAATAAGACAGACAACTACAATCATCAAGTCGAGTACCTGATACTCATCTGGAGTTCTGCCCGAGTAGCACCTCTGGCTGATGAGATTTTTCAAGTTATCAGTTCTTGTCCCATTGATTCTGTCGCCCAGCTGCCGCCTATTTTTGCGGTGATGCACTCCCGCAGTGACTTTCCTTCCGGGTTCTCCGTCAAGTATAGATGGATGATCTAAGCCTGATAAGACCGGGATGGTCACCTCTGTGGATGGTCTCGGCGTTGCAAGCGCATGCCACCGGCATGGAGGGCAGCACTTCCAGGGCATTGGTGAACACCTGGCACACAGCCTCTGCAGCCGCCTTCTCCTCCCTCACAAGTGCCCCCGCCGCTCCTGCATCCGCTGCCGCCTTTTCCGACTTCCCCACCGCTTTGGCTGCCATGCACAAGATGTGTGCATCCTCCCTGCGCAGTGTCACACCGCAAATTATAATGTGGGCGCCTGGATGCTAGAGCAATGCACCTGCCTTTAACCTTGCCAAACAGGGCTGGAAGACCCTCGGCTCTTACAGATGATAGATAATAGTTGGACAAAATGAGGATGTGCTGCTCACCCTGCTTGTGGACCAATGAACTTTTCCCAGTTGCTCTGGAAGGGGGGTTCTCCGCGCTTGCACTGCAGCAGGCGGAGGGCCAGGCAGGTTTCCCTCGCAAATGTGCCAAGCTCCTTCCTGCAGATTTGCACAGCAAAACCGGATCAGCGCTCTGCATTCATTTTTCAATTTGATCTGAAGCAAAGATATTTCAAGTATGACCACCCTCGTCCTTTTGGTCTGTTGAGATGTGACAGAGCTTCACATGCTGCTGGAATCCTGCAGCAAGTTGCATTCTCCGCTGGATCCATGTCTGCTGCCGTCCGCCTTCATGCACCGCTGGCTGCAATACCATGCTGTGTTGCACCTGTGGGCACAGTATGAGAGCTCATGCCATCCCTTGCAGCCTCAACAGGTGATGTGAGTATGCACATACCAGCAAGCATTTTCTTTCTCACATTTTGGACATAATGGCAGGCTTACGTGGTGCATTTGATGGGGTCGTCACGTAGCTTTGGCGGCAGAATCATGAGGCATGCCCTGCACTGTTCTCCAACAGCGCTTGGTGACAGTGCCACCGCGCATGGCTTCTCCTGAAATTGCAGGAACACAACAAGTTGGTGATCCGGATGTCGCAACTCTCAAGACGGCCTTATGAAACCCTTTAGGGGCTGCATATTGGACGACTACTATGTACTCTGGCTCTCATTGCAGCTGTATGCTCACTAGACGCCAGAATGTCTCTCAAAGACTGTTCCTGAAGGGATTGAATAGTAACAAGAGAAAGCGGGAGCGGCTACCTCAAGTACTATGGAGCCAGCTACAAGGCGCTGCTTTGCCCTCACATGGTAACCTCGCCCTTCAGCATATCTGTCACCGAAATCCCTCTCATCAAGTCGCTCAATTTCAAGTGCAGAGGAAGATGTTACACAGTACTCTGATCGATCAAATTTGGCATGGAGAAGGCCAGGAAAGCACCTTAATTCCAAGCAGTCCTTAAGGACACGCCCATCCACCTTCATCATCTCTAGATCAGCTATCACTGCAGTGCATTTGGTGTATCACCATGAGATCAGTGGAGAGCAACCGTTCTGATGGTGGTTTGGAAAGAGTCTGTTTCCAGGTTTCATTGACAATTTGCAGCGGAATAGAAATAAAAGGATTAATTTATCGAATGAAATGCTTCAGGTGTTGACATCATCTGAAGATTTTATCCATCTTCGGTCCACGCTTGGCCTATCGATTCTCGGAAGTCCCTTTCGGGAAGGGGGGGAACCTCTGCATATCCCGGGATAGACCGCCGTCGCCTCAAATGGTTCCCCCGAATTCTGAGTGCACAAAAAGGAACCGGGAGCCCAACCACCTGTTTCACTTTATTCTATTCACCAATGTGGTTACAGATGAATCACTTTGATGTGTTCAAATGGCCATATGGCTTTAAAGGCTGCAAAATTTTGCAGAGCTTCGCAGTCGGTGCAGTGCCCTGCAATTGCTGCAGCCACTTAAGCCCGGGCCGGTGCGGCACCGCAGTACTGTGCGCACAGTGGCTGCCTCTGAGTCTTGATATTCTCATATAAGCATGGGAAGGTGGCATGCATTTTGCATATCCAAAATTCACAAATCAAATAGAGTTTGAAGCGGCTTTTCAGTTGCAAACTAAAAGATCTACATCTATGCACTGCATGGCAAGAAATTGCCAATTGTGAGTGACCATAGCCATTCATGAGATCTGGCTGAGCACAAATCGTGATTTTGATCAATCATCCCCTGCCACTGGCATGCCAGCTGCCACCATTTGAGCCATCCTCTTCATGCTCTTCTTTGCGAGCTTCTGGTTGGCCTTCTCCCGGTGCATCTGGTAAGCCTGCTCATCAGAATGAGTCGTTGTATCTATTGACGAATTTGCTGACTCTCACAAGCACAGAACATGGAGCGCCAGCACGCCACCAGGACCAGCAGTTGAACCCCTAAGAATTAGATCGTCCTGAATGCTCACCTTCTGCTTCTCCTCAATCCAAAGCTCCTTATCAAGCATCTCCTGTTTCTCTGGGGCTTCAAGGGCATCCCAGGCAGTGGAAGACATCCGCAGGAAGTCCCTGGTCAGGTAGATCTGCGCAGCCTCATCATATGGCTGCCTTTTTATCCTGTACTTCCATGTCCATTGCACTTGCCACCAGAGCATCTGCAAGCCACCATACTTGTTCTCACATGACAGACATCTGCCACTTTTCAATGGTTCTTCTCCAGAGGGGATGCCAGGGAATGGTTTAGGAACAGGACCCAAGACTCGTATGTATAATTTTAGGGCCTGTGCATGTCAGGTATGAGGAGGTATAGACATAGATGCACCTTGCCGAGAATCCATGGCAGCAAAACAATCTGGAACACCAGGATGTCATTCATGGTGGGCTTTGAGCGGCCTCCTTGCACGGTCACCTCGCTGTCTACCTGCTTGTTAAGCGCCTCCATCTCCTCAGCACTCATATCATTCAGCCTGCACCAGAGGCATGTCTGAGAGCGGGCTTAGGCACAAGCTGGAAACGCAGGAAGAGACGCATAAACACTAGAAAGCATCCCTTGGAAAGAGTGCATCCAGCTGCTGGTGCTCAACATGCTGCACCGGCAGATAAACACAGAGGAAGAGCTTGAAAGCAGAGGGGTCACACTTGCGCGCTTTGCCCGGCTGCTTGCGGTTCTTGGAGTTGAAGCTGGACTGCTCCTGCATCAGCTCTCTCAGTCGCGAACGATACTTTGGGTCTTTCCGGATCTTGTTCATTGCCTGCGCAGCATGCACGTGAAGCTTCAGCTTTCAGAGGGCGTTCCTTCAGCTCATGGCCACTTGAGTGCCATATTTCACTGGATGGTTAATTGTAGCCAGAGATGCATCTTAGAGGGACAAGCATGGGGGGCAACATACATTGTCATACATCTGCCGCTTGGTGATGTACTGTATGAGGGACCAAAGCAGGATGACGGCTGTGACGGTGAAATGGGCCGGGATCTTCATTTCCCTGTATATTCTGGAGCCATAGTAGCGGTACTGGCTGAGGAGATACTCCTTGGGGTGTGCGAGGGCATAGTCATAGTCAGCACGCAATGTGCTGTTGGACAAAATCTCATATGCCGTGGCCACCTTGCCAAAGTCATCTGCAGCTGTCTTTGACGGGTTTTTGTCCTGTTCCACAGCAGGCATCGGTTCAATTGAGGAGTGATGGCCGCACATACAAAGTAACAGCTGACCTCTGATGCAGGTGTACATGATCCACCAAATACTTACTGGATGCAGCGTCAAGGATATGTTGCGATACGATTTCTTAACCTCCTGCAATGAGGCATTTTGCTCCAACCTGCCAAGATCGAACAAGTGATTGATTTCAACGCAGTCAGGTGCCACACTATCAGACTGACATTCAAGAACACCAAAAGGCAACATAAGCAATCGGCATTTCTTCCTGCAATGAGATGTACCTCAGAAGCTGATAGCAGTTGCTCTTCCCACAAAAGGGATTGAATTCATCACGCAGATTGTAACACTCCGTTTGCAGCGCGGAAAAAATAAAAGTAACGCAAGCAAAAGCTACATATTCCTTCATGACAGTAGCTATGATAGAATCACGCCCAAATGCGAATTATCGGCCGAAAGCTTCGCTGGAATGATGGTAAAGAGCCTGATGGCGACGCCATCAAGCGCTGCACTCGTGTACTTGTGCTCAGCAAATTGCCAGTGTAAAGACACAGAGACGGTAATGCAGAAGGTACCACTGCTCCCCAAGCACCTTATTATATGAAAATTAGGTGTGTGGGCAGCAAAGCCTCCAGCAATCTTGTTCTATCTACCAATATCTGGACCTTGGTTACTTCTCACAGACGCGCACCAAAAATATCAAGCAGTGTCGAAGGTATTATGTCTAGATTCTACAAAACGACCAAGCAGCCCATCTTCTGAACATCCGCACATTTTGATTCCCTCACGCAGCTGCCTGGTGTTGAGAAGCTGCCGCCATGCATGTAGCTGACCTGATGTTGATGTCACATCAACATCAACACATCTTATATGTCGTGCATTTCTCTTCTCTGATACTTCTAAGGAAGCTCTCATTATAAAAGAATATAGTGCGACATATCATGCTGCACAACGTTAACGGGCAATGCGCTGTGAATGCAGTCAGCAATCTAATATGAAGACCATGGTGGCCACTGGTCTGGCTGGCAGCGGGTACCTTGAATGTAATATTTTTAATCTTGATGTAAACATGTTAACTTGCGCATGCAAAGCTGTCTTGGCATATATCGGTGTTCCATGCAAGCATTGCTTTCCACAGCCTGCATCTGCATTGCATGAACGGACATGACCCAGTCAAACCCTCAACAACCACACTCATCATCATGGCATGATTCCAGCGAGGTCTACATCTACAGGGCCACAAATCTACAAAATGAGCATACCCGCGCTCACAACTCCTCCTTTGCTGCCTTGGACATTCTCTTTTTCTTCTTCTTCTTTCCTCCCTTCTTCTTCTCAGATGCCGCCTTGGCCTCCGCAGCTTCAGCCTGCCTCCTCTCTTCTTCCTGTACATTGGCCACTCCTTTCATTTTCTACTGTCCTCACAAATTTGCCTCGCCTCCGCAACCCGACACCATATTTTACGCAAGCAAGCACACAGCATTCAATGCACAACACGGCTTGAATATGCAAACATAGACACCTTCAGCTCCTCTTCTACTTTCTTGAGCAGCTCCTCCTTCGATCCAGTGCTGCTGACTTCTTCACCCAGGATGTCAGCCAGATCAAACTCCTCCTCAATGGGCTCCTCAATCTGACTCTCATCCTCTCCCCCGTCCACAAGCTCAGGCAACTCCTGCAAACCAAGACATCACTATGATGCTAAGCATTTGCTTGCCGATGGCATCCGCACTGTTTGATACGGTTATGGCCACTAGTGTGTGGCGCATGTGCCAAAGGAAGACTCCCTGTGAGCAACATTGGCAGGGGACTGACCTGGAAGGGTGAAGAGTGTATCCGCCCTGAGAACAGGCCGTCCAGCAGTTTGTGGATACCCTCCGCCGAGAAGGCGCCGTTGAGCTGCGCGCCGCGGAGCTTCTTGGGGCTGAACGTCACGACTGTGGGGATGTCAGACTTGGACAACCCAAAGGCGCTCAAGAAGCGCCCCTGCGCGTAAAAAGACCTCAGCCTCGTCAGTATGTTGCTATTCCTCAGATTACAACTGCTGCTGCCGCGGCTCATACCCTCCTCATCATTTGAACATGTGCGCGCCAGCGTCATCATGACAACGTACACTGCAATAGGGCAATGATTCAATGCAGATGTCAGATGTTATGATGCATGTCGCAGTCACGACAGTGCACACCAAAGCTAGGCAGGTTGCTGCATCCAGGCTAACAGAGGGTCCAGACTTGGGATGTCCAAAGATCATTGCATGAGACAGGGGCCTGCCTGGCGGGCGGCGTCGACCCAGGAAAAGTGCAGCGGCTGCTTCTTCCAGCGGCCGCCCACATCCCTCACAACGCCCAGCTGCTTTTCATGGTTGGCGTCAGCCGCATCCAGCAGCGCCAGCACGCACAGGCCAGACTGCTCCACGCACTGCGTGCGCAGATCCGCGTTGCTGGCCGCCTGCGGCACCTCGATCGGCGCCGCGGCCGCCTGCGCTGCGCCGATCGAGTCCATGAAGCTGTCGTCCCCTTCGCCGCCGGGAGGCGCAGCCCTGACCCGAGCAACATGCACCAGCGATCGAGAGAAGCAAGTGGGGCTCTAAGTAATGGGTGAATAGGTTTCATACTGATGCAGGGCTCATCTGAAAGCTAATATTCAGATGGAGCAATAGATCGCAGAGATGTGGGATGACCAAAGATTGCTGGTGGCCACTTGCTCATGCGCCCTTCAGGATTCACAGGTAAGACATGTGGCAGTGATTCTCAGTACCAATTATTGCAGGAATCCCCTGGACTACTGAAACTCCGGATTTCCATACACTGACAGCAAGTGAAACTCATGGTGGAGCGTGACAAGGTTGATATGGTAAGGCGGACGCACCCGAGCATGCCAGCAAAAGTGCTCAAGAAGGAGTGCATGTAGGAGTACTTCAGGGGGCCGGGGTACTGCTGCAGTCCCAGCTTGCCCTCCTTGGCAGCCTCCTCCTCAGTGCCTGGCTTCAGGTGAGTGATGACCATGGTCGGCACCTGCAGCAATATCCCATCTCATATCAGGAGTCTGCCAACCCTTCAGCTTTCTTGAAACATCCGCAGGAACATATGCTGATGCTGAGCAGGGGCACATCTTGTTCTTCACGTCTGGTTTCTCACATCTTGTTTCCTGCCATTTTGTCCTCCAGATCTTGTTCTTCACAGCTTGTTCTTCATAGACAGTAACAAAAGGTGACCCACCTTCTTGATGTTGAACTGGCTCATCAACGCAGCATCACTGCTGTGAGCATCGGCAAACTTGTACTTGTACTTGCGGAGGTTGACTGAGAGGGCCGCGAAGACGGGCGGAGTGGCATCTTTGTCAGTGAAAAGGATGACACATGGGACGGTGGGGTCAGGGCCCAGGAAAGGCTGCATTGTGGCGGCTGTGATGCGCGTGACAAAGGACGGGAACGCCTCCAATGCAAATTTCTGCAGATCCTTGACACTGATTTCACCTGCGAGGAACATGATGCACCAAACGTCAGGCATGCAAGATTCCCCTTTGCATTTTGAGTGCAATGGACTGTACAGCTTATTTTCCTTGCAGGGGGCTCAATGCAGATTATTGCAAAGTAGGAAAGCAACACAAGCCTTGCAGAGCACCAGAGTGCTGCAGCGAAGTTACCAGTGAAGTGCTGCCAGTCCTCAGCATCGCCCTTCTCATCGTAGTTCGCCAGCACAATGTCTAGCTTGCAGTCTGACGTCTTCAGCTCGTCAGCTGAGACTCCATAAGCTTTGGCCTTGTCAGCACCCTCCTCACTGGTAATGTTCACCTGACCAGCCTTGATCAGCGGCCCCAGCTCTGCAATGACTTCGTTGAACTTCTTCAAGGCTGTGCTGCACTTGGCCCCCATCTCATCTGCAAATTGTCCATTTATTAGTATCATTTCACAGCAATCACACACAGTCATATTCAATTGCTCAGTAATTTCACCAAGTCCGGCTGATTTATGTGGCAATTGTGTAATCATGGGTTTGGAAAGCATCTGATTAATGAGTGCTTGTGAGCATGAACTGCAACACACCATGGAAGAAGGCAAGCAGCCATGGGTCCTCTTCATTGGTGATTTTGTCCAGGTCCTCAAAGGTGAGGTCCTGCACTGCCTGTATCCCAACGCAACAAGTGACCAGTCACCTCACTGCCAGGGCCAACCTCGTCAAGACCAGGGCACTGCAATGCACATAATCTTCCAAATCACTCCCTCTATTGCATTTTGAACGGCTTGCATTGTGCACCAGAACTCAGACTGCAACAGGAGGATTTGCTGCACCTGAGGCACAACTTTGTCTTTGCCATCATCAGCTTCGGCGTCAGTGTCAGGGTCCGTCTTGGCCTTGCCCTGAGCAGTGTCTGCATCCTTTGCGGGCGCCTCGGCAGCGTGCTTGCTGAGAAACTCAGCGAGCCCCCTAACCTTGAAGGGACCTGCATTTGGGCACTCCACCCTTCAGAGATATGATTGGACTACAGCGAAGTATAATCTGACTGCAGAGAGAAAGAGAGATGTGATACACATGCAGAATGCAGCGTTTAAAAGAAGGATCTCGATGGTCATGGGCATCACCGTCATAGACCAATTTGTCACCGTCAGCGCTCATAACAACCAGTGAGGGGAAGCTTGTCACACCCAGCTTTTCAATGGCTTCAGCGTTGTCTTTCACCTGCAAATATGACGAGCAGCATATTTTGATAGCAGACTTGACATGCAATATAGAGGCAGTGGGATGAGTGATCGATAGTGTGGCAAATGACTGACTTGATCAGACAAAGGCCTTACCACTGCAAATGCCATGCGCCGCTTGAAGGCAACGCTGAGGCTCTTGTACAATGGAGTGGGCTTTGATTTTGAGCTGGCCAGGACGGCTTTTGGCAAGTCATTTGCGCCAACAAAAGCATCAAAGTCCGCCTGGCTGCGCAGTACTGTGATGAAGGTGTCTGGCAGAAGAGCCAGCGCAGCATCGGCAATTGCTTTTGCGCTTCTTGGCCCTGAGGAGCACACTTCAGATCGTCACCATTTCCAGATGACAGAAATAAAGATGCTCTTTCTACTGGTAGACATTTATGAGCATTCACAGCCTTAAGCGTACCGTTGTAGTCTGTTGGGGTCTTGTCGATTTTCTTGGTGTACGGATTCTTCTGCTTGTCAGAGGGGAAAAGCTGCACGCAAAGGAGACACATTCAGCAACAGGCAGACCTTCAACTTGATGAGCGACGCATTCATTAATTGGAGTACAGTCTGCACACCTTTATTGTTGGGAAGCCCTGCACCCCGTACTTGCCACAGAGGCTCTTCATTGATGCATCATCACAATCAATGGCTGCCACATTGACCATGCCCTGCATCATTCCGGGGCACTGCTCAGTACTGCCTTTCCAACCCTTATGACTACGGGGAGCGTCACTAATGATTGCTGAACCAAGAGCTTCAATCAGTCACCTGTAGATTTTCTGCCACCTTCGTGTAGGTGGGAGCCAACGCTTTGCAGTGGCCACACCATGGAGCAAAGAATTCCACCACCGAAGGGAGATCGCTGTCTAGAACTTCAGATCTGAAACTCTTTTTGTTCAAGAGCTTGACAGGGCCAGATTTTGAGTATAAGGCATCAGCAGCGATCAGAGCGGCTAGCAAACAGACGAGGGTGACAGTGATCTTCATCTTATTTCAGGCTTTTTGCCGATCGGCTGATCCCAGCGGGAATGCCACCGATGAACTTTAGAACAGAATACCCGAGGTGAAGAGTTAAATCGGTATCTATTCTTTCTAAGAGATGCTGACGGGAATCGTCTAGAAGACTCCTGATGGTGAAGGTTTGATCGAGACTTTTTTCTTTGCCCTGTTGCCCTCACATGGAGACAACCGTACTTTTGGAAGGAGATGCACGAAAATTCATCATTGAAGGGATTGGAACACGTCTGAAACGGAACAGACTGAGATTTGTGCAAGAGCATCAACTGCTGACGTCATGCCCATTGCATGCTTCTTGCTTCCATCCCTCCTGCTTCCACTTCTGAAGTACCATGCGGTATTAAAAATTACAAGAGAAGGATGTACAAAAAGAATTATTATTACGCGGCTGACAGTATTTAGTGTTCCTCAGATCGTATTGTTTTGAGATTTGGTGGTACAGGCTAGGCGTAAGCTTTTTCTCGGCAATCATTGATCCTTCAAGGAGTATTATAAAATTCAGCTGCAAATTAAGCCAATGTGACCGCGAAAACCTCAAGAGGGCAGATGCTTTAAAGGATAAACTGAAGCTAGTAAGGGGGGACGATGGTGTTCTACTTCCATCCGTGTGGCTTTGATGCTGTTAAAAAGGATTATCTCATCTACATGGGGAAAGATAAATTTGAGAATGAAGACCTCATCCGCTACAGCATACCCTTGGATGTTTGGTGGGTCAACTACCCATTTTTCTTGAGTCCCACACAGCGTTGAGCTCAGATGTGGGGATGTAATCTAGTCCTTCTTTGTTCCAGGTTTCACGTGGACGACCTTTCATCTGCGCATGTGTACCTACGCCTGCCCCCTGGCAAATCCTTTGAGGACATTCCTTCAGATACGCTGGAGGACTGCTGTCAGCTTGTGAAGGCCAATTCAATCCAAGGCAACAAGCTGGACAATGTAGGCATCGTCTGGACACCTGTCAGCAATTTAAAGAAGACTGCCAGCATGGAAGTTGGCCAGGTAATGCGTCTGTAATGCAAAAGACATCAGTGTTCTTTTGGCTTACTCTCAGCAGTCTTCTTGAGGCTCTGAACACCAGCTGAACATCTGAGGCAGGAGCCTTCAACAAGGCTGCATGCTATCAAATCTACAATACAATGTTATGCGCAACAGCATACGGTGTTTGAAGGCAAGCATGGGTTGGCAGGTGGGCTTCAAGGACATAAAACTTATAAAGAAGACAAAGGTGGAGTCTCGGGTCAATGCCATCGTGAACAGGCTCAATGCTACAAAGCGGGAGGAGTACCCGGACTTGGCTGCCGAGCGAGAGGCATATGAGAAAGAGGTGGGTTGGCGATCAAGCTCCTCTTTTCATCCATGCTCTTTCACTATAGCCTGTAGCGATCATTCATGATTTTGGGAGCCAATTTGAAGCTGCACAGCATGTGAATGTTGTGCTGCCTGGACAGGTGCGGCTGCAGAGGAAGGGAGAGATTCAGGCTCAGAAGCGCAGCGAAAAGGCAGCAAAAGAAGCTGCTGTGCGAGAAGCGGAGATGCGATCGTACAAGCATGTCATGAAGGTAAGCCGATGCAGTCAATGTTTGGTGTCGCCCTTGAAGGTGTCGTCTCTTGGTTCACTGCCTTCTTGAGCCAGAGTTTATACACTGCCAAGCTGTACATTCCTGAATTCTATTCTGTTGCTTACAAAGAATGCGGAGAATACTAAATATAGACATTCTATGTTTGTTGCAGGAAGAGAACATGATGACCAGTAAAGAAGTCAGCCAGAAGTATTCTTCATTCCAAGATTATGAGGAGGACTTCATGTGACCTCTTGACATCAGCACAATATTGTTTTCTTTTACTTCAACTGAGAATCAGGAAATGTCTGCATAACTACTGGAATCACTGATAGGTGGCAAAAGCCCCATGCCTCTTGTAGCATACGTGTGAGCATTGCCAATGGATGTGCCTTAAATGAACGCCATCTTCTGCATGGTCTGACAATACTTCGTGGGTAGGAAACCCAGTAAAGGTTGTTCAAAGTAATTAGGCTGAGCCAGACAGCGAGCTGCAGACTTTAAGAATGGTTTCATTCTCAGCATGATCACCAAAACGCTCCTCTGCATAAGCATAGGCAACACCACCATCACCTTTGTTGACTACCAGGAGCCCTCCCATTGTGAGGCCATCCCCCTGCACACAAGGATGACACCAAGATCATTATCATCACCTTGTCTGGCCCCCGGTAAACTCGTGGCACCTTGTAAATCGTTTCATAAGTGCACCATCATGAGTACCTTCAGGTTGCTGTCCTCGATTTTATGGACCTCCTTGGCAGCCTTAGCGTGCTTCCAGATGACGCTGAATGGGTTGAGGAACCATAGCAAGCTTCCTTTCCTCAGTTTCCCATTGCCAAGGGCCTTGTAGAGCGTTTTTTCTGTATCCAGGTACAGCTCTCCAGGCCTGCAGCAGCAAGTCAAGTTTTTCGAAATTGCAACAACCATTAAATTAGCATGCAATTGGCAGGATTTGGATGGCGTCACGTACCAATATTCTGGCCAGAAGGCCTTTATCTCGGCAGGGAGTCCCTCGTGCACCACACAGACAGTCCTGACACCAAGCTTGTCCAGGTCAGGCTTGAGGGCCCAGAGCGACTTGGCTTCTGCCCTGCACAAGACTGCAAGAAAAAAAAGGTCTGTATGATTGTCAGGTGAATATGAGCAGGTTCAATTAGTTTGCAGGCTTCCTGTGTCGTGACACAGTTCAGGTGGCAGAGCACTCACTGCAGCCCGGCCTGCGAAGGACAAGGATAAGAGCAGGCTGATCCTTCCACAAATCCTCTGACTGAAGCGTCTCTGGTGATGCCTCTCCCCCGAATTTCTTAAGGATACCTCCGGTGACAAGATCTAGGGGTGGAGGAGTGATGCTTGCCATAAGGTTAAAGGGCAACAGATGTTGCAAGACAGGCAATATTGTAGTCTATTACAGTATATTCTGACTTTTCATCGTCCTGTGTCCTTGTCAAGAATAAAGATGGAGTTCTCTTCTTCGCTTCCAGCTTCCCGAATATGGAGAGCTGCTGCTGATGACGAAGAAGTTACGTAAGCTTGCTCAGGAAGCTGCTCCTTGTCCCGGGACCAGAATTCGCCGAGTGAAGCATGCTCGAAGTTGAATAGGTTTGTAAGGTATCCTGGGCATTATCGTCCTGTAAAAGCCTCACAGCCGATAGGGGCCCAATAATTGACAGGATGGCAACGGAAGTAAGCACCAAAAGAAAATTAGAGGAGATACCTGTTCATGCGAGAGGGAGTGGCAGTGGTCCTGTTGTATTAGATGAGGATGATTGGACTGATCGCATTGAAGCAATCATCGAACGGGATTTTTTCCCGGACATACCAAAGATGCAGAATAAGCTCGAGTGGCTACAGGCAAGTATCTACGCGTCTACAGATAGAATTGACTATCCATCTGGTGGTTGGGTATCACAAAAACCATTGATTGGGAGGTCACCTGCATCTCGGTAGTGTTCTTTTCCGCTCTTGTAAACCTCAGCTGGTAAAGATGATGTGCTGACTCTTTGCGTGGGCCCATCTTCCTGCAGGCAGTGCGCAGCAGAGATCCAGAGCTGCTACGGCAAGCTCAGATGAACATAGCTCAGCGACGGGCCGGAATGAGAACGCCTGTAGGGGCGTCTCCAGCCACTTTTGCAACCCCTGGGCTGACCAGCCTGAGGGCTCCTGCCAGCCTTTTAAGAACGCCAGCTGCAGCCCAGACTCCAAGACTAGATAGAGATGGTCCTAGCAGCAGGTATTTTAAATTGAGTACATTTTCTTGTGCATACCGGCATATGTTGGCGCTGCCCTTGCAGCTCATCTTTTTCGTGCCCCTGCCATCGCTGTGTTTGAGGAATATAAAGAGTGGTGGTTTTCATGGCAGGGAGGAAGCTGCTGAAGTGGGAACAAGCTCAGATGCTGCCCAAGCAGTGGCAGGGATCTCCCTGGACAGGTTCATGGCAAAGCACACCAGCGAGGATAACGCCTCATTCAACGAGATCATAGAGGAATCGAACAAGCGACGACATTTGCAGAAGCCCTGGCTATTCGAAGACAAGAACCAGGCACGCGCTCGAGCCGTTGTCTCTTCGTAAAAATTGATTGAGGCTTGTTGAGCAACATTTGCTTTGATCTTCACAGTCCGTCATTTGCTGGGCCTTACATAGTTTTGCAGATGTTCTGTTGTACGACAGCAAAGATGTATATAGCAATTGACCTGATGTGTGATGGGTTGCTGCAGGCGCCTCTGCTGACAGATGCAGACAGGGTGAATGATGGCTTTGGGACTGGTGGGCAGCCGCATGACAGATTACTGCTGTGGCCCTACAAGAACAAAAACACCATGTACTACGATTCCAGCCAGCAGAAGGCGGTGGCGCTATCAGATGCGGAGCGGGCGCAGCAAGTGCAGGTAAACTATCCTGCATTCAGCGCCACTGGCAAATCACCAATGGCTGCAGCAATCTTGAATCTCTGCCAGAAGCCACTTAGCACAGAATGGCAACATTCCCGTGTTCTGTCATGTAGGGGGCACCAAAGCAGATTAATCGCACAGGCACGCGGTTTGTTAACACTACAGAGAGGAGCGACACACCCTCCAGCACCGTGTCCTCCACCCCAGCGGCTTTGCGCGCCGCTGCCGACAGCTACTCGGTCCTGGCGACCCCCTCGTTCACCCCTGGTGTGGAAGATTCACCCTTCATGACCTGGGGTGAGCTGGAGGGAACACCCCTGCGCCTGGACCCAGAGGATGACATCATTTTGCAGCCTGCCAGCGGGCCGCAGTTCCGCGTCCCGGAGGTAATGGATCCAGAGCCACTACGGAAGTTGCATGGCTCAATCCCTATTGCGGGCCAGTCTGCGCACTGGATGCCACCAAGACAGTGGCGCTGCATCTCTGTGTCATATCGTTTGTTTTGTTCTGTAATTACTGCAGGATTGTCTTCTGTGGCATCACCCTTTATTTGTTTCTGGCACGTCAGTATAACAAATGGGAATGTGTGCAGGCATCCTCGAGGGACGCGCTGGCGCGGCAAATGGGGCAGACGGCCGCCGCCAAGCTGCGCAACCGGGCCGCGTCGGCCAGGCGTGCGGCGCCGCCGCTGACTCCGGGGACGATGCCTCCCCCCACCAGCGGCCTGCGGCGGAAGCCGGGAGGCACACCCTCTGGCGTGGCCCTGTCCAGCGCCGGAAGGAAGCTGGCGCAGAGCTTGGCCGGCCCCGGGGCGTCTGCGGATGCGCAGCTGCGCGCCAGCTACTCAGCCTCGCCAGCTCAGCGCGCAGGTGGCACGACGCCTGGCCAGAGCGGCCTGCGCCGCTCGGTCACACCGGCATGGACGCCCAGAACGGGCGTGCCTGCTGCAGCAGAGCCGCGTACTGTCACACCGAGCTCAGCTGCCAGCAAGGGCAGCTTGACAGATGACCTGCTGAACATCTGAAGCCCAGGATTCATTCATCGCAATAGTACTGTACCTGTTCATGAAGGTTGGAAGGAATCCAGTGTGTTCGAGCGATTGTTTCATTTAGATTCATTCTTGTCTCATTCTGTATCCTTCATGCAGTAATTCCTCTGATCATTGTGATGCAGAAGACAGCCTGGTGATGCCGGGTACATAGTAATTGTGCCTTTTTACATATCACCACTCTGTAATGCTACCTCAAACTCCCAGCAGGAGGTCATCCATACAAGGGCAGACAGTCTTCCCACCATGCATAAGCACATTCTGCATGTTTCCCTCTCATGCTCATGAGATGGCCGGAGCGGCCTTTCCTGTTGATCTGACATCCAGGAAGGCTTCCAGGGCATCGCACAGGCGCGCAGGCCACCTCCGGGTCTGCCTTAACCACTGCCGGTCAGCATAGCGGGGGTCATCCACCCTGTTCCAGTCACCTTCTGCCCTCTCAATCTGCCCCAGCTCCCACTCTGCAGCCGCCAGTGCTGCACGCGGATCCGTGAAGTCTGGATACCTCCGCAGCAGCGTCCTGAGCAAGAGTATTCCCATTAAGTAATCAACTGGAACACTGGAAGTCCGGCAAGCATGTTGATCGATCAGGGCGGCACTACAGCAGGTCTTTTAAGGTTTCGATTACAAAGGTATTTATTTAAACATCGGCAAACTGAAACCATTGTTGTGAAGAAGAAGTTGTTTTCCTGTTTGAGAGATTCCAGGAAGGAGGGTGGCCCAATCCTCACCGCATCTCCCTCATTGCCTCGTTGGTCTTCCCGCCAGCATACAGTGCTAGAGTGCGGTTTGCGGCGGCAAAGCTGAATGCTGGCGCAAGCTGCACTGCGCGCTGGTAGTAGTTTGCAGCTTCGTCCCACTTCCCCATAGCCAAGCTCACATTCCCCATGTTGTTCCACCCGGAAGGATCGTTCGGCGCCGCATCCAGCACTGTCCTGCTCATCGCATCAAGAAATTGGCTTACCGTGACTGCTCTTTATTCATGGCTCCTTTTTCATCAGGAAGCAGCTGTTCTCGGACCCGTGTTGGGACACTGAAAAGACAAATAAAGGCAATCTTACACAGCAAACAGCACAATGTCCACTTAGAGCAGGACCAATGGGAGAGGCGAGCCGGACCTGTAATCCGTGAGGGCCTCGTCATAGCGACCGGTGTTCTCATAAAGCACTCCCCTGCATTAACAACACAAGATCCCACTTGAGCCAAGAAATCTTCATCAAGACGCGAATCTCCTCCTAAGACAGCCTGAAGATGGTCTGTGCATTACTGGAAAGCAGCTTATGGCTGGTATGCACACCTGTTTAATACGGGGTCGACGCTCCAAGGACAAATGGCAATGGCCTTATTGTAGTCAATCAGGGCTGCGTCCATCTTTCCTTGCCGCGTCCGCGCATTGCCTCTGTTGCCATAAGCCCGCCCCACAATGTCTGCCCTCCAATTGGCATCCACTCCTTCATACTTGTCAATCAGCTCCGTCCACAACCTCTCCTCTTCCTGGAAATCCATGCCAATACTGGACCTTTAGCCCTGGTGATCCCAGAAATAACCCCATGGATGCAACTCACAGTATTTCTCACCAGCAAACAGTCCAAAGGTGTGTATTTTGAATGAGAGCTTGCATGGTAAGAAGGCATGCCTCAGCATGCTCAAAGAAGAGCCCCACCTTCACATCCTCTGCATTCAGAGCCAGTTGCAGTTTGCCCGCTGCATCCCTCAGCCTTTCATCTGCTGGATTGTAAGTGGACTGGTCTGGGGCCAAGTCCAAGCGTATCTTGGCTGGCACGAACCCTGTGTCTGCGGTTGCAAGAGCGTTCCTCCACAGCAACCAGGTGGCAGGAGCCAGCTGTAGCACGGTCCTTCGACCTGCAGAAGCGTTCTTATAGGTCAATTAATGCTAGGCATGCTCGTAAATTATGATAACATTATTGATGAAGAGGAGACACGATGTGAAACAGCGTTGAGCCAGGAATCAAGTATATCCGTCAATCTGTAGGCTGGAATTGTCGTACCGATGCTGTTGTTACAACGAACAATAGTTCTTGATGCAGCTACTGGCGAAAATGGGGCTCTGAGGGGTCGACGTGCGTCCAGCAGATGGGCTGATGTGCTACCCTGCATTACTAGGAGATTGAGTTTGGTCCACAGAGACCTCCGTTGCTAGATAATAAATAACGAATCTTGGAGCAGATTCAAAGGATTCTCAAAGGATTCCCCCTGGAGTTTGGAAGAAGAAAGCAAAGTCCTTCCACGACATCAGCAGATAGCTTCCCAGCCCAGGGAAGCTGCTTCTTGGGTCCCTCCAAGAGAGGGAGATTGAGGATCATACTTGTCCAGGACAAGTTGTCCTCCCGAAACGAAAAAATAATTCCCTGTAAGGGAAAGAGGATTTTAAAGACGTTAAGCCTGGCATTCTTTCCCAACAAAAAACAGGATGTCTACCTAGTAAAAATACTAAGTACATCCCCATGTGTGGGAGAGCGCGGTGCTCGTTGGGGAGGGAGCAAGTACTGGCTGCAGCAGGAGTGGGTGAAGATAGATGGCGTGACTATGAGAAATTCCTTCCCAAGTACAATCTGGGACCTGGCTCAAGGACCCCCATTGTCAGAAGGGACAAAAAGGTACCGGATTGGATGGACGGCTTCCCTTCTTAGAAAGCATGACAAAGGATTGAACATACATTATACTGAGACCTATGATAAATTATAGGGCGATGCAGAGCTTCAGACCATGACATGGGGCCTCGTTCCTTCTTGGACCAAGAAAGAAGACAAGTTGGACTTCTTCAGGATGTTCAATGCCAGATCTGAGACAGTGCCGGAGAAGACTGTGTTCAGTCGGCTTCTGGGCAGTAAGCGCTGTGTGGTCCTCCTGAACGGCTTCTTTGAGTGGGCCCAGGTCAGCAACCTTCAACATGGAATGTGTGAAGCTCGCCACTACCCTCTTGTTTTGCGTTACACAACAGATCACCTTTTTTTCCTGTTTACATAAGCCTTTTTGACGTTCAGGAGCACAAGACAAAGCAGCCATACTACATCCACTTCGATGGTGACCGTGTCATGAGAATGGCCGGCCTGTATGACTCATGGCAGGATGCTGAGGGTAACTGGCTCACCACATACACCATCCTGACAACTGACTCCTCAAAGCGGCTTCAGTGGTGCGCTCAATCTCGCACCACACGTTACCCGCCTATCTCTGCTGCCTTCCTTGGAGGGATTTGGCTCCATGTGCATTGCCTGTTCAAGAGCGGTCTCTCCTGTTCAAGAGCGATCTCTCAGGAAGGCAGCTGTGCATGCAGGCTGCATGACCGCATGCCAGTCATCCTGCCAGACGCCCAGGCTGAGGAAGCCTGGCTCCAGGATGGTGTGCTGGACAGCAAGTGCGTTCCAAAGTCATGCATGGCCACAGGTTGCAGATGCCCCTGATCTTTGTTTGCATATTCTCCCTCAGAGTCCGCAAGTCCAGAGCGCATTGACTAAGAGGAATTTTAAGAAATATGTTTATGTTGAGTAGGGAATATGTTCATCTGAACAGGGAATATGCAGCCCTGTGCGCGCCATATGATGGCGATGATCTGCAGTGGTACCCAGTCACGACTGCCATGAGCAAACCAGACTTCCAGGGTCCAGAGTGCTGTAAACCGCTGAAACGCCAGAGCATTGCCAACTTCTTCAAGCCCAAGAAGGCTGCTCAGGGTGTGATCCACCAGCTTGTACATGATTATTAGTGACAAAGTGTCCGTGCTGAGTTGTACTGTGATCAAGGCAACTGGTCAGGCATCTTGGCCCAGGAGCTGCAACCACAAGGAAAGAGTGATGAATTTATGGTGCAGCTGGTCCAGAAGCTGAGACTCAGAAAAGTCAGAAAGCCGAGGCAAGCACCCCTTTGAAGACAGAGGAGGATGCCGCAGGGCCTTGCAGTGTCAAGGCAGAAGCTGCTGCTTCCCAGGAAGAGACTATAGGTCCGTTCCAAAAGCCTCTGTTGTTAGCCTGTATTCTGGAAGCACCGCCACAGACTTGAATATGGATTCAGCGAGCTGTTTATCACCGTGGTGCAGGCATGCGCAATGAACAACAGACCACTCAGCACATGATTCATTTTGGTGCCATCGTGGCACTGCCACATTTAATTTGTGGACTCTCCCTTTTGCAATCCAAACTCCAAACCATGATCAGTAGGATGTGACCTTGTGTGTGCTTGGGCAGACGATAAGGAAGCTCTCCCTGGGCCGGCCGCAAGCGTGCGGGACACCTCATCTGCAAGCAAGAGGGGAAGGCAGGAAGAAGCATCAGATGCGGATGGCGATGGCCAAAGTCTCGCAAAGAGGAGCAAGCCCAGCTCTGCAAAAGGAGGCAAGCCTGTCAAAGGGAAGGGGCCGCTGGATTCCTTCTTCATTAAGAATCCTGCATAAAGCATGGCCTGCAGTAGACAGCCCTTTTATGCATGCATGTGCGCTGATCATGTCAATTTCTGACAAGTGCCTTTGTGCCGCAATTGTGTGTACAACAATATTCTGTCTCTATTAGTATGCGCACAAGATGCATAGATCGATCATCATTGCCAATGGTGACAAGTAAGGATCTGACTTGTGTGAAGATTTACCCTGTGAACCCTTATGAACCAATATAGGGCCGCCGCTATTGCGTATGCGCATGCTGTACCCGTACACTATAGTAGCTACTGGATTACCAGCAGAGCAGGAACTTCGAATCTTTGACACATTCATAGATAAAAATTATAAACTTGAGTTGTACTAGGGACTGGAGAGAGATGCATATGACTAGTCGACTGAATGAAGAGTAAGAGAAGATGCGTATGCATGATTGGCAATCGTGAATTATTCTTGAAAAAAGATAATTGTTAGTATCATCTCTTCTACTTACATGGGGACTGCTCCATTACAGCAGAGATGGACAAATACCAGTACTGCCAGCCAGCCAGTACCACTAGTGCCAGCCTGAGAACCAATAGCCCAGGCACTTTGGGCATGGGCATGCGCTCACAGGCCAGCATATATGTCCACAGGTGCTCATGGCACACTTGAAAAATGGCGCCTCACAGATTGCAGGTTCAGCTGCAAAGATCTCACATTTTGGCACAATCAAAGACGCTGTGACTAGTCCAATCACAGATTTTACATGCGTTGATTGCAGATCCAAGATTTGCAATTTTCGTCTAGCAAAGGCCTGCCCACCTCTAGTCAGTAACTAGAGTGGTCCGCACGTAGGCACTTGCTTGAGCAATTCCTAGTCTTTGATCTTCATCTATCCGTGAACCTGCTGTTGTTTCGAGCTCCTCAGCCCCTCCTTTGGCAGCTCAATTTACATTTGGGCAGGCCATAACACGATTGTCCCACCTTTCTCAGGTGCTCCTTTAGATTGGGCGGACTAAAAATGGGCAAGGATGGCATTTTTCAATTTTCCTCCATTTCTGTAATGCTTTCTTGTTGTTATTTGGGTAGGTGCACATTCTTTGAGGGCCTCAAAGATTGGCACAGTCTGCTAGCAATCTATTGAAAGTCTAGAAGCTTCAAGTCAATACGATGGGTGCATCTGCGCTAGATTGCATCTGTAATTTCTGCTGCACTGGCACTGATTGCTGCACTGGCGCTGATCGCTGCACTGGTTTCTCTGCCAGCACGAGCTTCTTCCACTTCTCTATGAGGTTGCTTGCAATGCGCTGTATTTCATCATGGCTGCTCTTGCGCAGCTTGCGCACTGAGAAAGCAACTCCTGTCTGCTCCAGGTCAGCCTTTGACACAAGAAGGCAGCTCAGCTGTCTAAGGCTGCCAAGCACCTGCACCAATCAATCAAAAAGAATGTCATGCATGCAGTCATTTCAATGCAAAACCTCCCACAGACTCGTTTGAATAAGAATTCAAAAAGGTTTCCCAGGGAAGGAGGGGTTTGGAAGAGTAGCCACATGTCAACCAATCAGTGCTTCTTATGCTCTGACAGGCTTGAAAATGCAGCAATGAAAGGCCTGCTGTGCAAATAAATTATAGCAGGTATGTATGGACTAGGGGTTGCACCTGGGCAGGGGAGCTTTCAGTGTTGTCTAATACAGCTTTGGCTTCCAGCACGCTCTCTGCCGTGAAGCAAACGGTAGAGGTGCCTGCTGGAAGAACAACGACTTTCTTCAAGTCTGTGAGCTTTAACTGGGATCCGGCATCATCGCTGTAGTCGATGAAATTGGTTCGCTTCCTGAAGTTATAATTCATGTTGAGGTCATCAGCAGCAGTCCTGCCAGTCGCCTAAAGCATGCCATCTGATCAGCAGAAATCGGTTATCTTAGGAAAACGCATTTCATATCCTTGTCCAGAACTTTTCCTCCCATTCACCTGCGTTTTCTTCTTTTCAACGTAGCCTGGGCTCTTTTTCCACCGACCCTTTCTGAACCCCTGAAACTTCTCTAGGGTTTTATATGACTGGTCAACAACAATGCATGCGGACCTGTTCCAACTTTGCCATCCACTTCTTTCCCAATCTTGGAATGCTAGGAAAGGGTTCGATGATGGGTATACACTATCAAGACGTGTCAGTCCCTTTTTGTTGCAACAATCCTAGACTGATGGTGGAGTGGATGTTAGCGTGACCACGACAGACCCTCAAAACCTATGTGCCGAGCCCTTTGATTCTACATCAGGTGGAGCTATGAGTGAGAACGGCGGGCTGCTCACGCTCGAGCCCGAGGAATTGATTTTCCAGGATGTGCACCTTAACCAGGTGGGGCGGATGTTTACCTTCCTTGACTGGGAAAGAAGAGCTAAACCTTCAAAAATGCTGCATGAATCTTGAAAGAAATTTTGTAAACCTGACATCGTACCACAATGCTGTCAATCTGTCTGCAGGCCTACACGCAAGTGGTCACAATTACAAATAATTTGCGAGCCACGGTGGAGGCCACCGTTCGTTCTGGCAGCACAGATCGCTTTACTGTATCCCCATCGAAGATATTTCTGAAGTCAGGCCACTCCTGCCAGCTCCAAGTCACGCTCAAGGTTCTGAAATTTGTGCAAAAGAGGAAGGCAGCAGAGCAGGGTCAGCGGGATGTCTTCCACATCAAGGTACGGAGAGTGTGCTTGTATATTTTGATAGGCATATCAAACGCTCTGGATGTCCAAGAGAAGGAGCAGACGCTCGTTATTATCTGTTAAAGCTTTACATCTTGCAATATAGTGTCCCTTGTTCTACAGTGATTACTATTGTGTGTGTTGCCCAGGCTACATACTTCGATCAGAAGTTCCATGCAACGTTCTTCTTGGCCCCGGAAGAAGCTGGAATGGAGCGCATCCCCCGTCCAATTGGAGCGGCACTCAGAGATCCCACCCCACCGCGAACAGACCCAAGAGGACACTCCAGAATGCCTTCAGCCGCGCCAGCACATACTGCTGAGCGTCAGCAGAGTGCAGAGAATGCCAGTGCAGCGGAAGACATGTCTCAGATGCGTGGGTCAATCAGCGAACCCCCACAGCGGCGCAGCTCCCGCTTCTCAGCCTGGCAGATGGCAGACAGAGGCGCCGAGCAGCTATTGTCTGAGCCACACCAGGACGCAGCAGCTCACAATGCTGTCTTACACAGGTCCAGAGAGCCCACAGAGCCGCAAGGGGGGGCTGCCATGCAAGCCAAAAGCAGCTTTCATCAGCCAGCTAGCGGGATAGCCAGCCCACAAGTCCAGGGGCAAGGAGGCAGCTGGAGCCATGAGGAGGAGGAGCTGTTAGACAGGGAGGTGCAGGACGAGCTGCTGGCCACTATAGAGGAGCAGGAGCAGGCTCTCAGGTCTGCTGCAGTCCTCACTTCAATAAAACACATGACTAACCATCTAAACATTGGGCCCCTTTGCGTTTTGATGGTTTCTCACATGCTCCCCAAAAACCAGAAACGAGAGAATCGGGATGCAGGGTCACATCTCAGGCATCATTACATGGTGCTGCCAACAGGGAGAAGGATGAGATGCTGGAGTATCTGCAGTCTTGCTTGAGAGCGGCCGAGATGGAGGCAGCGCAGGCCACAGGGGCAGCCTCGCCAATGCAGGGCCTCATGCCGGAGCGCGAGAATGCAGGGGAGGCTCATCCGCAGCACAGAGAGCTGCAAGCAGCTAACGCACAGCTCGAGGTGGGGCCAACACTATGCATCTGTACGCACCAACAAAGAAGCTTGCTGCACAGCACCTCACCCAAATTCGTGCATTGGGCTCTAATCAGTCACTGAGGTTTTGGTAAAATGCGGGGAGCTAGTTGCAATTATATGGACTGAATTCAGATGTCCTTAGAATGGTACATGCAGCAAAATGCACAGTACCTGTCTGAACTGAACCAGAGAATTGGGGAATAACAGAGACGGCAGGGTGTACTGCAGTCACTCCAATTAAACCACACCACTGATATACGGCGCACGATGGTGGCAGGGGGCGAACGCGCAGCTGCGCGGGCGGGTGCAGGATCTGGCGGCGGAGCTGCAGGAAGCTAGGGAGGAGCTGGTGGCACTGGGGGGCCTGCAGGAACAGCTGGCGGCTGACGTGGAGGGTGATGTGGACGTGGATGCGCTTGTTTTGGCCGCCGTTGGGAGGGAACGCGCGGCGCAGGACGCACGCAACAGCAAGGTGCTCGAGCTGCTCAAGAGCAAGGTGAGCTTTTCCTACATACTCCATGGTAGCCCACTACCTTGCCTGTATTTTCTTTCATACTGCCAGCCCTTTTATTCTCACTTCAAATTGTGGCTGGCATTCTGCCAAGATATCCTAGCAAGCACCAGCATAGCCCACAGCATTCTTAAAAGATGTGGAAGCAAGGAGGCCAGTCGTCTGTGCCTAGAGAAGGCTAATCGTCTGTCGCTATAATGAAGTGATGGGTGACATCGTGCTCGTCCCGAAGCTGGGCCGGGAGCGATGCACCCCCCAAGTTCTTTCCAGGAGGCCGTTACACCATGGATTTTGGTCTGACAGCGCAGCGGTGGTGCATTGCAGGACCAGGTGATCGAGCGGTTTGAGGTGCGTTTTGCGGAGGCGCAGGCGGAGACGCGCCAGCTGGCGGCTGACCTGGCGGAGGCCCGGCGGCGCGCGGAGGCGGCCGAGGCGCGCGCGGCTGAACTGCTGGAGCAGCGGGCCAAAGCGCGCAGAGCGCAGGAGCGCCAGCTGACCGAGGCCGCCAACCTGCAGGCCTCGCTGCGCGCCAACACCGCCGCCCTCAAGGTGCCGGGAATATAAATTTGCGGCGGCTCCATGCGATGTTCTTTCTTTAAGCCCGAGTGATGGTATGGCTTGCAGAACAGCATGCAGGGAGCAAATAGCTACAGGGGAGCAATTTGCGCTCAGAGGGACAGGACCTGAAATCTGTTTTGCAGCATCTGTGATGTGTACATGATAAAGATGGCTTTCCAGTGCACTTTGCGTTTGGTAAGAGGGAGAGAGTGCATTTGTATCAATTCAGCTGGTCGTAGGAGCTGCTGTGCTGATAATGTTCATGCTTTTGGCAGGCTGAGTTAGAGTCATACAAGAGGGAGGCAGCGCGCAAGAGCCCGGAGCCTCGCAGGCGCGAAGTGGGCGCCTCTGGGAGCAAGGCCAAGGGCAGCAGTGACGCGAGGGAGGCTGCTCTGAAAGCTGAGCTGAATGTCACATCACAATCGCTGGCGGCCTCCAAGCAAGAGGCTGAGGCCCTCTCCGTTGGCTTGCAAAAAGCCAACGCCTTCATCGAGGTGTCTTCCCTGCCCTGCTTGTTCCTCTTCAAGGTCAGCATTGTCACAGTGAAGCGGGTCAATCATAATTTGCCTTTATACACATCAAGATGAATTTTGTTTGTATGCTGTGGTGCAGGATCTGCAAGGCCAGTTGGCAGCCCAGCAGGAAGCGGCTGCGGCCAAAGAGAAGGAGGCATCACAGCTGCAGGAGCAGATCACTGAGTTGGAAGCCATTCTTTCAGAGCCCGGCAAGGACCCAGTGCAAACGCCATCCTCCAGAGTGAAGGATCTGGAAGAGAAGGTTGCTGCGCTGGAGGTGAGAAAGGAATCCATAGTATGCCAGATTATTGACTTTTGCAGAGCAATGCCCTCATAGATGCACGTTGCTGACATGCACAGGTTTTCTGGCACAGGCATTTTGAAATGTCTGCTTGCTGCAGGCAAGCAATGGCGAGTTGGAGCAGGCTCTGGTCGCTTTGCGCTCTGAGCATGAACGCCATGCCAGGCCCCAACAGCGTGAACACGAGGTGCGTACCGCTTCTCACTTGACCTCTTCTACCAGCCTTGTTTACTGTCAAGAGTGCATGCAAGTGTGTAAGGCTCTCTGCTGGCAGGGCATGACTAGAAGCGTGTGTGCAGGGAGGTATGCCCGGCTGCAAGGCTCTGCAGCTGGCGCACTTTGACACGTCATCAGCCGGCACCATCGCGGAGCTCAGAGCTTCCAGCGCTGAGAAGAGCGCCCTGCTGGCGGCGGCCGAGGAGCGGCTTGCGCGGCTTGAGGCCCTGCACAGCATTGCGCAGGCATGCAGCACCACCCACTCTTGCACAACAACATCTGGGATAGACCACGTTGAAGAGGCAACACATTGCCCAATTCACTATCAAACAACTAACCAGCGTGTTCTGCAAGAAGTTCGTACATGCACCAGTGTTGACTTCCTCGCAGCAGTTACATCCACCCTTCATTTGTTCCTGGCCATGAAACCTTCTGTCCTCCTCCTGGTCCTCATGCTTAATGTACGCCCAGCAAAAAATACCGATGCATTGCAATCGAAAAGGGTGCTGTTTTGAGCGTCGTATGAGGGGCAGGCTGGTGGTGTGTGCGCAGGAGACGGCCATGTGTGGAGAGCAGCAGCTGGAGGAGATGAGGGCTGCCCTGGTGGGCCTGGGAGAAGTAGCCCAGCTGGGCAAGGCAGATGCACTCAGTGCCAGGTGTGACATTCCCACTGCCGCTCCTTCTAGGGACGTTCATTGACCTGCTTATTGGCAGATGTACTTTAAAAGTGTGTTTTAGTCTGGGCTTCTTGCTCGCAGGTGATTGTTTGTAGAGTATCAAGCCCTCTGCAGAAAGGCCACCACAATGCAGCCAGTCTGAGTCTGACACGCTATTGTGCAGGGCACTGGCGGCGCGGCTGAGCGCGCGTGTCAGCGAGATGGTCATGTCAGAGCAGCGCGCCACTGCGGCAGCGGAGGTTGCCGCCAAAAGGCTGGCGGAGGCACAGGATGCCCACCACACAGAGGTGGCCGCACTGCGCGAGGTGGCGCGCGCCAAGGAGAAGGTGAGTAGCGCTCAGGCAGCACCAGGGCTTGGCTGATTTTTGATGGAATCCAGAGATGTTGAGATTTGAAAGTGGCTGGGCGGTAGAAGGGGTTGTGGCAGAGTCACCAGATGACCTTGAGAGGAAATGGCGCCTGCCTTGCAGATTTTGTGAGCAACAATTTGCTTTGCATATGGCGGTCAAATTGTTGGGATACAAAGGGATTCAGCATCAGTAAGGGATGTGGCGAAAGGATGGATGTGGTGTGCAGGCGTTCAGGGATGCGCTGCAGCTGCAGAGCAGTGTCAATGGCGCTGCTGTGCCAGGAGCAGAGGAAGCTTCTGCAGCAGCTGCCATTCAGGACGCGAAGCTGGCAGATGCTGCCTGCCAGGTCAAGAGCACTGGCATTGATGCTCAGCAGTCGAGCAAGTGCGGCGGAAGCCCCACAGCAGGCACTCCTCCTACAAGTGTTGCTTCGGGAGCTGAGGAGCAGAGCCAAGCCCTGCAAGAAGCCGCGGCAGCGAAGGCTGAAGCTGCAAACCTCAAGGTTTGCCACCACCTGTGCACCCTGATCTGCATGCAACTTGATCCTTTCCGGATAGTGCTCAATCCAATAAAATGTATCAAGAGAAGTACAGTTGGACAGTACTGGTTCTCCTCATGCAGGCTGAACTGCTGGCAAAGGAAAAAGAGCTGCAGAGCGCATTCGCAGCAGCAGAGCAGGCCCTGGCAGAAGCAAATGGCAGGGCAACGAGCGCCACGAAGGATGCCGAGGAGTGGGCGAGGGAGGCCGAGGACAGACGCATGCAGCTGTCAGTCCTCATGGAGACCATGGAGACTCTGCAGACCGGATCCTTAGGTCAGCACTTTGATGTCTCCTAATTTACCATGATAGTGCATCGGTAAGGACACGCATCACATTTGTTGGAGATCGTAGTGAGACTTGATCCTCAGCATAAGAATGCACACACAGAGGTGTGGTTCTTCCCTTACCCATGGTTATAGCTCATAGCACATAGTCCACTGCTGTTAGGCACCATACAGACTCATGCACCTGTTCCTCACAGGTGACAAGGAACAGCGGATCGTCGCCTTGACGGCGAAGTTCGCGGCCGCCCGTCTGAAGGAGGCTGCGGCGGTGCGCCGCGTAGATGACCTGACCAAGGAGGCGGCAGCTCGGGAGGAAGCTGCCGCGCAGCTGCACGTCCGGCTGGAAGCCGCCGAACGCCAGCTGGTTCAGCTGCACGCTGACCTGGACGCCGCGGACCGGCACACCGCGCAGCTCACCGCAGATCTTGACGCTGCAAGCATCTGCAGGGACGCTGCAGTGCAGGATGCTGCAGCGGCACAGGCGCAGCTGCTGCTGCAGGAAGAGGTGGCGAGGGCCGCAGCGGCTGAGGCCGAGCAGCGAGTGGTCCAGTCACAGGAGGCGCTGTCTGCTGCGGAGGCAGAGCTGCTTAGGACCCGAGAGGAGGCTGACAGGTAATCTTCATGAATGCTTTCTCTACAGTGAGCACAGACAGATAATTTCTTCAAGGCCCCAGCATGATCAGGGTAGTTATCACAAAGGCCCCTCATTCTGAGAGGAAGGTCAAAACATCTAATTCTGCTTTTGGATTCAAGCAATACCTTGACTCAACACATGGTGCCTGGCCTGGCATGTAGGACTCTGCAGCATGACCGGGAGACCTTGCAAGCAGAGTCATATGCCAGATGTGCTGCGCTGGCTGAGGAGCTGCAGGCCACCAGGGCCAGCCACAGGGAGGCTGTGCAAAATGCTCAGGCGGAGCTGGCTGCCTCCCAACAGGCTGCCGCTGCCGCCCTCGCCTCCCGCCCTCTCCCTGAGGACCTCGAGAAGGCAAGTGAAGCTGTACAAATATGATACCTCAAGAAGTTTTGGTATCGTGCCCTGCTCTGTGCACCTTTTTACGCGCCATGGCCTCCTCTTAATTGGATACACCACTTTTTCAATAAAGCTGGACACATTTATCCAATGCAACGTTAAAGAGTCCACCAGTGGTGGTGTACAAGTGCTCGAGGTGGGCAGAACAGGCATGACAAGTGCAGCTGCGCTGCAGGCACTGGAGCGGGCACAGGAGAAGGAAGCTGCCGCGCAGGCAGCCGGGGCGAAGGCAACGTGCGCGCAGCAGCAGGCGGAACAGCTGGCGGCTGAGGTGGACGTGCTGAGCGCTGAGGTGGCAGAGCTCCGGGCGGATGCTGAGACCCGCGGCGCTGCTGTGGAGGGCCTGCATGCCACACTGGAACGCATCGAGCGCGCGACCGCCGAGCAGATTGGCCCTGTGCGGCGAGCAGGTCTGCATGCTGCACGTTTCTGGCTTGTGCGTTTGTTGTGACCAGTACAGAAATTACAACACTATTCTTGAACTGCCAGGTGCTCGAATATACCACAGCTTGGTGATGTCATGCAAGCTGCCAAGTACATGGTGATGATTGGCATATTTTACTGAGGCGCTTGTCACAGGTGATTAAGTGAATTTTGGCTGGATAGCAGGCTTCATTGCTAAATTTCACTTGTGGGCATTGTAGGGCAGCGCTGAGGCTATCTACAGGCATCTCTAACAGTGTCCTTATGGTAACAATTGCCAGCAGGGCAAGTGCGCTGGTCAGCTGATGGTGCCTGGGACTCCCGGGCCGGGACAGACGGCCGGCGCGCAAGCGCGGAGGACGTGTCGTTGGCGTCCCTTTCCAAGGAGCTTGTGCACGCGCGCATGTCTGAAGCAAACATGCAGCGCAAGCTCCGGGTGAGTGCGCCTTGTTTCACCATGTATCCGCCGATGGCGCCTATAGGAACACGTATTGTAGACGCTGTGCTGCATCGTGCACTAGATGTGACTAGAATGAAGAGCTACACCATGCATCAGACAGCTGAGTAAACTAACAGTATGGCAAGCACGACAAGAAAATTCTGGCATGTCATGGTTTGTCATGCAGGTGGCGGCCAGAGCAGAGGAGATGCTGCGCGAGCGCCTCTCACAGCGCGACCAGCGCATAACAGATTTGAAGTCCGCCGTGGCCGCTGCTGAGGCTGAAGCGGCTGATGCCAGACGAGGCCTCGCTTGCACTTTTGTCGCAGACAAGCCTCAGGCAGCCACTCAGACTGAAGCGCACCTTCTCACTGCCAGAAGCTTTGAATCAGAGACAGCTACAGCGGGGGAACCCACGATCTCTGCCCCCACAGCAGAGGCCCTTGCAGCGACAGCCTCTGGGGAGCCAGATGTCAGCAGCCCAGGACAGGTCGCTGAGCAGTGCACCCATGATGCGGGGAATCCCTCTTCAGCCGTTGACAGTGGGAGGCTCCCAGCAGGGATCTCAGGCAGCCTGGCTGAGACCCCCCTTCTGGCATTGCCGGCCCCAGAGGCAAGCATACACAGGGAAGCCGATCCTGCCGGAGGCCCTGCAGCCCAGGGGCCTGACTCACCTAGGGAGCGCAGCAGCCAGAGTACAGCGCTGGTGCTGCGTGAGAGCAACGACGGCGGCAGTCCGCAGCGGGGGGCGGCTGAGGCGCTCGCGGACGCGCGGCTGGAGATGGCGCGGCGGAACGCGGAGATTGCGCACCTGCAAGGCAGCCTGACTCAGCTCGTGGCCGCGCAACAGGCGCAGTTGCACCGTCCCTCCCCGGCCGTCGCCGCATGCGAGCAGGTTGGCAGCAGACGCAGTCTTAGTAAAACCTAACCAATCTGATCTGACAATTTTCACACGGTTCAAGCAATGAGGATGCTTTCATTGACTGTTGGGAATTTCTGAATTGAGTAACATTGGACTGCAGCAATGCAGTCCAATGGCATGAAATTGAGGATTCATGGAGCCGAGTGTATTGCGTTTGTGGGAGTCTTATATGGGGTGGATGTTGGCACGCAGGACATTACGGAGCTGTCGAGGCAGCTGCGCGAGCTGCAGAGGGAATGTGCGGCGGCCAGTGTGGCTGCAGCCTCTGTGCTGAACGTTCAATCAAGGCTTACCGAAGACAGCCCTCCTGCGGAGGGGCAGCTTTCCATCAGTGAACTGGTCGACCAGCTTGTGGATCTCATTCAGGCATGCACAAACACCAGTCTTGCAGAACATTGATTCTGGTGCATAACGGTTGAATCCCTTTGCTCTGAGCGATAGATTTGTGGGAGGCATCTGAGTGTGTGGTTGCAATGGCAGGAGAAGAAGGCAGCCGTGAAGAGGCTGGAGTCGGCGGCAAAGGCAGCCGCCGAGGAGCGGGCGAGAGCTGCCGCGCAGCCGCTGGAGTGCAGCCAGCGCGCAGTTGTCCGGGACCTCTCCGTCAAAGTGGCCGCCATGTCCAAGGAACTCGCGCAGATCAAGAGCGAGCGTGACGTTGCCCTGGTAAGCACCGCTCCAGCTCCTTTCACGCTATGCTATGGAGACTGAAGCCGCCCGATTTGGTGGATGCTGTACTTCTTGAAGCACCTGCAGACTTGTGGATACCACAGGAGAAGGTTTGCATTAGAGCCCGTGCTGAGATGTTCAAGCCACTGTTGTGTTGCAGGAGCGGTTGCGGACACTACGGGCATCTCTGGGCTCGTCCCGAATCCCGGGCGACACAGTCTCAGCCGAGGCAGCGGCCACGCCACTCGCCCTGCCTGCATCAACTGGTGCCGAATCTCAACACAGCACAGCCCCTGCTGTAGCGCCCGCAATTGCTGTGGAGGCGGAGTCCCTCAGCGGGTTGTGCACCATGCTGGCTCACCATCTGGACGTCCTAGAGGCATCACAGCAGCCGCTGAGCGGTGTGCTGCAGAGCTGCGATGAGGCATATGCGGAGGAGGACTCGGCAGGGGCGCTGGGTTTAGCAGTTCAGCAGGCTGTGGGGAAGGTCACGCTTGAGGCAGGAGCCATGCGATCCACGCTGCATGTGCTGTCAGCCTGCCTTCCCCAGCTCCATGCCAAGCCAGCAAGTGCCGGCAGCCAAGCTGAGCCACCGGCAAAGGAGAGCGCAGCGGTGCTGGACTCGAGAGCAGCAGGGCAGGATCCAAAGTCCAGGGAGGAGAGTACTAGCGCGGCCGCTGCTGCGGCGGCAGCGGCGGTGGCAGAGCTAAAGGCGAAGGCGCAGAAGTGGAAAATGCGCTGCCAGGAGCTGAAACGCGAAATGGCCGTCGCCGCGGCCGCGGCGGCCGCGCGCGAGGCGGCAGTCTCTGAGCGGCTGGCCGCAGCCGAGTCAGCCGCTCTGCAGCAGGCGGCCGCAGCTGCGCCCAGCAGGGGAGACCGGCCGGCGGAGGCGGGCCGCTCCATCTCTGTTCAGGTATCTCTTACACCATCAGCACTGTTCCTTGAGCTGTAATCAATGTAATTGATGTAATGCATATAGATATTCAGGTGGAGGTATCGTCGCAGGCCCGGGGGGCTCAGGCCGAAGCGCGGGCAGCCGCAGCGCGAGCAGCCGAGGCCGAAGCGCGTCTGGAGGCCGCGCAGAAACAGCTGCACACCGTGCGCGGCGGCGCCTCCGCCGCACAGAGAGCCCTGCAGGAGGAGATCCAGTCCCTCAAGGTGCCATTCTCAGCCTCTCCTCCATAGACCCACACAACAGCAATGGCCTTGCATTCCCTTACATTGCGTTTTTCAACACTCCCTATGCATTTGCTGACATCTCCTGGAAGATATTCTGTAGCTGCATGCTTGTATAGAAAGGACCAGACCATAGATACTCATTGCATCTTGCTGGACTGGAAGGTCACCAAGCAAGGCAAGAGGGCTGAAAGGGGGGCGCGTCTTCGCAGGCATGCCTGGCGCAGGAGAAGGCCGGCCGAGCGCGTATTGTCGAGTCGCTGCGGAGCACCATTGATGGCCTGCGAGCCGCCGGCGATGTCGAGGGCCGGCTCAAGGCGGAGCTCGTCAGTGCGCAGGAGCAGCTGGCATCTGTGCGCGCATCTTTGGAGGCCGCCGAAGAGCGCTCGGGCGGCCGGCGCAAAGAAGTTCAGAGCCTCCGGGAGGAGCTGGATCGCGCGCAGACCGAGCTACGCCGGCGTGGCGCTGATGCAGAGCTGCAGGAGCACGACGCGACTCTGCGCCTGTCCGACGCGCAGCAGCGCCTGGCCCTGTGAGTTCCCTGCAACAATAATATCCGTGACCTCTGGAGACGCGACAAACATGTCCTATAAGAATCATCTGTGTGTGACTCTCATTGTAATTGGGACAGTCCATGATCCTGTGTTGAGAGTTTCAATATCTGCCTTTGCCTGAGGCTTCTGCGCCTGCTTGCATGCAGGCTTGAGTCCAAATTGGTTGCAGCAGACACGCAGCAGAGTGAGGTGAAGGCCGCGATGACAGCTGCGCTGGACTCAGTAGACGGCCTGCAGCCGTCTGACAGGCTTGTGGAGGACGTGCGCAGTCTGCACAAGGCTCTGAAGGCAGCAAACGACCGCTGCCGGCTGCTGGAAAGGCAGGCGACAAGCTTGGCGGAGTCCGGCGAGGAGGACAGGGGCGCGCTGCGCTGGGAGGGCTTCGTCAGGGCACGCCGCTACAGGGAAGCCGTGCAGCAACTGCGCGAGGATCTTCGTGCAGCCATCGCAGAGAGGGAAGCTGCGGTGGAGGAGGCCGGGAGGGAGCACACACGCGCAGACGCCATGCGTGCCGAGGCGAAGGCGCAGAGCCGGCGGCTGGAAGAGGCACGGCGGGCGGCCGAGGAGGAGCGGCAGCGGAGTGCGCAGCAGCACCGGGGGGCCCTCGCCGACATGGCGGCGCGCATGGAGGCCGAGCGTGCGGCACTGCGGCAGGAGGCGGCCGCTGCGGCGGCCTCCGCGGCGGCCGCTGCCGAGGACCGCAGCCGCGCGGCGGCCGCCGCGCAGCTTCAGGACGCGCAGGCCCGCGAGCAAGCGAGCGTCCTGGCGGCGCGCGCCGATTGCGCGCGAGCCGCCCGCGAGCTCGAGTGCCTGCGGCAGCAGTTTCGGGCGTACCAGGCTGTCAAGGCGGGCGAGGTCGCCGGCCTTGAGGCGCGGCTCCGCGTTGCGCTGTCCCAGCCGCCCGCTGCCGGCCGGCCCTGGAAGGCCGCGGCGGCCGCGGACGCCGGCCGGCCGACACATGGCGGCTCCAGGCCGCAGGCGTCCTCATCCAGCACGAGGCGTGCCACTGCTCCTGCAAATGACACTAGGCCGTCGGAGGGGTTGCAGCAGGCATGTGGCGCAGCAGCGGAGGTGGCGGACGCAGTGCAGCGGGAGGCGGTGGCGGCGGCCGAGCGGGAGGCGGATCTGGAGCGGCTGCAGCGGCAGGCGGCCGAGGCGGCGGCCGCTGAGGCAAGGGAAACCGCGGAAAAGCTGCGCGAGAAGCTGCAGGCGTGCCAGCGAGAGCTGCGCTCTGTGCAGGACCGCCTAGCTGCTGCGACGGCCGAACGGCGGCAGCAGCCCGCAGCCAACTTCCTTCGGCTCCAAGTGTGTGCCCTTGCAGTATCTGCATTGAAAAGAATATCTGCTTGCTGAACTATCACTGAGAGCTCAATGAAGCATACACATGACGGCCTTGCAATGTAGACAGTACCGTATTGGGGTTTGCTGTGCCTCTAGACAGATAGCCTAGATGAGCTGACATTGAGCGGCTGTCCATATATGTCAGGGGGAGCTGGCAAACGCGCAAGAAGCGCTCAAGGCGGCGCGGTCCGAGAGCACAAGGCGGCTGCGTGAGCTGCAGTCCCTGCAGGGCGCTGCATCAGGGGCTCCTCTGGGAAACGCTGCAGCGCTGGCCACAGAGACTGCTGCGCGAGAGGCGGCCGAGGCAAAGCTGCGGGAAGTCAAGGCCGCGCTGCTGCGCAAGAAGCAGCTCGTGACCGACCTGCGCAAGCGGGTGCGGCCTGTTCTCACAAGTGAAAAGCCTGGAAAGCATGCAGTCTTCCTCCCAAAGTACTTCCAAATTTTACTCGGATGGACAGATGAGGCCATCTGGTCTGTGCCTGTGCCAAGATGATGTCATGCACACTGGTGACGGTGCTTACTTGTATACTCACAAGTGACAATGCTGACAAGCAAGCGAAACTCCTCTAGGCGTTGGTCAGAAGCTGAAGAGGGATGCGCGCAGGTTGACGAGCTGTCGGAGCAGCTGGTCAAAGCGCAGGCCCAGAACAGTGCGCAGAACCTGCAGGGCATAGAGACCAAGGCCCGCTCCGCCCAGGCCGCATGCGCTCGCAAGGTACACGGAGTACTCCTCTTGCGCCCCATTCGCTGGACAGAAATAGCTTTGTCTGGTTTCGTACATCCAAGATTTGCAGAAACACATTCGCCAATCGGTGTACACACAAGCAAGGACAGAGTCACGCCTGTCAAAATCGAAACAGTCCTTCAGAGGAGTCACAAAACTTGAGGGTCTCCATAAACAAAACTGCTGTCCATCAATTGTATCTCACACTTTGCAATGGAAATTTCTCAACGCAAATCAATGAAGGAATTTGCTCTCTATAGAGCATCGACGGATGCTGTGACCCTGGTCAGCAGTCCCTGAGTGGTGGTAGCCATGAGCGCAGGACGAAATGCTGCGGGAGCTGAGGGACCGGATGGAACACCTCATGCACGGTGCGGCCGCGCGCGCGGCCGAGGCTGACGTGGCAGATGACGGCTCCGAGCTGACGCGGTTGCGCAATGAGCTGGGGCGGCTGCGCACTGAGCTGGCACGCAAGGATGCTGAGCTGGCGCGGCTGCAGAGCGCCCAAGCCGATTTGGAGCAGGTACAATTAGTCAGGATCGAAGCTGTTAGATCCATGTTGAGCGGAAATGCGTCCAATCATTGGGCCCAGGAGCAGTCTGTGCATTTTATCTGACAATACAGCCCATGCGGTGCATCCTCTACCATTGTTTTGTGCAGAGCAGTGGATGAGCTGATGAGAAACTCAGCTGGGGATACATTTTTATCATGGATTTAATAAGTGTATTCTGAGGGAGTTGTAGCAGCAAGTGGATTGCACTCATGCAGGCCCAACAGGAGGCTGCGACTGCCGGCATAGGGGCTGACCCTGCGGGCGAAGACCAAGCAGCCAAGCGGCAGGCTGCTCTGACGGCGTGCGGCCTTGGCTTGCTACGATCCCTGGAACGCGCCCTAGACCTGTCACAGCTCTGCTCCAAAGCCATGTCAGACGCTGCCGAGCGCCTTTCCTCCAATGGCGGACAGGTGAGGGTCTCTGCCTTGATCGAGCAATACTGATAAATCTACTGGATATCTGCCTCAATTGTTTGTGCCTGCGGCGTTGAAGCCATCTCCTTATGCCCTGACAGCAAGCATGAGAGATTTGTGAGTCAGACCATGCATGTAGCATACAGCAATCCACTATCTGTAAAGAGGGGTGGCATGCCATGTACCGAAAAGGGAAGTCAGGAGTTTTCTTGTGAGCAGGGTGTGCATTGGCAGTCGGCCAATGCCGACACCATTGCAGCTCTGGTGGATCTGAGCGCCAGTGAAGTGCGGGAACTGCTGGGCGAGGAGAGAGGCTGCACCATGGCTGAGCTTGGCCAGGAAGTGGCGGCCGTGTTGTCATGCTGCGAAGCAATATTGCTCCCAGGTGCGCTAGCACGCCTGGCAAATTTGTCACAGTGCATGCAGCAGCTTACCTAGTTGCAGTGATGCATGCATGACATGCTGCTTTGAGCCAGATATATGCTGCAGCATGTGCGGGAATAAGAAGTGTGTTTCTGCTGTGTTTTCAGAGAGCAACGGTGGAGCAGAGACTCAGGCAGCTGGTGGCAACGGGAGGATGAGGAATCAGGCGGTGCAGAAAAGCCTGTGTGCTCTGTTAGATGCTGCTGAGGCTGAGATACACAGGTGAGCCTTTCGTGCATGCAGATACACCTTGTGTTGCATGCATACATTATATGCTGACATTTACTTGCTGTGCAGGGCTGGTAGCATGCTTGAGGACGCTGTCATACAGCAGCAAGAGGTGACAGCATCAGAACAAGGGACTGCAGCAGCAGCTCCAGGTCGCAAGCCAAGAAGACAGGCATCGCATGCGCTGGCAAAGCTCTCAGAGAGCCTGATTGAGGGTAGCCTGCAAGATCTTGATGAATGACACCTAAAATCCTCTTGATTGGCTGAGTTTATCTGTTCGGTTGACAACGTTGCGCTTCACATGTTTAAGTTGACAACAGCAATTTTTGGGCCTGTCACAACTAAAACTACTGTTTCCTTCAGTTTGTGGAGACTCTCAAAAGTTGACTACACTCTAGTCTGTTGAGGTTTGTTCCGTGTCTTCGGTGTTTTGAGCGTCTGACGTCTGTGACTACAGTTGACATCACAACATCCATGGAAACTTTCATGCTGCACACTAGATTGCAGCAGTTGAGATTGCTATCACCTGTTTTGTAATCTGGTCAGGAAAGTAGTAAATGCGAGGCTCTAGGCGCCTACTTTCAGAAGCCCATGATGTAAAAAATGGGGAAGAATTGTATCAATCAGCAAGAATGTTTGGAACTGTGTTTCCCTGCCCCATGTACCTCTCCCTGCTCTCAAGCATTCCTCTCTTGTTCCCAACGTTCTTGTCTTGCTATCGCATATATCTCAAGTTCCCTCTCCCATCAAACCTTCCGCAGGGCAGTCATCAGCATGTGATGATGCACAATCAGTCATTACCAATATTGTACATGTCACCCATGTATGTTCGAAATCTATGAGGGCTGCTGCTTAATGGGTGCCCCTTGCAGCTGGGGGCGCAGCCGCGGTGGTGGCGGCCGGTAAACTGTCACCTGGCAGGCAGACGCTGCTGAGGCCGCCGCAGATGCAGCAGCAGCCGCGGCCGCTGTCGCCTCCGCCACCGCATGAGCCATGCGCATCTCAGATGCACTGTTTGGCGCCAATGCTTTGGCCTGCACCAGCAGATGGTACAGTTACACCCTCGCTTGTGACTACAAGAAAGTGCATGTAAAGACTTTAATTCAAGAAAGTATGCACACAGATTTCTTCCTAGCCTGGGTAGTTCACAGGAGGCTCAGTCAACGTCCACACCTTCAGCTGCTGTATTCTGCCCTTCAGGGTGTCCCGCTCATTGAGCAGGGACTCTATGCGCGCCTCCAACTCCCCAATCCGCTCTCTCTGCACACAGCAGGTTCTTTAAAGCGCCAAACAAAGCTTCCTGCATGCGGAATGCGTAATTGACTAGAAAACAAGGTGACCAGTATCATATCCACATCTCTTTGTTGACTTTCAGAGGGGTTGTAGGAAAGCTGGAGGGATGGCAGGAAAGCTGAGGGGCTGCACCTGTTTCCGGATTCTGCCTCCCTGTATTTTTCCCACTATGAGACCTGTGGTGGCGCCCGTTGCCACGAAAGGGAGCGCAAGCTGTGCCTGAGGTGGCAATCTCCGCCAGGTGTCCCACGCTGTCCTCTTCACGGATGTTATGAAGGGGTTGAGGAAGTCCACATCCACATGCACTGCACATGAAGTACGCAGTGAGAATACTGTCAGAGAGCAACAGGCCCCGTGCTCCTACAGAATTTTGTGACTGGAACAGATTATTCCCCTCACCTGGCATCTCCATCTTTGGCATCTTCACTGTCCTCGCCTTGCCCTCCATGTCTCGCACCCATGTGGATGCATTTTTCCTCATGTTCTGGCTGGTGTTGTTCCACTGCTCTCCCCAATTTGCCCAGAAAGGAGGAGGCTTGCCGCCACCAGCAGCAGCAACTTGATTTGCTGGCATTTTTCCTGGAACGCTGGCACTATCAGGTGCACCGTTCCTCCCGTGTGGCATTTGCTAGGTCTCGTCTAATAATGGTGCAGTATCAGAGTATCAAGCTCATCTCAAATTCCCCTGGAATCCCTCCAGAACACCTACTTTCGAAACGCTTAAAGGGCATGCGGACTGTGTAGGACGTCCAAGATATCAAATTTCAGCTAAGTGGCTTGTAAGTGATCCTCCAGACTATAAGGTGTCAGATCTTCGGAGTGCTGTCATCTCGATTTAGCGCGGAGTTTTGTTTGGTGAGAAGTGGAAATAAAAGGTGTAATCTTTCTATTTCCCTTCTTTCAGGGAGAACGGTGATCTGAAGAAGTTTCCATTTGGTCAACTTCCAAGCAGTGGCTTGCACAAAGCAGATTCGGATCCCCCGCTTTGAGAAGGGGGCACCTTGCAAATGAATTCTGCAATATGCGATCGTATGGAGTATCACAGAACGAGCTCCGTCATTCGCATTGCACACCATTTTGGGTATAGAATGTGATATCAAGGTAGTTGTGTAGCATTGAGAGCGAACCTGAAACGTCTGATAACACCATGCCATCCTGACTTTCTGAGCGACTTTCACGGTCGAGCAGTTCCAGATATGTTCCAAAAAGTGCAAGACATCGGCGAGGCCTTTGCTCGCAGGGCAGCATCGGCGACTGAACTCTTGTCAGACAAGGAACTCAGAAAGTGAGTTCCCCAGGACTCCTCTTCTTTGCGCACCTGTGCTCATCAAGGACGCAATTCTTGAGTCTGAGGGTTAGAATATATCTCAGCTGTCTCTGGCCCTGTGCAGAAAGGCGTCAGACTTGGTCGCACGAAGGGCTGGGAAGCGGATCAAGAACATCCAGCATGGTGAGACACAGCTCGCACAACAGTTCGCATTGGACTGAGTCAATGATTGGACATGGCAGAAAAGTTTCAAAGTTTTCGTCGGTCTCCTCTAAGAACACTCATCCGAGCGGGATACACCCCAAGGGTCACCACCTTCGGGATGTTCTTGATGTTGATGGCAGGAGTAAGTAATTACTAATATAGAGGCGCATAATGGAATTGGGCGCATGCAGGTGTGCAGACTGGGGCGGATCAGCTTGGTCGAGTGGGAAGAGGCCTGGCAGAGGGGCCCAGGCAGATACAGGCCATCCTGGCGCGCCTACAGGCTCGCATGGAAGAACAGCGCCTTCAAGCCTCCCTGCAAGCCGAGCGAGACTCCCCTGTTGATGTGCAGGTTGGATATACTATGACCTTTACATGGCAGCGCGGTGTACATATGTGCCAGAAACAGGTCTCAAGGCGCATCAAGATATGCCATATGAAAACGTTTCTGATGTTTTGCACAGGTGGGCCATCTCCTCTGTGAGGACGCACCCCAAGAGCTGCGCTCCCGGATGTGGATGGCATTGCTGGAAGACCCCAGCCTGTGCGGCAACCTCATTGAGGAAAAGGTGGGTTTATTTTCATGACATACTACAGAATGACCCCTACCTGGACATTCTCTTACGGCAAGTGCAGTCCTGTCCGTCCTCGATTCTGTAAGAATGAACCAAGCCAATTGAAGAACCTGAGATGCAGCTTTATTTTGGCAGGCACTGGAGGAGGACAGGGGTGGGCACGGCAGCCAGCGCTCGATGCGAAGCACATCCTTCACCAGCGGAGGCGGGGAGGTCAGCCCGCGGGCCGTCACCCCGGCCGGCAGCGCAGCGCGCGTCGGCTCCGCCACGCTCAGCCACCGAACCTCCAGGTCCGGCGAGGATGACTCATCTGCCGTGCCCGACGTGGCCAGCACGGCGAGCGGGCCGGGGCATAACCCCCCGGCGGGTATGAGCGCAGCAGAGGAAAGGCCTCCTCACCGAAGGGGCGGCCGCTCGGTGGCTGCCGCATCCGAGGCCGGCTCGGTGGATGCTGCATCGATCGCGACTGAGCGCGGCAGCGAGGCGGTGCTCGGCGATGTTGAGGACGGTGCTGCATCTGCGGCAGGGCTGCGGCTAGAGCCCATGCCTGAGAGGGACGGAGATGCTGCGGAGCCGGACGCCGGCGCAAGGACGAGCGCAGAAGGAGACATCGAACTAGTTGCACGGCAAGCTGCTGGGAGCAGCAGGGACGCAGGAGCCGACAAGAAGAGCAGTCCTTCTAAGCAGGAGCACAACAGCAATGTGCGTGCAGCATCGCACCCCAGCCAAGCGGCCACGTCCTCGGATGCCGGCAGCTCGGAAGCTTGGAGGCATGCTGACTGTGTCGAGGACCCGCTCAGGGGTGCAGGAGCTGAATCTGCCTCAAACGGCAGCGCGGCGGCTGCAGAGCCTGGGTTCTCCGGGAAGCAGGTAAGGGTGGACAGGACATCTGAGGCAGGCAGTGCAGATGGGCAGGATCATGCAGAGCTTTGCACGCCGACACATGGCGACATTGGACACCTGCCAGTCGCTCGGACCACGCCTGACAGAGCGCTGTCTCAGCACTCAGACCGCGGCCACATGACAGCCACCTCCAGCCAGGTCTGTGGCTCTCGCAGCACTCCCCTCATTGCTAATCGCCTGCCTCGAGGGGACAATCGTTCTTCAGGATTATGATGCCGCTCCTATAAGTGTCATCATGCATATTGCTAGACTAGGATATGGTAATGCTTACTGACCAAGGGATTGGCGCCCTGATAATATCAACGTCGGCCAGGGGAGTTTTATGCATGGTGCTTTTTTGCGGCAGGACGGCGAAGGTGCAGAAGCGCAGCTGGAGCAGTGGGAGATGGTGGTGGGCGCAAGCCGCCTGTACGACTGGCATGAGAGCCGTCTGCGCTCGCCCGCGCAGGTCGCCCTGCAGCGCACGCTCTCCTCCGAATCCCAGCCCCCCGACACCCTCCGCTCCAGTAAGCGCTCCACCCCACACCCTCACCTTTGATCCGAGATCCATGTATGCCCTGTTCGCAACTTCCTGTTCATACTGCTTCAGCGGCCAAACTGTGGTCTTGTCTCCCAAACAATTCATGCATGGCAGCTGATCCGCTGCCAATGGCTGCACTGCAAGCACTGCACTTCCCACAAAACATGCAGCGTTGCGCGCATGAGCCGGTCCCCCAGATTCAGGCAACTTTTGGGGTGATGGAAAGGATAAGCAACCATCATGATGTAATCCTCTGGCCTTCAGTACTCAGACGACGTCTAGGTAGGGCACCCTATGACAGCATGCATTGCAGGGATGTGCTGAAGGGAAGCCTGACTCGGGCAAAGGTACGAATGTTTTAGTGAAAGTGTGCAACACGGCAGGGATAATGGCGGCGGTGTGGAATGTGACGTGGCCGATAAGCACGGAGTACGCGGAGGACGGGCGGTACAACACCCTGCTGCAGATCAGCATAGGGCAGGAGGAGGTGGACGAGGTCATCACGCGCGACATCCACCGCACCTTCCCAGAGCACCCCCAGTTTGGCTTCGCGCAGGGGCAGCAGGCGCTCTTCCGCGTCCTCAAGGCCTACTCCCTGCACGACCTCGAGGCATGTGCCTTCTCCATCTCTGCTGCTCATGAAACTAATATGAAACGATGCTCATATGCATCGCTTGCGTGTTGCCACCGTAACAGCTCCAAGGGAGGTGGGGGTGGTGCATTCCAAGAGCTCCCACCGCTTTTTGGAGCTCTTTAGGTGGCAACATGTCACTGCAGTTTACATAAAGACTTGTGCCGTACCATGTTTTTTTCTCAAGAACTGACGCCGTGATGATGTGAGCGGGCTCTGAAAGGGTGGTGTGTTTGAGATGTGCATTGTTGTATCACCAGGGGATGCCGTATGAGCATTGCATACTGAGAAATGCCCCGTGAAGTGGCTAGCACATTTTGGGAGGGAGGCTGGCAGCGGGTGCTTATGGGACATTTGCTGTGCTGTCAATGGCTGTCACAGGTGGCCGCAAGCTCCTTGCCCTTCTGAGCAACTGTAACAAGGAGTAGCAACTGTAACTGCTGATGGGACCATGTGCTCTGCTGCAGGTGTCGTACTGCCAGGGGATGGCGTTTGTGGCGGGTGTGGTGCTGATGTACCTGCCGGAGGAGCCGGCCTTCCTGGTGCTGGGGCGGCTGATGGGCCCCGGCGGCTGCGACCTGCGATCCCTCTTCCTGCCGGGGCTGGAGGGCCTCAAGCAGCTGTTGCGCACCTTCGAGTGGCTCATGGCCCGCCTCATGCCCCGCCTCAAGGCTCACCTCGAGGTGCGCCCCCGTCACACCCTCCAACATAATTGAGGGTCTGCGCTGGTACACTAAATGACCATCGCTCATCGCTTGCAGCATGCCAGATATTGACGTCACATTCCAGAGGAATGCATATTCTAGATGTGTCGGATACTACATGTGCCATTGAAAATCTTGTATATATTAAGTCTGCTCTTGTGGTGCTGTACTGCTGTACGAAGTGGTTCAGTGGCGCGCATGTGAGGACCCCGGCCATCCATTGGCTCATGGCTGGCATTTGGTGATCTCATGGGCTGATGCGTGCAGGAGTACATGGCACTGCCGGTGCTGTACGCGTCGCAGTGGTTCCTGACCTGCTTCTCGTGCCCCTTCCCGGCCAAGTTTGCCTGCCGCGTGATCGACGTGATGCTGCAGGAGCAGCGGTCGCACGTGCTGCTGCGCATCGCGCTGGCCATCGTGGCCGAGTGCGAGGCCGACCTCCTGGAAATGGATGACTTTGAGGACATCATCACCTTCCTCAAGGTGCTGCCCCTTTACCCACTCATTTCATGCACGAGGAATGATGGCAATGAAAGAAGCCGCGCCTTATATTGCCCTTGATGCACGGGAAGGAGAGCCCAACATGCATGCATGCGCATGCATGCCTTGAGGGTGCCTGGGCCTTCACTAAGAGAGCATGTGCATTTGGGTCTGGGTTCCAGCGTGGGCCGAGCTATGCTCTCAAGATGCATCGGGCCTTTTCTTTGTGCTGCAGCAGAACCTGTCTTTGACCGTGGGACGATTTTTAATGCTGCTTCCAGTCAGCATAGGGGTCCGCAGGGTCGGCATAGGACCTGACATGCGGAGCTGTCTGTGTCGTGGGCAGGTGGAGCCCGTGAAGTGGCCGGCGGAGCGCATGCGCAAGGTTCTGAACAACGCCATCCTGACCGGCCTCGTGGCAGACGAGATGATCACCGCCGCCGAGCAGGCGCTCACAGACGGCTTCGAGGGCAGCCTCTCCAGGTGCGCTGCTACACCTCAACTGCTTTCCACCTCTACATCGTATTCCGATGTCAGGACTGCACATGGGTACATCATTATCGTGACAGCTTACCTGATCTCATGCTGCCACATGCCTTAAATAGTTGCCGTTATAGACCTTTTTGGCAGGGCACGTCTGAAAGACTGGCGTGTGCTCTTCGTGGTGTTGTAAGTGCCTTAAAGTGGTATAAAACAGCATGTGGGACGTGCTTGATCAGGCGGACGTCTGTGGCGCCGGACCCACTAGCAGCGGCTGAAGCGGTGGTGGCCGCGCGGCATTGCATGAGCGAGGCCGCCGCGCGCTCCTCCGGCATGCCCCCCACTGCCGAAGAAGCGCGCACCGACACAGGTGCGCCCCACTGATACCATGATTGGCTCTGTGTCAAAGCCTCTCTAGCTGCAGCAATGGCAACCAGCAAAGCCTACGCATATCTTGTAAATTACTGTACTGTGATCCTTTGGGAGCAATCGTGCTGAGAACTGTCATGTGCCTTGGATTACATGAAAAGGCTGCTATTTGATGTGCAGAGTGGACAGAGGCAGATCCTGCACCTCGAAATTGGAAATTGCGTGAGCTTTGAGCCTCAACAAATTCTGAGGTTATTTGCGTGGCATGCAGGCGCAGAGGGTGTGGATGAGACAGTAGAGCTGCTGGAGAGGCGGAGTCGGGAAGTGGGTGGGAACCCTGCAGACAGGGCAACAATGCTGGACCCCGATTACATGGCCATGGTCCTGGCAATGGACACGCTGTGGGCGGCCGGTGAGTCTGCGGTCACAGGGCTGTCACAAGGAGAGGACTGCTCTGCTCCAGAATTCTCTTCTTGAGCGCGCCGTAGGACTTATTATATTGTAATTGTGTGCCATCAGAATCTGCTGCCTTTTCAAGTGTGAAGCACCAGAATCCACTGCTCTATCAGACGTGAAGAAATGATAGGACATTCTCTGGGAGCTTTTCTTTGACTCACTTGCGCATAGGGAAGGTCAATATCATGTGGTGCTTCTGTTTTTGCCGTCCCTCAAGGGACGGCATATCCTGATGAAATGTCCTGGAGTCTACAACGGCAATTGGGCCTTAAAGCAAGGCGGGACCGTAGGCCAGATGTGTATCTTGGTCAGCTGTGCTATCTTCGTTCAGGTCATGCTTGTCAGCTGAAATAGTGATCGAGTGTATCGCGATATGTATCATGGCTTTTGCTGATGTAGGAGATTTGCGATTTTCGGTTGAAAGGCTTTCAAGCCAAACTGCTCTGCATCAAACCCTGCTTGTAATTACAATAGAGAATATGACCAAGCTGTATTCACCCTGCGAATCTCTTTGTAGATTCCCCTTGCATTGCAATTTCACAAATGCCAGGCCCTTTCTGACTGACGCACACGAGGCTCACTGCAATTCAAGTGATATCCGAAGCTGTCAATTCTCACACCCTTGATGTCAGGACATCACCAATGCGAGACCACCCTCACGCAAGAGGAGCATGCTTTTATGACTTAAGACTCGCTCAAGCAATTGAGCTACACCCAAGAACTTGTGGCCTGTACCTTAACTTCATGCCAGGCTGCAAGTTCCTGACATGAGAGCTTGCAAGATAGTCCAAATCCAATCACAAACGGTCCTTTTATGACCCTGAATTCAGTACACAGAATAGGCAAACACGTTGCAGACATAGGCTATGTCACATAGCTCTCCTAGCGAGCTGTACCTCAGGACAGCTCTAAAACATCGGCATCAGGACTCCAAATCAAGGTTTGACATCCTTCAAGAATCTCTGGACTCTTGTGACACCAGTGGAGGCTGTGTAACATAAATAGCCACGGCCAGTCCAGCGACAGATCATAAGTGTACACCTACCTACACTTGCTTCCCAAACGACACAGACTCACACCAAATGCATGAAGGCACTACGAAGCCTCTCGCACTGCAAAAGATAAAAAAGATGAGGCATGCATCTAGATGGAGGTCATGCATTGAAGAAAAGGACCTATCGCAAACCACACATGGGGTCACCAGGTCACCTTGTCTCTAAATCCCACATGCAGGGAAGAATGAAATTCCTACAGACACTTACAAAAAGGAGCGCCTACTGCGCACAAGCTGCTGGGATTTGCTGTGTCCACCCAGCAGAGAAGCTTAGCCTTTTTTGCAGCTAACTCCACCTCATCAGGCAAGGGTGCCGTCATGGAAAATGCTGCTCCCAGGCAAGGAAGTGCAGGGGCAATCAGCCTGCAAGGTGCAGCAAAAGTCTGTCAGAACAGGGCTTCTCCATTACACCAAGAGCTCAAATACAAGCGACCAAATTAACACTAACGGCTCACAAGCCTTAGAATATGCACCAGTGCACGCACAAACACACTGCCAGCACTGATCAGGACTCAGCCAGCACCACAATTATGCTGTTCGGACCGCACCTGCAGGGACAGCATGTCCGTTCGCTTTGATGCCGTTGGCTACATCGCTGGTCTTCTTCTTGCCCTCGTTGACTGCCTCGCTGGTCTTCTTCTTGCCCTCGTTCTTCGCAGTCTTTGCTGTCTTCAGCCCGTTGTTCTTAAACTTCTCCACGCTGCCTTTCACAGACTCCACGGCGCTCTCAGCCTCCTTCCTTGCCTCAAGGGCAATGCTCTTTGATCTCTGCGGGACAAATGGGCACTATTGGGCCGCCGTCATAGCACAGCCTCTTGCGTTCATCCCTGGCGTGAATTTCTAGGGCTCGATGGTTGAAAGCGCTTGCGTTGCACAGACCCCCAAAAACGCTACCAGGATGAAATGAATGGACCGTAGAACAATCGCATAGCACCAATCATCCACGGCTCCTAAGCCGGGCGGCCCTCAAATTCTTGATGCGATCACGGTTGGCACCTTGACCAGGTTGTGGAATGTCTTGGGCACCTCCTCCGGCACGAGTCCAGCCAATGCGTGGCCTAGACCGAGAGCAATACCGAACGCAGCCCCAAAGCACGCATACCTGCACGCAGAAAGTTTTCACATCACAACGGACTTTGCTCAATCTATCTCAATGCTGACCACTTGTGATTGGGGAGAATTATCTCACTTCTTTCAATACAATTAACAACAAAGTAAAGCAGCAAGGTATCGCGATTGAAAGCTTACCCAATGGGCAGCACTTTCTGCTGCACGTACTCCATCGTCCTCTGCGCGTACTCCATCATCAGCAGAAATCTGTGGCCGGGACAATGAGAAGGAGTACAATCTCTTAGTTAAAATGTTGAAGAGGGCCAGCTGTTCGTGATCCTGTATGTTTCTGCCAGCGACCATGCAGGACGCCCTGGCTACACAATAGGGTTGAGGGAATACTCCAGGGGAGCTGACCCTGGGACCCTGGGACAAAGGCTGCCTGGATTTTAAAGAGGAATTCCTGTAGATCTCACCCCATTTCCAGTGCAGCACAGAGTCTCTGGGTCATTCTTGAGCAGAGCCTGCAAATTTAGGTGCATTGGAATCATGCTGTCACCGGCTAGCCTGAAATTATTACCATCAGATCTCCAGCACGTGCACCAAATGCATGTGGCACTTGCCACTGTGGCATGCATGCCGGAAGATGATGCCTGGCCAATATGCGCTGTATGGCACAGTGCCCAGTATCAAACCTACGCATGGACCAAGCCAGGTACAGGACGATAGAACAGGCATATTAGCTAGGATGGTAAAATCAACAGCCTTTTGATGGCCCGTCAACAGGAATTCAGTCCAGAGGCGTTCATTTTGACGTGCTCCCCTCACGTTGCTCTGTTCCTATTCCTCCGCTGCTCCTGCGCCTTTGATCGCGGCCCTACACCTCTCGGATCCTTCGTGTTGCTCACCATTACCTTCCTTGCCCATTGCGCCTATCATTGATGCTGAGCATGATATCGTTGATCACAATAGCAGCCAACTTACAAAGTGCAGCACAAAGTTGCAACCATCGATTTGTTCCGTACGTCCCGTTTATGCATTTCACACGCAGTCAACGAGATATTCCTAATAAGGCAGCTTATTGCACACCAGAGGAGCTGAACCCAAGGCCACCGCAGTCATGCGGAGAACAGCATCAGAAGAGCTCCAAAGCATGCATGCAGACAGCGTAACCTCAGGTCAGTACCAGGCTGGCATCTATGGTAGCACTGACACCAACCCACACAACTTCTGTACAGTCATCAGCCTGACACTCTCCCAGCAAGACTGAGATACAGCAGATACCGTCAACTGCATGCATGCAGCAACCTCATCAACTATGTGACAACGGATGGAGTTTTGTGGACCTCTGGCAGCGCCTGCAGCTCTGCGGTGGCCGCGGCGATGGCGCCCTGGATGTCTGCCCGCCTGCCCAGCACGGGCAGCACCACGCTGCCCAGCCGCGCATTGGCCGCATCCGGCAGCACCCGGTACAGCGCATCCGCCAGCTCAGCCTCTGCCTTGCTGCCCCTTTCTGCCTCAGCACTCCCCGCACTGCTGCAAACACAAGCCACTGAGACACTTGCTGACCTGCTTCATTTGGCAGGCATGTGCAGGAAAAGACATGCATGCAGCCCATGTGAAAGCTGGGCTTGAGACTGAATGGTTTCACAGCAATGGACTCGGCATGCTTTGCACATCGGGATGTCTGGCCATGGTACAAGCAAAGTCCTTGCCTGAAGCATGACTGCACGTTTCTGGCACCTGTTGCGAGATGCATGTTATGGGTGCACACCTCTCAAAAGCCTTCCACTTGGCCTCAATCTCTCCGGCAAGCTTCTCGTTGACAGGGGTGCTGCCGCTGATGACGCTCTGCACCAGGTTGAGCTCCTGCTGTCCAAAGCTGAGGTCGGCCTGGGTCACCTTGAACTTCTTCAGCAGCTTCCACACCTCCTTGGCCTCACTGCGCAGCTCTTTAAGCTGATTCTCTGGCGATGCAGCTGTCTCCTGTGAAGTGACTTGCAGCTCCTGTAGCTGCTTCTCTAACGCTGCATCTGCCTGATCAGCCCCGGGGTTTCCTAGTCTGCACAGCACAAAAAAGCCCCTCATGAATAGGTCTGCACAGCAGAAGAATGCACCTCATAGCTTGCACATGGGGGGATATAATGGAGGAACAACGAAAGGAGGATGCATGCCTGCTAACTTTGGCCCAGCGTGCTTCCAGATGCTCCACACTGGCCATTTCTGTCCGCAGGCGTTTCAAATCCTTCTCCAACTTTTCCCGCTGCTTCTTCAGCTCCTTCGCAGCCAGCGCCAATTCTGCTTCCCTCCACTGCATGCCAGCACATTCAACTCATGATGCATCTCACGCAATACTCCACATGCTCACGTTCGGGGTAGCCTGCGAGACTCCTATTTTGCAGCTCATACACCCAACAGCACGCGATTGGCAATGCATGACCTATTTCTGAAGTCACATGCAAGAGCACATGCGCAGATTCTCAGGAAAGCACGAGCTTGTAGCCAATAACTATTCCGTGACACTGGTACAATGCGTTGAGAAGACAAGGTCAGCGCGCAGCATCTCACGTCGGCCTGCTCAGCTGCTGACATAAGCTTGCAGATGGTGGTGCCGTCCGGCCTGTCCTCCAGTTGCACACCCAGCTGCGGCAGGGTCTGGTCACGCAGCCTGCCACACAAAGAAGACATTCAAATCATTCCTGTTCACAAGCATGCAGTTCAGACACTTGTTTGCATCTCAGACAAGAACTAGCAATCGCCCCGATTCCAGCTTTCCATGTCATCCCCCTGATAACGCGATTCAGGTCAGCAAGCATGCATGCATGCATTTCAGTGTGCACTAAGAAAAGGAAGGCTCACCTGTCGCACAGGGACAGGTTGCTTTTGTGTCCGGCCAGGGACTGGTCTGCGTTTGACAGCGCCAGCTTGGCGGCGTTTCTGACGGCGATGCGGAAATCTGCGATGACGCCAAGGAGCGGCTCTGCGCCCTCGCCCGCGACGGCCGCCGCCGCCGCGCCACGCTCCCGGCCCAGCCCAATCTGATCCTCTTCGGCGATGCCAAACACGCGCAGGATCTCTGTGATGTAGGCGGCCACCTTGTGCACCAGCTGAGCCTGAGGCGGCGGCCCTGCATGCAAAGTTCCAATGGTCACAAGCTCTGCATGCACCATGAAAGACATGCGCTCTATGCAACCTGCCCCAGACATGCAGGGGAACAGCATGTGTACAATGGAGCCATGGCTGATGGTGGTGTGATAAAATGGGGCTGCATGCTGATGATCAGGAGGCAGTCTGCAGCTCACCCTTGGGAGTGGCAGCATACTGCTGCTCCCGGGCCTTGATGTAGACATTGGTGGTGCTGACCAGGTCCAGCAGGGCGCTCATGGCTGTGCAAACATCGATGCTGTCCTGCAGCGCTGCATGCACCTTTTCTCTGGTGCCCACGAGGGCCCTACTCAGCTCCTTCTCCTCAGCCTGCACGCACAGCAGTTCAACTCAGGTGAAAATACATCACTTATTCCATATCCAACGCGCACATTGCAAGGGGGCTACGTATGACTTGGCAATGCTGGCAAGTCATGGGAGTTGTGTGGTCAAACAGGCAGCAGAGATGAGGGCAGCACCTCCCATCTGGAGGGCAGTCTGCCCTCCAAGCCCTCGCGCCCAAACTTGTGCAGCACGGCCTCCACTTCCAGGAAGAAGTTCACAAAGGTCTTCTCCTTCTGCCGCGCCTCCAGTGCACTCTTTTCCTCCTTGTAGGTCATGCTCTTGTCCCAGGGCGCCAAGGTAAACATGATCCTCAGAACGCGAGGGCTGAAGTCCTCAAGAGCTTTCCTGTACAGGAGCAGAACAAATCGCTCACATTGGAGACTCTTAGGCTCCAGGCAAAGATTATCATGACACCTGTCGATGTGTTGATGGGCTCACCTGATGCTGATGAAATTCTTCAAGGACTTGCTCATCTTCAGGTTGTCAATGTTCAAGTGCCCTGCATGCACATTTGAAATACTCAGCTGATCATGCTTCACATCTGCAACATCAAAGCTGACTGGAGTGCTTTCATCTCTGCATCTTTACATGGGATAGAGCTGTAACGAACCTGCATGGAGGAAGTAGTTGACCCACTGCGGCTCGCAATTGCACTTCGCATATTCCTCGTGATAGAAGGCCTCAGCTTGTGCCAGCTCATTCTCATGGTGGGGGAAGGCCAGGTCAGCTCCCCCTGTGTGGAGATCAATGCTTGGCCCAAAGATGCTGCTGGCCATTGCCGAGCACTCAATGTGCCAGCCTGCACACAAAGCAATGTCTCGAGGCCAGCATCACGGACAACACATCTGGTGCATGGATGCAGGCAAGCAAGCACCACGAGAAGTCTCCATCGCCCACAAGATCAAGCTAGCAGCTGCCAGGATTCTCAAATCTTGCAGGAAAGATAGTATTGCAGAAAAAAAAGCACCTGGCCTGCCCTTGCCAAGGTTACCCTGCTCATCCCGCGCGCAGTCAGGCGACTCCCAGGCAGGCTCCCCGGCCTTGGCCTGCTTCCACAACGCAAAGTCGCTCTTGTTCCTTTTGTCGCTGCTGGCAAAATTTGCCTCACCGTCGGCCGCCGCTGCTGAGTTGATGGCCTGTGGCGCCAGTTTGCCATAGGTGTGCCCCTTCTCCCTGCAAAAAGAACGGCTGTCAAACACAACATACCTGTGCAGACGGTGCAACGTTCAAAGCAGAATGCCTGGTGTCAAACGAGAATTATGCTGCCTGTTGCAAAGCAAGGACTTGAGGTTGCTCCCAGACTGGTAAGTTTGCCTTTCAGAATTGCGTAAGGGTGCAAGAGCAGGTGACAAGGGTGGCTGGCACACCTGTAGGCCTGGGTGTCAAAGTAGACGCTGCCATTGACGCTATAGGCCATGCCATTGTCATGGATCTGCTGCACATAGGCCCTGATCTCATCCATGTACTCGCTCACTCGCGTCAGCACATCTGGCGGTCTGCAGTTGAGCAGGTGCAAGTCCTCCAGAAAGTCTGCTTCATAGCGCGCTGCATGGTTCCTGCAGCATCCGAGCATGCATGTCAAGCTTTTGCACCATTCCTGTGAAGCACCATTCACACGTGCATGCCAAGGGGGATATTGGGGAACTGCGCACAGAGCAATATTTTGCAGCTGGGGAGCATTGGCACAAAGACACAAGAAAGATATTGGAGAAATGACATCAACTTTGTGTCAGATGGGAATAATTGGAATGCGTGCCGCACCTGAACACTTCGTGATCTGTGACCTCATCCCCGTGCTGCTCATCCAAGGTCTCAGCAAGCGCATCTCCAGACGCCTTCACAATCTGGTCCCTATGGCTTGAACTGCTGGACTCCACGTTCCCGTTCTCGGTGCCTGTGACAGTGAAGTCCTAATATCTGGGCATGCCAGTTCGCATGTGACATGTGACAGAGTGCGCAGCTTATTGGCGCACCTGGCTTGGACGTTCTGAGGCGCTGCAAAGTCTGCACGTTTTCCAGCACTTTCTTGAGCTTGGTCTGCTCAATGCTGAGCCTGTCGTTCAGATCCTTCTGCCTCTGGCCGGCCTACACCCGGCAGACTGAAATGAGCGATTATTCTTTAACATGCAAGCAAGAACATGAAAAGTGTCACTCTCATTATCATTAAACATGCCAGAAAAAGGATCCTCACCAGCCCCTCCTTCTGCTGCTCCGCCTCCACTCTGCTCACCGCTGCTCTCTGCTTTGCTTCCAGTTTGGACAGCGCTGCTTCTGCATCTTGCAGGACCTACACAGATGTCGCCAGTCAGATCATCCAGAGTACCTTGTGGAGCATTATGAAGAGTGTCAGACATGTATCAAGCGTGACGTGACCATACCTTGGCTGTGTCAGGTGTCTGAGCCAGGTACTTCTCCAAGAGGTGGTTGAGACGGGCTCTGCGTATGATCTTGTCGTCGACATCAGTCACGTTCATAACCAGATCCACGTCGTATCCAAAATAATCCTCGATCACCCTCCTCAGGATGTCCATCGTCACATAGTAACGAGCTGCAAACAGACAGAGGTCAGGTCTGCGCATTCGGGCGATTATTGGCATGTGCGTTGATCACTTACTTCAGGTGTCCTGACATTTTGCACGTTGTCCCAGGTGGTTTCTTTTGTTGAAGGACAAAGCAAGGACTGTAATATAATCCTCTCACCGTGCCCCAGGTGGGCTGCATCGTATACAGTGGGCCCACAGGTGTACCATGTGACACGCTTTCCGGCAGGATCCACGGTCATGAACACCTCCTTTTGTTTTGTTAGTGAATTGTACAGCCTCAAGACACCCTGCTGAAACGCTGGACGATCATCTCCTGGCGCCCTCCACTTTCCTTTCTGGCCATAAGTACCCGCCACAAGCGGCATCGTGAGAAACTCTTCGACCAGATCTGCTAACAATCTGATTGCACCTAAATATTTTGCTGCACTGGCGCGAATGGGTTCTTCCTCAATCAAGTAATAGCTGTGGGTTTCTGTTCGTAGGTATTTGAGCGATCCTTCTGCAGCATTCTTAAGGCAATTCAGCTATGCGAAGTAATTATATAAGTGAGGTACAATGGTTCTGCTCCTTTGCATATCTCCTGCAAAGCCTGTATCCCGAGATTGCTGCTAGATCTCTATCTCCTTCGTGGAACCCCCTTCCAAGTTGAAATGGGGAAGACAGATGCACTGAATAGAGAGAATGTATCGTTTCTGATGCAGAATATCGGGAGCAGATTTTGGGAGGCCGCATGCTTTTACAGATTTCGCCTAAATAGGACTGGTATTCAAGCCTTGTAGGACGACACCCTCCCTTGTGAAACTAGTGCACTACATCCACAGTGCCCAAGTGGAGACTGTGCACCCTGAAGACCTCCTGTAGGGATCGTTTTTAAGCAGACGCATTCATGAGCCACCGGGCCGCTGTTGCTATGGGGTACATGATGACATGGCTCAGAGACCATGCACCCGCTGCATGGGAGCGCTCTGCATCCACCCTTGCATTCATGCCAGTGTCTCCATGGCATGTCCTGCGCGCACTGGCCTGCAGCTGCTGTAGCGTGTCTTCAAGGCAGGCCATGCGCGCATTCTGATCCATGCGTGCTGCATGATGCTCCTCGTTCTGGAACTGCAGCGATGCGATGCTGTCTGCCTGGCACACCAGACTCACCTGCAGTGTCAGGGAAACAGATAATTGCACCTCGTTGCAGTGCCTCAGGAGATTGTAAATTGTATTTTGGCCAACGCAGGAGGTAACTTATTACACAGCAAGCAGCACATACCTTCACTTCCTCCAACCCTGCTTCCAGCCTCTGCAGGCAGTATGTGAGATCGCGAGCCGTTGCTTGGAATGACCTATCGCTCTGTGTCTGCCGCTTTCCTAGTTCCTCCAGCTCGTCCAGGATGTGGTCTAGTTGCAGCACAGGCGGCCCCTCTGGCAGGGCAGACAGGGCCGGCTGGTGATGCTTCAGTGATGCCACTTCCTGTTCCAACCCAGACAGGTGCGTCCTGCATTGCAAAAGGGCCCAGTAATTCTTTGCAGCAACCCAGGCACACAAAGCAATGCAGGCTTGTTTTGCACATTAAGCATGCATTATTTGGCCTGTAATTACCATCCTGCAGATTTGCGAAAAGCAAGGTTCTGGGCACTGTACACTCTCTGAGAGGACTAAATAAGCTGCACCTGAACTCTGAAGCATCTGACTCGACCAGGTTCAGCACTGTGGCCACTTGGGAGCTGGCTTCCTCCATCTGGTTCCTCCAGCTGCTGAGCTGGGACCCAAGCCCCCTCAAACTCTCAAGATCTTCCGCCATCACCGCCTGGGTGTCCTCACAGGCTTGCAGCCTGCTTGCATAAACACACTGCTCACATGGAGAACTTGCGTGTCCTTTCAACAGCGCTGTGGTGCAGGTCAGGGGACGCCACTCTCTCATCACTTCCTTCCTCGTGATCAGGAACCTTCCAATTGCAAAGAAAAGCAGTGCATGCATGTCTGCCATGGAGCAATTTTGCTGGGAATAACTGGAATGGGACTGGGGATGCGAACCTGTATTCTACATCGATGGGATTGAGGTAAGCCGTTGGCTCCACGTTCTCTTTTGTTTTGGACCTGCCGGTCACTTCCCAGCACATGCTCTGCGACAGCTGGCTCCCTCGCTCTCTGAGCCTGTATGCCAAGCCGGCAGGCGTCTCAGCAGGCATCTCCTGCACACATTAATAATAATGAGGAAGGCATAGAAATAAGCTGCTGCAAATCCTTCGGAAGAGCCTGGAACCATCAGATGAGAATGAGGCAGTTTTGCCATCAAGCCTTGTGTCCTTCAGTCTTTAAAAAGCCCGACCCACCCAGCAGTTGGCAGCAAAAGCATCAGGCAGGAGCACTGCCAGCCATAGACAGCAGGCTACCTGTATGCAGACGCTTTTTCTGAGCATGTGGGAAGGCTGGCTCGGTGCTACAGACGAAGGTGTGTAGAAGCGCTCCTGCGCTGACTGTGCCCAAGATGGCGTGCAAGTGCTGACGGATGGCTGAGCTGGCTCAGGAGTCCTGTGACTTGCGACAGATGTCAAGCGATTGCGCCTGAGGGCGTTTGTCAGCCTGGACATCACTTCGGGCGCCTCTACCTCACATGGGTTGTCTGTCAAAGGCCACAAGCAAACAAAATTATTCAAGAACGCCGGATCGAGTGCTTATGATATGTTTGGGGAACTTTTCGCTTGTATGCAGACAGAGTGTGGAGGACTAGGGGAAGAATCACCTGCTAAGTCCACATCCAGAAGAGAACGATTTATGTGCAATGCCCCAGCGAGCGCTTGTGCGCCCGCGGCTGTGATTGCATTTCCTGAGATTGCACAGTTCTATGTAATCGTCATGAGGTTCCAGCCCAGAAGCACACTTAGGCTCTTAGCTGACACTTACCTGGCAGTTCCAGGCTCTCGAGTGCTTGATTCAATATCAAAGCAGCTGCCAGTGCTCCTGCGCCTTTGTCGCCTATTTTACAAGAGCTACCAAGGCGCAGCCCACCCGTATAGTCGCTAGTCTTTAAAGCAGTGCACAGAGATGTCAAATCTTCCTCTAACGCTATAATGTTTATGCTGATAAAGTTGGAAGGGGGTGCTCTACATGATCCGCCCAGAATAGCGAGAACTTGCTGTAAATCGGTCATATTGAGCTCTGTAAAAAGTCCCTTGCTCCATCATCTAGCGCTGCTGTCCTCTCGTCCTTTTGTAGTATATAAAGTTATTGACCCCACTCATTACTTTTTTAGGGGTAGGGAGTCTAGCTTCAGACAACTTCGTATTACGACACACAGTTTGCAATGCAGAAATGTTAAAGTATCCTGTATAATTTTGCACTGTCTCCCCCATCAGAGTCATACACATCGGACAGCATCGCACCGAGTCCTGACACAGATTGCCGAGAAATTTTAGAGACCATATGTTTGATCACTGCCCACAGTGATCTGAAGTACAGTGCTGTGCACTTGAAACACCCTTCTGGTACCATGACAGACCTATCCAATGGAAGCAGCGACACCAAGCCCCTTGAAATTGTTGCATCCCCCAACTCACGCAGCAGCATGGCACGTTCGCATGGCAGCAGGAAGTCCCTGGCTAGAGCTTTGAGTTCTGCCTTGGACCTTTCAGATGACTTCACCATCCCTGAAAGTGCAGGACTGGCAAGATTGGTGGGTCCCCAAAGCTCCTGTTCATTTCTGGGGTGAACCCTCTCATCGTGTTCTCATCACTTGGCACTACCCTTCCTGTCCAGACGCAATAATGATGCTAGTGAGAATCATCAAGAGCTACGAGTCATAGTTGTTCTGCTTGCTCTGCAGGCTCTCATTGATGCAGCCGGTGCTGGGCACCTCAAGAGGGTGGACCAGTGTTTGGAAGCGGGAGTGTGCGCAAGCTCAGTGGATGCCGATGGCAACACACCGCTGACCTGTGCTGCTGAGGAGGGCCACGAGGATGTGGTAAAGCTGCTGCTGCAGCATGGGGCGGATGTGCTGGCGCGCAACGTGTCAAACGAGACTGCATTGCATGTTGCGGCTTGGAATGGGCATGCGCCGGTGGTAGCAGCATTGCTGGCCGGTGGTGCATCTGTGAATCAGCCAGGGCCAGATGAAGAGACGCCCCTCCTCCTTGCAGCCGATGGGGGCTTCATAGAGGCATGTTCCATGCACTCCCAGTATTAATGATCTACAAAGAACATGTCTGGCATCTTCATGTTCACATGCCATCATCGTACGAAAGCTGTCCTAGTGCTGTGGGGCCTGCAATGTGGCACTGTTGATCATAAGCAGCTTTGTGCGCCTTGCCCCAGGTGGCCAGGATGCTGCTTGAAGCTGGAGCGAATCCCTCGTGTCACAATGGGAGGGGGGAATCACCTCTGCAGTGGGCTGCATGGAGTGGCAGCAGGGAGCTTGTAGAGCTGCTGCTGAGCCATGGCGCTGACATCCACGCGCAAGACACACACCCCAGCTTTGGCTGGTCGGCCCTGCACTGTGCTGCACACCAGGCAATGCCCTCTCGGCACCTGACGCCCTCACATATGCGTATATCCTCAGCAGTGCCCCTGCAGCAGCAGGATGAGATGAGGGCCGTATCTGAGTCGTACCCTTCTATCGAAGGAACAGGAAGGATGCATGTATTAAGTGCCACGCATCAAACATTTAGCCCCCAGCCTCGAACCTACCTGCTCGGTGGAACACAGCACTCAGATGGATTTGTGTGACAGGGCCGCACAGATGTGGCGCGTTTGCTGATGGAGAGAGGGGCGCGTTCGGATGCAGTGGATACAAGTCATCGTTCTGCGTTGGCGCTTGCCGCCGCCGCGGGCTATGCGGACTGCGTGCGCCTATTGCTTACGGCCGGCTCAACCAAAGGAATCTTGGACGAGCCATCGGTTACTACTTGTATCGACACAAGAGGGTGCACCCCGCTGCTCTTTGCCGCCAGCCGCGGCCATTTGGCGGTGCGCATCCTGAGAGGCGGGATACGTGCGCTGCTTTTCCCCACGCATGGGTCGTTCCTTTGTGATCATCACTTGTGGAGGCAGCAGAAGCGCTGTGGATAAGCTTCATCCTGATCCCATAATGCTTGCTCTTGGGCATGCCTGAAATCAATTCTGTTAAAGCGAGAGAATGGCACTGCAGGTTGTCGAAGAGCTTCTAAAGGCGGGGCCGGCATTGAACGCTATTGATGCAGATGGGTGCAGCGCCCTGCACCTGGCCGCGCAGGACGGCCACCTGGAGGTCAGTCATTCACGAGTCATTGCACAGATTCCTCCACCACCGTAGCTAAATTACCACCACCATCATTGACTGCTTGCTCGCAAATGATATTCTGACCCCCTTTCAGATCAGGGACCCATGTCTATTCATGGCAATCAGGCTTGCTTAGAGGCTTCTGACTGGTTGCTTAGCAGCGTGACACTGTGGGTTCCAGGTGGTGAAGCTGTTGCTTGAGCATGGCAGCGTGGACGGGTTGCCAGACCTGCAAGGCCGCACCCCGGCCGATCTCGCACGACTCAACGGCCACACTACTGTCGCCAAAGTGCTCAATGAGGGTGCCACCATCAAGGCACGCCCTCCCCTCACCGGCTCTCAGATACCGTCTCTGCTCCCCTGCATAGCACCGTGACTCTTCCCGGTTCAGGGTGTGTATGCATGGCAAGCACGTGGGGGGTGTGGCTGTGAGCGTCTGGCGTTAAATGAGCTCTGTGCGTGGCTTGTGCAGAAGGATGCACTGCCATACTCTTTTTGGGAGCTCATAGAAGTGGCGCTCAAGAACAAGCAAGTGCTGGGGCCTCAGCTGGAGAGCGCAGTGTCCCGTGCATGCAAAGATGCCAAGAATGGCACCTATTTGGGCTGCACTCTACGCTTTTTCTTGGAGAAGCATGGGTGGCCAATGGACCACAAGGAGACAAAATAGTATGTGTCACATATTTTTTGCAGCTTCAGGCTAGCTGCCCTTTTTTTTTACTGTACTTGCTCAGTACCTTGAAGTACTATAACAATCTATAGCAAACTATAGCAGATAGTGGAGACAGCACATTATTGGTATCGTTTACGTGTCCTGATCAGGACTTGTGATGTCAGTCCTTCTCATGACGGACACTGTATGTGTTGACTATATCTGGGTAAATTATAAATCCTGTCATGCACGGTCAAGAGTGTTATATACTCTTGAGTGTATCCCCATTCTCAGCACTGATGCTGCAAATGAAATCGCGCTTACGCGATACGACCGAGCCTTTCGGAAAGTGAGGAATGCAGACATCAAAGCAGAGCCAGCGTAAGGGCAGAGGGCGGTCTCGCCGTGTAAATGCAAGTTACATGTAGACCTGTATTGGCTTCCGTCAAGAGGAAAATGGTCCATTTGCATACTCACAATGGAGTGCCTCGCTCAACCTTGTTCACAAAGTGATGTTGCGGCTTTTATCTCCGGGCCAGATCGAAAGAGCTGCATCCTTAGCAATTCAATCCTTGTCCAGGATCAATCATGACCATAAGGTGTGGGTCAATGAGCTTGGTTGAGACACACCCGGTACCGGGTACCCAGCTGGACAGCCACACTGAAGCCAGCGCCCAACCACAATGATAGGCACCACAATTTCGTGGATGCCTTCCAGCGAGCCACCCGTCCTTCTGCTGTACTGCATGCACATGCATGAGCTGAGGTGCGCACCTGAGAAGGAGCGCAGTCTCAGCACTGCCGCCAAGACCTCTTGTCCCTGCAGGGCCACATTGCCCCTCTACACCACTACTCACTGCTGCTGGGATCCAGGTTCCTCTCCTCTTCAAGCCCTTTCATCCCATCCTGTCCTGCCAAGATAGCACAGAGCCCTCGTGCTCCTTCGTATTGTATCTAAATTTTCTCGCCCCCTGCGTTGTTCGTATTCAAGGGATTAAGTCGGGCTTTGCGAGGAGTCGTATAAGCGCACTTTGTGTGCAACGCAGGGACGTTGGAATATTCAGTATGATTTGGAAGTGTGCTCTTGTCCTGCACCGTTCATCCTCGCGCCAGTTTCCAGCATGGATTGTCTACGTTTCGGAGATCGGACGTTTGACCTTTGTTGGATCTGAAGAACATTGTTGCGCGTTCAACACCCCCTTCGTGCACGATGACCAATCTTCCCGGTGTAAAGAGCGACGTCAGGCCTTCTGAAGTAGATGCATCCCACAACTCACGCAGCAACAGGGCACGCTCACATGGCAGCAGGAAGTCCATGGCAAGAGCTTTGAGTTCTGCTGTGGACGTCTCTGGTGATTTTACTGTCCCCGAAGGTCCAGGATTGGCGAAACGGGTGGGTCGGAAAGCTTTTATTTCTGGGTTGTTTGTCTCATCGTGTTCTCTCTTTTGAGCGCCTCCCTTTGACCAAATGCGATTGTAATGCTAGCGAGGTTCCCTAAGATTTATGGAAAAAAATCCTGTTCTTGCTCTGTAGGCTCTCATTGATGCAGCTGGTGCTGGGCTCCTCGAGAGGGTGGAGCAGTGTTTGGAAGCGGGAGTGTGCGCAAGCTCAGTGAATGCCGATGGCAACACACCGCTGATCCTTGCTGCTGGGGAGGGCCACGAGCACGTTGTGCAGCTGTTGGTGCAGCATGGGGCGGATGTGCTGGCGCGGAACGTGTCAAACGAGGCTGCACTGCATGTTGCGGCTTGGAATGGGCATGCGCCGGTGGTAGCAGCGTTGCTGGCCAGTGGTGCATCTGTGAATCAGCCAGGGCCAAATGAAGAGACACCCCTCGTCCTTGCCGCCGATGGGGGCTTCATAGAGGCACGCTACCCAGTGCTCTCCTTAACCAGCCATGACATGCAAGGATTAAAGAACCTTGTGTAATTGTGACATTCCAAGATATCATCACTCATGCTGAGAGCCTGCAATGTGCTGCATTACCACCTTGGATCAGGGGCAGGCACGTTGTTACAGGTTGCAAAATTGCTGCTTGAAGCTGGAGCAAAGCCCTGGCGTGATAATGGGAGGGAGTCTCCTCTGCAATGGGCTGCATGGAGTGGGAGCTGCGAGCTTGTGGAGCTGCTGCTGAGCCATGGTGCTGACATCCGCGCGCAGGACACACACCCCAAGTTTGGCTGGTCCGCGCTGCACTGCGCTTCACACCAGGCAACGCCCTCTCGGCACCTGAGAACCGTTGGTACCTCGGTGACTAGGTGACACCTTCAGGTATCACAAATGTAATCTTAGGACACCTCAGCATGCCTTTGCACCACAGCAGGAGAGCTGAGCTGGTCTTCTGTCTCAGCAATGGACGAAGAGCAAGGAGTCAACAGAGAGCTCCGCATGCATGAAAGGCTGGCACCATCTCCGTCCCCCTCACTCGGTACAAGTCAGACGAGTAGAAGGCAGCAGCCAAAATTTGAGTGTCCTGCCGCAGGGCCGCACAGACGTGGCGCGCTTGCTGATGGAAAGGGGGGCGCGCCCGGATGCATTGGACATCAGCAATCGTTCCCCGCTTGCGCTTGCGGCCGCCGCGGGCTACGTCGACAGCGTGCGGCTGCTGCTATTGGCCAGTGCAACCAAGCGGGTGTTGGATGAGCCGGCAATCACCACTTGTATGGACACGCGCGGGCGCACACCGCTGCTCTTTGCCGCCAGCCGCGGCCACTCGGCGGTGCGCCAAAGCACCAACGAAGTGTCTAGGCTTGGTTCAGGATCCGGCATGGTCCGATTCATGTGATGTGCCTGAGGTACTATTTGCAATCATGACCGTATCCCGGGGACAGGACATAGCCGGGATAGTGCTGGATGCTGATCCTTTTGAAGCCAGCTTCGTCGTGCCCTTGTACTCAATCACATATGACCACGCCGCGGAGGGAGCCCATGTGCGGTCGCTGCATACTGAAGCTGGCTCTCGGGCAAAGGGGTATGCCTGGAGTTTGGCACCTGTGTGAAGAGGATTTGGCACTGCAGGTTGTCGAAGAGCTTCTGAGGGCGGGTCCTGCCTTGAATGCGATCGATGCAGACGGGTGCACTGCCCTGCATCTGGCCGCGCAGGACGGCCACCTGGAGGTTAGTCACCTTTGTGTCAAGGCAGTGCCACAAGAGCGCTAGCATGAACATCAAACTGCACCTGCGCAAAAGACCATGTACTTTATCAGTGCAGACCCTCTTGTGAAGCAGAGTCTCACCATATTTCTGTGCTTAGAGCAACAAGAAAAGCAGGCAACCTATAGGAGCAGGCAACAATGGTCACATGAAGGCTTCAGATGTTTGGCTAAGCAGCATGGCTGTCGCTTTCCAGGTGGTGAAGCTGCTGCTTGAGCATGGCATTGTGGACCGCTTGCCAGACCTGCAGGGCCGCACCCCGGCCGACCTCGCTCGCCTCAACGGCCACAGCGCCGTCGCAAAAATGCTCAACGAGGGTGCCACCGTCAAGGCACGCCCTTCCCATCACCAAGATTGATGCTCACATGAGCAGTACTGATCCTGCTAAGTGGATCAGCCCTGCAAGAATACAGGACTGCATGTGATCAGCATTATCAATTCAGCAGCATGATACTCCCATCTCCAGGTTCATGACTGCTTGAGGGTTTGCATGCATGGCGCAAATTCGGCGATGTTGCTGTGACTGCTTGCACTGCATAAGCTTTGGGGCTGGCTTATGCAGAAGGATGCGCTGCCAGATGCCTTTTTGGAGCTCGTAGAGCTGGCGCTACAGAACAAGCAAGCGCTGGGACCTCAGCTGGAGAGCGCAGTGTCCCGCGCGTGCAAACAGGCCAAGAATGGCACCTATCTAGGCTGCACTCTACGCTCTTTACTGCAGAAGCATGGATGGGCATCAGACCAGTAGCACAGTCGATGTGAAATTATTTTGTACTACAATTGTGAGTTCTTACAGGATCAGTCCAGCTGTTGCGTACAGTACCCGCCCATCCTTGTTTTCAAATCTGTTCATGAACCATTGAAGGGCTTACCCAATATTGAGCGTCTAAAAGTGTCCTGAAGTCAAGGTTTCTCATATGACGGACACTGTTCTGTATGTATCAAGATGCGCGAGAGCAACTAGCTAGTGCACTGGTCTGTCAGCCCTATTAATCAAAGTCATGACTGATCACTGAAATACTGCAATAGATCCTCTTTTGCAACAGGACGAAGATGCATATGCAGATGAGTAGTACTGTAGCTCATCTTGGCAAACAGGCTGTGGCAAGAAAAAATTGCCTCTGACATGACTGAGATTTTTTTGTTAAACTGGATTTGAAACTCATGTAAGACTACATAAGAGAACAATAGCCCTCACCGTGCATCGGTAGAGAACCATCACCGATGCACAAATATCTGTATCACAAATAAATTTCACCCCGATCACTCTCAGTAAGTAAGTAAAGATGTCTTTGCTACCTGTGGGTAAGGTCAAAGGAGCTGCACCATTCATTAGAGCTCAGTCATTAGGTGCAGGCCAAAGCGCTGTGCTGAGAGACACCCAGAGGGCCGCCACACTGAAACCAACGCCCAACACAACCACGATGATGGGCACCACAACTTCATGGAATAATTCCAGCCAGCCACCCGTCCTTCTGCTGCTCTGAACTTCAGTCTGAGCACTGCTGCCAGGGCCTCCTGTCCCTGCAGGCCCATCCTCCCCTCTACACCTCTCCTCACTGCTGCTGGGCTCCAGAGTCTTCTCCTCTTCAAGCCCATTCACCCCATCCTGCACACATCACCAAAGCACATGAATGCACAAGCATTTCACCAGAAATGTCAAAGAGGTGTGGAACACAACAACCAGCAGATTACATACCCTGCTCCTGGGTTTGCGCAGCCTGTAGAATGCAGAAGAACTAATGATGCAAGAGAAAGAGTTGGACCAACCTCCAACAGAGGGGTGTGCAAGCCGTGCTCCTCCACCCCTTGTGGCAGGGAGTATTCACCAGGGCTGTAGTAGATCTTCAGATGCAGCGCCACGGGGATGACATAGCACACAATGCACACTGCTGTCGCACCTGCAAGCAACAAAGCAGCTTGTCATGTTGAGCAAGCCAGCCACAAAATCGGTCTTGCACTACGCAGCAGAAATGCACTACGCAGCAGAAATGAAATGGGTAATGCAAACAGGGACAGTGCGACAGGGACTGCGCACCAGTGACGGCAAAGATCTTCTCAGCGCCTGTGGGGAAGGCCAGGGCAACGGCCAGGGAGCTGAACACGATGAAGCAGGTTTCCAGCGTGTGCCGCCGGCGGCTGAAGGGGGCATCCTCCCCAGCCAGCAGCACATCCAGCGTGTATCTGCATGACATCTACACACCAGCTACACATGTCAGCAGTGCCCTGAGAGCCATCAGGTATACAGTCCGGGACAAAAATCCAACTCAAGATCCTCCAGGCACCCAAAGCATGCTCAGCATGAAATCAATGAGATTTTGGTGTTGCAGTCTGTAGATTCCCCAGATCTCACGGCGGACTGCCTCATCAAAGTGCAAGCCCAAGGAGGCGCATTCATTGTGTATGGAGCTCGCATGACATGGAGCGCCTGGACAGGATAAAGGTGGGCACCTGCATGGGAGGGACACTGATGGAGAGGTAGGCAGCAATGGCCAGGTCAAGGAAGCCTTCAGCCGGCCCGCCCAGCCACTCGTTCACCAGCACATTGCCCTCTGTCTTGGTCCCATACCTCGCTGCCCCAAAGATGCCAATCACGCCGTACACCTGCAGGCAGCCAATGAACAATCAATCACCCTCTGCTAGCGCCATTCTCATGCACCAGCCACAGTTGCCACCTGCCCAAGATCCTCTGCAAACCCAGACCCTGGGAATCTTGTTACTTGCATAAGTCAGGGCAGAGTGAGGAGGCCATGCACTAGTATTGCAGAACCACACTTCTCAGCAAATAGCCAGCGCAAAGGCACTCAGATATCAATGCAGAAGGTACCACTGCTCCCCAAGCAGAAAGTAATAGGTAGGGTTAAGGATGGGTGGAAGACACGCACCACTGAGGCCACAATGCCCACAACGATGCGCACGGCAGTGCAAGTGATGCCGACGCTGGCCTGACCAGGAGGCATCTCATGCAGAAGGGGCATCAGCATGGGCTGCACGTAGAAGGCAAAGCCCAGCACCGCAAACGCTTCCGGCAGTTCCGTGCTCAGCTGCACATGAACAAAATTGCATCAGCACAGATGTCACTGCATTTGGGTGCACACACACAGGGAACAGAGGTGACCCTCAGATGCAGACAAGCATCCCCACTACATCACAAGACAAGCCGCTGCTCTCGGGTGCGTCCACTCATGGGACAGCAGTACATATCAATGTGGAGGACATTTGAAAATAGGAAGACAAGTGCTGGACGGAGATATTCAGGAAGGGATAGGTGGCAGGCACCTTGATGCCCCACAGGGGCAGCTCCCCATTGTGGATGGCTGGGAAGCCGTACTGGGCAGCCTCAGTGGCGATGATGCCTGCCAGTGCCACCACGATGACCACACCAGCCTGAGCAGCCGTCTCCAGGCTGCGCATCCTGCAGGAGAAGGTGCAAAACATCAAGGCTTTGCTACTCTGTCGTCACATTGCTTGACCTGGGCAACAGGCGTTGCTCGACCTGCCGCATCCTGCTTGCGACAGGTTACATTAAGCCAGCCTGGCATGATAAAGCTGTGCCGCAACAAGCGACCTGGTGATTGCAAGCTGATAGAAATGCAGCACAGCCATGGCATGAGAGTTTAGGTGTGAGAAGATCGCCAACATAGCAAGATTGTATGCCCCTTCGACTCAAGGCAGCGATGCAACATTTTAAAGAGAGGGGCAAGCAAACTAAGGAAGCCTCACAGCCTGCACGCTGCACATTGTCCCCACGAAGATGCATGTGCATGACTATTATTGTCGCCTCATCCGTCGCTTCTGTCCTACGCATGTATGATGCACTGATTGCATGATTTTTTTCATGTTCCGCAGAAATCAGAATAGGGGGAGCGCACTTGCGCAGGAGGCAGAGCGGGAGGACCACGCAGAGTGTAAGCAGCACCATGATGCCGCGGCCATCGTAGTCCACTAGCAGCGCCGGCGGCGATGGGGAAAGCCGCCGCAGAGCACGCTGGCCCACATCCGCCAGCAGCGCAAAGTCGCCGATCACCGTGCCAAACAGCAACAGGATCAGCGACACCTGCGTCACCACCTGCACAGGCCGCCCCATGCATGCATTTATTAGCCCTCATGTGCACTACAGTCACACTACAGGCAATGCTGAGCCACCGTGGAGACGGCACCAGCCAGGATGTCACGCCACATGCGAGTATGGAAATTGGCACTAGGCAATCGATCTTGAGCATAGCAGGTAATGTATCTAGAGCCTCTCTGCTATGGCAGAGACCAAGATGGTTCCCTCATCCAGATACAGGCAAAGTGCAGGGATCTTCAGCGGGCCGCGTGAGACGCTCTGCAGCTAATAGGTGAGCAGAGGATGGGGGTCAAAGATATAGAAGGGGGGCATGCCTTCCAGGCTCTGCCGCCCACGGCCTGCGCAACGCCCTCATAGCTATCGTGCCCGGTCAGGCCGGCCGCGCGCAGCAGCAGGACGGAGGTGAGGCTGTTGGAGTAGGCCACCACGGCCATGGTGAGCACGCCAAGAAGCACCCCCATGCGCGAGAAGGCAAAGGGCACCGGCAGCACCGAACTGCACAGCGCCAACAACTGAAGCCTCACTCATTGGCTTGGACTCCGTGCATGCAAGGTTAGAGCAGGATATTCGTTACCTTGAGGAGCAATCATGGACAGCATCGATGCTGAAGGAACAGATGACTGACGCAGAGTCAGGCCAGGAGTCACCTGCCAAGGATGGACAGCGTCAACGTGAAAATCGCGCTGATTAGCAGCCTCAACCGGCTTTCCTCTTTGACCATGCCCACCGCTGGGCTCCCTCCTTCCGGCATAGTGGTGAAATGCACGCCTATAGTCACGTGAACGGTCTGAAGCAAGGTGATCGGAGAACCAGCCCAAAGAGATGAGAGATCCTTCTGGACTTGTTGAATCCGTCAATAATCGAGTGCATTTTAATTACGCATGCTGCCGGCTACAACTATCAAAGTGCTAAGTTACGAATACCATCACGTTTTCACGGATCTTGCAAAAGACTGCCCAAGAGTGACAACAAGAACGGGGAGCAAGTGATCACAATGATCACATCCAAGAAGTTTAAAGAGAATCTGCTTTAACCATTCCATGCAGGTTGGCCAGACGAGAAGAATTTTGCGCAGTCAGCAGATCATGTGGCACCTTAGTAATTACAAGCCTTATAAGCTGACGCAACTTCCACCCATTCCGTCCTGAAGGCCTCGTGGCAAATATCTCCAACCTGGTGAGAAGATTGAAATATCAATTTCAAGGCGTGCTGTACCCTCAAGATCTTCTTGGTCTTGTTAGGGCGCAGGAGACCTTGCTGTCCTGTGCACTGCCCAGGAGCTGCAGAGCATCTGAGCAGCTCACCTGGCCTCTTAAGCAGTCCATGAGCGAGACATTCTGATATCAAATGCTTCGTATTGCTTCCCTCCTCCTTTCGCGGCGAGGAAGCAGCAGCCGTGCATGTTCCCTGTCCACCTTAGCTAGGCCATGTGTTCAGGACATGTGTTCAGTGGAGCAGAACCCCGCAAATGCGCCTGGCGACGGTGTTTGCAAGATTAGGGGGAGGCAATTGTGGCAGAATGGTCGGGATTTCACGGGTGCGCTCCGTCTGCAGATGTGTAAAAGAGATGAAGAGGTTACCCTGGGATATGCTAGTCACAGTAGCACTTACATTCCAGTCATGACGTTGGATGCATGATCCTCGTGCTGTCTTGAGCAATCTATGTCCATGACTTCGAGCTGCTGGACGATAAATTGGACGATAGATACCCAGTGACAAGGTGCCCTTGCAGGAAGTTGGGACAGCAGCATCTTGCAGATGCCGTTTGACCCTTCACCATCAATCATCGGTAGGGAGCTGCTGGGGCCACAGCTGGGCCGCACAGTGACGCAGGGCTTTCCAGACTTCGATCCTGTGGCCTACCTGGACCGCGCATGCGCCGAAGCCCAGGTTGCACAAGACATCGTCCTCAGTGACTCCTCACCGCTGCCAGAGGAGCTGCAGGCTTCACTATTCGAGCACAGCTTTGAGATCCCTATTCACATAGAATCATTTGCGCCTCCTTCCTTCGCTGGGGCGCAGAGCATCAATGTTAAACTAGGTAGGAGGACGTCACATGAATGAACTTGTAAAAGCTACTTTTGCACCTTACAACCATGACTTCTAATCCAAGGACTCCTTGCCTGACCATCATGATGTGGAAGGGAGCAGGCCAATGAAAGCATCTTTTGTTTGCGCAGGGGAACACTCGTCAGGGGAAGGGGGTGTTGACCAAGGCAGAGACTTGCGCGATGCGATGGCCACGACACTTGTCACAGAAGTGCTCTTCAGGGAGGGAGGCAACAACAAGCAATGTGCGTCACTTCTCTTTGCCTTGTGACTGCCTTGTGACGGCAATTAGCCATCTGACGGCAATCAATGCTTGAAAGATACATTGGCATATCTGGCCTAACCAGATATGCTCATACTCCATGCAGACCTTGATGAGGTGAAGCAGATGGGGCTGAAGAAGTTCATGGAAAAGGTATACAAGAAAGCTGCCATGGTGGAAAAAGTCTACATGGTCCAGTCCAAGTTTGGAGATAAGCTGCCCAATCCCTGCACAGGTTTGTCTCTCTAATATCTTAATGTTAATAATGCCTGGATTCACATGCTGTTGCCTCTATATGCTTGTCCATTTCTTCATGTTCTATTAATCAACAATATATAAATCCCGCTATGTTCCATGCAGCAAAAGACATGATCGCCGTCCTGAAGGCTGAGCCGCCAAGCGATGAAGTGATGTCACTGATTGAAGGCGAGCCTCCTGTCTCAGCTTTTTATCCAGACAAGCCAAGCATCCATTTGAAGTCTGAGGTTGCAGCGCCTTCTGTATGGCATCATAATGCTGTCTATGTGCACCCAGGACTTGAGGCCGCTATCTTGGAAGATAAGGAGGACAGAGCGCAGACGGATGGCAGCATGCACATGCAGAAGCGGACGTATCAGCCCAGCAACCGCGTGCGTAAGAACAGGCATGGGTTTCTTAACAGGCTGAGAAACAGAAATGGCCGCAAGGTTATTGCGCGGCGCAGAGCCAAGGGGCGCCACCGCGTGACAGCCTGAGAGGGTCTCTAGCAGCAGTCAGCTGATGTACCATATGCAGAGACAAGGCCGTTCAAGGCTATAAGACAAGCGTGTTGAATTCGTTATTTTCATTGGCAACCAGAGTGATAATTTTTGTGGGTGCTGAGTAGAACTTTATGTCACTGATCTTGGATAAGTTTGAAATCATGGCTTGTTGGTACGAAGGCCACTGTAAAATATGACAAGCAGGGTGTGAGGTACAGCCAACCACAGAACCAAGATGTTGGCAGACCTTGAATTACAGAGCAGGTATGCATTCTTCATGTTGCAGAGAGATGTCACTCAAGCATGCAGCTTCATTCTGCCCTTGAGCAAGGCCAGTGCAGAACGTCACTGCCTTTGGGCAACTTTCCCTTCTCCGTCGAGCCGCACTCCATTCCCAGTTTTCATCTGTCTCTTCGTGCGATGCTTCTCTTCTGCTCCGCTGCCTGCAGGCACGTGGCAGGAATATTCCATCAGTATCATGCCAGTGCCATGATTATACTGCATCAACAGGGAGGGTATTTCACAAGTGAGCCATTGCAGGCTAATGCCTCGGACAGCCCCCTTTTCACCACCAAATATTTTCCATTACTCCACGACATGTGGACATGCCAGCAGTACCAGCAGGTTGCGCCTACACCTGTATTTGATTTGACACAAGACGCAAGCATGTGATGGTCTATCGCTGTAATGTGCCTTGGCAACATATGCACACACCTCCAGCATGACTGATCGATGGCTTTAGCAGCAGGGTCCTCCTTGGGCATTATTAAGAGGAGATTCCCAGTTGTGGCTGAGCGCTGAGCTGCGCTGGCTCCGGGCTTTATCTCCACCGGCAACGCCAGTTGCAGCAAATGCCCCTGTGCAATCCATCGACACTCCTTTAACCAAGCACTTTTCCAAAATCGTGGATGGATCAGGACCCTGAGGCCTGATCTCTTGAGGGTGGCACCATGTTACATGACGTGCAAAGCAGGGCTGCTGAGGAAAGTCCTGGCTCATTCTATCAATGCTGATGGACCCAGGGGCTCACCGCACTTCAAGCAAGGTGCCTACACCTTTCTTGAAAGTGCACTACAAGATCAGATTTTGTGATGTCCAGGATGGCCGGCCAAGCGTTTTGCAGACTCTGATTGGGGTCTGATGACGGCTACCTTGATGAGTAAGCGCACATGCCTTGGTTGCACATCAGCTTTGATGAGGGAGCTGTCTAGGAAGCGGCCCACTTCTACATCAAGGTGGATGCTCAAGCCATCCCTGCTCTCCTCTAGTGCAAACTCCCATTGCCCCTCGTTCTTTTGCAGTATTGAGGATCCCTCCTGAGATAGTAAATAATCGACTCAATGAAGAAGAAGCCGGCATGTGAGGATCTTTCTTTCTGGCTGCAATGCTAAAAGTACATGAGGTGTGTTGAGAGGTTCCGTGCATGCCTGCAGAGGGGGAAAGTCATGTCTGTAGGGCTTGGATGGGCTGTGGTCTCCAAAGAATTTGGCCTGCGAGGCCCTCCTTTGCTCTTCAGCATCTGCGTTGAGCTGCTTCATTTCCCTGTGCTCGAGCACCCTTGTGGCGGGGCACCACGGCCGCCGCATCTCCCCATCCTCTCCTATGTACCTGTCCCAAAACAACTTTGTATATTAGACACAAAAACATCGGGATTGGCACTTGCAGTGCTTCCCATTTGCTCTGATTTCATGCAAATGATGCGACGGACTGGAGCCAGACAGCAAGAAATGACGTGACTGCATCTCAAGCAGTGCCATCCATTCCCGCATGTAAATACATGTGGGTTGAGTTGCAGGCAGAGTGCTGTATGGAAACAAACAAGTCTGGGATTTGGAGGCCTGCCCAGTCTCTGGGATGATGTCAGCGTCGAGCAAGCTGTCGTCCTCTACCATCTGGGCAGCGCTTTCTGGATCAACGCCTTCAGCCAGTAGCTCTATCCTGAGGCTCTCCTGCAGGCTGGGCAGCTGCTGCAGCGCTTGGCTTCTCTCTGCCTCTAAGATCTCCACACCATCCTGTGACAGGGGGCCACCAACATTGTCTGCTGTATCACACAATGCCAGCATGCGGTCCATTGGTACTCTGAAAGAGAATCCCGTCTCCCGGTGTAAATACCCAGGGTAAAGCGTGGCATCATGCCCACGCTTGATGGGTCTTGCTTGGATCTGGCGAGTCTATCAACGGGTAGAATATGTGGCAGCCTTGACAACAGCTTCAGATGCACCTTGCCTGTCGGGGGAACTGCAAGCATGAACGAAACAACAAATTTTATTACTCCTGCAGGGGCGCACCAGTTTTAGCAGTTGTGGCACAGATGCAATCACAAATGGCCTGTAGTTGGCCCACTCTGAGCAGGGATTTCCGACGAGGTGAAGCTCCGTCAAGAATTCGTTGGCAGCCAGGCTTGCCACAGTGGGCAGGCAGGCCTTTGTCACGAAGTTCATGGTGAGGTCTAGCCTGGCCAGGGATTCGCAGCGCTGCAAGTTCTGCACCTTTGTGATGTTGTTGATGGCAAGATTGAGATACTGGAGCTCCTGCACGAAAATAAGATTATTGTAATCGTCCCAGAGCTTGCTGGATCTTTAGTATTGAAGCACGGCAGCTTGTTGTGCATGGATCTACCTTGAGTCGATGCAGGTTCTCGATCTTGGCGATGAGGTTGTTCTGAAGATACAGCATCTTGAGGTTTCGGCAGGCATAACCGAGCAGTTCAATCCTCTCGATGTTCTGCTGATGAAGAGTGATCTCCTCGAGGGTAGCGAGCAATCCATCGTTGTGCTCTGCCCTCTTTCAGAGAAGATCAGCAGATACAAGACTCAGAGGTCTCGAAAAAAAAATGTGAGTGAATTTATTGTTGAACCTTGAGCCACTTTGAGGAAAAGTTTCCGAGCTGGGAAGGTGCGCACCTTCCGCAGTAGCTCTACCGTGATCCGGACCATCTCAAAAGCAGATAGGAACCAGTAATCTCGATGTCTTCCAAGACAATTTATATTGTCTATATAGTGTATGCATAGCGCGAAAGTATCGGATAGCGTTGATGAGCTCCGTCCTCTACGGTGATGACAACGAACCGTTACATGTAACCGTTGGTGACATGGCACACCATTCCCACTATTCAGACACAGAGCACCAATGTAGCATTCTGTACTTTTCAGTCTTCTTGACTCAGGGTGATGCATTTGACTGTGCATAAACTAAGGGCAGTAGCATTCCCAGTCAGTGTCCTTGTCTATGACTGTTACCACGTCCGTGTGGGTGGGGCAAGCCAAAAAGACCGCCTGCACCAGACAGCTTCATTAATCAGGATCAGATGTTGTGCAGTGTAAGAAATTCAGAAATTTGGACATTGTAAAATGGACATCCAAGCAAAAGTGATTACCTGCACATTTTTCTTTGCTTGCAGGCCCAGCGTAGCATCCACCACATATTTGGGACATGGAAACTGCCTGCACTCCACATCGAAGCTGTTAGCTGCATACTATTAAGGAATATATTGACTCCTTGAAATACTGTACACCAAAAAATAAAGGGGGATTAGGATAGCATGCTTGCGCAAACTTGCAGTCACAGCTGCAGAGTGCCTCACCGTAGATTACTCTTCCGCTGGTTCACAGTGCCTTGTCTCAACGTTGCTGCAACCTCCTCTTGACTGATGTGCCTGCACGCAAGGAACAAAGTGCTGCACCTTATTATTCATTTTGCGCAGGACAGAACTGAATAGATTAAGGGTCAGGGTAGGAGACACAACCACAAGCGTGAATGTGTAAGCAGGCACAAGCGCTTACCTGCAGTCCATTCTGCACTGCGCATGCTCTGTATACTTCATGGGCTTTGACATAATCCGGGCCAGTGTGTTTTTGTCAACTTGGTATTTTCTTGTGCGCTGGTCCCTAATGTGCCACGCGCCGACAAGCCAAGCTGCCGCGATGCTTGCCGCAAGGCCAAAGAGTCCCCATGGACTGCTTCCAGACTTTCTGGGCCCTTCAACACCACGTTGCAGGACATCTCATGACACTCTTCATTGACAAGACAGTGGCACCACGCATGTGCAGAAGACTGTTAGGCGTCATATATTTTCAGATCGTGATGCACTGCTACACATCAGGCACTGCATACCTTTGCTTTTATCCTTTCTGCTGCGCCTTGGAGCTTTAGTAGTATTGCCAAGTGTCTTTTTCCCGCGAAATGGATTGATGTCCTTCGGCATTTATATGTTCGATGACCAGCCAAGCGTCGTCAGCAGCCGATTGACATGGAACGGAAGCTCTTGAATAAGCAATTGCGATCCAATGCGTTCATCCTAGTACTGTCGTGTCACAGATAGCTTTGCTGCAGCTTGAAGGCCCAACTGAAGCCAGGAAAACTCCTCTTTTTTAGGCGCCTCACTGCGATCGGATCGATGTGTGCGTCAAAAAAAGAAGGTAATGGTTGTCTCCGCAGATCTTGACAAGAATTTCTTGCCTCCTGACCTCCTGCTCCTGGCCAAGTTGGAGGAAAGATTTGGTGATGAGTCAGCGTCACGTGGATTGATCTCACATGTGTACAGCCATCCAGGGATCGGTTCTCAAATTCTTCTGGAATCCATTAATTATTGCATGATCTCCTGGTATATTACCGAATCATCATTCCCAGCGTCACTATAGACAGTAAAAGAAAGGATCGCAAATTGAGTGAAAGTATAAGCTCGTCCGTAATTGTTTCTTAAAAGACCTCCAGAACTTCCTTTTGCTTGGAGTGCATCTTCGTTTCTGGTCAAACACGATGCGAGTATTTCAGCAGCAGATGGCTCTATGTGGTGAGCAGCACTTGAGTCTGCAAAGATTGGCACAAGGACATCGCAGCGCCTTCAGGCACTCCAGACAAACACACCTGATCACTCGAGCGGCTGGCAGCACATTCGGCCACTCCTTCAGGGTGACAACGTTTGGAGAATCCCATGGCAAGGGCGTTGGCTGTGTGATAGATGGTGTGCCGCCGCGGCTGCCTATCACCAAAGAGGAAATACAGGTGCACTTCTCATACCTTCGTTGAGTTACAAGTTGCTAACTTCTGTTCAGATCCGTGGATGCTTATAAAGCATGTATTGCGCTGCACGTCATCACAGCAGGCGTAAAGCATGATATTTTGTTCTGCTGTGTTGCTCTCATCAGGCAGAGCTGGACAGGAGAAGGCCAGGACAGAGCCGCATAACAACACCAAGGAAGGAGTCAGACACGTGCGAGATCTACTCTGGTGTGTCAGAGGGCATCACGCTGGGGACACCAATTTGCATCATGGTCCCCAACACTGATCAGAAGTCCCAGGACTACTCAGAGATGTCTGTGGCATACCGACCGTCCCACGCAGACGCAACCTATGACATGAAGTACGGCATCAGAGCGGTGCGTGCACCATCAGTTCCCCTGATAATTCTCAACAGAATCCCAAAGCCTCACTTCACCATGATGAAGGCACGGGAAGCAGAACTGGCCCCTGTCCGTTGCCCTAACAGATACATGCTGTACGTTGGAGCAGATGATTGAGCAGACTTGTAATGTTGGGATAGGTGGCGGGCGGTGGCAGGTCGTCTGCGCGAGAGACGATTGGACGTGTGGCCGCAGGGGCCATAGCCAAGAAGCTCCTGCGCTTGATCGCTGGCGTAGAGGTTAATACCATCCCCTCACACACCCTGCTTGTGCTAGTAAAAATGCCATGCTTTCTACAGCACTTTGAGTTGCATGTGTCTGGCTGGTCCGAGCGGTGGTAGAGAGTGCATATTGTTGTGTGCAGGTGCTGGCTTATGTCAGCAGAGTGCGGGACGTGACATCGAACGTGGACAATGCCACCTTCACCCAGGAGCAGGTGGAGGCAAACGACGTACGCTGCCCCGATGCAGAAGCCGCAAAGGCCATGTACACAGGTGGCCTGCCTCTCACTTCTCCTTTTTTTTTTAGGTGGAGTCTTGATGCCACGCATGCATGCCCGAGTGTTTGCTTGTGTCGACGGAAAATGTTTTTCTATTTGGAAGAGTAGCCAAAGAAGCAGCTATCTGGAGTGCAGCTATTGACGAGGTGCGGCTGCGCGGGGACTCATGCGGAGGGGAGGTGACCTGTGTGATCCGGTCCTGCCCCAAGGGCCTCGGCTCTCCAGTCTTCTTTGACAAGCTGGAGGCGGAGCTCTGCAAAGCCCTCATGTCCCTGCCAGCCTCCAAGGTGCGTTGCATGCCATTTTCCACCAGCATGCACTGGTGCACTTCTTGTGCCTCTGTGATGGCAGCTGCCTGAAGGCTTGACAGATGGCGTCATCAGGTGCATGATGCCTTACTGCGGAAGACGGCAAAGCATGTCATGAGTTCTTGCAAAACAGTATTGCAAGGCCATATGAGTTCCAGGATGTGACTGCGCACAGTCATGGAATACCTACAGTACGAGCTCTTCAACCAATACCTTGCTGTTGTAAACACAGGGCATTGAGATTGGCAGCGGCTTCTCGGGCTCGCGCATGCTGGGGAGCGAGCACAACGACGAATTCTACATGGACGACGGCGAAGTCCGCACCCGAACCAACAGGTGCCTGCTGCCTCCTCTTCCTTTCCGCTTTGACTTGGAATGGAAGTTTGTTGGCCTCTTCTTGCACATACTTTTGGCTGCTAATGCCTGCTATCCAGTAAGGCCTTTAGGTGCCAGACAATGAGCTTCCAGCTGGTCTTGCGGCCCCACTTAGAGCTTCTTTAGCATCTGTAGCATTTTGGGGATGCAGATCTGCTGAAACATGTGCTTCACCTGTGTTGCAGTCTTTCAATACATCAAGAGAAAGTTTGGTGACATGACAGTGCCTAGCACTCCCAAATATTTGTGAACAAGTAGTTCCTGCCCGTGGCAATGCCACAAAACTACAAGTTCATCTTTCAGACGCCTGGGGACGTCAGTGCCTGACCTGATGAGAGCCCGTGCATGTGCGCAGGTCGGGTGGCATCCAGGGGGGCCTATCCAACGGGGAGGACATAGTGGCCAAGATTGCATTTAAGCCGACGTCGACGATCTCGCGCAAGCAGAACACGGTCAGTCGCGATGGCGAAGAGGTGGAGCTGATCGCGCGAGGCCGCCACGATCCCTGCGTCGTGCCCAGAGCTGTACCCATGGTTGAGGCCATGGCTGCGCTTGTAATTGCCGACCAGCTGCTGCAGGTGCGCTCTCCTCGCTTGGCATGAACAGATCAACCATTATCTTTCGGTGGATTATTGAGCAATAATAAAGGCAGCAGTGTGCTTTTCTGAAAGATTTCAGGGGGCAGACGGAATCACCTGACAGGAAAGAAGTGCTTGTGATGGTGACAAAAAAAAAACTTTTTGCATGCTGGTTGTGGCATGCTCTCTTTGATCGTAAGCTGCATGCGCAGATACTGCAAGTCTGCAGCTGTTGAATGTCTGAGGAAGGAGGTGAAGGCAACCTTTTGCAGCTGTAATTTCATACGTATTGTCAACGGTACTGGTAAGCGCTGAGATTCTCAATGGTTTGCTGGCCTGACCTTTGTGTGGTCGTGTTTGCAGCATTACGCACAGTGCGAGCTGCTTCCCCGGGACAGCGCATGCAGCCCTGATGTGTCAATTGCTCGCCAGTTCCGCCAGCATCTGGAGAGCAGCAGCGCCGTAGCCTCTCCATGATGTGATGGAGCACCATGATGGCGCAGAGGGCTGAACTTCCTGAGTGGCAATGGGCGTATTCAAGTCAATTTACACCTGTAGGTTGACAGATTCTTGTTTGATGGCTTTGGTAGGCTGTGTAATTGCTGTGGTGAATGGCCCATGGATAGCGGTGCGAGAGACTCAGGACACATGTCGAGACGTGTCCATTTGACAATCAGCCGTGCCATTGTTAGTACAGTATTTCATTCTTCCACGTCAAGTCAAGAGTAGCATTGAGATCAGGCTGCTCATTCGCTGCTGCTCTCTGCTAGAATTGACTTTCAGAGAGAAAAGAACCAGGGAAGTTCATGCTATCCCATAGCTTCCCATAAAAGAGAAGCTGGGGTGGGTGGAAATGCTTCCTTCATTCGTCTATACTTCCAATCCATTTGACACTGCATTTCGTCATCACGAACAATGTAGACCATCTTACGCTTCTCATTCTGGCTGTAATGCGTCTTGCTTGGCCCCTGTCAGACTGCCTAGAGGGCGGGATCGCTTTTAGAGATCGCCGTTGCACCACTTTCAGGCAAAGAAAAGTCACACCCGTAAAGAGAAATACTCTTTCTATTCAACCAAGGAAGTGGAAGTGTCTGTGCTCGAGCGATAGTCATGGTACAATTGAGAGTGACGGTGACCATGACCGCACGCAGTCCAACAAAAAGAAAAGCATTCCCGACAAATGGGAGGTGATCAAGGCATATTCACAACCGTTAATGTCTCTGCAAATTCCAAGGAATGTGAAAGCTTCCATTTGGACGAGGTATACTGGCTAAAAGGAGTCATGGCTGCAGGCTGGGAGTGAAGGCAAAACACGGCGTGAGGTCGGGATCGAGGCTGGTACTGCAGCTTTGGCATCTGTAGGCAAGCATTACGCCTCTTACCACCAAGCTCCTGGCCTATCACCCAACGATCACATGCTTGCAGATGCTAATTGTGCCAAGGTGTTAATGAATGTAGATTGATGCTTGAAGCTGCAGATTTGCTGTGAAATAGAGCACATGATGACTGCTAAACCCAATGGCATATCGCATGATGCAGGCAGCTGGCTCTGGTCTGCCGAGCCAGCGCAGGCCATCAGAGATGTGCAGCTGCCAGACGGCTCAGTAGTCACTGCATACGAGCTAGAAATAGCGCTGAAGATTGTTGCACTGCGTGGCTCTGTGCCGTCAGATGCCATCCTTGAGTTCCGCCATGCTCTCAGCAAGTATGGGCGCTTCCAGCTGGCTCAGAAGCCCCAGATTGCAGACATCTTTGAGGAGCTCGGCCAGCCCAGGTCAATTTCTTTAGTGGGCGAAATGCCGCATGCTTTGTTGCATCAAAGCTACAAGAAGGCCCATGCCAATTGCCTGAAAGCATGCAGTGGCTTCTTGCAAAAAGAATGGGCAGATTGTCACTCTGTATCTTTGTAAAATTATTTATGGTGGGGGGTGGTGCAGCAAGAAGAACAGCGCAGCGAGGGCGGACGCAGTGACTCTTGGGGACGTCTGGCTCGGGCCGGCCATACGGGCAGGCCTCATACAGCCGATCCCCGAGGCAGAAAGCAATCGTTGGTGGGTGAGTAGCTGCCTAACAAGCATCTCTGCAACTGCCACACTAATTTATGCCAGCCCGCACCACAAGACATCTTGTCACCTGCCGCAGTCTGAGCTCTCATCCCAGCTCTCGTGGCAGAGATACAAGGATAGTTGTGCACCTGCAGGGAAATCTTCCACCGAGGTGGCGTGAGTTGGTGAAGCGCGGCGCAGATGGCAGTGTGGACCCAAAGGGCCTGGTGTGGGCCTGCCCTCATCGCTGGGGATGCACCCTCATCGCCTACCGCAAAAGTGCCCTGCTCAGGCATGCTCTGCAGATCTGCTCTCAGCATTCCCCTCCGCCTTGATTCCCCATTGCTGATCTCCACAACATGTGAAGGAATATCTGTGAATGGAGTTTGCTGTGGAGCTAGGGCTTGCTTGCCATGCTGGTCAGGCACAGGTGCCCGCGCAAGGAGTGCGTATGCTCTACGTCATTACTTAATGTGCATGTGCATGGGCACAGCATGAATATTCATTGGCTCCCACTGTTTTTTTCAATCAGTGTTGTTGCAGCTCCTTCCTCGCAGATATCGCTCCCACTTTTGTTAGAACAGACTATAACCCGTAGTGTGAGTGGTGACGCATCGGGTTATGTGGTGCTGACAGGGCGGGGGCGCACCCGATCAGGGACTGGGGGGACCTGCTGCAGCCGTGCCTGAGGCAGCGAGTCGCCTGGGTGGACTCTCCGCGCGAGTTTGTGGGCGCTGCGCTCAAAACGCTGGGAGGCGGCTTCAACACAGGCGCGGCCGAGCTGGCCTCTTTGGGTCTGTCTGATCAGGACCTGGCCCAGCAAGTGGACCGCTTGCGGCAGCAGGTATGCTCAGAAATTGAAGCTCTCTGAAATGTCAGGTTTTGCCTTCCTGTGGCCATGCATTGCATGCTCGGCGCCCTCGCAACTACTGAGTAGACCAAGAGAGTTCGCAAAACATGCAAAGTAGTGCTTGCGCCGAGTATGGACGAAGGCCACCCTTGCGATTGTATGGTACCTGTTGCAAAGGTACCTATCAGTAATTGATGAATCGCAGTCACAGCAGATCAGGGCTTTCTGCTGTCTCACAGGCAGATGGGCGATGCAGGGCATGCATTGCCGACAGCCGGCTCGTTTGAGGCGTGAAGGACAAGTGTCAGAATGCTGGTCAGCATTTGGCATGTGCGCGTAGGTGCGGGTCTTCAGCAGCAAGGAGCACATAAAGGCGCTGGGGGCCAAAGATGTGTGGGCGGTGGTGGGATGGAGTGGCGACCTGGTCCCTGCTGCTGAGCGCAGCGGCGATGTGGTGCTTGTTGCCCCGGCCTCCGGCACTTCGCTGTGGGCTGACATGTGGGCTGTTCCCTCCCACGCTCAACACGGCTCCCGGGTATGACCTCGATTCATTGCACCACGCAGCTGCACTGCATGACACAATCGTGCCATTGCTAGCTCTGATTGTGGTGTTGCTAGCACTCTGTGTTTCAGGGAGGCTGCAGAGATCCCTCTTGCCTGTGAGGTGGTCAGCCATTGCTGGTGTCTTGCAGCAGGCTTGGAAGAGGGGAAGAGTACAGAATGACATGCTCATTGAGGCTGTATGCTATGTGTACAGATGCGAGGGCCATCCCCGCTGCTGCCAGCCTGGCTTGATTACTGGCTGCAGCCCTCAAGGGCGGCCTGGAATAGAGGCCTGAAGTCAGGGGCGTCGCCTCTCTTGCTGCCTCCATCGACTGATGCACGCTCGGGCACCAGCAGGCAGGAGCAAGACTCGACGGAAGACAATGTGAGTCTTCTAGGCACCTTCTTGAAGCGTTGCTTCAAAACATGCACGAAGTTTGTCAGCTGGCGAGTGCAACTTCGCATGTGATGAGGAAGCCTGCATCTGTACATCCAGTGCTTACTTTTTAATCAAGATTCTTCTGTATGAGGCATCAGCCAGTTCCTCTGACGCAACAGGGGCTCCAGGACGCATTTGGTGATGTGATCCCAGAAGAGTCAGTGCTGCAGAGGAGTGAGTTTCTTCTGCCGCTGGATGAGCGCACCCGGCAGCTGTATTGGAACATGTTACACCCTGACTGGGACAAGCCAACTGTACACTGAATGCAGCAGGCTACATGTTGAATGCCCTGAATTGTGCATTGACCAGTATGCACTGTATCAAGCGAGTGCAGCAGGCCCTTGTATACGTGAGGTATACATTTAAACTAACAGCTGCAGGCACTATGACCCTGTATCAGAAGTAATGATTGCAATTCAGCACGGCTGCTTAAAAAACAGTCAGTGCCCTTTGTGCAGCTGTCCTGTTGCCTTTCCTTGGCGCTGGTCGCTCACTGGAGGCTTCTTTGAACGCTGTTCTCATAGTGATCATAGCAAAGCTGCCTGAATCCCTCTTGGTAGCTAGCACCAATTTCCAGGCTGCCCATAACTTGAAAGGGAATGTTATGGGCTTGATGCAAGCCCGCAAGCAGATGGACTCAGCCAATGACAGTGTAAGGCGGCCTGGATCCCTGTGCAAGCGAAAAGCGAGACTTCACTAGATTCTTCTTGTCAAAGGGCATGGGAACTTCGGTATGTTGAGAGAAGCACGAAATCAAATCAAATAAATGATGAGTAATTGTGCAGATGGTGACCCTAAACAGATATGAGCCACTACATGAGCTTACGCAGGTGCTGGGATACCCTCACCGTCTTACTCCTGGAGAGTTTCTCAACCAGCTCCACGATTGTACTGTCTTTTGTGCCCTCACCATTGCCATGCTGTAAGCCTGTTCCAGACGTTGATTTTTTGCAAGAGCAGATGCGACCGGCTGCATAAAAGTCCTGGAAGGTTGTATCGTGTAGCATAGTGTCCAGAAGCCAACAGCCATTGCTGCGCCTAAGATCTCATGAATGATTATAGCTTTCGGAACATCAGATGCCGTCAGGCCTTGATCGGCAAAGTATTGCTTCAAACGTTCCATAGACTCATGCAAATCAGCTTCAAAAATTGTACAAATACAATTGATAACAGTCTATTATCAAAATGGAATGGCAGATGATCCAAGTCGGATGTCTTAAAATTGCATGCATCTGATTTAGACGGGCAGGCCAAAAAGACGATCAAGGTTCTGGCCCATTAATTTCTTGAAACTCTTCGACTGTGTTACTAACGGCATCGTGTGTATAACAGAAGTGCAAGCTGCAGGTCAGTGTTTCTATTTTCCCTCAAGAAATTGGCAATATAGAGTTCATAGGTATTTTTAATTGTCTGCATCACTCATCCTCATTGTATCATGGTTCAGGATGGACAGAAAACATGCCAGTGCACAATGTGTGCAACTATTGCACTGCTATAAGAAGTAGAAAGCACAAACTTACAGGCACCTAGGAAGCATCAATGCACGCACCGGTCACCCTCGTGACCATGTGCATGCGCATGGTGTCACTAACATCATGACATCACAAGCATCATGATGACGGCATTCAAGGTGCTATCATCACTGGTGTGTGAAAGTGCCAGGGTGCCATTAGTGACAGAGGCTCAAAATCAGCTCTAGCGTCTCTCCATACCTATGTATATGTATAGCTTATAATGAAGCAAAGGACATTTGCAAGAGCACGCATGCATTTATCAGGGGAAAAAACCAGCTGCACTCGCTGGCCGGCTAAGGGGACTTCCTGTACTAGTCCCTAGCGAAGTGCCATATGTGGCGCGTCTTCTCTATTGATCTGTACCTAATGAGACCCAGGACAAAATCTTGAACCTAAATCAGCTGCTGCCTTCTGCTGCCTTTAGAGGATCTTGTGCATCAGTAGAAGCATACTGTGTAGATTGGCCGTCTGCCTGTCTCCTCCTCGAACTGCTGGATGACATCGTCAATCCCATCTTCCCAATCCTCCTTGGCCTCAAGCTGCAAGTGCCAAGTGAACGCAATCATTGAGACTCCCAGATGAGCGCGAGAGTGTCAGATGTACAGAGACATGGTTGCAACCTGCAGGTTGTGCCAGCTGGTAGGAATGGCAGAGGTCAAATGTTCGTTTCGAAGGCATGGTGTGAAGTGCCTCACCAGCTGGCACAGCCTGAGAGTCTGCGGCGCCACGCGTGCAGCTTCTTCATGGTTGTCCTCAACATTCTGCATGCGCAGCAGTGTCTTCAACAGAAAAGGAAAAGAATCTTGGCTGGGCTCGCAATCAAGAAATGTGCAGGTTATTTTCCTGGCCAGATCTCTTCACATGCTGGAAGAGACTCACGATGTTGATGACCAGAAGGGGCTTCATGGTCGACTGAGGCCTGCTGTTGAAATCTGCAAGCATGCATGCACGGTGCCGTCAGGCGCATGGCTGCATTGCATTCCTGGCAGCAGTCGTGAAACTGGGGACATATTCCTAGTCTCACCATCTAGGAGCTGCTCCATGATACGCTCATCAAACGTGACCACGGCATCAAAGACATCCCTGTTGTCCTGCCACCGCTCAGGGGCTCGTTTGACTCCCATGTTGCGCTGCAGCATCTGCAAATCCATGCACATGACTCACCATCAGCCACTAATGCAACAATGCATACCCAGGAAACTGCAATGCATCCTAGCCATCGCCTACGATGTTTCTCCAGGTTATAGCAACACGATGTGCGCATCCCTTGAACATGATGACAAAATTACTGCTGCTTTCCCACCTCGCAATGCAAAACGGTTGGGTGAGCTAAGCAGATAGGCAGTATGGCAGAGGGAGTGCCCAGGCATGTCTGCACCTGCAGGAGGCCTTTCCGTGAGTAGAAGTTCTCATCCTTCTGCCGCAGGTCCTCATAGATGTCCGCATATGGAGTGCCAAAGTCGTACACATTGGGTTCTCTCTGGCTGGTGCCAGGGAGCTTGACGTGCCCATTTGTGCCATAGGAACTAACCTGCAGAGGTGCCATCGGCAAGTTCAATGTTCTCGTTTATACGATGCCACACGGTTCGAGACCAGATAAGACATGGCTCCTGTACTAACCAATCTGCAACAGGCCATGCCCATTACCTGGAAGCCATGCTTTTTGAGGAGTGCATGTGCCTCCATGGATCTGTTCTGATTTGAGGCACAAACCATTGCAACCTTCATTTTCCCCATGTTGCAGCCAGCTGTGGGGGACAGTGTGGAAGTGTGAAAGCTTCACCCAAAAGTAGATCGACTATGTCGGTTCCCGCTCAAGCTCTGCCATACACAATCATTGCAAAATCTACATCATTTGGATATCAAAATGTCTATCACAATGTTGTTGTAGACAGAAACAGGCCCTCGTCCTACGCAGATCGCAATTCCAGTGTCCTTGGTCCTGTGACCATTTGAAGCATGCTACGCCTGTTCATCTACATCACCTGTTTCTCAATAGAATGCATTCCTTGTCTCTGGAGGCTTAGACTATAATTTATAGTATGGGAGCGAAAAGCATTTGGAGCTGTATCAGAGCCCTACCAAAACCCTGCACTTCTGACACTGCTGCATCTACCTCGGTTGCTCTGGCCTGCTCGAGTGCTTCAAACCAAGATGTGTGCATGGAAAATGTAACTAAAGAAGCTGTAGAGCGTTGGGGTCGGTGCTCGGGCTTGGATAGGGACCCTCAGAGGAGGGCTGCTGCCGAGGCATTGGAATCAGATCTGACATGCTCGGCAGTGTCCAATTGCCGAATCAATTCAGCAGATCACCAGAAAGGAAATACTCTTCAAACAAAGTAGCATCTTCCCTGAAGAGGGTAGTAGAAGTACGAGATGAGGAGGTATGGAGTCATTCTCCTGTTTCCTTTCCGCCCACTTAAGCTCTCCATGAGTCTCTAATTAAGGGTGGCTTCAAACACTGCAGGTGGACACCCTCTTGAAAGGGTTCGCAGCACTCTTCTGTGTACGGTCTCGTCCACCTGTTGCACATTAGATCAAGGCCAGTTGGCTCTGCAGATGGTTGATGAGGTGTCATGCATGCCTGTGCAGATCCTGGGTTCCTACTTTCTGCTTCTTCCAATCAGAGATGAGGCAGGCGTCTCTCTAGGTCTGCACCCTAGCTCTGGGTTTTTGCTTCCCACTGCTGATTTGATGTCATGCATGTTGACATCACTGACTTGCCATGCAGGAACACAGCAGCTACCCTATTTATTTCTTGGCAGTTTTCTACTCACCTTGATTGTGACACCACTGTCCCAATTCCTGGTGCGGCCTGGCGTCACCCCGTGAGTCTCACATTCCAATGTGTGGCCTCACTTGAACGTTCATGTTCTGTCAGGATGTTCTGTCAGGCAAAACATCAGTGCATCACCCTGGTATGATCATGAAATATGCATGGCGCAGGGACAAAGCCGTGCATCAACTGTACCGGCTCCTGGCACTCTCTCTGCTGGGTGAGCACCCGCATTGCAGGCAGGAATTGTAGGAATATTTGTGAAATGCTTCAGGCCTCACACGTGCATTCCAATGGGTTGCCTTGACGCTGACAATTGTTCCCTGCAGGCTTTTACCTGGCATACCAGGCAACGCCAATACACACTGTGCCTGACGGTCATGGACTACCAGGTCGGCCTTTCAACGAGTCAGCTTTCTTCCACAGAGCAGACCAGTACCCATCCCATGGCCAGCAGCGCTTCATACTTGCAGTGGATTCAAGCAGCACTGCTGCAGTCAGTAGGACAGCCTTGGAGCAGCCAGGAGGGCACAGGGACACTGCAGAGGTATTACAGGGGGGGAATGGGGGCACATCAGCTGCACTCCCTGGCAGGTCCCTGCAGGAGCGCAGCGTGCGCAGTGGGGACAGCAGCCTCTCAGCAGCTCAGGTGTGTGCTTCCTCTGCCCTGGCTCCTGCGACAACCTCTAACCAGCGGTTGAATAGGACTCCCCTTAGGGAGTTGACCCCTCTGTACAAGCTACCAGTGCTACTTCATGTTCAGTGGCCACTACAGTATATTATGGGGGGCTGCATGGGCGTGTGAGTGGCCTTTTTGGTGCGTGCAGCGGGTTGTGAGGGCGGCGTTTTTCCTGTGGGTGTCGGTGGTGAATCTGGTGGGCCTGTCCACGATGTGGGCGCGGATGGCGGACGTGTTTGGGAGTGAGGCGGGCACACGGCTGTTTGGGTCCTGGGGGCGGGCGCCACATGTGGTGAGCACCAAATCCTCAGCCTTGGCCTCAACAAATGCGCTGAAAACTCTCAAAGCAGCATGCACTACAGGCATCTGCCAAATCCAACTTCAGAAGCGTATACCACCTGAAGGATGTGTGCTCTGTGTTTTGTCACGCCGCAAGATCTATGATTGCCCTGAAAATAAGTTCATCTTGCTCTCTTTACGAATGTCAATACCTTCCTTTCTGACATTTGGTGGAAGTAGGGCAGTCGAGAAGTTGCAGCTACCCAAGCATGGCAGGTAAAGCAAAATGAAATGGCGAGTCATGCCTGTGGAGTGCACACAGGGCAGCTGGTGGGCTCACTGCTGGCCACAGCCTGGGCGAGCGCGCTGAGGACCAGCGGCAGTAGAGGCCAGATTGTGGCGCCCATGCTGCTGTCGGCCGCCGCGCTGGAGATTGCCGGCCGCATTGCATCGCGACTGCGACGGCTGAGCCCCGTGCTGCCGAGCCCCGGCAAGAGCCGCTCCCCACTGGTGCAGGCCCTCATGCCATGTCCGCGTGAAAGCACACCACACACTCTACTGACTGTTCCGATTCACACTGAAGCGAGGAAGCTTGGGAAACGATCCTAGAGCTGCCACTGGTGTCACGCTACTGTTACCCCAGGCTACAGACATGCGTTTGACACCAAGATGGGGATGTGAACCACGGATTGATGCTCTGAAACTTAAACCGCAGGGGTGGCTGTAAGAACGTCTGCATTTGCTGCCAGCAGCTGAGCGATGCATGCTTTATTTGGCAGGGGCAGACTCGGCAGGGGCAGGCCCTGAGAGCGCAGGTCTGGCACAGCTTTGTGCGGCTGTGGGAGGGGTTCCGGTGCATCGCTGCATCGCGCTACCTGACCCACCTCAGCGCATACATCGTGTTCACAACAGTCATCGCCTCCCTCATGTACTTTGAGAAGTCCATGGTGAGCACAGCCTTCCCCTTCAATGCGCCTCTGACATTGGCCTTCACCGGATGACCTGGGCGAGCTGCTTGAGCGCAATAAGCATTAGCTGCCTTTCTTTGGAGGGGTTCGTTCCAGCCGTGCATTGCTTACATCAGGGGAACAAATAATATTCAGGGCATGCAGCTCTGGCATGCTGTCTCACATGTTGAGGATGGGATCTTATGTGTGTCTTTGAATTGGAAGGTGGTGGCTTCTGCGGCTGGCGATGCAGCCTCGCGCATGGCGCTGTTTGGGTCCATCAATTCTGCCTCGGCCTTTGTGATAGCGCTGCTGCAGCTTGCGGCCACCGGGCGGCTGCTGAAGCTGTTGGGGCTGGCCACAGCGCTCACTGTCAGCCCTGCATTTGCAGCCGCCCTGATGCTTGCCATCGCTGTGTGGCCAACGCCCCTCGTAGTGGCTTCAGGAGAGGTGCTCCGAAAGGTTTGCTTTCTCAGCCCCCTGCAGCGCATGCCACCTATGCAACATACTGCATGCAAGAGCACTTGGTGTTATCCTGTCTGAATCACACTGACACATTTGAAGGCATGACATATGCAGTGCAAAATGCTTTGCCTGCTTGTCAGCTGCTTAGTGCTGCAGCAATCACTGCACTTGTCATGCAGGAGGCTGTGGCACGGTGGCTCTGCTGGTACTGTAGTTTCCAGAATACCCCTCACACAAACTCACTGGGGTAATAAAATGATTAACAGGAATCGTCACTGCTGCAGGTGGTTGGGTATGCCCTGGCGCGGCCGGCGAGGGAGGTGCTCTTCACGGTGGTGCCTCGGGAGGAGATGTACAAGGCCAAGATCTGCATTGACACCCTCGTTGTCAGGGGCGGCGACATGTTGGCTGCCGGCCTGTTCCATTTCCTTGATGGCTACTATCACCTTGGTGCGATGCTCCAAGTCTAATCTGTTGTCTGGGCAGGGCGAGGGTGTCTTATTCAATTGCGGGCATGCACTGCTGCAGGCGTCCGTCGTGTGATGAACATGCATCAATTGAATATTGCATGACGATGGCTAAATTTTCAAATGGTGTAGGCAAGTACTATTTGCCGATTGCAGAAAGGTGGGCAGTCATGAGCTCCAGAGTTCATGTTCTTGTGTGCTTGCTGCAGGGCCCTCTGGATGTGCAGCAGCCGCATTCCCCATTTGCTTGGGCTGCTGTGTCCTTGCTTTCACCCTGGGGCGCAAGCAAGAGGCACTGGCAAGACCCCAGGCAGTGTGACAGGATCCTGCGGCAATCTTGAGGGTCCTGTCCGTCTAATTATATGCTGAACACAACTGTTTTGGAGCTGTATGTGACCCAAGGGTTGAATGGCATCGCGCGGAACTCTGTGAACTAGTCTCTGTGGCAAGCAGAACAGGACCAGCAGTGCACTCCTCTCTGGCTGAATTTGCCACAGGCATCTGTATCATGTTTTAGTACAGCAGTCAGTTATCAACACATTGATGATTCGAAGAGTTCTTCGGAGTTTGCATGAGCGCAATGTCCCAGCGTTGCTAGAGCGGACAATGTCTGTTATTCAGAACCATGCAATACAAAGCAATAAAGTACAGCAACTCAACAGCATTGGCAACCTTTCATGTGACAGCTCATTCTCTACCCATACCATGTGACAAAATGTGACAGAATTGACAAAGAATTGTGCACAGAGTGCGCTTGATCAGGGCATAGCTGATTGCCTTATGTCCTGCCAGCAGTCGCACTGGTGTGATGCACCCGTTCAAGCATGCTCACAAGAGAGCGCTGCTGACCTCGTCTGGCGTGAAGGGCCAGAACAACTCTGCATTCACATGCACAAACACTCGCTGCTGCAGGTCGAATGCCTGCTCTCTTTCATGCTCCTCGCCTTGCAGATGCATCTCTATTACCTGCACAGCACCAAGGCATTGAATGCTCTGTGTCAATAGTCATAGGAGCTTCTATTGAGAGATGTCTGTGTGGGAGGGATCTTTGGGGTACAAATGCGAGGGCTGCATTATATATGACTGTTGAGCATCGAGGTGAAGGTGGTCAGGAACACTCACCACACCATCATCAAACCTCAGTATGTACTTGATCATGGACCCAATGTCTATTCTATCCACCACGATTGCCGGCGCGAATTTCTGGCCATATTCAGTTGGAGGCGTAGCTGACACCTGCATTCAGGATGCATCTTCCAGTCAGCCAAATTTTGCGTAAGGGTCTCATTAGATTGCAACATTAAAATCAAGAACATTGAATAAAGTAGACATGGTGCAATGAGAGAGTAGAGTACCTCCACCCTGCTGGGTCTGCACATGACCAGGGGCTTGTCAGCCTTCAGGCCCATGCGCTTGACGAATTGGCAGTTGGAGGGCAGCTGGTTGACGTCATCTATGAAATTCAGCACGAACGGCGTCGCCGGTGACCGGCGTATCTGGTCCCTGTCTCCCACTTGGACCACCTTCCCCCTGCACACGTGCCGCAGTATAATTAAATAGAGATCTTGCAACCCGCATTCCCCTCTCGGTGTCAACGTGCACTGAAAGCAGCACGCCATGCCCGCAACAAAGCACTTGCAATTTTCAATGAGAAAACTCAGTCCCCCCTGGTCTCTCTCGGCTGAAGCTAGAAAACGATGCAGTGACTGTGTGCCATGTGCGGTTGGTGGATCTGATACTTATGAAAAATAAGGAATAAGTAATTATAGCATAAAAAGGAGGCACCTGTTGAAGATGACAATCTGGTCTGCCAGGTCGAAGGCCTCCTCCTGGTCGTGGGTGACCAGGATGCTGGTGACGCCCACCTTGTCTATGATGTCCTTCAGCCCCTTGCGCACCGACTTCCGGATCTGCATATGGCCAGAGTCAACTCATCAACAACTGTCCGCCTGAAGCGACAAGATCACTCAGTGTTGCTTTCGGCACACAGAGCATTTTTATTCACAGCCAGCAGTGGATGCATTAATTCCATGCAATGATCATGATGGTCCTTGACAGGATTTTGCCCATCCTTAGTGATTGTTTAGGAGCGGGTGTGTACGCTTGTGCACCCACTCCTCACCCAACACACTTACAAGGAATTGGCAATAACCCATTTTTGACCAGCAAGATCATTGCATGGAAGTGCACAGGACAGGTGACTTGCCATGGGATCTAGGGCGCCGAAGGGCTCGTCCAGCAGTAGAAGGCGTGGGTTGGAGGCCAGGGCTCGCGCAAGCGCCACTCGCTGCCGCTGGCCGCCGGACAGCTGCGGAGGGTGCCTGTGGCCCAAGCCGGGCAGCTCTATGAGCTCCAGCAGCTCATTCACCCTGCCATCACGCAGTCACACACCCAGTCAGGCAAGCATGTATGCCAGGAGCCAGCTTTAAACATCTCCTCGTCGTCAAGGTTGACTGCGCATGGATAGGGCATGATTTGACACAGGCCGCCAGTGCTGGGTTGAGGCACTGGTATGAGAAAATAAATGTACGGGATTATAGAGGGCTGTGAGGGATGGCAGAATTTGCACCGCTGTTCAATGTCGATGCCCATGCGGCGGATGCGCGGCCCAAAAGCAATGTTCTGGGCGATGGTCATGTGCTTGAACAGCGCGTAGCTCTGGAACACAAAGCCTATCTGCCGCTCCTGCACCGCCAGCTCTGTCGCGTCCTCATCTGCTCACACCCAAAATTGTTGGCTGGATGATAGTCAGTGATGTCAACGGATGCTGCAGAGTTTAAGGCTCAATGCTGGAGGATAGCCAGTGACATACACGGGTGAAGACACATTCTACATCAGGGCATGGCTCCAGAGTGGGTGTAAAAAAGAGGCCCACCGTCAAAGAAAATCCTGCCTTCTGTAAGCTCCTCCAAGCCTGAGATGAGCCGCAAGAGCGTGGTTTTCCCTGCACATAACAGTAATGGCGTGAGGCAGAACATAGTGACATGCACAGTGTTCTTGTAAAGTAAAAAAGAGCGAGCGAGAACCATTCACCATTGTCCCCAAAGATATAAACCCATCAGATATAAACCAACTGACCCTGGAGATTTATTGCGCTTCACCTGAGCCAGAAGGACCTAATAATGCTGTCATCTTCCCTGCCTGTATTTCCAAGTCTATGCCATCAGCTCCTACATAAGTTCCACCCCTGGTTTTGTACTCCTTTCGGACCCCCACCACCTGATCACACAACAAATAACCCTTTTAAAGTCTGGCAATGATTGTATGCTGCAGTAATGCATCTGTAATGGATAAGATTGAATTTGCGCATACCTTGACACCAACTCCTTTGCTCCCAGACATAGAAATCGATGGACGCACAGCATTCACACCCAAAGTGGAAGCAGTCTCCAGTGCAATAGAAGGGCTGGATGTTGTAGCCTGTGCCAAGCAAAGAACTGATATTCAATGCCTCGCGATGCCTAGCTTTCCCGTTACCTTGAAAGCTGTGAAGGACCCAGTACAGAAATATCTAACCGGCTTACCTCCTCGGCAGCAGCTGCCGTGCTCTGTGCTTGGCAGGCCTCAGATCTCCTCCTGGCACACAGGGCGCCCTGGTTGGCTGCTGCTGTATCGTGACAGAAATCAGGAACACAACGGATTTGACTGGTAAGGCTTCTTACCTTGATCTTGCTGGCCGCTGAAGTTGTGCAGGGCAGGCCAGACGCAAGCCTAGGTGCTTCAGCATCATCTGCTGCTGCTGCCCTGAAGGCTTCGTTCGAGCAGAAAACACCGGTAGACTTCCCATAGCTCCCTTTATCCAATAGAAGGGGGGAGTAGATATTGTCAGAATAGCGATGCTTAGGCTTGCATGCCGCTACTCAGCCGCAGCAGAGGATCAAGCGGGAGACAACAACAAAATAGTCATGGGTCATAAGATGGCATGTCATCCATCTATAATGATCATGATATACAGAAGCCTTTCAACTGACAACAGGGAAAGAATATTCACTGAATCTGGAAAGGATGACGGGCTGCCTCCACACTATTATTGCTGCACACTAATTGTATCACCTGCATTAAGCAACCGAAGAGCCATCCATCACAGAAATGGTCGTGTTCGAAGAGATCCAGCGGAGTGTGTTCATCCTTGGTGCGTAGCTCACCGAAGGCCAAAGTAGGCAACACGCTTTGATGGCTCTCGAAAGCAGCTTAACGATCGGCCGTCCCAGCATTACGTATACCTCCCAATTTCGTGATCTACTTCACAGGTGTATTCTCTTGTATTATAATTTGCATCTTTCTTGATCACGACGGCGATACGAAGGCGCTGGACGAAGGAAGAGGGCACTGCCGGACTACCTGACCACGACTAGGTGCGTGCGGCTTATTTTTCTTGATGTTTGGGTCAAATAATTCCAAAATTCAGTGTTATCAGAGACCAAAATATTAAAATCTGAACGTTGCTGCCTAACCTTCTCGTAGTTGGAACAAATGCATGTAAGCGGAAACTCCAAGTCTGGCAGGATCCTGAGCTTTTATTAGCACTCATTCGTGCACAGATCCTTGGAATACAATATTGATACGACTTGACTTCCTTAGGCAAGACATTGCGGCCACATTGCCACACCCTGTACTTCTGCGTGGCTGGCTGGGTGCCATATTTGGCAAGTCTGGCAAGTTCTTTGGTAAGCAGTGATATTCCAGGCTAGGAAACACTGCAATTGGTGGTGATAGTTGCGTACTGCCATGTGTCGCAGGCTGGTCAGGTTGATCCGGAGTGATGGGTGCAAAAGCCACCCCCCTTCCTCCTCTCCAGTTCAAGGAGAACGTGTATGGCGATGCGATCGTGGATCTGTCGAGTGCTGAGGCCGCTGCAGCAGTCAAAGTTGGGGAGGATGTGGAGGCGAGTTCAGCACCGGGTGGCATGCGAAAGACCGAATCATGGCAGCTGACCAACAAGGAGGGTCACGGCATGCATGTCACCTTTCAGGTACGCCTTGCATCTGCATTTGTTGCCCATGAATTCCTCAACTGATGTCAAGAACAACGCCATGCTTTCATTCTGAGGTTTGCCACCATAGGGACAATCATCACCTTAATTTTATCGTTGGATGACTGACGGTGTTCATGAGATGCACCAGGATGTATACTACATAGTGAGGAATCAGGCAAACAAAAAGGAGAAGATCTCCATCCTGCATGGCGTCTCTGGCTACTTCAATCCTGGCGAGATGGCAGCTGTCATGGGCCCCAGTGGGTCCGGTATGTCTTGTCCAACTTCCTACAGCTTTCTGAGGTGAATTTAGCCTTGCATCAAGTCAAGAAGTAGGTTGTCAAGTCAAGTAGCAGCTTTTTGAGAGTCCCTGGCATGCAGGCAAATCCACCCTGCTGGATCTGCTGGCCGGCAGAAAGACCATGGGCGAGCAGAAGGGAGACATCCTGTTCTCGGGAGTGCAGCCGACGCGAGCCTTCCTGCGACGCTACACAGGTGACACCTTTGCCGCTGAGTCTACTGAAGCCCTCCTGGAGATTCTTTCTCCACAAAGGACAATATATCCCGCAATGTGAAACATATATGGTGTGTAATAGGCACACCCAAAACTCTTCAGTCCCACCCACTGCCATTGCTGCATGCAGTGGCGCATGCCAAGCGCTGAGTTGACGCCTTGTGGAGGCATCCGTAACATCCAGACAGTCTCCAGCTAGCAGAGGCCCCACTGGGCGCTGAAGGCTGGCAGGAAAGGAGTGAAGACAGGCGTTTCAAGATGCATTGTTTTGATGTGGCGGCGGCAGGCTACGTGGAGCAGTTTGACACGCTGCTGCCGGAGCTGACGGTGCGCGAGATGCTGCTGTACACGGCGGAGCTCAAGTGCGAGATGAGCGAGCCGCTGTCCAAGAAGCGCGCGCGCGTGGACCAGCTGCTCGAGCTCCTGGCGCTGCAGGGCTGCTCTGGCACGCTCATCGGCGACACCCTCGCACGCGGCATCTCCGGCGGCCAGGTGCGGGATCTTGGCTCTCTTGCTCAGATATCAAGCTGCCATGTGGCGTTCCTGAGAGGCAGGCGTTGTAGGGAAAGTGTCGCTTTGATCCTGAGAGTGCGCGGTTTCAGCGGCGCGGCCCCAAAGTTTGTATGTGCTATTGCCCTCCACTTCTGGAGCGCGTTCAATGGTGCACGGTTTCAGCTAAATCGGCTGGCGCGGCCACAGACACTGTTTTATCATCGCCCCTGCTTCTGGATCGTGTTCAACACTTACGCAATGAAAGGGGCTCTCTCACCATACTGACATGCGAAGCTGCCATGTGGCGTACCTGAGAGGCAGGCGCTGGAGGGGAAGTGTCGTTTTGATCCTGAAAGCTCTTTGTGGGTGCTCCACGCGATTGGCAATTTCGCCTGAACAAATTTGAGTATCTACCAGAGGGTGCAACAAGGGCGTTGTATGTCTGCTTGATCTTGTTTAGGTGGCTAGAATGCAGGATACTCTCTTGGTGCGTGCAGTGGAAGGGCATGTGACAGAGAATCAGCATTCTGCGCCTTCCTGGGCAGGGCTTTAGCTTGTGTATATTGGTGAGTGCAGGCCAAGCGGACAAACATTGGCATTGCCCTGATCACCCATCCACGAGTGCTGTTCCTGGACGAGCCCACCTCTGGCCTGGACTCCTACACAGCCCATGAAGTGGGTACCTTATCCCGTTTCTCCATGCCTGCCTCCTGCAATGCCACTCGCACTCTCCTTGGTGACATATGTGCATTGTGGCCTCATGTTCTTCTAAAAATAGGGTTGCGTCCACTCTTCTGGTCACTCAAAGGGTGAGAGTCTTTGCTCCTGGCTTAATCGTGAGCGGGAGTTGAGAGAGTGCACTGTCATTGCAGGTGATGACTGTCGTGAGGGGTCTGTGCAAGCGGGGGATCACAATCTGCGCAACAATTCACTGCCCCCCGCCCCACACATTCACCCTCTTTGACCGCGCGCTAATAATGCAGCGCGGCCGCACCGCCTACTTTGGCCTCAATGGCCAGCCCGCCATTGACTACTTCTACAATCACTTTGAAAAGGTAGGAAATTTTACATCTCACCCTGGCGGCATTACCTCGATTTTGTTCTGAACAATTCAGCTCAAGGCCTCTAGCCTACAAATCAACCCGTCGCCTGGCGCTGATTGAGTGCGCTTGAGAAGATGAGTGGCCTTGAACTGCAGCTGTGGTCGTGCAGATTAGAAAGAAGGGGGAGAATGAGAATTTGGCTGAGTGGATTGTGGACATCACCACCGATGCTGACCGCCAGGGCTCCGACAAATTCACCGCCGTGTACAGAGAGTGCGCGCTCTTCCCATGCCACACTGGCACATGAGGAACAAATTACCATCGTGCAGTGATTGCTGCCATGACTGCTCAGCCTGAAGCTGGATTAATGCAGAGGTGCTCACACTAAGTATCTGTTTTGACGCTGCAGCTCGCAGCAGAGGAAGCAGACGGATGTAGAGGTGGCGGCGCTCGTCGAAGCAGAGTGCAACAATGTCTCTAAGGCCACGCTGAAGGTATGTGGGCCTTTTGTAATGCCTTATGCTGCAGCCATTTCTATTCAGTATGTTCCCAATCCTTCTCCTTTCCTGCTTTTTGACACCGGCTGCTTTTTGACACCGGCCTCTTAGTGAACCATGTCATTGGCACCTTCAAGCCCAGAAATGGAGACTTTATTGAGTCTCGGGTCTCATTCTCTGGGGTTAGAAAAACATTGATCAGGAGAAAAGAAAAAGAACTCAAGCAGCAAGAGAGGCACTAAATGAGCAGGTGGAGAAGTAAGAAGAGGTGCTGATTTCTGAGGCAGCTGACGGCAAAGCTCAATGAAACGCCAAATCCCAATGACGCAAATCCATTTGCTTGCAGATGGCTATTCAGAACAGCACGCATTTGGAAATCGTGGTCCCTTGCGTTGCCGATAAAATACTATCTACCCTCACGGGATCCCATTCTAAATAAATTCTACTCTGCTCACCTACGGGGTTCACCTAAGGGGTGCATACGCGTGCAGGCGCTGGCGACGAGGACAGGCACAATGACGCCGATGTGGCTGGGCCTGTGGGTGATGCTCAAGTACCGCACGGCCAACAACTACCGCTGCTGGCTCTACCTCTTTGGCCGGCTCTTTGACAAGACCTGCTTCACCTTCCTGACTGCCACCTTCTACCTCTGGGTCGGCGCCAATAACACTGCCGAGAACGCACCTAACATTGCCGGCCTGCTCTTCATGTGGTGCGACTCCTCACCTTCCAAGTGGTGCACAGTAACGCGTTATTATACATTATGAAAGTTCAAGTGCGCTGTGGCGGTGCCAGACCCCATATGAGGCCATCCACGCAAAAGGAATTGCAGATGAATGCGTTGAGCTTGGAAGTTCCTGCAAGACTATGTTCCCAATGGCTCTGCATGGCTCGTCTGTGGCGAGGGGTTAGGCAGGGATGTTCAGGCTCAAAAGGAGGCTGTCAATAGTGAGTAGCAATGTGCTGCGCAGGGTGATTCTGCCAGCGTATGGGGCGGGCCCCTACTTGCCAGCCATTGTCATGGAGCGGCCGGTCTATGTGCGAGAAATGAGTGACGGTCTGTACAGCCCCCTTACCTATCTTATGTACAAGGTGCGCCCACAGCCTGCAGAACTCTGCTACTGGAGGATGCATGCACACCTGTACATGCACTGGAGGTTGCAGTCTCATGTCCATGCTGAAAAGGTTGCTGTTTGAGTTGAACGCAGAGGTCCTGGCGTAAGACTCCTGAGTGAAACAGGGCAGGTGCGGCAGATGTTGTTCATGCGTGCATGAACCTGATTGATGATGAGAATTTGGGGTGATGCAGATGATAGAGGAGCTCTTCATGGCGTTTCTGATGAGCATAGCATTCAGCTTGCCCGTCTACTACCTTTGCAAGCTGCAGGGCTCCTTTTTCATTGTGTGGCTGGTGTGGCTAGTGTCGCTTGCAGACGGCATAGGTGACTACTTCACATCCTTGCATGCCCATATATCCATTCCAGTGATCACTCTTTCTGGGCGCATGCGCATGCCATATACAATCTCCGACGGGCTCATTCCTGCACCACATATGCAATCTGCGGCACAGCCAATGTGTTCGGGAATGTAACAAAACTCTGTGACATGCCTGTGCAGCATTTGCGTATGCAACTGCGGCAGTGTCGCCCAACATGGACATTGCGAATGCCGTGCTGCTGACTTACCCCACCGCGCTGCTCTTTGCTGCCGGCTTCTTGCTGCGTTGGGTGGACATCCCCAGATACTGGATTTGGTGCGCCCCTCACATGCAACTTGATGCCATCTCCATCCTCGATATTCGTCACTAGTGTACTCTTTGCAAAGCAAGGGCTATGTTCAGGATGTGAATTCAAGATGCATGCACCTGCTGGCGTCCTGTTGATTCAATTTTGGTAAGCCTGCAATTCTTTTGTCGACATCCACATCCTGCCCTTGTCTTGTGGAGGAAGTGCAGGGCACCCTCCAAAATTTGATATGATTTCTTGCATCAGCGTGCCAAACAGCGCAAGGGTGTATGCGCAGGTTTGGGTACATCAACTGGATGTGGTATGGCTGGGGGGCAGCCATGATCAACCAGTACAAGGACAATGACTTGAAGATCTACAACAACGTTGGCGTCCTGGAGTACTACAGCCTCAACGGCATCTCTGAATGGGCCTTCCTGGCCTACTCCGCCCTGACATTTGTCTTCTTCTTCTTTGTTGCTTACCTGGTGAGCCCTCATCCCCTCCAGCTAGTGCTTGAGCTTATGAAGTGTCACCAAGCATGCTGTCCTTGCAGACCTTAACAAATGAGGGCAGGGGTACAGGGCTGCCCTGGTTGAATTACATAAGCTGCTGATCTGAGATGGGCTTGGAGAGGGGGATGCGATAATGAGAGAGGTGTGGTCTGTGCAGGCATTGGTATTCTTGAAGCACCAGAAGCGGTAGCGTCAATGTATGCTGGCCTCAACGGCACAAGGAATGTCGACCCTCACAACGCACTGCTGGTGACATAACTGCTGTTGTAACACTTTGGCATGTCAGCTGTCAGCAGCTGTACCAAAAGAATCTGTCATGATTTTTTTGTGGACTGACCAAAAGATCCAGGAGTGTTGCTGTGTGTACTTTGAATGCTGTACACTAGGGGTGCGCAGACGTGTCTTGCACATTTGAAGTTGTCTGATTAGATTTTATAAGACCATTTACGATATCTGTCAACGGACGTCCTTGAGATTGCAGCACATGTGAACCAAATCAAATGCGTGTCAAGGTGTCGTAAATTGTGAAGCTTTTACGCACTTTTTACTTCTGTTGACTCACTCTCTGATCAGTGAAGACTAGTTGATAGCGCGCTGTTTTTGAGCATGCTGACAGCATGTATGCTGTGCCGCATGTCTTGGCAAGCGGTTGATGCAGCTGCAGATCATGCAGGCAGTCCTTTGTGCCACCAGTAGTGCGCAAATGCAAAAATAGTCACTGCAATGCTATGCAAGGGCACATGTAATGCTTGTAAAATAAAGCTAGTCGGTACATGTACATGCACATGTGGCCAAATGTCAGCAGGGCCCTCTAATAGTGCAGGCATGACAATTGAACTTTTTTTGGATGGTGCATTCATCTGTCATGAGTGGATCTAAAGGCACATAAATGGCATTTTGGAAAGCTTTGATTTACTTCAGGCAAATGAAATTGCAAGTCCTTTACCTTGAGGATTGCTTATATCATGATCACTGGGCAGGAAGGCAGACGTTAACATTGTTTGACAAAGCCATTGGACTGTGCAGTCTGACATTTATGGAGTACATCGCTTCCTTAAGCCCAGCCACAAAGATGCTTTTCTGTGTAAACGTACAAGCCTTTTACAAGTGTAACAAGAAACCAGTCGCTAGAGGAAATTTTCCGATCCTAGGTCTTCCTCAGGTTGTCCAGGCGCGCTTGGAGGTCCTGGTCTATTCCATCGCCAGCTGGCGGCGGCGCGTGAGATCCTTCACCGGGGCCGCCACCCGCGCCAGCACCCATGGCCTCTGCCTGCGGTTCTGCTGCCTGTGCACTCGCCACCTGCACCCCACAACCACATCAGGCAAATTGCTAGACCGAGGCAGGCCAGCTGCGCACCCTGGCTTTATGAATTTAGTTGCCTTCAGGGATAGCAGGTCATCTGGTCTCTGGAGGCACCAGACACATGAGTTGCAAGACAATGTAGGCTTCAATGTGGCATGCATTCAGGCAGCTTGGGGGCAGCCACAAATCAGCTTGAGCTTGTATGTTATTGGGGGTCAGAGTGTGCCCATGGCCCTGTCAAATATAGATGTGTTTGGCATGCAGGCCTGCATGCTACCAGGGGATTGAATATGGAAAGGGAGATATGGTCGCACACCTGCACTTTCTGGCCAGGGGCGGCAACCATCTGCTCGTCGAGGTTGATGCCAATCTCATCCAGGACCTGGTTCACCAGGTTGTCTGTCTCCTCTTCCTCCTCATCTCCCTGGAAGTGACACAAACAAAACAATTCAGTATAATTCAGTGCAGAACAGCAGGACTCCATTGCCCAGCTGTGCAAGAGGGTAAACGCATCCATTGCATTTATGGCCCTCTGTGTCAGAGAATTCTGAACACATGATGAAAATTGGCAAAGAAGACATTTCTGCAGAGCACATATGCAGAACGGTCTCCCTGCCACCGCCCCTCAGACAGCCAGAGGTTTGTGACAAGAAAGGGCCACTCAGGGCGCTGCAACACTGGTTTCTGTGTTGCGGCACAGAGCCACTCGACATGTGCATGCAACTTGCAAACAAGCAGAAGAGGGCAGCACACCTCGAAGGCATCGTCCACAGCATCGCCCATCATCTCGCTGGTCATCTCCATCTTCTCGTTCTGGCGCTCAAAGTCGCGCATGATCTTGGTCAGGGCAGGCAGGTTCATCTGCTTGTTCATGGCGCCCATGGCCTTTGTGGCTCCGCGCATTGCATCCGCCATTGCCTGAGTGGACTTCAGCGTCTGCATGCCAACAGCAGTGCTTGCCCCTCAGCACCATCTCACTTGTATAACATTGCATGCATGAATCACACTCAACCATTGACTTGGTGTCGGTTGCAGCATGAATCACTTTCAAGCATTGACTTGGTGTCAGGTGCAGTACACAAGCCAAGACAGTAAAATGACATTCCAGCTCTGTGCCGGGAGCAAGAGAATGTCTTACCGCTATCCGCAGGGATACTGCCTGCAGCTGGGACTTGAGGCCGTACATTTTGGTCACGGCATGCCTATTGCGCACCAGAGACTTTGCCATCACTTTCACAGCATCCTGCAGAGAGCACACATGCTTCACCTTCCACGTGAATAGTAGACAGCTTGCGAATGCATGACATCAGCTTCAAGGGATTGCACATGCCGAAGGTGAAATTGCATACCATCTGGCCCTGTTTGGCGGTCTTTTTGATCTCTGCAACGAGCTTCTTTTCCTGTGTCTGCAGTCCCACCCTCTCCCTGTCAAGATCTCTGATGGCCTTGTCCAGCATGCGCTTGTTCTCACGCAGCAGCTCTGCATCAAGATATCACAGTCTTGTCAGCCAGGCTCAATTGACAGTGTAGAGAGCAGAGAGAGAGAATACTGCCACCTGTCCTGGCTGGACAGTGCTATGGAGGGAAGTTTCATATTGCTTCCGATACCTCAGCCCACATGAAATTTCCTAAACAAACCTTTGGAGCCAAAGTAACTCCTCCAAACATGAAGGCAAGGTCTAGCATCGGCTGAAGGCGTCAGCTTCCAGCAGGTGCTACGGTCAGCTTCCCATCACCTCTCTATTCGTGACTTCCTGATGTTTCGCGGATCTGAACAGCTTGGATGGCAATGACATGAATTCAAAAGATTGCAGAACAAGAAAGTAACGGTAGAGAGCGCTAGCGTATGTCTGACGAGGCAAAAGAGAGCATCACCTGCTGGGGTTTTCTTTTTGCCGAATAGCCAGCTCATCCTGGCTACTGTGCTGTGCCGAAATTAAGTGTTGGATGCTATACAGAAACAAGACAGGCACGTCTCAAAATTATCAAAGGAACGCTGAAGGTGCTCGATCTGTCGTGAATTTGCAAGCCTGTAACCACTCGCCAAAAATTGAGCAGTGTGGTAGATACAAATGACCCAGCTGACGTTCACAGACGATCTTGCTTTGTAAGATTTAGCATCAATTGAATTCCATTTCTTCTTGGAGAAACTGACAACGACAAAATCTGTCTCCGAAGGCGTTCCTGTTGGAGGGTTAGCTCTCTCAGATCCTACATGCTCGATTCAACAATTGAATGTGGAAGATCAGCCCGATCACTGGAAGGGAAAATCTGAGTAGAGTTTGGCAGTGGGTTGCTGCATTCATCGGAAGATAAAATCTTTTGAGCTTAAGGAGATCACTCCGTAAATGGGAAAGTAAACGGTGGGAAGGGCCTCATTGGAGGCAGCATGGGGCAGGTCTGCACACAATATTTAATGGTTCTTTTATCTACATCCTGAATTTGGTGCTTACTCAAATTGAGCGTGAATGAAGTCTGGAGTAATGGGTTGCTACAGAGCTTTTGAGCGACGAATTAATATTTTTTTTTTCACGAAACCCTGTACTTGCAACTGAAAATGTCGCATGTGCATCAGGCCTTGAGTTTTGGCCTGACACAGTACGATGTTGAGGAGTTGAAGGACTATTGTGACGGTCGATGTGAGCCTCTGAATTCACTTGCCAGTGAACCTACGTTTCCATAAATATCCAAGGAAAGAAGCACTCTTTGACCTAGATCAAGGGTCACATGTATAACATCTCAAGACATTGAGTGCTCTGCAGTTACACAGTCTGAGATCGAGGGCCTCTACAGGAGATTTCGAGCTTTGGATCGGGGCAGGAAGGTTCGTGAGTGCCATTCACCTGCACATGCATGCATGCATGAGGGATTATTTGAGAACGGACATTCTATGTCTCCTTGCCTGACCGTTTCAATGCACCAGGGTTTCATTTCTTCGGAGGAATTCTCCAGTATACCAGAGCTCAGTATCAATCCTCTCCATTCCCGGATGGGACAGATGTTCAATCACGTCAACTTCAAGGTATGATCGCTGCAATTATGATCTTTTGATACCTGCAACTATTGTCCTGTCTTGTCCTGGGTGTCTGAAGCAGGGGCCAACTGCCTGTGGGTGCGCAGGAGTTTGCCCTTGCACTCAAAGCCAGCAGCAAGCGGGCGAGCAGGGAAGATAAGCTTCGAGTGATCTTCTCCCTCTTTGATGTCGACAATGATGGCATCTTGTCCCCAGCAGACTTGGAGCTGATGATTCGCCAGCTCGCTGGCAGCTCCCTCTCGTGAGCACCATGGCCCCTCTCCTGTGATAAGCTGAGCATGGCCACAAACTTAATAAAAAGGAGATCTCATGGTCGGCATTACCTTGTCTAGCAGCTATAGAGGGCAGCTGATGTGGCATGCTTATTTTCGACGCCCCACCTTCTGCCTATCCTGTCAGCATGAAGCCATATGAAATAGTAAGTTGCTGGGCAACAGGAGAGGACATCCATGATGTCCTCTCCTATGTCCTGTAGTGCGCTGTTAAGCAGCATGCATTGTCTGCACAGGGAGGAGGATGTGAAACTTGTTATGGAGATGGCTCTGAAAGAGGCGAATGCCTCGGATGCGGGTCTCACCTTCGAAGATGTGGCAAAAGCACTGGAGGGCAGTGAGCTGAGAATGGAGGTGGAGATGCCTGTAGACTACTGAGAGAGAGCGACAGTGATTTAACTGTGACAGCCACTCGCGGGCCTGCAACAGTTGGGGTCAGGATATGCCTTTGAAGCTCATTACACTGGTGCCACCATCCTGCTCCCAGTTCAGGGCAGGAATATTCATTATGGGTCGCCATGGCTTACAGCTAGATTTACACGAACAACACCTGGAACAGTGGCCACATGGAGCTGGTGTCTGTTCTTAGCAGGTACCCTTAGGAGATGCTTCTATGTGATTGACTTAAGTTAGTGTTGACATCACCAGCCAGCTTTCACTTGTGTACAATAGAGAATCCTTGCAACTACTGCTGAAAGTTCTGGCGATGCGCAGTGCATCATGCTGACTCATACAGATCCGAGCTGTATGAGTCTGTATGGCTTTTGCACTGTGTTCGGCAATCCAATGAAAATGTTGTGATCAGTGACTGCCGTTTGCACGATATGGTAAGACAAGCCGGCCTGGTGAAACGAGATCTTTATGCAATGATCATGTTATTACTATTACACGCCTAATTATGCAAATGATTATCAATATTTTGCGGACTCGGTGCAGGCCTAGGCTGCTACATATGATGCTCATGGTATGTATTCACTGCAAATTCTTGACGGCAACATCGACGCTTCCCCTCTGAGGATGAGATAGCAAAACTTTGCATGCCAGAGCTATCCTTTCTCGCTCCTGACAGGCAGAGAGGTCCAGTGTGCGGCGTTGCCTCTCCAAAAGTCCGTTCAAACGAGGAAATTCAAGAATTATTTATTCATGTGAGTGCATCGTAGGGCATCGCACATTGACCCGAAGAGCTGGGCGGACGCTATGCCGTCCTGCATATCCATCGGTGCATATGAATGTCCTTTCGACAGTTATGGCAGATGTTTGGCGCCACTCAACGTGCGAACTAATGTGAGAACTGCATGCATGCAGACGAGAGTCGCGATGAAATTAACAGATAAGTTGATTGAGCTTGGTGAAGCTGCAGTCAATGACGTATAACCAGCGTTCAAGCAAAGACATCCACAATCCTTCATAGCTGAATAGTACAACAAGATAACAGCGGGCTACCTCTTTGCGAGTCCACATGCAGAGTGGGAATCAGGAGACCAACATTGCGAGGGCAGCACTGGATAAATTCAAAAGACTGGAGTCTCAGGTGGTTTATCAAACTTGAACGATGACATCACAACACTCCCATATAAATGGGTGCCGTGCACAATTGTGTTCAGTTCAAGCAAAGACAGAGGTGATGAGGATTTTAACGTCACAATAGATGCAGCAATCAGCCCAACACATTGACCCACCAAAAACAGTACACCCTGCGGTGGATGTTAACGTGGATGTCTGCTGAAAATTACAAGCACATCATGCGAAGCGACCAAACGTTGCTTTTTGGAACGATTTCTAAGTTGAGGATGTCACCAATCGGTGACGCCATCCAAACGTGGGGATCTTGTAGATAACTGCGTCACCATCTTGCTATATAGTGGAAGGCTAAGCTGGCCCTGTGCTCCTGCAGTGGGAGACATATGGCGCCAAGGCACCCCGCAGTGCACAGAAAACCAACACACTGCAGAAGAGCAGCACTCTGCTGGAGCAGGCGCAGCAGCGCTTTGCACCCACTCCACCTGTGCGTATCGGGGACTCATCCTTGCTTGTTGCTCTACCTGCCTTTGATTTTAGGGCCATCCTAAGCGCAACAGGAACTGGCCGTCCTGTTCAAAGCTTATAGTCACTGCAGAATGTCAGTCAAGACAGTATTTTGTGCGGAAGCAGGCAGCGCGAGGGCAGGCATGGAGCATACCAGCAGTGACAGGGGTGCAGCCACCAGGCGGGAGGGCAGGGAGGACTCCGGGGGCACAGCAGGGCTCGGATAGCACACAGAGGGGGGATGCTTTTGGGGCACGGCTGCAGCCGAGTGGGGCAGAGCTGGCCAGCAGCAGCAGAGGGAGCAGCCTGGAGCACGCCATGGTAGGGGAGGAGGGCGTGCTGTCAGAGGCCACCAACCTGTTGCTGGGACAGGTGGACACCACTCGCAGAAAATATGCGCATGAGGCTGAAGAGCTGCGGGTGGGGCCCCTTAGAACTCAAAATTGCCAGCAAATCACTCTGCAAGTTGAGCATTTTGCCTTGCGTTGCATGGTTACGTTGCACAAATGCCTTCAGAGAAAGAATGTCATGCTCTGGAGCATGGAGTGTTGCTCTAGACAGGTCTGATCGAGACCACAGAGTCAGACCTGCCAGCTGAGAGCTTGTGGATGTGGAAACTAGGCCGAGGTGGCGCGCTTGGCAAAGCAGCGAGAGGAGCTGGCAAGGGAGGTCAGGGCGGCCGAGCGGGAAGCTCTCTCTGCCAGGGACGGCCTCTCGACAGCACAGGCAGAGCTACGCGAAGCATCTGCCGAACTGGACCTGACCCGCAGCCGCCTGTCTGCGCTGCAAGAGTGCGCAATTGCACCGCTACCATGCCTTTCCTAAACACTTCTGTGCTGGCATGCTGTGATGTCCCAGCTCTGGGTGAGAGCAGCTTGCATAGTGGTGGAATACAGTTGGTTTGTTGGTGTCAAAGATGTGCAGATGTGAGATCTTCCCTGCCGCATACAGGGCCCATCGGCAGGACAAAGAACTGAGCGAGCGGGAGAAGGACGAACTGCGCGCTGCGCGAGAGCATGACCGCTTTGCTCGCGAGGAAGCCTTCCAGGTGATAACTGCCTCCAATACGACCCACCGGCAAAAGCAACCACCGCCATGCCTATAGGACTTGTGATAATGGCTGCTGCACTGGCTCCCGATTGTCCCTGTCCAGGCGCTACTGATCGTGGATGGTGACTCCAGATCAAGCACAAGAGTGTTGAAGTTTGGGACTTTGCGCCCCGGAGGACCCTCAAATGGTGTGGGTATTGCATCTGCCCATGTGTGTCAAGACGGAACATGGACAGTGACACTCAAGTTCGGTGTACTGATGTGCAGATCGAGCAGGACGCGGCGAGGGCGGCCATCGAGCGGGACCGGCGAGAGGCGGCGCGGGCGCGGGCCGAGTGGCACGAGAAGTCCCAGCATGCTGCGGCTGCGGAGGCACGCGCGGCAGCCAAGGAGGCCCAACTGCAGGAGCGGGAGGACGCACTGGAGGGCCAGGTTAGCCTCCCTCTGTCAGCACATCAGTCTCCCTCGATTTCAGTGTCAGGCAGTGGGATTGGGTGGAGGTCTCTAGGGCTTGCCTGACAGCAAAGCCAGATGCAGATGCAAAGGCTGCGGGGGAGGGTAGGTCAACACTATCAGTCAGCAGATGGATGAGGGTGATGGGCCAGATCTATCACTGGACGTTTCCTGGATACCGGTGCCAGGCATTGGAAGATTCTGAGGCTTGACCCAACTGCAAAGCTTGATACAGATAGAAGTCTTACGCTTCAGAAGGACCTCTTCAGGTCCTGTTTGGGTGTCCTCACGTTGCCGCTCAGCTTGCACAGTGGTCTGTGAAGGGTTTCCAAGGGCAGCAACATTATTTTCATGTCTATTTGTGTTAGGACTTAGTCAGGAGGTCAGGCAGATCACACATTTTCAGCCTAGTCAGGGCTGATGTACTGCATGACTCTCATTCCTGGAATCAGCGCCCATTATGGCAACCGAATACCCGGCAGTAAACATGCAAGACCAGTCAGATCATCCTGCTAGAAATGTGTGATGTTGAGGGGCTTTGGCGGTGACTTTGAGCAGGTGCGGGCGAAGGAGCGGGCGCTACGTGAGAGGGAGGCAGGGCTGCAGGCGGGCGAGGCAGCGGCGGCCAAGTACTGCGCGAAGGATTCAGCGCTGGAGCAGAGGGAGGCCGCCCTGGCCGAGCGCGAGGCAGCCATGGCGCGCGCCACCGCCGCTGCCGAATACGCCCGCAGCGAGGCCGAGACGCTCTGGCGCAGCCACAAGGTGTGCACCGACATGGGGACGCTATGATCTGCCCATTGCACTTGCAGTTCCTGTCGGCTGGGAGGTCAATCACTCTTTTTGGGAGTGACAGGGCAGCGTAAGTACCAAAAGCTAGCTGCACACGTCATGACCTCTTCGCAACTGGGCCATGGGTAGTGAAAGCTGTTTAGTACCCTTTCCTGCGATGTCAACGTCTTCAGAGAGTGTATTTTAGTGTAGTAATGCAAACAAAGTTCCCATGTGTGCACGGCAGGAGGAGGCGAAGCGGGTGGCTGAGCAGATGCGAGCGCTGGAAGAAACGCGCGCGCGGATGACTGCCGACCTGGGCGCGCGCGAGGCCGCGCTGACTCAGCGCGAGGACGCCGCACTGGCCGCTGCCCGCAAGCGCGAAGACGAACTGCGCCGCCGCAGCGCCCAGGACGAGCAGGTGCGCCCTCGGCTTGCATTCAAATTATAATCTCGGCCCATGCCGCAGGAGGGTTGTTTGAAAGCAAGGGCACGCAGCAGCTGTTGCAAAAGTGCTGTTGACGATGACTGGCTAAGCACTAAGCAGGCCTACCTTGCCTGTCATTACGGACATTTCCTATATTTTGTCGCTGATGTCTACTGCGTCCGTTGTGATTAAACAGATTCCAATCAGAGCGCTTGTGTCAAGCAGATATAGGCAAAGTCTTCTAGACGTCCCCATGAGGAGTCAGAAGCCAAGTGTCGATCCCTCCTGATCTATGCGGATATGTGTATCTGCAGGAGCGGTCGCGGGCGATGGCGGAGCTGCGGCGGGTGGAGGAGGTGTTGGGGGACACGCGGCGCCAGCTCAGCGCGGCGCAGGGCGAGGAGGAGGCCCTGCGCGCCAAAACAGGCCACCTGCGCCACGAGGCGGACATCGCCCAGGCCGCCTGCGACCGCGCGCGCGCCGCCGAGGCAGCCGCCGTGCAGGTGCGGTCCCGGGGCAGCCGCGTCCTCCTTCCCTGATGTGCATTGCTTCGCTATCGTTTTCAAAGCCCCAGGGTCCAGAGGAATACACAACATCATTCAGACCATGGCTGGGATGCTGTCAGGGATAGAGGGCCTCTGTTCTTGTTGCACTGCTGCCTGATAGCTGACTTGTACTGCTGAAATTAATGCCAGCTCACCTGCTATACTGCGCCTGTTCCTGAAGGGCCTTCTCCCCTCAATTTTCTACAGACGCAAGGTTACAGGTCACGTGCGCTAGAGGTCCATGTGGTTATACAATGCATCACAATAAACATCTGAGTGCGATGTGCGGCAGGGGGCAAAGGAGGCCAAGGCACAGGCGGAGGCGGCGGCAGCAGCGAGCGCGGCGGAGGTCGCTGGCGTGAAACAGCAGTACGACGCGGCGGCTGCTGACTTGGACCGCCTGGCCAAGGAGCGCGAGCGCGCATTGGAGGACTGGGACCAGGAGCGCCGCAGCATTGACGCCGACCGAGCCGCCCTCCTCGCCAGCATGGAGGCACGCTCCTGCGCTGTTTTGTGTGTCTTAAAGCTTTTCGCGTCCTTCTGAACGCGAGTTCTTTTGCCCTTTTGGTATGGGATGGGAAGCAGGGGCTGCCACGCTTGCACATGGATGTCCTGCAGAACAGGGCACCTGCCGGACGTGCAACAGACATGGAAGGGAAGGGTGACACACCCCTGTGATGTTCTGATCCACTCGCACTTGCGCCCAGTCTGCTGGACCACCATATTTCCCTATGACGTATGCAGGGCGCAATGGGTGTTGAAAAGTATTTGACTTATTCTGTTGACAGGCGGCGAAGGAGGCGGCTGCGGCGGAGGCGGCTGCGTTGCGGACGGAGGTTGACCGGGTGATGGCGCGGCATCAGGAGCGCGTGGCGCAGTGGGAGGCCGCCACCTCACACGACGAGGAACAGCTCAACCAGCGCCAAGCCGCCCTCGAGGCATGCAAGCCCATCTAGTTATACTAATAAATCTGCATGGCTGCAGTTGTGCATTTTCTGGCGCTTTTTCCCAAAGTGTGCCTTGCAACCAGCTTCAGATACCAAAATGAGGTCCCACGAGAGGCCCTCTAGCAACCCGGTTTGGCGGCGCCCAATTCTGTCATTACTGTATAATTGCATTCTATTCTGAATTTATCAGGAGAGTAAGCACAGAGTGTATCCTTGGCACGCAGGCGGAGGAGGTGCGGCAGAGGGAGAACAATGCGGAGGTGGCGGATCGGGACAGGCGCTCGGCGGAGCTTCGCGCGCAGCTGGAGAACGACGCGGCCATCCTCAGGCGCGCCCAGAAAGCCGTCGATGCCGAACGCGCCGCCCAAAAGGTGCGCAGGAGATGAGTCTAGTCCTTAGTGAAGTATGCACAACGGTACTGTCCTGTATATGATTCACAGAGCCTTACACTTTTCCTGGATGCACTGGTTAGTCATCCTGTGTGCCGCACGAAAACATTCAATGTCTATTGATGAGCAGCTCCTGATGTGATCACAGCCCAACAAGAAGCTTCCTCATGGTGTACATGCAAATTTTGTGCCGAAAGAGCGCATTTCTGCCAGTGAGGAGCTCGTGATGTCAACAAAGCTCAATAAGAAGCGTCCTCAGTGCGTTCATGTGAATTGTGTGGCAGGAGCGCGCGAAGGAGCTGGCGGCGCACGAGGAGCAGCTGGAGGAGTGGAAGAAGCGGTTCAAGGCGGAGGCGCTACGGCAGATAGGGGAGCGCGAGCGCGCACTGGCCGACTGGCAGGCGCAGCTCGACGCCAAGCGCGCCGACCTCGAAGACCTGAAGAAGAACATGGAGGCGCGGCCCCACTCCTCTCAGCAGCCACTAAAATTGCAGATTTGGAAGCATCGCACGATTCGACACCCAGAAAGCTTTATCTCTGAACGGACACATTAGAGCAATTTGAACCCGTTCTGACGTGGAGATATGCATTCTTATTGTACTCGTGGGCCGTCGAGGGCCTAAATTCGGGAAGGGCATCAAAGCTGCGAGGGCACAACAAGTGGCCACAAGCATGTTGCCTGCAAGGGCAGCACTGTCACCCATCTAAGGGACAACTTTTTGCTCATTACAGAGGGCGGTGCGCGAGCGCGAGGCGGCGTTGGCGGCGCGAGAGAGAGCGGCGGCCGAGGCCGGCCGGGCGGCGGAGGAGCGCTCGGCCGACCTGGCGGGGCGCGCAGCGCACGTGGAGGCGGCCGAGGCGGCGGCTGCCGGGCGCGCGCAGGCGCAGGCCGACCTGCAGGGCCAGCTGGACGCGCTCAAGCATGGCCTCGCGCAGCGCAGTGAGGACCTGGAAGCTGCTGAGTCCGAGGTGTGACGTCCTGGAAAAATGCCCTCAAAAGCTGGTTGTTGCTTTGTGCTGTCAAGCATTGAGTCGGAGCTTATATTATATGATCATCACTGCAGGCCAATTTCTCCACCTCGGGAATATTGTAGCATGCTCTGTGATATGACATGGTTCAATCCCGAATGATGCATAAAGTGGCCCAGTCGATGTGAAGCAGGTGAGCAATGCCTTTCTGCAATCCCCGAGAGTCTGGTCTTGACAGGGACCACCTTGGATGCTAGCAAAACTGTTGCATCCCTTCATGCCAGTGCTGCTCGCAGTAGGTGAGTGTCAAGCAGTTGTGAAACAATACAATCAATCTGTGTGCGCAGGTGCGGAGGGCTCGCAGAGAAACGGAACTTCTGAGGGAGGAGATCGAGGGCCGGGAGCAGAGGGCGGCCGCCAAAGAGGCGCGCTTTGCCGCTGCCGAAGCAGAGGCAGCTGAGGCCCACCACCGTGCAGCCAAGTGCGACCCATCCTGCAGACCATCTTGTCCTTGCACAAATAGATGGGGACTGCTTTTTGAGGACTAAATTTAATGCACATTTGCAATCCAGTGGACCCTTACTGAGGTGCCAGCTTGACCTGCAAGACATGAAAGCGTCTAGTGACAAAGGCAGGGAGGCAAAGACAGGCCTGGCTTGGTCAGGGCACTCAGTCACTTTTACAGCTGCCTAATGGCCCGATGTCTACCAGGAAATAGACTAGTAAGATTGCATTTCTGCATGGTATACTACAAGCATGTGATATGGTTTGGGATGTGCAGGCTCATTGGGGAGGCAGCAGAGAAGGTGGAGGCGGCTCGAGACCGCGACGCTGCCAGCCTGGCAAAGGAGAGGGAGGCCGATGCGCGCCTGTCCGCAGCTGCTGCAGCCGAGGAGCAGATTCGCACTGAGGCCGCAGCCGTCAAGGCCGCAGCCGACTCCGCCGAACAGGACGCAAAGAACGCCAATCGGGTACGAGACAGCGCTCTGCACCGTGTGCCTTTCAAACCAGCATGCACCAGGCCTGCCTGCACGCATCATCGCAGGAAACAATACACTCTCATGGCATGATCTCTGGTGAATAGACCAGGGGCTTCGTCTTTTCCTGTCACAACAAAATACGCAGAACCAGAGACCAAAGAGAGCAGGACGAGGACCAAAGCTCGAGACAGGATGACGCGGCCGCTAAGTTCAAGTGCAGATATGAAAGGATCTTTTTATTGTCTGTTAGGCGGCGGAGGCGGCAGCCGGCGCGCGCGCAGCGCTGGCTCGTCTCGAGGCGGCATTGAGCGTGCGCGAAGCAAAGCTCGCGGACGCGTGGAGGGTCCTCCGCACGCACGCAGGCCGCCTGCTCTCCGAAGACGCCGCATTACAGCTCCAAGTCTGACCCGCCTATTTCCCCGCTCCCTGTGTCCACTTTTCATCAAATTATGGCGTAATTAATGGCCAAGAATTGTGCATCTCACCCTCTTACTGCCTGCGGCCATTGCTGCGCCATGGCCACACGGGTGGAAGGGCAGTCACTGCAGCATCCTTTTGACTGCTATGTGACCCTGCTGGAATGGATATTGAGCAGTATTTATTAAAAGTCTTGTCCTGCCGCTTTTCAATAGACGTGTGATTCAGGGCCCAGAACAGCGATAGTCACATTCTACGTGACCTTGCTGCACTCTTAACAACTCTGTCCCGGCTGCTTCAAACCTGCCCCGGCTGCTGCAAATCACAGGAGGATGCAGCGGTGGCAGAGCGCACGGCGGGCATTTGGGGCCCGGACAATGCCGCCGGAAGCGCGCTGGACCCCCCGGAATGGTCGGGGTCCCCCGAGGAGGGACATCATGCGCTGGCGGCGCGGCGCGCGGTGGTGGCCGAGCGCGAGACGGCGCTGCAGCAGTGGGCGGTCGCTCTCGAGTGCGAGGCCGCGCGGCAGGCCTCCCAGCGGCGTTCCCTTCAGCTCCAGGCTGAGCAGGTGCATGCCGCTTAGTTACCACTCTTAAGACAGTGGCTAATCAGGACACTTACAAAATTCTCTTTCATCTGTGCTTAGAATGCACAAGAAATCATCAGTGGTTCCAGGAATGGAAGATGCTCGTAATGGAAAGATGTTTTGCCTGATGACAACCTTAATTCAACGGAGGTGTATCTCTGCAGGTCGCGCATCACACCGAGCTGTTGAAGGAGGTGGAGGCGGCGGAGGCAACGCTGCAGACAGATGCTGCTGAGCTGGCGGCACAGCGCGCCCAGCTGGCGGAGCAGCAGCAGGCCACAGCGTCTGAGGCTGCACAGCTGGCAGCCCAAAAGGATGAGCTGGTAGCCGAGCGCGCCGCACTTGAGGCCCGCAGCCGCACCGTGGCCAACGTTGAAGCCCAATCACAGGTCCGATGACATCATAAGTGGTGCAGATCACTCCTTCATATGCTGTAGCGAGCAACCAGCACCGCTTGACATTGTGGAGTTCTGTCAGGCAAGGAAGAGCAGCGGAGCTGCAAGGCACATTCCTGCTGTGTTCTGAGACAATGGCGTCGGTTTGCATGCATGTATACACCGGGGGCAGCACCGGTCCTAGCCGGCTCTTGAGAAAGGCGTGTGATGCTGGCTGCACCGGACTGAATGCATGTATGTGTACACCAGGAGCAGCACCGGCTATAGAGAACTCTTGACAAGTGAATACAATGCTGGGTGCACCGGTTTGCATGCATGTTTGACCATGGGGCAATGTTGATCAAGGCCAGCTCCTGACGGGGGTTTGCATGCATGTCTAGCCCTGAGGCACAGCTCCCGACGGGCACGTGTGATTGTGCATGCTTCAGGCGGCCAGCAGGGCGGCGTCGCAGGTGGCAGAGCAGCAGGCGGACCTGAGGGAGCGGGTGAGGCAGTTGCAGGAGGCTGAGCGCGCCCTGCACCAGTCACAGCGTGCCCTGGCCGAGCGCGAAGCTGAAATGGACATGGGCGAACGCCACCTCAATGTGCGTGCATGCCACAGCGCCCCAGCCCTTCCTTTATCACCCATTGCTCATTTCACTACTGCAGGGCACATGGACGGCTGGACCACTCGCTGGTATTTACATTGCACGCCGCCCTTTCTTCCTTTTTGGTGCTCGCTCTGCCTTGTGTGTTTTGCGTGCTGTCAGGCTAACAATGAGATGGAGGGCATGGTTGCCTGCTTGGCAGTTGCTGTGACTGGTGCTCTTGAGCTCTAAATTTCACATTGTCCCTTGTGACATCGTCATGCCAAGAGAGAAGGATGGTGGATGGCAACACACTGAGTGCAAATTTCACTTGCAGGAGCGTGAGGCTGATCTCGAGAGAGTGGCGGCCGAAGCGCTGGCGGCCAGTGAGGCGGCTGAAGCACAGCACTCCGCCGAGGAGCAGCGGCTGAGCACTGAGCGGGAGCAGCTCGAAGCACGATCTGCGCTGGTGATCGGCGCTCCTTATGCCTTACCTTCATTCATAATGCCAATCTTTTGTCTCACTGTGAATTCCACCAAGCGTTTGCACGCAGCCGATGCTTGCGTGGGCTCCTTCCTCTTGGAGTGAAGGCCGCCCATGGCCATCGGTACAGTAAATGAGACAGCAATAATGATCCAATACACGTGCCGTTCTCATCATAGTATCCCAAAAGCCCCTCACAGGCCGGTTCCAGTACCAAGAGAGAGGGATGCTGGCGCAGGTTGAAGAGGCGCTCCAAGGTATTGAGGAGCGCAACAGGGCGCTGGATGAGAGGGCGGCCGAGCTGCAGCAGGAGGCCGCCCGGCAGAAGACCGCTCGCGAAGAGCTTGATACAGGTAGTCTTGCATGCCCCTACAGAATCCACTCCCTTGCTGGCTCTTGTACCCAATCTCTCCGGCAGCAGGAACGGCACGCATGCTATGAGAACTCCTCATCAACTTTTCATGATAGAAATCGCGCTCGATGTGCACCAGATGTCAACATTCAGGAATTGGTCATAGCACACAGCACACACTGGAGGCCATGCCAGTTTCGAATCGCAATTGCTGAAGGAATTGCAACGCACCAGATATGCGATTGGGGATCTGGGGTGGGCATAGATTGCGGCCCTGACTGTGTCGACTGAGAAAAGGTTGTCTTTGCAGCTACGCGGAAGCTGGCGGACCTCGGCGGGCGAGAATCGGCGCAGGCCGCGTACGAGGCCCGGCTGGCCGAGCGCGCATCGCAGCTGGAGCGGGAGCGCGCGCAGCTGGGGGCCGCGCAGGCCGCGCTCAAGCAGGAGCAGGAACGCCTGCAGACCGCCATCAAGGTCAATTTATGTTTCACCCTTGTTTCTTTACCCCCGTAGCAGATCTGGGCTGCTGCCACAAGCTCCTGTTGGGGCCCGACTCTCTCCGGTTTGGTACAGGGGGATGGCAGTATCCGTCACTGTGCTCCTGGCCCTCATGACTCTTGGATTGTTGTTGATGTAGACTACCTTGACAAATCATTACATGAGGGCCGAGCTTTGCGTGTCATAATAAGATCACCTTGAAGTTGGGAGAATTGCATGTGATCAGGCAGCTGAGGAGCGGCTGGAGGCAGATGAGGCGGCGATGGCCGAGCGTGAGCGCGCCACATCGGCAGCGGAGGCGCGCGCACAGGCGCTGCTTAGCCAGGCGACTGCCGATGCCGACCGGCAGCAGCAGGAGCTCGCCACCAAACAGGAATCGCTCAGCAGACAGCTGGCTGTGTTCAAGTGAGCCCCCTGCTGTCCGTTGCTTCGCATATACCATGTTGTGATGCATGAGAACATTGTAGATTGATGTGTGGAGAAACGTTTGGACTCCTTGTTTCAAAAGGACTGTTGCGACCAGGGAGGAGAGGGCGGTGGCTACGAAGGCGCTGGAACTCCGAGAAGGCAAACTGGATGCTCAGCTGGATGCGCTGGCGCAGCGCAGTGAGAAGCTTGCGGAGCAGGAGGCTCTCCTAGCCGCAGACAAGCTCTCGCTGCAGGCAAGCAACTCTGCCCTCACTGCTGCTACCTGCACTAAAATATCATACACGGTGCCCAGACACATGCAAGATTCTGCAAGCTTTGTCAAGCAGTTGGCAAATTTTGTGAGCTCGGAAAGGATTTCCCAACTGTTGCACCAGGCCGAGCAGCGGAAGGCAGAGGCGGCTCAGGAGGCAGCGGCCCGGGCGGCGACGGCGGCCGCAGACGCAGCCGCAGCGGCGGCTGAAAAGCAGGCGCACGCGGATGAGGAGATCAGAGAGGCGCGCGCGTCAGAGGAGCGCGGCCGAGCATGGCTGCAGCGCAAGGAGGCCGAGCTGGCCGTCCGGGCCGAGGCGGCCGCGCGCGCCGACGAGGATGCCGGCGGCCGGGCCCGGGCTGCCGCTGCGGCCGCTGCCGAGCGCGATGCGGAGCTTGCCCGGCGCGCCGAGGAGCTGCAAGCCCAGGGCCGAGTGCTGGTGTGAACCCTGCTCTTGTGCGCTTGCCTGATGTGTCGACTTGCACGATCGCCATAGCACTGCCCTCCTTCTTAGAAGGCTCTTCTTTAGGAGGAGAGAAATCTGCAATTGGTGGTCAAGAGAGGCATATTATTCGTGATGAATCAGAACAGGGACCTGTCAGAGATTGATTTAGTACAAGTGCATGCCATATGCCCGTGGCAAAGCTGCAGCAGGAGGCAGTTTGACAGGTTGTGCATGCTGTGTCATCAGGCGCAGGAGAAGGACACTCTTGAAAAGCTGCGCACACAGCTGGAAGCTGAGCAGGCTGGGGCTGAAAAGCAGCGGGCCGAACTGAAGGCGGCTGCACAAAAGGTGGCTACATCCCTGCACTTGCAGATAACGACTTTGCCGTTTATTTGATTGCACATTGCCCTGACAAGTGCTGCGCGGAATGTCTAGTCAATCCCCTGTGGTCTCTGCAGCATGAGGCTCAAAGAGAGGCTCTTGAGAAGCGGCTGGCAGACTTCCAGGCCAGCGAGGCTTTGCTCAAGAGCAATATGCGCACCTTTGAGGAGCAGAGACGACGTGCTGATGCTCAGGCAGACGCTCAAGCACAGGTGTGCCTCGGACAAATTTGTGTCCAACAATGCGGTGCTGAATACCAAAGCATGCGCACTGATAGGCATGCATCGAGTTGGGCAGATATCAGCTGAGTTGCTTTGCGTTTCTGTCCCCAGGAGCTTGAGAGGAGAGAAAGCAAGGTGAAGGCCAAGGAGGCAGAGCTGTCGGCGCTGGAGCAGACCACAGAGTCCAAGCTGAAGATGGCCCAGCAAAAGGTATGTCCCCTTTGCATGCTCCCCGCCTGCCTCAGCTCATCACTGAGAGAGCAGTGATGACTGTACCATCTGTTGTAGCGCTGACTCCTTGGCCTGCATTCCAACATGTCCCTCCAAATCAGCTCTCCAAGCCCGTACGCACACTTAAGAAACCCACTCCTTTGTCACAGGCTCTGGAGGAGGCGCAGGCGAGGCTGGCTGAGCTGGACTCCAGGCACCAGCAGCTGCTCAAGGCTGAGAAGGCAGCAGAGGAACGGCTCAACGCCGTCACCCGCGACGCCGATGCCACGGTGACTAACCATCCCTGGCTACCACTCACACCTGTACACACACTTGCACTGCATTCAATAAAACCTGGAAGATCCCCCTTCGTGCACAGGCTTTTGGAGCTTTTGGATTGCAGCTGTCCCTTGAACGTGCTTGATAATTGCAGTATGCAACGTCCTTTTGCACCATTAAGTGGAAATTGAGTGGGATTGAGTGGTTTTTTTATGTGTGTGTACACCGGCTTGGAGAGCTGAGCTGGAAGGACGTGTGGGGGCGCAGGCAAAGGAGCAGCTGAGGCAGGCGCAAGAAGAGGCGGACGCGCATTGGCGGAAGGCGGCGGCGGCGGCCGGCGCGCTAGACGCGCGCGCGGCGGCGCTGGCCGACCGGGAGGCGGCCACCGCCGAGCAGCGCGCCGCACTTGCCACCCGGCAGCAGGCCATGCAGAAACGGGAGGTGTGACAATCTTCTGCAGTCCCTCCATGCATCCTTCATTCTCATCGCAAGATATCCCTGTTGCTTGCACATTGACCTTGCACATTGAATTGGGACATAAGCACCAAGCCCAGCATCATGCTTTGTGGGAAGATCCAAAACTGTGAAGGCATCTTTATGGGCCCGGTTGGAGCACAATGTGGGTGCGCTTTGGTGCTCATCCCACAAGGACATGGTAAATTGAAGACACTGAGGGGTGATTGCGGCGATTTGCTTGTGCAGGAGGGCATTGCCAGCGCAGAGCAGGAGTTAGCACAGGCGCGCGGGCAGCTGGCTGAGGAGCAGGCAGAGGCGGCTGCAAAGGTGTCGGCGCTGGAGGAAGGGTCCGAGCGGCTGAAGACGGAGGCGCGGAAGCTGCAGGAAGCCAAGCGCAGCTGGTCGGAAGGCGAGCAGGAACGCCGCGGAGCAGCCGCCCTCCTCGAAGAGGCCCGGACCGAGGCAGCCCGCATCAAGGTGCGCTCTCAATCCTAGTTTTATTTCCATATTTGTGATGGTGGAACGGTCTAGCAAAGCATCCAGCTTTATAACCGCCTGGCATGGATGTCATGCAGCCCTGGACATGATGCAAGCTCCTCGCTTTAAAGTCTTGTTCTGAGGCACCTAAGCCATCTAGGAAAGGATCCAGCTGCACAGTCATTTGGCATCATTGTCCTACTGCCCTGTAGAGAATGACATGTTCTTTAATGCCCCACAACGGCAACAATATAATAGTGCTCTTGTTGTGACAGGCGAAGGCCAAGGTGTTGGCGGAGGAGGAGAGGGCGCTGGCGGATCTGCGCACGCAGCTCACAGAGCGCGAGCGCAAATGGCACGAGACCGCCGCCGAGCACGCCAGCACTGTCGCCACTGCCCAGGTGCCCACCCAAATCCACACCCACCGCAACTCTGTACAAGAGAGAGTGTGCCTGTCGACTTCTGCTTTGGTTAATTTCTTGTCCGCAGACCCGCAATACGGGCGTCGATGGGTTGATATTGCGCAGGTTGGGTGAAAAGTGGACATCAACTCGAAGAGCATGGTCATGAAGTCTTTTAGACACATCATCCTCAGGTTCAGACAATACATTGACGATGTTGAGGCCTAATAATAATGAGAATAGTGGTGTTGACATGGAGCCGTTCGGCGCGCAGGTGCGGTCGGAGGCGGTGGCGGCGGCGCAGGAGCGGCTGGAGGCGACCAAGGCGGCGCTCGAGCGGCGGCGCGAGGAGCTGCGCGGCCTCGAACGCGACGTCCGCGACGCCGCCCGCGCAGCCGACGCCGCCGGCAAGGCAGCCGCCGCTCGCGATGCCGACCTGCGCCGCCAAGAGGTGCGTGTTTCTGGCTCGCATGTGTGCATTTCATGTGTCGCAATGCAGTGTGCTTAGGATCCGGAAAAGGAGGACGCACTGCGTGTGATGAAGCCACTAAAATGATTTGATGCTCAGACACCTTTAAGAACATGTCCGGCATCCGCTTTGCCAGGGAAAGTGGCGAGGTTGGTTACATATTGAGCAGAGAAACACGGTATGTGGGGTGTGTTGCAGGAGGCTCAGGCGGAGAGGGAGGCTGGACTGGAGCGTCAGAAGGCTGCGCTGGAGCAGGAAGCCCAGCGACTGGCCTCCCACCGCGAGCAAATTGCGCAGCAGAGCGCGCAGGTGGGAACAAATATACAATACCTCTATTTCCATATTATTTGCGACTTTGTTTTGGACAGCCTTTGCAAGCAGAGCTGTTTTTGCCTTCAGCTCGATCATTCTGGTCCTGACCGCCCACATTGGCCCAATGGTTGCGGACATGGACGATCAAATGCGCTTGCAGTAACAGTGGATATATCTTGGGTGCAGGCAAGGGAGCAGGAGCAGGAGGTGGCGGCCAGCGAGGCGGCGGTGGCGCTGCAGTCGGCCGAGGTCAAGGCGCAGCAGAAGGCGCTGGAGGAGAAGCAGCGCGAACTGGAGCAGCTGCAGGCCAACCTCTGGGCCAAGGTGCGGCCCTGAGCCATTTACTGCACAGCAGACTTTGCTCGAGACTTATTGTCAGGAGGACAGTGAGAATAATCATCTTGCAAGGCAGATCAGATGCTTTGTTCAACATGCCTGCACCTGATGTGGATCGTGTACATATATGATCGACTTGCCAGAGATCTTGACTTTTGACTGTGGAAGGGATGAAGGGCATGCACGGTTTGGGTGAAGCTTATCGATTAGGATACACTCGGCGCAGGTGGAGGGCGCGGCCGAGGAGGTGAGGGAGCGCGAGGTGGCGGCTGCCAAGAAGGAGGCAGAAGTTGCGGCCGCGCTGGAGGAGGTGTCGCAGCGTGAGACCGCCGCGCAGGCAGCCGCCGCGCAGCTTGCGCGCCTCGACAAGCAGCTCGGCGCCCGCAAGCTGGAAGCCCGCGAGCTGCAGGTCACACAACTTTTCTCTTCCGCTTCTTTCTTATTGCTTGTTGTTTCCTGTCAATACATGTCATCAGACGGGATTGGCTACCTTTTTGTCCGTAAGCTAGTTTATCTCAGAATGGGAATACCACCAGCGAGATCTGGAGGGTCCCCCCGCTGAGATAATTGTCTGCGCAACAAGGAAGAGGGCCAGAGAGCAAGATGACAAAATCGCAGTGGGTAGCGTCATTGGCTGTTGTAGTCAGGGCAGTAGGGGCGTCATGTGATTAGAGACGCATGTCTCTGCAGGAGGTATACGATCAGCTGGTGGCGCGAGAGAAGGCGGTGCGAGCGGCGGAGGCCGGCCTGGCCGACGCGGAGGCCGAGGGACTGGCGCGGCTGCGGCAGCGCGAGGACGAGATTGAGGCGTCCCTTCGCTCACGCGAGACCCGCCTCTCCCGCCAGGTCCGCAGGGAGACTGTTTCCAACACCATGGCCTTGAAAGATATTCATGTGTGTGCAGTGATATTTTCTGGTCATTTGAGACTCTTGCCAGTAATCACTGCAAAACAAACTGCCTTGACCACCAAAATCCATCTTGTGACATCATCGAGCCCTCTCAGCGCGCTGGTGATGGCCTTCCTAGGAAGGAAGCAATGCGGAAGTGGCCGCTCCAAGGGCGTGAGCTGAGCTGCCTGGCTCAAGAATATCATTGAGTGAAAGGTCGGTTTGTGTGCGCAGGAGGAGGCGGTAGGGGAGAGGGAGCGGAGCCTGAGGATGCAGGAGGACGACGTGGGCACCACAGAGCGGCGGGCGGCCAGCCTCCTCGCCGACGCCGAAACCCAGGCGAACCGCATCGTGCGCTACTCTGCCCTTTTCCCTCACTGACCTAAAACTCCTTCCCAAGTATGCGTGTGTGACATTGTCAGCTGCTGCATGCTGTCGATGAGGTATGCCTGCGTCGCATCCAGCTCAGCACGACAGACGGGACCTGAATTTTGTGATCTGCCTTTATCCTGGCCACGTGCCCCTGTCTCAGGGAGAAGACATCTGCGGTGTTGACGTTGCTGTGCGGTGTGTGCACAGCTGGCGAACGCGCGCACGGAGCAGGAGCGGCTGGAGGCGGAGGCGCGGCGGGCCCGGGACAGCGCTCACAACCAGCAGCTGCACCTCATGCGCCAGACCATGTCCGCCATCAAGGTGCCAACCCTTGACCCGTGTCCCATCACAAGACCGCATGCATCAGCAATGACCCATGCGTCTCTTGATCCTTCCCTGACATGTGCATGCATCCTGCAATAGTCCATCCTTTGATACCCCGTGCGTCAGCAATCTGATGGATTGGTGGAGAAAATGGAAGAGTGTGCTGGGAAGAAGGTACATGCCAGCTCTTGTTGGGCCTGTCTGACACACATAGGTGTGGTGATGCAGAGCCCAGCAAATGGCGTGCGGGACAGCGATGACGGCTTCGGCTCGATGATTGGCGACGACAGCCGCCGCACGTCGCCGGCGGCCGAGTCGGCGCAGCAACCCCAGCCGACGGCGTTCTCTCCACAGCTCTCCTCGCCCTTTTCGCCGCAGCCGCCGCCGCCCATCCCGGCGTCGTCGCCGCTGTTGGAGTCGCCCGTTCTGCGGCCCGGCCGCGCGCCCTTCGCCGCCCAGACACCCACGCTCGGCACCGGTGCGAGCAGGCTACCCTTTCCTTTGCGCATTGCTCAGATTTTGTTGCCTCGAATTATTTGCACAAGTGCCTATTTGCACCTTTCTTTGCCTTCAAAGACGTCTTGGCATCTGGAAGGTCTCCGTGTGACTGCTTGCACACGAGAATGATGGTGATTCTCCTTTTTGGGAAATTTTGCGGTACTTACTTCACACAATGCCACGGCTGCTGGCAGTTGTCAGAGAGGTATCGGCATGCACAGGGAGGTACGACAGGCGCAGCACGGCAACACCAAACCAGATCTTCTGGACGCCGGGCCTCGCAGCACAGATGACGCCCACGCTGAGAGAGGACGGCGGCGATGCCCCAAGCGGCAGGGGCCTTGATGGCTTTGCCGGCGCATCGGCCGCCGAGTCGCAGCACCATGCGCTCAGCAGCCTGCTGGGCACCCTGCAGGCAGCCACCCAGAAGGGCTCAAACAGGTCGCTGCGCAACCTTTGCCTGCTCTGTATTGCCTCCTTTAAATGTAAAATTGTGACATCAATGTTACAAAGCTGGCCCTTCACGGCTACGATGCGCTTGTAGAAAGCCCCACAGGACGTGTGTTGGTACCCCTGGCTCTCCTCTTTGAGCTGTGGCTGGCAGGCGGGAATGTCCTTGACATTTACTCTCAATATGTATGACTCATAAAGTGCCCTTATCACACCCCCCTGGCAATCTGCAGGATTGCGCGCATCGAGGGCATCCTACGAGTGATCGAGGCGGACGCGGCAGAGCCGGAGCGCGTGAAACGGGCCGAGGCGTCCGTTGCGCGGCTGCGGGCACAGCTGGCAGAGCTGCAGGCCGGCGAGGGGGCCCTAGTAGAGCAGGTGAGCACTTTTTTGAATTTCATGAAAGAAAGCAAAAGATAGACAAAAAATATTTTATTACTAAACCCCGAGTGTCGCTGGCGAGAATTGAACGCATGCTTCTTCGAGAGAGGGAATCGGGCCCATTCACCGCTCTTCCCACCTCGGCCTGTTGTTGTTGGTGTATTGTGTTTTCTGACAAATATATGTACACCTGAGCCGATTCAGCAAGCTCAGAACTCTCCTCCAAACCCCGTTCAAAAGAGGCTTTTCGTACTCATCAAAGTGCTAGACCCGCATGAAAAGGAAAGTCACCAGCAATGATGCTAAAAGAAAGAGAGAATTTTGGGTCGTCCGGTAGCATCAAAGCGGCGCCCTTTAGAGAATTGCCTTCCTAGGTAGGCCAGGTGCACTTTTATGGCAGGAATTTGATTGTCATTGGCAGCAGAATGACTGTCACGAAGTGTGCCAAGTATCGAAGCACATGCACCCGAGAAAGAAACCTTGTGGCAGGTGGCGGGCGTGCGCGAGCGGCGGTCGGCGGCTGCGGAGGTGCGGGCGCTGCTGGATGAGCACCAGCGGCAGCTGGCGCGCTGGGAGGGCCGCGTCGCGCGCCAGCTCGAGAAGATCGTGGCGCTGCAGCGCGGCGGCCGCACGCCCACCTCAGCAGCCACCCCGGCATCCGCCGTGCCGTTCCGCGCCGCTTCAGGTAACACTGATCGAGGGGCTTCCACCTCAGCAAAAGAAGAAATGAATAGCAAAGGCACATAAATGCCGAGCTTCAGGGTAGTCCACCGACGTTTTGTTTCAGGCCCCTGTTACTTGCGGTGCATCATTGTATTCTGCCGCAGGACCATAACTGCTGACCGAAAGGGTGAGTGGGTCTGCAGCTGGTCTGTGTCTCTGATCTATCTATTGGTGGCCTTGCTCTCTTGCTGAGGTGACCTTTTGATGCCAACTCGGTTCAGCAAACTTATATCCGGCTGGGAGCAGCAGAAGACTTCTCCCATGTTGCATGGCGTGAAGGAACTTCATTTTAAGCACTGAAGGTGACTTTGGCCGTGTGCAGAGTCGAGCGAGGACTACCCACCGCGACAGCCGCTCATGACAGAAGCACGGCAATCCATGGCAGACTTCACAACGCCATCCACTGGGCCCCGGCTCAGAAATGGCATGCGATGAGCCTGCCCTTGACCCTGGTCTTGGTCCTCACGTGAGCATCCAGATGGATATGCACCCGCGCTTTTGCACCAGCAGGACCACTGACCATGACTTTTTGGACATCACTTGACGTTGAATTTCTGCACAACTAATGTTGCACCAAAAATTCGGCAAATAATTAGGAGAATTTGTACCAAGCACTGGTTGCTAATGACAATAAAGCCAAGCATTGCTGACCGTATTGCGAATGCAGTCTAGTATCCAACAGAGTTGGCCTTTTCAAAACTGCATCGTGAGATCAAATGCCGAAAGGACCCTTGCGACATCAGCAGTGCGTATGATTGTGATGCTGTTGCTGGGCATTAGGACCGCTATGCCTGATTGATATGCAGAGCTGGCTGGGTATCAATCTTCAATAAAATGTAAGACCGTGCTTATATATATATAGTAAGCTATATAGTAAGCGTGTTGAAAGCTTATCAGAAGTTCAATGTATTGTTGCAGCAAGAGTGATGGTAATATGCAAATGCCCAAGCAGGAAAGTGCTAGTGTCTATGGCGCTCCAGCTGACGAATCACTGTGAGGCCGAAAACCTTTACACAAGCCTTGGTATTGTCCGAATCGAAACCTCTGGGAGATCTTGAGACAATCCAACCACACAAAGAAGACAGTTGACCCAAGAAAAGTACTGCTAGATGCTGGAACAGCAGTTCTGCTACTGGGGCTTAGAAAAGAATCCCATGACCAAGCACAAGCCTTGCCACACACACTCAGTACTGGATTGATGCATCCATTTTGCAGCACAGGCAAGGATATACACAAAGTCCCTTCACAGTATTTCTTTGGTCAGTGAAACCTTTAGGAATGAAGGCTTGGGGCAGAGATGTGTTCACAAAAAATTGGCGCGCCTCTTGACATCATCAACCCTGGGTAGCTACCAGTTTGAGCTCAATAGTCCAAAACACAATCAGAAGACTGGCATGTCTGCTGTATGTCCAACAGGAGTAGGTGTTTCGCGCAAATGAGCTCATCTCCGCCCCAGAGAATTGACCTGACAGCAGCATTGTTCTGACAGCACAGTAGAACTCTGACATCTGCCGGCTGCTGCATGAATGTATGGATACTCTGTACAATACAGGAATAGAAAGCCACAAATGCAGCTCGTCATCCTTGTCCAACTTTACTATTCAACACGATGTCCAGACCTGGCACTCCTCAAAAACACGCACACCTGCAAAAGAGCTGCAACGCCTTATCCTGCAACCATTTGAGAAAAATCCCCCACGACATTCACAGTCCCCCCGCCCTGGCCGGGGGGTACCAGACCCCCCCCCCCCCAAAAAGGGTCCCCCCCACCCCTCACTTGAGCAGGGTGGTCTCCACAATGAGGCGGGTGACGACGTAGGGGTCCAGGTTGGAGGAGGGGCGGCGGTCCTCGTAGTAGCCGCTCTTCTCCACCGGCACCGAGCGGCCCACGCGGATCGACGCGCCGCGGTTCGCAACTCCCCAGCTGCGCACGCGCACAAGTAGACAATGATCACTCTCCCTTCTTGTGGGGGAAATGGGCGTCTTGCTTACTCAAGGCCCCACATTCGCATTGAGGGAAGTGAGGATGATCAGTTGCTTTGGCGGCTGCAGCAGCTACGATTGGCGGCACAGAGCAAGGTATGCAATACTGCCTGAGCGCACGCTCATCTTCAGCAAATGCATAAAACGTATGTGCAGGGTAAATTTCCACTCTTTATTTTGCATGGTTGCTATTGGGCTTGATGGCACTGGGTGCTTGGGGCAGCATAGGAGTGGCACAGGGCCCAGTAGATGTGGTCCCTTCTAGACATCAAGGCAGGCTTGCAGAATGAGGTACGGTTGCCTGTGATTGGCACTGTATGTGTGATCGCGGCGGGCTTGGGCGCACCTGAAGTCGTGCATGGAGGAGGTCTCGTGCTTGCCGGTCAGGCGCCGCTCGTTGCCCTCTCCGTAGCTGGCAATGTGCACCGCATGGCGCTTCTCCAGCTTCGCGATCTGCTTCTGGATCTCCTCCCACCTGCGCAGCACCACGCTGTTCCTCACTGCCTGCTCCCACCTTCCCTCCTGCCCATAGCTGGAAGCTCTTTTTGTGTAGGGCCTTGCAACAACTAATTCCACAAGGAGTACACAGACCCAGGACAACTCATGGCTAGGGAAAATTGCACACCAGACAAACGAGAGGTTGAAGCTCAGCAACCACTGCCAGAAAGTCGAGCCCACGCCAACAACAGAATGCCAGCCTGTGTTGTCTTTGAACAAGTGTCTCGCTCAGGAAGAAAACAATCAACCTACTGTATACAGATCACCAAACTGCACCAGACCATCGGTAGAAGTTGTGAAAGAACGGAAGGGATGCAAGGGCAAGTCTGACAGTCGTGTCCTTTTAAAACACCAAGAAGTAATGGTCAAGAAGGGGTGCTGACCCGCCGGGGGCGGCGCGGGTGCCCTTGGTGGAGAAGTTGGTGTGGCCTCCGGCGCCGTTCCAGTCGCCGGGGATGGGCTTGGGGTCAAAGGTGACCTCGATGTTGTACAGCTCCGCCAGGCGCAGCAGAAGGTAGCGAGCCATCCACAGCTCGTCGCCCATGTCAATGCCCACGCACGGGCCCACCTGCCACGACCAATCAGAGCTCAAATCAATGACTTCTCAACCAGCAGGTCAATCAGCATGTCTGCGCAAGCTGATCAGAACTCTGTCCAGGCCCGCATGGAATGCTAGGAGCGGCGTGTAAGATCAATCTACTCAGCAAGACGGACCCTCAAAGCGGGAAGCATGCCAGAAGATCATGACCGCGCAGATCGCTGCTGGACGAATTCGCTCTGCAGTAACCCAAAATTGCACAGGTTCGCGATGAGCACATCACAGGGTCCGCATTAGCCCTATAGCATCAGAATCCTACCTTGAGCAGGGGTCCTTGCCCTGAGCCTGCCCCCTGCTAAAGGCATGACTGTATGTGTGGGTGATTTGCTGCTTGAAGGCGGGCGCAAGGAAGGGAGCTGACCTGGAATTCCCACTGCGCGGGCATGACCTCGGCGTTGACGCCGGAGATCTTGACGCCGGCGTACATGCATGCCTTGAGGTGCGCCTCCACGATGTCGCGCGCGATGGCCGCCCCCGCGCCGGCCGAGCAGTAGTAGGGGCCCTGGGGGCCTGGGAAGCCGCACTCCGGCCAGCCCAGCGGCCACTTGGTCGTCGCGTTCAGCAGCGTGTACTCCTGCACCGCACCAGCACATCTCCTGAAACATCTGCCCCACTGACACCTGCTGGTCAGTGGTACGCACCTGACCGGCATATCACTGACCTGCATGAGCGCAGCAATTTGCAGAAGAGCAATGGTGAGTACATCCTGTGAAGCTGCAAGCCCAGGCAGGCGTCGTGAGAGGTGTCTAAGATCCAGGGTGTGTGATGTTCAGCCCGGGGAGATCCTGTTCTGACCATGATCAGGCAATCCTGCTAGCGGGTCAGAACACCTGCCAAGAAAAGGAGTGTCACTAGCAGATATGGACATATAGCCTTGCACTTATGTGTCACTGGCTGCCCTTCTTCTGCGCAGCATAGTGCCGAATGGCAATGGTGAGTATTTCATGTGAAGCTGCAAGGCCAGGCACATAGGCGTCGTGGGAGGTGTCTATGAACCAAGGAGCGTGAGATTCACCCCGTGGTTGATTGCTTGCAGAGGGTGCTGTGTAAGAATAGCCAAATATGCTGATTTGCAAAGTTGAGCAGGACCGCTTGCCAGCAGCAAGGTGAACAGAAGAAGGAATTTCTCCTTCTCCTACTTCCCTTGCCAGTAGATCACCTGCTCAATGCCGAACCAGGGTTCCTCGGCCTCGGCCTTCTTCATGACCTCCGCGCATGCCAAGCGGGTGTTTGTGGGAATGGCCTTCATGTCGATGTGCTTTCCATCGATGTCCCTCGGTGGCTCGTACGCATCGGCCATGACAATAATGTTGTCCCCGCCGCGGAAGGGGTCCTGCACACGCCAAATCCGTTGGATACCAAGCATGCACCCTGGAACAATGGCTCAAGCACTTGCTTTCGCACTTCTTCGCACAAGAACAGAGCCTCCGTCGCAATACAATTAGAGAGCGGAGAGAACAAGAATGCCAGGTTATCAGGGGAGTACCTTGAAAATTCTCCGAGGCACGAGGAAAACCTCCGAATCGTCCCCTGCATGCAGAAGAGCCAAGATAAGTATGTATCGATACCAGCTGCATCATTTATAAATCTCTCGGAGAAGAGAAGTCTCAAGCCCTAGACTTATCTGACTGAAGTACGTTGCTCCGCTGACGAATGTCAGCCGATAGAACCACCCCCAAAGTGATGGCCACTTCAAGTGGCCTCTAGGCACTACTATATAATCCGTACAAGATTGCGCTACCTTATCTTTGCTATCACGTGGATCCCCTCATCCCTAATTCCCAACGCTGAAAACAAGTGAACACGGACAGTGCAGCCAGGTGGCCAGAGAGGCGAAATGCAGCAGCAGACAAAGGTATCAAAGTATTGACTGGTGCAAATGGACAATTGGCGGGTTGAGGAGTTGGTACCGGGTGCCTGCCCAGTTGAGGATCCGTCGTAGTTCCACACAGGCAAATCCTCTGGAGACTTAGGAATCTTGTCCAGGCATCTTGTCTTGGAACGTAAGTCAGATCCCGAGCCTCCAATCCACACGTATTCGACAGCTATTTTCCCATTCTGGGGAAGAGCTAGGAAGCGAGGCAGAAGTGAAGTGTCCAACAGAGAAGAGATGGTCCCGGTGGTCCCGAACACGACTGGGGCTGTCATTGTAACACGATTGAGGTATACGCAAAGCAGATGCACCCAGAACTGTGAAGTCTAAGTCTCTGTGCTCCAAGAGATTTTCCTGTTCACAGATGGTGTTGCAGTCTTGTCTAGGGCGGCGATCCTGACTTTAGGGCAGCCCAGTTCGGGCAGACTGCCGTACAAGAGAAGGGGAAACCCCCTGAACGTCGATGAGATCTTGTGCGAGGAGACTAACATGACGTCATCTTCAAGGTACGTGAAGATGGTATGTGAATGGAGGAAACCACAATTGAGTTCATACACAGCTGGGAGATATGAGAATTAAATCAGCATTGCAAATTGGCCAATTGGATGCACCGTGCACCCTGATATCATTGCAAGTCATGTGACATTACTTGCAAGTCAATTGAACAGGCTGTTGAAGTACTGTAAACATTTGCTGCCAGTGATTCTGATTGGCTGAAGCCATGGCGTGAAGTAACAGTACTATATTTACACGCCGTACAAAGCCTACTCTGTTTGACAAACGTAGCCGCTACGCTGCGGCAGCAGCATATTTGTTTGCAAATGGTCCATGCATGGCTGGGGACTGTCAACAGGGTCAGCAAGAAGAAAAGCCTAGAAAGTTGCATTTAAGTCAACACCACAGCAGCCCCCGCCATGTCACAGGCAGGACCTCCCTGCGCATTCTTTGGCGATGAGCGGGCCACTAGTCTCAGTCAAGCCACAGCCCTCACAGCACTGCACTTTGCAGCCAGACCAAAACAGCGAAGCACTTCTTTTTGCCGGCTCCACCTGCTGCTGGCAGGCAGCGCAGCTCAGCGCGCGGTGCGGCTGCCAGCAGGGCACAGGGGAGGCCTAGCTGTAGAGGTCATCGTCGTCATCAGCAGCGCCGTTTGCAAAAGCCGGGGCTGCGGCGGCCGCAGCGGCCTCGCCGGCGGGGGTTGTGGCGCCGGCTGGCCTGTCCGGGAAGCGGAACTCCGAGCCGAAGCCGCGCGACTGCTGCAACGTCTGCGCAAACGCCTGAACGCACCACCAACCAAACATCGCGTCAGCAACCCGCAGACACCACCCCTTCATCACCTCGATACGACAGTTTTCGACACTTTTCAACACTGGTTTTCTTTTCCCAGGGCCCTGACCAAACGCTCTCCCCTGCATGTGGTGCTGCACAGATCCAAGAACAGGGTTGCCACAGGGAATGCACACGATCCACAAAGAAACATGGAACATCAAGCTGCAGGTACAGATGTTCTCAACCTGACATGACAGAAGGCACAACAATATCGGCCCACCTGGTACTTGCGGATGTCGGCGTCGGAGACGGAGCGGCGCGCGTACTTCATGGCCTCCTCGAAGTGAGCGCGCGTGATGGAGGGCACCGGGTCGGGCGCATCCTCCTCCATGCTGTCCGGGTTCTCCGCCTTCACCCGCTCCCGCTCAATGTCCTTCTCAATGTTCTCACGGATCGCATACCTGCGCACACGTCACAGCTGTCAGTACTCACTCACCTCATACAAATGCTCACGCTCAGTCTCTCAGCCTTCACAAGTTGCACCCATGGAACAGGCACCTGAGCGAGCCAACTTGAGAGGATGCATTGGCTGAGCACTTGCCATCCTTGTCCCTTCCTCGTGACGAGCAGCACATTGGCCTACACCTTGTATTCCCTCCCATTGGCAGATTCTCACATGAGAGAATGCTCCTGACGCCAAGGAAGATACCAATGCACCAACCATCACAAAGTACGGCACGGGGGCAAGCCCGATGGTCGAGTAATGAGAGGAGGCTGCGCGCACTTGCAGGCGCGCTGGCAGATCTCGGTGATGTCGGCGCCGGAGAATCCGTTAGTGTACTTGACAAGCAGGTCCACGTCGACGTCGCCCGCGACTGGGGACTTGCGGAGGACGGCCTTGAAGATCTGGCGGCGCGACCCCTCGTCCGGCAGCGGGATGTAGATCAGCTGGTCCAGCCGCCCCGGCCGCAGCAGCGCGCTGTCAATGATGTCCGGCCTGCGCGCATTATTGCGCACAGGTCAGCCTCTCCCTTGCACTCCGGGTCTAGAGCAGTGCTGCTGACAGAGGCACTCAAAAAACAGCCAGGGGCCACAATAAGAAAAAGACCCAACGAGACACACCAACACCCACCCCAGAATGACGCAAGAAGGCGGTTAAAGGCATACTGCCAGTAACATGGCTGCCAGCATGCAGTAGGGTGCATCATGAACCTGCTGCCCCACCAATGCAAATGCACATCAGAGCTGGTTACTCTGAACAGAGGGTGAGAGGACAAGGGGAGGCAAAGAAATGCACCTGTTGGTGGCGCCGATGATGAAGACAGTCTTCTTGGAGTTCATGCCGTCCATCTCGGTCAGCAGCTGGTTCAGCACACGGTCGGCCGCGCCGCCGGCGTCGCCCGAGGACGAGCCGCGCTGGTTGGCGATACTGTCCAGCTCATCGAAGAACAGCACGCACGGCGCGCTCTGCCTCGCCTTGTCAAAAATCTCGCGCACGTTCGCCTCCGACTCACCTGTTCGGCAGAGGTGAATCGGTCATTCACATTGCGCTGCTCAGCTGCTAGACATCAGGGAGCATGGCTTTATCATGGCTAATTTTCCACCTCACTTCTAGTTTAAGCATGGCTGCGGTATGTCAAACATCCTCAAGGGCAAGGGCATGGGCATTTTGTGTTCCATGGGAATGCCAGAGAGAGAAAGCGGACTGACCAAACCACATGGTGAGCAGCTCGGGCCCCTTGACACTGATGAAGTTGGCCTGGCACTCGTTGGCGATGGCCTTTGCCAGTAGCGTTTTTCCACAGCCTGCACCAAACACCAAAACATCCTTGTCAGCGCACAAATCATTATTATGTGGTACTTAAGTGACTGTGCAGCAGCACACCTTCCGTTTCACTGGTCATCACAAATGCAGAAAGTTTACCCTTCCTCGATTTGTTTTGACATGCTGCACTGAACTCTCAGAAGGAATGAGGGCCTGAGGGGGGCACCTGGGGGTCCGTAGAAGAGCACGCCCTTGGAGGGCGACATGCCAAACTTCTCGAATTTCTCCGGGTGCTCCACGGGGTATTGCACCACCTCCTGCAGCTCGCGTTTGACGTTCTCCAGGCCGCCAATGTCCTCCCAGTTCACGTTGGGCACCTCCACCACCGTCTCGCGCAGCGCCGACGGGTTGCTGCAGATTTCACACACACCGCACTCAGCACATGAAAACTTCACTTGCATCCCACTTCTGAGTTTTTAGCAGCCTGAAGAGCATGCGTGCCACAGGGTGCAGGCATCCTGCAAGACCCTGCCACGCCTCTTGACAGTGTGAAGCTCTGAGCTTTGTATGACAATCTGAAAACACTGTGCAGGTACCCTACAAGGTCTTGCAACAGCTCCCCCAAGCCCAGAGTCAGAGCTTCCGGCAACATGAAGAGCATGCACGCCATGGCATGCATGCACACTCTAAACCCTGCCACATGCTTCTGACATTTCCACAGGGGAGTATTGAGCGATGAAGAAGTTGGGAGGGCGCGGCACCTGATGCCGAGGGCGGTCTTGAAATTGTCGTTGGAGACGGCCATGGCATTGAGGATCTCGGCGTCGATGTTCTCATCCTCCAGGTCGATCACGTCCATCTTCTCGCGAATGCACTGCAGCGCTGCCTCCGTGCACAGTGCCGCCAGATCAGCGCCCACGTACCCGTGCGTGTCCTGCGAAAAACACAGCGCTCAACTTTGTTTGTAGCAATTTTCAATGATGCTTGCATGCAAGTGGGAGACAGGCAAGGTGCGCTCTGCTCTCCTCTGCTGGTGACGGGGTAGAGACATGCTCACCAGAGCACCACAAAGCTCCTGACAACCTGACAACATGGCCAGAACGGCAAAGATAGCTTTGCAGCACTTGTGCACTTCGGTGACATGCAGGTCGAGTTGAGACATACGGTGCTTGCAGGTTGGCAGTCTGCAGGGTCCCTGTCTTATACAGCAGATAGCCATGAGAGGGCAGCGTGCTTGGAGGCAGGTGATAAGCAGCGTGGCATACCTTGGCGATGGCCTCTAGGTCGACGTTGTCATCCAGCTTCATGTTTTTGGTGTGGATGCGTACCACCTCCAGCCGGCCAGTCTCGTCCGGCACGCCGATGTCGATCTCGCGGTCAAACCGCCCAAAACGCCGCAGCGCCGCGTCAATGCTGCATTGCACACCACAGCATCAGCAACTTCCACGTCTCATGGACTGATAAGCATACGCCATGCGCATGTCATGCAGCAGTATCAACTTACTGCCACGAGCACAAAGTAGTTGATGATAGATAATTACAGCACAACCAATCATAGCCGCCATTACACCCATTGCTGGGTGTGTTCTGGTGGACGGGTGTGCTCTTGTTGCTGCCCAAACATCCGTCAAGGCAAGCTGTGTGTGCTGCCCAAACACCCACATTGACACGCAAAAGTCAACATAAATGAGAATGTAGAAGCAGAAGCACCTGTTGGGTCGGTTGGTGGCGCCCATGACGATGACGTGCGCGCGCGACTTGAGCCCGTCCATGAGGGTCAGCAGCTGCGACACAATGCGCCGCTCCACCTCTCCCTGCAGCCCCACATACATGCCTGCTCAGCACCTGCGCGCATGCACTCTGCCAGCACCACAAGGAACACCCCCATGCCAGCATTAACATGCAAGACGAAATTGCCTTCATCGTTTCTCTGGGGATGAGCCCGCAATCTTTTGAATGTAACCACTGCAAGGGCTGTGCGGAGCATTACTATCTCCCTGAGACCTCCACAAGTACGCTCATTTGGCAATGTTCACTTTCATCGTTGATGTGTTATGAAATCACACAACCATGCCAACAGCGACTTGTGTCCACCTCAGTGAGGTGCTCCAAAGGGTGCGGTGCGGAAGATCATGCATTACATATGTTATAAAATACCAGAAAGGCAGTCACCTGCGTCTTCTCGCGCTTGGGCGCGATGGAGTCGATCTCATCAATGAAGATGATGGAGGGCGCGTTCTTCTCGGCCTCCTCAAAGGCCTTGCGCAGGTTGCTCTCCGACTCGCCGGCCAGCTTGCTCATGATCTCTGGGCCGTTGATCAGGAAGAAGAATGCGCCCGTCTCATTCGCCACCGCCCGCGCTATCAACGTCTTGCCTGCTCGCCACAACCAAGACCATGTCACACTGGTATCCTTTGAAGATTTGACTGATGACAGTACCAGCCCCTGTCACAACATGTTACTTTGTCAACGTCTTGCCTGCTCGCCACAACCAGGACCATGTCACACTGGTATTTTTTGAAGATTTGACTGATGACAGTACCAGCCCCTGTCACAACATGTTACTTTGTCAACGTCTTGCCTGCTCGCCGCAACCAAGACAATGTCACATAATCTCAGATGTAAAACTTGCATTCTTCATTTGGCCACAGCATAGCATTAGGCCACAGCATGGCAGGATGCCATTCTCAGTCCCAGAGGAAGAATGATCTACAGATCCCCCCAGCCGTAAAGCCACACAAAGCCACATGGGTGTGTTCAATTCCTCATCAAAGCGACATGGTGCAGACCAAGGGAGAAGGGACGAGGAGGCAGGTGTCAGAAAGGGTACCTGAGCCGGGGGGCCCGTAGAGCAGGATTCCCTTGGGAGGCTTGACGCCGATGGTCTTGAAGAGCTGCGGGTGGCGCAGTGGCAGCTCCACCAGCTCGCGGATCTGCGCCATCTGCTTCCGCACACCTCCCACGTCGTCATATCTGCACCCAGCACACCCCTTCAGTTGACTTTCATCGTACTCCTCTTCAGCCTATGGCGCTCCTCTACAGCATAAAGAACTTGCTCTCGCGTGGGGACTGCTAAATCAATGGTCCAAGTGCCCACAAGCAATTAGCACACGCAGCGTACATCCATCCACAACCATTGAAAGGACGTCCTCTTCACAGTGGCCGCCAGGGCCTGCTAGGAGAAAGATTTCTCCACAAGCAGGAGAGGTCATGGCATGCACTACAAGGCAGTACATAACAATCGCGCATGGCGTGGGCCTTCAAGAGAGAATGGGGTCGCACCCGACTTCGTCAAGCTTCTCCTCGTCCTCGCGGCGGATGGGCTCGCCCTCGCAGTAGATCTCGGTGTCGGGGGCGACGATGCAGTAGGGCTCCGGCTCCGTCTCCACCACCTTGAACTCCACGCTGCGCATGCCTCCGCGTACAAGGAACACGTCGTCCTGCGCGCAGCCGCCACACAGCACACACTCAGAGAGACGAGCTCCTGCGAATGATGATGCCTCTTTGCAACTTGGGCAACGGCCTCCATAGAATGCTGACAGCCCAACTGATCCAAATCAGCACCATAGGAGCAGCATCGATCCAGCAATTCAACCAGGGATAGGATGTCTGCATTCAGGGCACGCCATTGATCCTAGTGTGGCAGCAGCACTGGAACCGCATGACTCGACATGGTATTCGGTTATGTGGAGAGAAGCAGTACGGTCAGGGCGGCCCACCTTCCTGACAGGTCGGTAGGCTTCCAGGAAGTAGGGCTTCAGGAAGGCGTCAAACAGGTTGCCGGTCAGGCCCTCGATGGTGTCGTCGATGGGCAGCACATGGATGCGCTTGCCATACTTCACGTCCGCACACTGCACCGCAGCAGCTATTCAGTAAAGTTTCGTTGGAAGAAAGCATGACTGTGGCGCTATTATTTAACTAAAGTTAGCAATTGCTGAAGTGGATAGATATGCAAAAGTAGTCGTCCTCCTGCAATTAAAGGAACTTTGAAGAGTATTGGTTTGAGAAGGATCGAGAAGTTCACCTGGTGCACTGACACAATGTCTCCCAACCGCACACGCAGATTCTTGCGCACAGTCTTGTTCATGCGGATTTTGGACTCTTCCACTGTGTCATCCGCCAAGACGATGCACACAGTGTCCTTACGCTTCTTGCCCTGCAACACAGAGATCCAGAGAGCAAATTTAGCGTCATAACCAGGCAGAGTGCTGTATAGTGATGTAGCCAGCACACTCGTAGTACTTCTAGCTGGTCGTCCTGATGAGGTGCTATTCGAGACAGCAACAGGAAGCTGTTTGTGAGTGATGATCCAACCAAACGCCTGCACAAGTAGAGCCATAAATGCACATGCAAGCAGAACTGATTCGAGCAGACCTTGAGGAGCACGGTGTCGCCTCTAAAAAGTTGCAAGGTCTCCATTGTCTTCAAGTGCAACGCCACAACTGAGTTGTCGTCGTTGATAGCATCATCCACAATCAGACGATTAGGAGACTTCTTCCTCTCCAGGATAGCTGTGCTAAAATCCTTTTTCTCCTTCGGGATGCTGCATAACACGACAACAACAACCTTATTAACTCTTCTGATGAGACTTTTCACTATGGTTTGGCAATTCAAGGCGGACAACCCAGAAGAGAGACGAGGGTGATGCAGGTGGGATGGTGACAAAGATAGGACTGAGCAAGGTTTTGTGAGTGTTTGCAACTTACTCGTCAACAGGGACGCTCGATGGTCCGGCCTCTGCCATAATTCTCTGCGTTCTCTAATTCCACCCAAACTCGCTTCTGAAGCTCGCTGCGATCCGACGCACGTATGAACTTCCCAGGTTTCCTTGGATAGTTGCTACCTCGCAGCACCTCTGTCTAATTGCTGCAACAATTTACCGCGCTTGCCTCTCCGAGGCACCAGCAGGGCGTCTTGGCTTCAGGGTATTACATCATGACCGCGTAACCCATTATGTAACCCTATTGTGGAGTGTTCCAGAAGGCCCAGTTTCCAGGAGTGAATTCCTTGGGTAGAGGAGTAAATAGCACTTCCTGGGAGGCCTGTGCATTCTGTGAATGGCACACGTAGGAGGGCGCGTCGGGCATCATGATCATTGAGGATCAATGTGAAACGCCCGCCAGCTGGCGCCGGTCCCCAGTGGGCCATGGGGCCGGTAAGTTGTACTAAGTAGTACTCAATAGCCTTGGACCAACAAAAGGTTCATTGTTTTATGATGTCGAGGATTTTCCGCATTGGCGGCCACCGCTTTGCCAATAAGCTGTGCTCATGCTAGAAACTGTCACAGGTGTCACACGGTGTCATTTCTGTATCAATTCCACTTACAGATACGGTGCACCGGCACTGCTAGTGGCATGCATGCAACAAGAAAGACGCTAAGCTCCTCAAACTTTCACAAAAGCTACCAGCCCAGCCAGGGCTTGTTTTCGTCGTCTTCCTTCTTCTTGAAAAGCTTGGCCAGAAGGTTGTCATACCTGCGGTCAATATCACTTGCATCAGTAGCTTGATCAAATGCACGGACAAGCAGTCTCTTTTGTGGGATCCCACTGATAGTAAGGGGCACGGCAGTGAGAGAGTTGATCGCACTTGGAGAGCAGTTTGTCCAGATCCTGCCCTCTGACAGCGCTGAGATCCGGATCGCTGCGCACTGCCGCAAAATCTGACAGCCCCGCCTCAAAGGCACCCTCCAAGCACGCCAGCGCGCTGTCTCTTTGCCTCAATGCTGCGTAGGCGCACGCCATGTTGTACAGAGCTGCCTGCTCCTCTCCTTCGCTGGGACACCTGTCACAGCTTGCCATTGTTCAGATAGGCCCTTTAAGTCAATGCTTCATTGCCCTTGGTGTGGCAATTGTACATGTTACTGTTGACAGCGGTGGAGCTGCGCTCTCATTACCTGTACTCGCGCACAGTGCCTGCAAACCGCATGAACCCATTCCCTGGCAGCTCCAGCGCAGCTTGGAACAGCTCAATTGCCTCACGCGGCCGCCCTGCATTAAGCTCCTCAATGCCTCTATTGATTGCCTCTGATGAAGACCGAGGCCTGTGACACATGTAGTTCTAATTAACTTCATGCATGCGCACTTCTCTCTGCTGGACTGCTGCAGATGTTGATTGGGGCTCACCTGTCTGCCTCTGAGGGACTCTCTGTGGGTGCAGCGCTGCCAGATACAATTTGATCATCTCCTTCCGCTGCAACCTGCCTTTCCAGGCCTTTAGGCTGGCTTTCCGCAGCAGGCGAGCTTCTGCAGAATACAAGGCATTCAGGAGTGCTGTTTGCCATCTGTGGGACAGGCTGCAAAATGTTGCTCTCCAGTTACAGCTGGCAAGTAAACCGGTGCGAAGTATGTTGCCCGCATACCTATCTGTCACCGCCGCCGCTTGGGCTGCCAGGCAGCTCAATTGCGTTACTCTCCAGCATCGAGGAGATTGCCTGCACGGGAATGCAGACGGAGGTCTCACTCATTTGCAGCAGAAGTGTGACACTGGAATTTTGGTGCTTTTCGGTGATCTGGATCCAATGCATGGACGTATCTCACCTTTTCAATGAAGATGTATTCAGTTTATTAGTTGTGTAGCAGCGGATCGCTTCTGCTTGTGAGGAGCAGAAACCTTGCCGAAGCATCATCTCAAGTAAGGGCTGTATGGGATCAGGGACACTGCTTTGCTCTTCAATTTCACAATTATTAATCTTGTTCTTCACGCAACAAATGTTTTCGAAACGGTGGAGTCTTCTATTGGGCCTTATCCTGGATCATCCTTTGGCATTTGGAGGTTACTAAGAGTGCTGTAGTACTGAGCAGGGACGTCCAGCCCGTTGCTAGATCTGCAGCTGTGCTCAATTAAGTGTACACTGATCGACCGCTACGACTCGTATGAACTGAACCAAGCGTTATATCAAGCATTCATTGGTGCTGGCGCACAGCAGCCACAAAACATTCGTGATCAGCAGTGCAAGCACCAGCAAAAGGTTGTGTTTGGTTATAAGTACTTCGAAGACAATTTGTTGTCTTTCAAATAGGCCATCCATGGCCAGCATCATGCATTAGTCTCGTTGAATTAATTCTAAAAAGTAGCCAGCAACCTGGGGATTGCTTGTAAGTGACTGCTTTTTTTTGTCGGCAACCAACGCGTATTTTATAAAAAAGGCCATAAAAATGGCCAGCACTCTGCTGGAACAAACAAGAGGTAAGTAGTGTTCTTTCACGATCTGCAATAGCCACCAAGCTAATGTCCTTTCTCTGTATTGCTTTGAACTCACCTTAGAAGAGCATATGTTGCACGATCTAGATGCTGTGCTGCTGTGTACATGAATCACAGTGCTGTCCATTCCTTCGCAGCTGCGCACGAGGAGTGCGAGCGTCTGCAGCGCCAGATCGTCAGAGACTTCAAGAGCGATGTCAAGGGGCACAGGGAGAAGCTTGCACAGGGGCACAGAGTCAGGAAGATGCTCAATGAGCTCCAGGCGCAGTCACAGAAGCTGGTGCGTGGCCTATGCCGACCAAATTTTGATAAAGGAGTTTACTTTACTGCATGCAATTGGTCGGCATCTTCCAGCGCACATCAAAGGGGGAGCCCTGCATATCCATCCCGGTGCAGCTCACCATTGTGAAAGGACCTAGGATGACAATGGCACACTTTTGACCTACAGGTGAGGATCTACGAGGATGAGTCTGGAGCCCGCAAGGAGGAGATTGCAGCACTTAGAGGAGAAGACAACACAGGTTTCAGGTGATTCTCTCACCTGAATTCTTCTGTAGCATATGTCAATTGTCACCATGCAGCTCTCCGCACTTTGCTCTTCAAGGTAAAGATCCCGAAAGCACTGAGAGGGTGTTCCTGTCTGCAGGGCGTTCTACGAGCGGTTGAACGAAGTGCGGGTCTACCATCTGCGGTATCCGGACCTTGAGGTCGTAGAGGTGAGACATGACACAAGCTAATTCTCTTTTTCCTTTCGAGGCACAAGGGGAGGGACTGTGCACCTGCTCTCAACATGTAGCTCTTCAGAAGGCGCAAAGGCACTAAATGGCAACTGAGCAATCGTGCGGTAGAGATCTGCCTTGTGTAGAAAGCTTTGCCAGGAGAGGGTGTCACTGTGCAGGCTGTACCAGAAGAAGAGGCACTGAAGGAGCAGGTGGAGGTGCCATTCAGTGGGGAGGAGGTTGGAGGGCGCTGCATGGACATGCACACGCACTACCATGCCTTTGTCAACTCCAAATTTGGCAGGCAGTGCGACTATGTGGAGTACCTGGTCACCTTTGGGGCCGTGGACGAGATCTCCCGGCAGCACCGTCTCAGCAAACCTTACAGGTGCGCTGCTGCTTGGCGTTATATGTCATGGCAGCTGTGCTGGAGTACTGGACTTTGACTGACACAGTAGGTGCTCGCTGAAACAGCATGTGCTGTGTTTTTCAGACCTTGGTGCTCTATCATCTGCTTTTGACAAATGGGACCTTGCTATCAGAATGTCAAGAAACCGAGCATGACTGCTGTGCTTTGCGCAGTCCTTTGAATGGCACTGAGCTTGTTGGATGCCGGGGCCTTGGCCTCCTGATGCATCCGTCTCAGGTTTCAGCGGCAAAAGGGGAGTCCTTTCAGGCCACAGAAGGCACAGAGAGTGACGGTGTACTTTTCGTTGCTTTGTAAGAATGTGATGCTGGGGGCAGGGAGTATCTGGAGGGCTTGCTGCGCTATCTGGAGTCCTTCCACGAGCGCACACAGCCGCTGGGCTCACTGGAGAAGGTGTACGCCAAGCTGGCGGACTTTGAGGTGCTGTGGGAGGCCGGCCAGGTGCCCGGCTGGGCAGACCGCGGGCAGGGCACCGCCGGAGAGGACGCCGCTTCTGTCATCGACGTGGCCGCCTTCGCCTCCGTCGAGGAGCTGGAGACCCTGGGTGCGGCACCTGTTGCTTGCTCCCTCATTGTGCTTGCTATTGCTGCCTCATGCAGCGCTGAGCAGGCGTGGACACAAGGGTTGCTCTTGGCAGGCCTGTCACCTCACCGTGAGTTTGCTCACGAAACAATTTTACTTGTTGTCACTCTACTCTGCACAGGCAGAAGTGTTCCGGGGATCCCATCCATTTGACATCAGCGAAGGGGAAATCTAAAGATCCGTGCTGGCGACGGTCTCTGAAGTATGATTTCATTGCCGTGATGTCAAGTTTTCTGCACTTCCAAGCACCTGCTCAGCAGGGCGCACGTGTGAAGGATTGTGAACACAGCCGCCTGGGGATCCTGAGTCTCTCATATCCGCAGTGTCCTACTGGGCATCTGAGCGTCATCTAGGGCAGTGCCTGAATAAGCAAACGCGCGCATGCGCAGGCCCGGAGCGGCTGAAGGAGGCGCTGGCGGCGCTGGGGATGAAGAGCGGAGGAACGCTGCGGCAGCGCGCGGAGCGCCTGTTCCTGACTCGCGACACGCCCCTCGCGCAGCTGGACCGCAAGCACTTTGCCAAGGGCGCCGCACCCGCCGCCGTGCGCAGTGCCGATGAGAACGCGCGCATCTCCGCCACCGCCCACGACACCGCCCTGCTCGAGGCGAAGGTGGGGGCGGCACATATGTCTGCTCAATGCTGCATCGTTTCAATTGAAATGTTTGATATTGTTTGTGTAAAAAGTGAAGGAGAAACAAAGCCTTGCACTACTCTTACTGTCTGCTGCCCCTTGCTCACTGTCCTGACAGGAAGTTCTGTGCGAATTTGTCCCACTGCCTTTCCTGGGAATGCATCTCAATGTCATTGATTCTGTCATCTGGAAGGAAGGCTGCAATATGAGGATGAGGGCTATAAGCATGTTCTGAGGATGTGAATCAACATGGGAAGCAGACTGCTTGTCCTCAACACACTGGCCTGTATGTGAGTGCAGGTGAAGCTGTGGGCGGAGGTGTTAGCAAGCGTGATTGAGGACACAAAGGGATATGTGGAGAAGAAGCAGGCATCGACCTATGAGGAGATCGTGGCAGAGCAGGAACAGAAGGCTGAGGAGGTGGGCACCAGTCCTGCTGTACCATGCAGACAGATCTGCATTAGTCCTCCGTCATAAATGCTGCTGGCTATGATGAGCGACTCCACAATGAGTTTCACAGAAGGATCTTGGTCACATCAGACCTCAAGAGCTTGTACTTGCTAACGCGTATGGGGCGCATTGAGTGGTTCAATACTGATGTTGCCAGCGCAGTGCAGATGGGAGAAGGTATGGAAGGGAATATCTGTGTCTGCACAGGATGCGGCAGCTGAGGACAGCGATGAGGAGGATGACTTTGTGTACAACCCCCTGAAGCTACCCCTGGGCTGGGACGGCAAGCCCATCCCCTACTGGCTCTACAAGCTCCACGGCCTCAACCAGGTGCGGCTCTCCCACACACTGATTTACTTTCGCTTGTGGCCCTGCATGAATGTCACGCAGACACAATGCTCCTATAAAACTGAGGAGGGGCAGCACCAACATTATGACTACCATTCATGCCCATCATGACTACCATTAACGCCCATCCTTTTCATGGACAGTACAGCAGGAGTGCGAAGCACAAGGCAAAGAAGTCCTCTTGCCCCCATTGTATTGTCGTCAGCAATGTACCAGCAAGTCACCAGAAGGTCAAACAGGCACCATTGGGTCTTTCATGCGCAGCAGTGTGCTGACGGCTGTGGTGGTGTGGTACTATGACAGGAGTTCACGTGCGAGATCTGCGGCGGGATGAGCTACTGGGGTCGGCGCGCGTTTGAGCGGCACTTCAAGGAGTGGCGCCACCAGAACGGCATGCGTGCGCTGGGCATCCCCAACACCAAGACCTTCTTTGAGGTCACGCAGATGAAGGACGCCCTCGAGCTCTGGACCTCCATCAAGGTGGCCCTACAGCCACTGCCCTCTTCACATTCAGCGATTACTGCATGGTTCTTTCTCTCGTCTGCATATTTGCGGTGCTCCGCCCATCTGACAGGGAGAAGTAGAAGACGCTGCGCCGTGCTCTTGAGCATGGATGCAAGCACACCCATAATGGGTCCTGCCGCTGTCTTTGCTCATATGATTGCACGACAATAGCACTGCTGCAGATCTTTGCTAGTGCGCTGTCGGGCAGAAGAAAAGTGCCCCCCTTTCTTACCCATGTGAATGCTCACTGATGGGGTGGTAACCTGCTGGAGTTGGTCCTTGTCTGACAAAAGGCTGACGGTCCCTTGTGCATGATGCTGCAGGAGCGTGAGGTGGGCGGCTTCAAGGCAGAAGCAGAGGAGGAGTATGAGGATGCAGAGGGCAATGTGTACAACAAGCGCACCTACGAGGACCTCAAGCGCCAGGGGCTCATCTGAACAGCTGTCAAGCACTGCTGCACTGCTGCTTGCTTTGCTGTCTTAGCAGGGTATCTATCTCATTGGGCGGAACGCTTACAAAGTGAAGTCAACAACACATGCAGCCAATTGATTGATGTGCTTCTATAATGTATCGAAGACCAACTGGAGGAATGTATTCTCTGCTGCGTTTGAGACATCCGTTGAGGGCATAGGACGGTAATGCCCCGGACAATATTTCCCAGATTGAAAATGTGTGCTTCAATTTGATGTTCGATCTGCTAAAGCTTGCTCTGCAAGACTGCAAAGTTCTTCCGGGGTCTTTCCTGTCATATACCCTCTGCCAACAGTGATGCCATGCCTGTCTGCATGCTCCTGCACGCTCGCTGCCACAGCTTCTGTTGGCGAAACCGCCACATCGAGCAGGTTGCAAGCAATCTCAATCCCTGCATGCATAAGGAAAGTATTGTGCTGCCTCACCAACCCCACATCCCAAGCATTCCTCACAGCATTGGCAGGGGAAGCAATACCAACGACAATGACATGTACGTCCTCTCTACTTTCTCAGCGCAACGTCGGAAACTCATGTCTGTGTACATTGAAAGCAGGCATATGCAAGAGTCGTGAGCATGGAATCTTGCACAGTCAAATGCTGTTTCAGTAGGAATAAAGAGACGTTCTACTATTCAAATTCTGCTACCAAAACTACAGCACACCCAGGATTTCACCCTCTTCATGCGGCAGAGCCATGGCCTCCACGCTGGGTAGGCCGCCACCGCGGCCGCTGACGGCCCTGGCTATCTGGCGCGCGAGCTGCAGGTCATCTGTCTGTAGAAGAATATTGAAGTTGACCACCCAGGGAAGCGCCCCTACTGTGGCAAGGCCTCTCCTGGGATCGAGTTCGCTTGGCCCAAAGTCTGGCCGCATGCCGGCTGGCATGCTGATCTCAGATGCCCCCTTAAATGCCCCTGCACACAGACTTCACCCCTAGAAATTGATTCTTTCAACCATTTCAGTCTTTTCTGTGGCAGGCATGAGGAGGTTGATGCTTGATCTTTAATCGGGACTCTGTGTATGATAAATCCTCACCCTGCTTTGACCCTTTGAAGTAGCCGCATGCTCTCCGGAGGTCTGCCAGTGAGCGCTGCTGACTCCCTGCTGACCCATACAGGAACACAGGCACCGCAAGCTCGCCCTCTCCAAGCTGTGTCCCTGCAGCAATAAAGTATCGTCTTCTGCATGCTTGGCTTGTTGTCCAGAAAATGCCTGCTTAAGGAAACAGCGTGCGCCCAGCAGAAAGTGCGCTGCCAGCAGACCTATGGATCTGGCTGTCTCTGCTGCAGCAGTCAGCGCTGCATCCCTGCCCAGGGGGTGGCAAGAAATGTGGTCCACTACTCCCAGGCGAGGATGACTGGCTGCATGCGAGCGCAGATCGATTGTTTCCAAGGCAGCCCTGGCCAGCCGCACGACACTGCCTGCAAGCTGCACTGACCATTTACAGGTAAGTTCAATGTGTAGCAGAGCAAGAAATGATCGTTTGAATTGATCATTTAGTACTTATGTTCTAGTAAGATCCAGATTGCAGTGCAAATGTGCCCAGTGAGGTCCACGGACCTCATGTGGAGCTGGTGACACTAGAGTGAAGCCTGTGCGATTATAGGGCTTGTCGACGAATGTGTGCACGAGTGCACTCCCTGAGATCTCCGTCGTTACGTTCTGCAACCCGAACTGGTTCAGCTAGACAGCTTCAGGTATCAATGTTTCGTGATTGGCATACCCAACACATTTGTCAGCACATACCTTCAGCTGCTGCACCAAAGTAGATCTCAATCCTTCCGATATGTACACGTTGCAACCTGAAGCACAAACCTCCATTGAGAGGGCATTGGCTTGGCCACATGGAAGGAGCACATGCAAGCTGAGAAATGCTCGCGCACCTAGCATACGATGCCAATTGCGGCCCATTCCACGCCTGTGTTGCGGAATTGCAATGTGTAGTTGTATTCACTTACTAAAGTGTTAAACTGCTACCCGTATAAGTTGACAGGACTAGGATCACCACCGTGGCACGATTGGTTGTCAGCCTACATAAGAGGAAGAAATGCACGTATGTTCACCTGAGGCCGCTTAGCTCAGTTGGTTAGAGCGTGGGTCTAATAAGCCCAAGGTCACCGGTTCAAGCCCGGTAGTGGCCACTCTCAGGCTTTTTCTTTCTCTTCCATTCCAGTTGTATTTTCTTTTTATTACTGTTGTTCCGTATCAGCGCGCATATTCTTTGATGACGCGAATTGGTATGCCACTGGCAAGCAGTGCGCATGCAGCTTTTAGGCTGAATGAGACTAGTCTGAATGAGTACTCTTATGGCATCATGCTCAGCATCAGGCTGATGATCCAGATCATCTCAGATCATGTTGAGATGAGCCTCAGACCCACCTGAGGTGAGTGCAGGATGTAAAACCTCACTTTGTCTCCTAAACGGCTAAAAGCTGTACTCCCTCCCGCCGCTGCCTCAGGCGGCGTTGGCGGCTATCTTCAAGTTGACTCATCATCTGGACGCCATAAGAGTCTCATTCAGCCTGCTGCATGCGCACTGCTTGTCATTGGCATAATATTTAATTCGCCTGATCAAAGGATATGCGCGCTGTTACGGACCAACAGTAGTTAAAAAAAACTGAAAAGGAAAAAGAAAAAGATAAAATGAGAGTGCCACTACCGGGCTTGACAGTCAAGCCCGGTGATCACCTACCTGGTCATGACCTACTTGGATACAACTACTGATGTCCTTGAGGTCAGTAGTACAGCACTACTGATGCTACAGAGGTGGCAACAAGGCCTGTGCCAGCTTCAAGGAAGTTCCGAAAAGGCGCTGCGGCAGCTCCCGGAAGACATCGATGATAGGATATCCTTCCTACACCCTGCAACACAGAGGATGCATGTGGAAGCTATGGGAAACAGCCTTCCCTACCAAATCAGGATCTCACCACATCTTGCCATATGGTCTGCTTCATCAACATGTGCAGCATCTTGGAGCAGTGTTGGTTGAGCGTCTTTCTGCGACCTTGCCTAATATCTCTACTTTCATCTTACTTTGAATTTATAATCATGTCAACTATAAGGTACCCTGTTCGGTGATTGGAGTAGCACCAAGTGAGTAGGTGTTGCTCATCTTTTGTTTTGTCACGTCAATGCGATGCTTGGACACATTAGGCATACAATTGACGCAACTGCCCGACAAACGAAGCTTAGGGTTCTATCTGTCCAGCTTTTCGCTGGCTGCTCAAGCCATGGAACTACAGCACGTGCACCCCTCCAGCACTCAATGGATGGCAGACATGCTTCCAGTTTTTCGGGTATCAAGACAAACGAATCCGCGATGGAGGTCGATCCGGCAGAGCTGCCGATAACACCTTGGGTGAGGAAGAAACCAAGCCCATGCATAACTCGCATTGTCCAGCTGTTGCTCACTTTTCGTTACCAATTGTGACTTGGTGTGCAGGTGAGAAGTGTCATCTCAGGGTGTGATGTGATGCGCAACCCCAAGTACAACAAAGGTGAGAGTTTTCTCCTCCTTCACAAGCACAGGGTGGCCGCAACAGAGTGTCAAGTTGAGGATCTGCTTCAATGTCTACCCCCCAATCCTCTCAGTGTGCATGCATGACCTGGCATGCAGGTCTGGCCTTCAGTGAGGAAGAAAGGGGGAGGCTGTACCTTAGGGGTCTGCTGCCGCCGGCCGTGCTTTCGCAGGAAGTCCAAGCAGAGCGGTGCATGATCAACATTCGCAGCAAGTCCTCTGACTTGGAGCGCCATAGCTACCTGACCTCTTTACAGGTTGCTTTCCATCACAGGAGCTCCATGCATGAAGATTGGTGCTTGGGCTTGGAAAGTTGGACAATTTGCATCAGCCGGGCTGATTTACCTTGTGACGCAGGAACGCAATGAGAGTCTTTTCTACTATGTGCTGTCCAACAATATTGAGGAGCTCCTGCCCATAGTGCATATGCCCACAGTAAGCGAGTACTGCCAGACATACGGCCTCATGTTCAAGAGCCTGCCGCGCTCCCTCTTCATCTGCATGAAGGACAAAGGTGTTTGCTTCCTGGCTGATACTTTCTCCATCTCCATTCAAATATGGATCACACTTGACATCCTGCTCCAGGCGTTGCCTAGACGAACAGATTGGGAGCTGTCTGGGTTACAAGTACCAAGCCGTCAATATGGCATGTTAAGCTAGCAGACGGAGGCAGAGACAGAGGGAGACTCCTACAAGTAAAAGGGATGTCACGGCATGAAGCTGAGGGCAGGAGTGCTGTGGTTGCAGGCAGGGTGTACTCGCTTTTGAAGAACTGGCCGGAGAGAAGGATCAAGGCCATATGCCTGACAGATGGTGAGCGGGTGGGGGCCTTGGGGGACCTGGGGGTTCAGGCAGTGGGCGTTCCCGTCTCAAAGCTGGCCCTCTACAGCGCATGCGCCGGCATCCCCCCCAACATGTGCCTCCCCGTCTGCATAGACGCCGGTGCGCACAGCTCCTCTCGCCCGAGATGCGTTCATGCTGGAGACCAATACCCCACCACAGTGCAGCAAATTCTGCAGTGCTGCTGAAGAAGATTTCGAGCAGAGGCCACCGTGGAGCTTGGAAAGCAATGGAGCCAAGTGAAGAGTCCGTGGGAATGTGCAACAGGCACAGACAATGAGGAGCTGCTGCAGAGCCAATTCTATGTGGGATCAAAGCACAAGCGGGTGCGAGGGGATGTGTACTACGAGCTCCTGGATGAATTCATCAGCGCCGCAAAAAGGAGGTAATCTTTTTTTGGTCAAGGACAATTCCTTTGCCGTCAAGCAGATGTCTTCAGTACCACAGATTTATTGCTTCCTAAGAAGTTCCTTAGTGATATATTTTGTATGATCGACAGGTTTGGGAATACGGTCCTGGTGCACTTTGAGGACATGAGCTACGCCAACCTGTCGCGGCTGTTCAACCAGTACCGGGGCAGCCTGGCCTGCTTCTCAGACGATGTGCAGGTTTGTTCTCTTACCTCCCCAAGCCATCTCGTGCACTGCGCCCTTCTGCCCAGCCTGCTGGCCAGTCCAGTCAGAAAGGCCTTTCCCTGTACATGTTGAATGGTTGCATACTTTCCTGATCGGGCGCCCCCGGCACATTTGAATATATTATTCAATAATATATATTGAGATGTGCATGCTCTACTTCACAGGGGACGGCAGCTGTGGTGCTGGCGGGGATTTTGGCGGCACAGCCGCTGACGGGGAAGTCTTTGGCAGACCACACCATCATGATCGCGGGGGATGGCGCGGCCGGCACCGCCCTGGCCGAGCTTCTGGCAGAAGCCATCGCCCGCCAGAACAGGCGGTACGCCGGTCTCTTGCCTGCAATAATTGGTCCCGCTTCTTCCTGGACGTCTTCTCGTGCCGTGTTCCATGTGCGCTGAAGGCTCATGCTGCCTCCCACTCTGACTCGCTATTGCATCCAGTCGATTGCGTTCCACTGAATCTCCAGCACAGCAGGACCTGACGACGATCGGTGGGAGCAACAGATTGAAAGCAAGAGGCGTGCAGGAGCCGGCAAGTGTGGGTGCACCACAGAGAGGCACAGTGCGAGTAATTGCGTCAGCTTGACAGCTGCTTCCCTTGCACTGCAAGGCTCAGGGTATTATCTGAGGGGCGTGCGCAAAATCGTGGCAGGGGCGGCGGCACGATCGTTGACGCGCGGCGGCAGTTCTGGTTGGTGGACCGGCACGGCCTGGTGACGCGCGGCCGCGCGGACGCGGACTCGTTACCGGATCATGCGCTGCCGTACTGCCACGAGGGTCCCCCTTGCGCTGACCTGGCGGCCGCCGTGGCAGCGCTGCGGCCCAGCGTGCTCATCGGCGTCTCCGACGGCGCCCCCTCCGTTGAGTTCACCCGCGGAATTTGCGAGGAGCTCGCGCGCATCAACAGCCGCCCCATCATCATGCCCCTCTCGTTGCCAGGCACAGATTCTTTCACCCCTACCTGCATTGTCTTGGGAACTTCGTATCTGCACAGAAATTAAAATTTCTCTGAGCCCAAGGTGGGACCAATTGGGACGCCAGAGTTGTCGAAGCCTCATCACCAGCAGCAGTTGACCGGCCCCAAGATAATCTTAGCATGCAGCCGCTTTCTTGTGCCGTTGCCATATTGAGACTTTGCATGGCACAGTCAACCCCTGTCTTACCCCCCTGATCCACCCTTTGAACATCCTTGTCCAACGGTACTTGTCACATGGTAGTTTGGTGGTCTTTCATGAGGTAATGAGGTGCACAGGAGAACTGCTGCGTTGGCAGGCTGCCAGGTCAGTGTGAGCATCCAGGAGGGATACTGCGGTTTGGTGCATTCCTGTGGACCCTAAGACCTCAGCTGACTGCCAACGGTATTTCTAATGGGAGGTCTTGGCCCTGCAGAGCCGGAGCTGAGGGCTGAGGATGCATACGAGTGGACTGGAGGCAAAGCGGTCTTTGCCGACAGGGTGCGCCGGACAAGCGCCTCCGCGCAGGTGTCCACTTCTGGCGGCCAATCCTTCACTCCAGGTGGGACTACATCTAAATCTGAACTTTCAACTGAACAGGCCGTGTCTTACCCCTCCAGGGGTGGCCTCCAGTGCAAATTATCGCAGGGGTGGCCAAAAGCCCAGTTTGTGCAGGAAGTCTGTGACATTGATGCATGAAAGTCAGAGTAAATCACATGCAGATATGAAGGCAAAGCGAGCGCTAGAAGTAGGGGCAGGGCTGCCTTGCAAGTGAACGTTCTGCAGTAACAGTTGAGGAATCCCCTGGCCTATGAGCGATTGTTGTGCAGGGTGCGTGGAGACCGCATACATATTCCCAGGCATTGGACTGGGCAGCATAGTGTCGCGTGCGACGCGCCTGCGCGACGAAGCCTTCATCGCCGCAGCGGAAGCGCTCGCCAGCCTCGTCACTGACGGTGTTGCCCGCCCCGTAATAGTGCCATAATAGTGGGGTCTGTGCTGTTCGCTGCAGACCCCAGTTTCCAACAGGACACAACCCTGGGGGCCGCATTGCAGGGCAGTGAAGTCGATAATGGGAAAGCCTGTGGGCATGTTGTCAATTTTGCGCTTGATGTTTGCGTATTGCGAGACGAATCCAATCTGTGCATGAGATGCCCGGAGTCCAATAATAGATGGCCGTTGAACAATTTGCGGCTGTCTGCTGGCGCATGCAAAGCAGGTGACGGTGCGCTTCTCTTACGACGGCAAGGAATTATTTTTGGGTTGGTGCTTGCAGAGGATCGCGCGAGGGGGAGCATCTACCCGCCGCTGCGAGACATCCGGACCATATCCGCAAAGGTGGCCTGCGCCGTCGCCAAGAAGGCCTACGAGTCCGGCGTGGCAACAGCGCTGCCGCGGCCGCACGATGTTAAGGCGGCAGTAAGGGCCTCCATGTACAGATCTACGTACCGCAAGTACCGATAGGGGCCAATACAAATCGTTAGTGATTCGGCCGAGTGCATTCGAGTGTGAGCAAATGGGTGTGTCTACTGATCAGCGCTTCGCATTATGAGGGCTTGTGTCACAGAAGACAAAAAAAGCCTTAGACTGCTGGGGATTACACCCTTTGCAGCCCATTCCTGTGCATCTTGATCAAGACTCCTCATCCACAGAGGCTGGGTCAATAGGAAACCATTCATTTAAGCTCAGTGTTGACTCAGATCTTAGCTGCCCAGGTCTCTTTGTTTATAGGACCTCAGGATGAAGGAATTCATCGCGAATATTTGTGCACATGTGGTATAACTTATTCTACCCGAGTACGGGTTCTGAGGGTGACGATTCTGACGCCTATCCCGAAAGTGTATTCAATCGTCTCTGTACAGGATGCCACCCTACTTGTTGCCGTTGTGCTATCGCATCAGTTGCATCAGTTGGAATGTAACATGAACCAGCAAGACACAGCAGTGCAAGATTTGCAAGCCCTCGTTTGCAAAGACAAATAGTGCCATACATGCCACTACTCTACAAAGGTCAAACCATATCCGTATCATAAACCTAAACATGCATAGACGGCCAGCACTTTCAAGAGTCAACTTCTTGCTGCTTGGCCTTGTAGACGGCGTGCCATGCCTCCCAGTCTTTGCCATCCGCTTGCTCAACACTCACATTTTTCAATGTGCCTGGGTCTATGCAATAGATTGTGACAGCTCGGCATGTCGGATGTGACCTTGGCAGATAGAAGCTCTGCACTCCACAGATGCTGCATGCAAAGCAACAGAAAGTGCCAATACTGAAAATGAATTCAAGAAGTTTTCTTAAGGCAAATTGAGATGCTGCATCTATGCATACTCAAGGCACAAGGCACAGCACCCGAAACGCTTCTTAAGCATGTTTCACTTCTGTCATACTGCACTCCGTTGAAAAGAGGCAGCGACGTACCTACAGAATAGGTGCTTGGCCGTGTTTGTATTGAACTGATAGGTCGTGAGCTTATCTTCACCCTGAAGTAATCGGAAGTGCTCTGCTGGCACCATGAAGTGGACATTCTGCTTCATGATGCAGACCGAACCTGCACCATATGGCATGATCATTGTCTTTCCTACCAGGTGCTTTCATGTTTCAAAGGTCAAGTTGGCACCTTGAGACCCAGGAGATGACATTTTGGGACAACACTGCAAACAATTTCGGTGGACAAGCAGCTGGGAAGGGAACAAGCAGTTGCGAATCATGGGGGACAAGTAGAGAACTCACAGTTGCATTGGAAAGCCGTGATCTCAGGGCTGGCATCACACTGTGGGGCAACATCACTGGCTCAGATCAGACAAGGCTGGGCTGAGGAGGTGCTGGGTCGGGGTATCTAGGAAAATAATGAACACCCACCTCGAACCTGCACAGAAACGAACACGAAACTTATTCATCTGGAAGAGGACCTGTTGCCAAATCCGTGATTGCACGCATCAACACTGTCATGTCTCGCAGGGGATTGGCTGAGTTGCCTGATGGCACCGCAATGGCAGCCTCCTCGATGGATCACCATATCGCCATTTTGATCATCTTGATTACCAGTCATTGCTGCAAAGATTCTTCTTGTCGCTGTGACAGGCCAGTTTGTTTCGAGATCACGGCAGATTAAAAACAGCAGATGGGTAAGAGCTGGTTTTCGATGCTTGGATTGGACCTCTCGAAACCCAGACTTGGTGATGTAGACACAAGTCGACAATTGAGCTCTATGAAATGGTGTTAACAAAGCAGGGGCCCGTTGAGCTGTCTTGGAAACCCTACGAAGCCCTAACCCTGCAAGGTCCTTCAAGACGCCCCACCCAGAAGAGAATACAAAAGCAACCTTCTCCGATCGTCTTCTTCAATAGCGCCTGTAGCAATGTCGTCAACAGCTTCTGAAGCACTGGATGGCCCTTCTGAGACTGCAGACTCTCGCAGGATTAGGAACCACAATGGTGAATGGGTATTTGAGCCATACAGCCTAGAGAGGTCTGGTAGCCTTTCATCGGCTGGCAACACATCATCAGCATCGTACGAGCGATACGTCCCAATCCCTGATTTTCGAACGGTGAGATCCTGTTTGCATCTCCATTCGCGAAGAATCAGTCGCCTACTCTGAAGAAAGAGTGGCATTTGCGCCGCATGCCGGAAGGCATGCAAATCAAAGCGTTTATCCGTGACTTGACATGCTTATCATGTAGGTACCGTCAGGCGGAAGATCCAGAGACCCCTCACCTCCTAGCATCCAAGCGGCAAAATTCGCAGTGGATCAAGAAACAGCGGCGAGCGCCATCGGGTCGGTTGATGAATGCGTGGCTCTTCTAGAGAGGTGGACAACAGGGGTAAGGGCCCGGAGTGCTCAAAGATAATTGTGCCGTGCAAGGCAGGACAGTGACGGTGTAAACATATATTATCTGTAATATTGTGAAAGTCCAAACCCTTTATTGTTCCAACATTGAACGTGAAAATTATGCACCATGCAGCTGCGAGTGGGTGAAACCAACGGCGCGAGTTCACAGGCAGCCAGAGACCATCAGGTGCCACCCAAGGGCTACAGGGAGGTAAGAACGGATTCATGGCCTTTAATATTATGTCTGATTTGATGTAATCCGTTTTCTTCATTCTCGGTTGACAGCAGCGTTCATAAAGTACTGCTATCTATGGATTTTGCACCTTGCAACTGGATGGGCAGCAAGGCATCTTCTCGGACCTTATAATGTGCCATCTGTAGATGCTTCTTCGAAGCAAGGCCCTGGATATCTGCCTGGAGCGATGTACTGCCTATGATGACCTCACAGCAATTCAGCAGCCATTCATGGCCTTGTTGAGTGCTCTGGGCGGGGTGGAGATGCAAGACATCACCCAGCTCGCCTTGGCTATCTTGCATGTGGCAGAGCGCCTGCCCACATCCAATTTTGAGGTGAGCATTGGGCCACAGATTTTGCGAGACCATTCAAGTCCTTCAACTGCCGGCGCATGTTGACAGCCAATGAACCTGATATCCTCTACTAAGTGACAGAGGCAGCCTGTTGCTCCTTGCAATTGACACAGCAAAACTGTGCCGGCAGGACATGAACGACGATACCAGGGCGGCCATGCATGGTGCGCTGGCATCCTTGAAGGCCTTCATTGCAGACTTCCAGAAGACTTCAGAGGATGCGCACGCAGACCTCCTTGACTTGCACAAGCGGTGCATGCGACAGGAGACACGCATGGACATGGCCCTGTCATTCAGGTGAGATGACATTTTCAGTAGATGCCAACCGCTTCCGGACTCTTTGACATGTTGGCATCAAAGAGAACTCTTTCCATGCATGGCAGTGTCACGGAGTATCTGATCCATGGCAGCCTTGCGCAGGGATCTTGAGGAGAGATCCAAAAGCTTCCTGGAACTGGTGGGCGCAAGATTTGGCTTGGACCACCGGCCGGGCGCTCTCTTGGAGAACATCAAATCGATTGAGACTGTACTGAGCAATCAAGTGTCGGTGAGCATCTCTGAACTTCACTTCTGCACAGACATGTCAGATGGCAGGTTTTCTGATGGCATGGATTTCTGATGCATGTTATTCCGATCTTGAGCGAAGTCCACATGGGTAGCTGTCATGTATATGCAAGCAGTTGTGTCCACAAAGGCTCCGTGACAAATTTGCGCATCGCTCACACATGTCTCATGCTTATGCAGTACCACAAGAAAGGCAAATCAGAGCACGAGGAGCAGCTGCGGCAAGAGAGCCACAGGCTAGCACTGTCTACACAACAGCTACAAGTAAAGTTGCAGGTGAGACAGCTGATCGCATGTTGTCCTACCTGTATATCTACAGCCAAAAATGTCACCAACTAAGCCTGGGCAAAGTAACAAGTGACTGGCCACTGGCCTCAAATACCTGGCTGTGCGAGTTGAAGGTTCGCAACTATGCAGATGCACATTTGAGTGCTTGGAACAGGGTTTTTGGGCCTGTGACAAGCTTTGAGCCTGAGACTTCATTTTGACTTGATTATTGAATGAGAAAGTTGAAGTGAAGAACTCTGATGGATCCATTGCAGGAGTTGGAGCGCCAAGTGTCAGAGGTAAAAGCAGAGCTTGAGCAGAACAGGGTGCAGGAGGAGAAGGTAGGGCAGAGACTCGCGGTCATTCGCTCAGAGCCTGTAGTCTCAACGGAGGAGATGGAACGACAGCTGGCAACTATCGTCCAATTGAAGGTGTGTGTCATCTCTCAGGACACCTCGTGTCGTATATGTTGAAGCACACAATAATGTCTGCACCTTTTAGAGTGTCTGGCCAGGCTCACAGCTCATCTGTGTGCTGGAAAATGGCAAGATTGGGTGGAGGACTACTCTGAACTTATGAGCTCTTTTGTGTGTTTCAGGAAGCGGTGGAAAGAGTGCTGCCAGCAAATGATAAGGCAGGCAGTGCTGAGGTGCCAGAGGGGCTGGCCCCAGCGGACTTCATCAAGCACTGCCTCTCCGTGCACTACAAAGTCATCCAACAGGTGCATATGTGACTGAACAAGCTGCCATTCTGTTCCTGCATCCTTTGGCGCGGCTAAGTTTCACGCCAAGCTTTGACACTGGGAACATGCAAAAAAAATGAGCAATTGCCACGCTGCATGCTGTGCACATGATCAGCTGGGGACATGCCTTGCTTGACAATGAGCAATTGTAAGGCTGCATGCTGTGCACATGATCAGCTGGGGACATGCCTTGCTTGACAATGAGCAATTGTAAGGCTGCATGCTGTGCACATGATCAGCTGGGCAGATGCATTGATCACATGCAATTCTCACACTGCATGCTGTGCACATGTTCAGCTGCTGGAGAGGGGACGAGCGCAGGCAGCAAAGATAGAGGCGCGCAACAGGGAGATTCAGCTGCTGAAACGCATTGGCTCCAACAGCACTGCACTTCCCATGGTGCAGCAAAGACTTGCAGAGGACAAGGAGGAAATGAAGGTGTGCCCAGCTGTGCTCAGAAAATCCTCCATCACGCTATCTGCTAGCCCGTTGTTGGCAGTTTCTCTTTCATGTCAACCACACAATTAGTTCGGGTTTTACAAACAAAATAAAAGAAACCCCTCTAAAAGGTAGTGATGGTACGGTGTTTATGGGAGATTGCTGTGCAAAACAGGGCCTGGTCGACAAGGCCACCATGCTGCAGAGCAGTGCGGAATCTGCCCTGGCGCTGGCCTCCCCTGGAGAGAGGGAAGAGCTGAAGCAGCTGCGTGCCTACATCAGTACAGCCTGCCAAGAAATGGTCACAGGGCCTCTCCCCATGTTGGCCGACCTTCCAGGTATTGACTTCTCAGCATCCCTGCATGCTCTCAAAAAGGCAGCACGCTCTCTGATCCTCCATGTGTGCACTTTTCAGCATCCCTGCTTGCTTTTCAAAGGCAGATCCTCCAGGTGTTGAACTCTAGGGATCCCTGCATGCTTTTTAAAGGCAGCACGCTCTCTGAGCATACATGTGTAGGGCTGTGCAGCAAAGTGTATTGCCAACCAGCCTGGCAAGCCAGCGGGTGACAATTTTCGTGGATGGCCGCTGTCTCTTCTGCCCTTGCAGATGCTCTTGTTACATCCAAATAACCCCTCGTGTTCAGTAGTTCAAAAAAGGGCTGGGATTGCAAGGTGCTAGCTGAAGGACATCTGCGTGAGTTAGTTGGTGGTGGTGCGTTGGAGTTGTTCAAATGGGGTTGGGGTTGCAGGAATAAAGTTGAAAGACAGCAGTGTTGAGTCAGTGCTGGTTTTGCCGCAGCTGTGCCTGTGATGGAGAATGGACGGAAGACCAAGGGGCAAGGCCCAAGGAGGCCTCCTGCGCCAGTCGCGAACAGGAAGCCTCCGTCTGCAGCTGCAGCAAAGAGGCCCCCCTCTCAGCCTCGTGCGGCGGGTGGCAATAACAACCGGCGCCCAGAGAAGCCCGCTCCCGCTCCAAAGACAGACGCGCAGATCAAGGAGGTCTGCCTTTCCTTTCGTCGCCTTGTTTCAAAACTTGAGCCACGGTCACACAGCTTTCAAGGTTTTTGAGTTGTCAGTGTCCAGCGTCCAGTCCCAGCAGCTTGGCATATCAGGCCTTTATTGCGCTACATTTGTTCACAAGGGAAATTGACAAAGACCGTGGGGTGTTGACGGTGTTAGTGTCACTTCTGGCGCAGGAGGCCAGATTGATAGATCGCGCCAGGATGCAGGCTGCAAAGGAGAGGGCCCAGGCAGAGCTCCACAACAAGGGCCGCAACAGGGGGCAGGCATCAAAGCCCTCCGCCAACAGAGGAAGGACAGGTGCTGACCCTGCAGTGGACCTCGATCAAAGCCCGCATGCCTTGTTGCTATTCCTGTTTGGTGCCGCCAACCTACTCAATAGATCGTTCCTGCAAAAGGCTGCTTGATGCATGGCAACATATACGAGCCTGCTTTTGAATGCCCTGTGATCTCACAGTCATTTGATGCAGCTGCAGAGTGTATCCTTTTGCAAGTGTCTCTCTCTATCGATGGTACTTTCGAACTTTATGAGTAACAAACCATAACTTTGGTGCTTGCAATGCCTTCAATGTCTTGCATTTTCCCTTGTCTCAACCTATGCCTAATGGTGACAGGGGCCAATGGAGCGGCGCACTCCAAGGGAGCGGGGGGTCCAGCTGCTCAAAGCATGAACCCGTGGGAGGCACGCAGGCAGCAGGGCGCGGGCGCAGCCAGCTCACAGCAGGTGCCCAATGGGCATGCAGCTGCAGGGGCTGCCAAGGCGCCGGCTGTAGCGGCAGAGCCTGCTGCCCCAACTGCACCGCCCCCTGCCCAGCATCCTGTGGAGAATGGTGCAACTGGTGCTGTGTAGGCACTCTCCTCGTGTGCAAAGTCACCTCCGTGATCCACACAAGCAGGGCTGCGATAGAGTGAGGGAACTATGCACATATGCCTCATGTGCAGATCAGCACTCCCACACAAGGAGAGCAGTGATAGAGTAATGAAACCGGAACTAGAAGTTGGTTGCAAGGGTCATGCGCTGTACAGCTGGCTAGCATGCAAAGGGGATGGTGCGCAAGCCGGAACAGGAACAAGCTGCAGGAACAAGGCGCCAATTGTGGCTAGCCTTCACTGTGAAGTTAATAAGTCTTCTGGACAATGGAGCTGCAGCGCAGTCAGTTCTGTTGGCGGTGTCAGAAATTTCTGCATTGTTTTGCAAAGGGACCTGTGTGCAGTAAGGTAGAGTGCATCATAATTGCTTGGCGGCATGGTGTGCTGCGGGGAGCAGCGCTGGTGTTGATGCGTTGGGATGTGGGCCTGAATTTCATGTATCAAGGAACACGGTGTTGAATTCCTCTGTTTGAACATGCTAGGCAGGGCCTGGGCGTTCGCCAAGATGCTCTGGTGCAGTGAGGCTCTGCTTCATCATGTGAATACTCGTAGAAACCAGTCCTATAGACGTGAAAAAGTGAGTGCTGAAGTGGAGGTTGCAAGGCAGGGCATAAGCACTGCCTGGGACCGGTGTTCAGAGCGGGTGCTTCCTTTCCACAGTACTTGTCCATAGATATAGAGCATTGTGGGTAGAAGCTTACTGGGTAGGCAGTGTAAGCAAATGAATGAAATATGCCACCTCGAAACGGCACACCCACCCATCAGAGTTCTGGTGTATACGTAACTATGCAAATAATTAGGTTTTATCTTGCTCTGCGTAGATAGGTATATCAACCATTTATTTCTTATCCTTTCAGTTCCAGTACTGAGGCGGCAGCAGTCTTTTTGTCGCACCCCATTGCATGCCATGAGGAGTCGATGCTTTCATAAATCCACTCAATTAGGCTTAGAAAGGACTCGTTGCACAATCAACCGATTTGATGACTCAGCTGCTTGATAGCCAGAAATTCGCCAGACAATTCGAAAGATATCATTTTCAGTGGCACACCCCAGCCCATGGCTGAAGTAGACTTTGGCACGATCTGTGGGATCACCATCCCAGCAATCGTCCTGAACGGTAAGAAAATTGCAATCTACTCCTTGAATTTTACTTTGAAGGTAATGGAAGTGAATTTAGTAGGGGCGCCAGGCCTCCGCCCTTGGCTCCCTCCCTAGCTTAAAATGTTTGCTGCAGCCAAGGGACTTGGTCATTCCAAAGTAATAGACAAAGAATGTCCAGAGAGCTAATTGATCCTGATGGATTAGCTGTGGATGCAGTGGCTGCGCCCTTGGTAGTCACTGTGCAGACAGCTCTGCTGGGCACCTACGGGGGCAGCCCAGTGCAGGCAGCCTTTGCAGCAGTGTCCACCACTGCCAACACCACCTGCTTCCTGTTCAACTTCCTGGTAGACGGCGTCAGCGCCAAAGTGGGCCAGAGCGTGGGATCTGGCAAATGGACACTCCTGCGCAGCCGCGTGCGCCTGGCCCTTATTTGGTAACGCCATGCATGCCATCCTTCCATCATTTTATCAGCATACAATGACATGAGGAAAAGAACTCTACTGTTCCTTTCAAGCCGGTCAAAGCCTGGCCTTGACATGCATGCGCTGATGGGTGTTATGCACATGCAGTGCCTTGGGTGCAGGCCTCCTGGCATTTGCAGTGCTGGCTGGTCTGCAGAGACCCATCACAACTTTTCTACACCTTTCGCCAGAGGTGTGCCTTTTTCTTATATTCTTACACCGCTTTTCCCTCAGCTCCTTGCATGTCTGAAGGGCGGAGCATGCAGCAGTTGATTGGGGGATTCCTTGTTGCCCAATGTGCAGGTGCAGCAGGAGGCTGCTGCCTACTGGTGGCTGCGAGCCGGCCTTGCACCTATCGCGCTGCTGAACATGGCAATCAACGGCATACTGCAGGTAGGCCAGTAATACCATCAAAAACCTGTGAAGGCTGTTGGCGCCGCCGCATTCAGGCCTGAGTGCATGAGCTGGGAGGCAGCAAAGACATACTAGCATTCCCATCAAAAAGGGGAAACAACCGTTCTTAAAGGTGCCTCTCAGTGTCATCATGAATTTGCTTGAGGACGCGTAGCCGTGCCGGCGCATTGTCTGCCACCTCTGAGATATTCAGCTGCTGGAAGGCTCCCAGCTGCTTATTGCCTGGCCCCAAACACATCACCATTATGATAAACCTTGCCTTGCGCAGGGCTACAACAGGGTGGCGGTGAACGCGGCGCTGAATACGAGCCAGAGCGTGCTGGAGATTGCCGGCAGTTGGGCCGTGCTGGCGGCCATGCCGGCCCCGCCGATTGGCCGGCTGGCCGCGCTCGGAGCCGTCTCCATCGCCTGCGCCTCCCTTTCCGCCATCGTTGGTGCGCGTCCCCTGAAAACCCTAGGACATGCGCTACAGACCGGGAACAATGCAAGTGGCACGAGGAAGTGTGATTGCCATGTAGGGAGGAAGGGCTGCCTCTCGGTGTAAACAGGCTACACCAACAATACGATCATTTCCCGGCCCGGGAGCACTTATTATCCTGCACAGCGTGCCAGGGGCTGTCCAAACTTTATATTTCTTGCCAGCAAAATCAAGGGATTGCCAAAGAAGAGTCTGGGGTCACAATTGGGAACAGAGGGCAGAAGTGGGGATGTTGCAGACTCTCTTGCTGTTGAAAGAACTGTAGAAGTGCGTGGCTGAGCCATCAGGGTCATGTCATGCTGGGAAGGAATGGCTGACAAGGGTGGGTGTTTCGTGTCAGGAAGGCGGGATCTGCATCGCCACGCTGGCACCCCAGCCGCCACAGAGTGCTCTGGAGGAGCGCCTGATGGAGTCTTCAGCTGCTTGTCTGGATGGTGACTCAGAAGCGGAGAGAGTGCCACTGGTGCGTTCTGACCTGCACCAAGCAGCACTGTTCCGTTATCTTGTCAGCGGCTCAGGTGTTTCAGTAGATGCCTTTCTGCAGCACCATTGACCCCTTCTCATTCCTGTCTGAGATCTACTTCCTTATTACTGTCTTCTTGTTCTGTTCTGACGCTGTTGCTGCTGTGCAAAGGAGTGTAAAGGAAGGAAGAATCGAATTTCTCCAGCTGTTTGTTTCAGGTGCAGGAATTTGCGGAGGGTGCTGGGGCATTAGGTGATGCTGAGGTTCAGATTGCACAGGATGCTGCGCTGAGCTCGCTCCATTTCTGGGACTTTGTCAGGGACGGCCTGAACATGCTCATACGGTCTGCAACACTGCAGGTATGCCGTGCGTGGCTCCATTCCCTTGCCTTTTATTCTTGTTTAACAGAAGCACGGCCACTCAAATACTGGGTTATTAGCTATTCTTTAGTGCTTTCATTCTCTGCTTGAATTTTATGTCCATCTTTGCTAATCTGACGAGCCTTGGCATCTGGCCTCAGACGGCAGTAAGCACACATTGTATTTTTGAAGGAGTCTTAGAGCCAGAATTCATGCACAGGTTCTCAGTCGATGCTGCGCGCAGGCCACTTTCTTCCTGGCACTGTCAGTGGCGGGGCGGCTGGGCACGGCCAGCCTGGCGGCCCACCAGGTGGTGGCGCAGCTATGGCTGCTTACGTCATATGTAGTCGACGGATTTGCGGTCGCCGGCACGGTCCTCGGCTCCCGCTTGGCCGCCAGCGCCGAGCCGGCCGCGCTGAGGTATGCCTGACGAATTGAGCATCTCAAGCGCAGAACCAGTGTGCATGCCTCACCATGTATTCAGAGGAGAGCAGATGCAAGACGCTGGCATGCAGCCAAACACGCTATGTAGGGAAGACATCTGGAGAGTCAATGTCAATGATTGCTGCCATACTCAGTACTCTGACAATTTCCACCTGCTATCATGAACTGGTGGATCTGATCGCGCCATACTATTTTGCTCAGCTGTTACCCACTATCCTGCCGCGCCGGTTGTTGCAGCGCCACACCAGGGCAAAGAGGAATGGCTCCGACTGCATCATGGCAGCAATTCAGCTGCATACTCAGTCACATGCCAAATCAGTGCTCACATGCCTGCAGGAACTTCCGGGTTCTGACGCTGCGCTTGGTCGGCATGGGCCTCGCCGTGGGCCTGGCCAGCGCAGCCGCCATCTGGACAAACGAGGAGAGCATCATTGCACTCTTCACATCAGACCCCGAGACAAAATCGACACTCCAGGGCCGGCTGTGGTTCTTCCTGTGCCTGGCGCAGCCGATCAATGCGGCGGTGTTTGTGTACGACGGCCTCATGTACGCGACGCAGTCCTTCGCATGCGCGCGCACAGTGATGCTGACCGGGTTTGTAATCGCGTTTGCGCCCCTGCTGGCGCTGACTGAGTGGCGGCTGCATGCGCTGTGGGGGGTCTGGGGGGCCAAGGCCGCGCATAACGTCTGGCGGCTGCTCGGCTCAGTGCTGCGCGTGCACGTGCTCTTCGAGTGGGAAGTTGCCGCGCTGTAAGCGACTGGCATCAATGGCATCTGTACCATTATTATGATGGTGGTTTCCAATTGATTTCTGGACCAAATAAGTTCTGACAGCACGGTGATAAGATCATCAAGCTGCTAGAACCATGGTGTCAGCCAGCGTTTGCCTGAACACGGCTGCCACAGAGGACTGTTCTGTGTTTATGACTTTAACGTAGATCCGGCACCCGCACATGCTCTGCTCTTTTCAATGAAGTTCCAGGGAACTTCCTACTTGAAGTTCCATGATGCAGACCCAACCCGAGGTTCTCCCAATACGGTGCTGCGGAATGCACCAGCGGCCAGTAGATCTCGACATGCAATATAGCAAGGCAGGTGACGCACAATGACCGCCGTAGATGTTGCAGTCACCATGAAATCTCGTGCATGAAAATATCTGAGCTTTCTTCCTCCAAGAAAATGGAGCTTTACTCATGCACGTGGACCCATGTGGAGCGCACCATATTCGTACTTGCCCCACTTGTCGTCCACCTGCATTGTCATCCAGTATCTAGCGGCTATATGATTGAGATCTTGCGGGAGGGTAGAGCCTGGACAAGCTTGTCACGGCGCTAAAGCTGTGCGGTGAAAGGACCGGCATCTGCTGCATCCCGACGCATTCAAGCGAAAAGTGAGTGCCTCACTGATGGCACCATAATCACCCCTTCCTATCTTCATCCCAAGTGTGTGGTGTCGTGCATCGTACCTGTATCTAAGAGCGCCTTGTGCTCACATTTCCATGAGACAGACGTACGCTAGCCTAAAACCGAAAACGAAAAGCACTGGGATGGGATGAGAACACCTAATTGTGGGTCCAAAATGCAAATGTGGTTCCAAACTGCACAGGGAAAGTTAAAGGCACAAGTAGATCAAGAATATGGCGTTGAACGTGCCGAAACGCATGGTAACGTTGTAAATCGGGTCGCAGGGTTTCAATGTCAGCAACTAAAGGCCGAGCAGCAACAGAAGGGGATGAGGCGATGGAGAATGGCGAGCCTCACAATCCTAAACTTTTGGTAGATGAGAAGGGTTTCGCCCGCTCAGATCTCGAGAAGTACGATGACGACGGTCATGTTGCCAGGACAGGTAAGGTCATTTGTGATCCGATGCACAGTGCAACTGAGCCGTAACTCCAGGGCCCTTGCCAGACCACAGACGCATCGATTGTATACGAATATCCATTTTGTCAGTACAATCGGTACAGCGCCCGACTCTTCCCAGGTATTTGATGACAGAAAGTATAGGTCCAAGATGGTGAGATCAGGAGGTGGCCTTGTGACACAGGTGGCTGGATCACGGCCTACGCCCACATCGTGTGCGCTGTCATTGGCAGCGGCGTCCTGTCCCTCGCCTGGGGAGTCTCCTGGCTTGGTGCGACCCTGTGCAGCTGCCCTGTAGCTACACCTATGCACACGCTTTAGCAGCTTGCATACTCTTCATCACCGCGTACAACCAGCAGCTAGCAGCAAGTTCCCTTCTTTGCATTGTCTCTTTCCTTTGCAAATATCGCATGCAACCTCAAATGGCTGGATGTGTCACCTATTGACAGCATGCACCAACTGCACTTTCCTCGCAACAGAAGACCTCCGCATGAGAGCATGTAACATGTTGGCGTGTGCCTTGAATCTCAAATATGAGGTCTTGCATGAAAGGTTTGTCGTGCAGGCTGGGTGGCGGGCCCCATCGTGCTCTTCATGTTTGCATGGATCACCTGGTACTGCTCAGCGCTGCTCATCGACTGTTACCGCTTCCCGGACGTTGATGGGGAGAAGAGGAATTATACCTACATCCAGGCAGTCAAGCGCTACCTAGGTGAGCAACCCACCTTGTGCAATTGTGCAACAACGTATTACATCCAGTGTTGGAAATCTTTTCTTCTATGCAAGAGGAAAAGTACTGCTTGACGCAGCTTAATCAAATCACAGGGGCTCTGGAGCCTGCCCTTTGCACCTGCACCCTCCTCATTCCACTGCTGCTGTGTGTTCCACAAGAGAGGAACAAGATGAGAGGAGGGGAAAATACCTGGTGTGACATGTGCTGCTGGCTGCTTTGCAGGTGGCAAATACTACATTGCTTGCGGAGCGGTCCAATGTGAGCGCCACTCCCCTGTCCTGCTGCCTTTGTGGCTTGTGACTGCATTCAGAAACAGGCGTTCAACCTTTTCATTGTGACTGGAGGGGTAAGGGTGTCGTGAAACGGTTTTAGTCGCTGACGAAACAGTGCATGTGCTGTGCAGATGCCAACATGGTGGGGACTTCCGTCGGCTACACAGTGACTGCTGGGATTGCTGCCACGTGAGTGCAACCCTGCTGCGACTCATAATGTCATTTCAGATGCACTGCACAGACAGCTACACAAAGTCATGCTGGACTGTCTTGTGCACGTGCTGTCCATTAGATGGCCGCGTCGTTGAGAATTTCGCATGTATGCACCTTGCCTGAGTAGTTTCATTGTTTCTTTGCAGGGCCATTCGTCGCTCCGACTGCTTTCACGCTGACATCAGCAACCCCTGCGAAATCTCCAACAATCCCTGGATAATCCTGTTCGGCGCGCTCCAGATCCTCTTCTCTCAGGTGCGTACCCAGCTGCACCCTGTTTGGGTGCAGGACTAGAGAGGTCCGCACATAGGCACTTGGTTGAACAATTCCCAGTCTCTTCTGTCATCTGTGGGTAAGTTTGGTGTTGTTTTAAGGTCCCCAGCCCTGCTTTTGCAGCTCAGTTCGAAGTTGGGCAGGCCATATCTCTTCAACCCCATTTTCTCAGGTACTTCTCTGGATTGGGCGGACTAGAGATTCCCCCTGCTGAAGTCTTTAGTACCCCGGTCTTTACCAATTTAAGGGTGCCAAAATTTCACTTGAATCTGTGGCCTGGTTGCGATTACTTATCAGCATGCATGGCAGCTGTTTGTGAAAGGAAAGCCTGTCTCAGGCAAAGGGGTATGACAGGATCTGATGAGTTTAGTCTACTCAGAGTTTGCTGTTATTATTATTACTACACATTTTCGAGTCCTTAAGGACTAGGTACGCCTGAGTCTGCTGTTTACAGGGCAGAATCTGCATGTATGTTTGTCCAGGGATGCTCCAGGTTGTGGTTTGAATTCAGGTCGCAGCAAATGACAAGGTTGCTGCCTCCTTCTTGCAGATCCAGGACATTGACCGCATCTGGTGGCTGAGTATTGTCGCCACTCTGATGAGCTTCACTTATGCCTTCATCGGCCTCGGGGAGTGCATTGCCCAAGCCGCACGTGAGTCCTTTGCCCCTCCCAAAAGGCCCTGACAAACCTGTCCATGCCCACTCCTCACAACAGGAGATTGAGCGCGCACTTGACATTGTGGTGGCAAATGACAGCTCTTCTCTTTAAGGCAGATCCAGTGCAAGATGTGCAGACCTAACATGCAAAGAGGCAGAACTGGGCAATCTTCAAGATCCACTTAGCAGTGCTGCTGAAGAGCGCTATATTAGGGAACGCTAAATATATGTTATTAATATATGTTATAAATATATGTATTCTGAGGTCAGAGTTGCTGTGTTTTGGCAGAGGGGAGCACCACTGGCACGGGCACTGTTGGGGGCCTCCAGATTGGCATTGACACCACCGCCGCAGGGAAAGTCTGGGGCATCTTCCAGGTGCGGCCACAGCCTCCTCTCTAGCCTCCCATGCAGACAACTTACAACTATATCTTCCTTATTTGTCAAGACATGTGGCGCAAGAAGTACCCAAGTGAAGCTCTCAGCTGGCACTTCTGTGGCAGTGATGGCTATGCTCAGATGAACAGGGGATGTATTTTTGCGGGGAGAGGGAAGCTGTGGTCATGACAACTGCTGCTGTTGCATACATGCAATTTGTGAATCTTGCGAATAACTCATTTGCCTGTGCCATCTTGACAGCATAGTGTGTGATGCATGCAGGCGCTTGGTAACATTGCCTTCGCGTACAGCTTCAGCTTCATTCTGATTGAGATCACGGTGAGCACCAGATTGTGAACAACTTTCTTCATGCAAACAGCACATTGCCAAGTACAGCTGTCTCAATTCAAGATGTGTCAACTTCTATGATGACCTCATGCACATGCTCACCTCATTTTGCACTGGCCTAACTGAGGACATTGAGACCTCTATCATGACATTGAATGCGTGCATTGGGGTCTGCGCACAGGACACAATCCAGTCACCAGGCGAGACCAAGAAGATGAGGAGGGCGACAGTGTATGGCATCGCCACGACAACTTTCTTCTACGCATGCATCGGCATCATCGGCTATGCCGCGTTTGGTAACAGCGCGCCAGGAAACCTGCTCAGCGGGTGTGCTCTAGATTCCCGCACACATTCAATATGCGGTAGTTATTGCGCTTGAGCTCTGTTCTCTGTAAGCTTGCTCTAAAACAGACGATGAGATATTTTCGCCCACAGTGTGTCCCTGGCTTGCTGACACCCATGCTCACTGCTTGCAGGTTTGGCTTTTACAATCCATGGTAAGAACTTTCCTAGCACCCCTTTCTTTCCTCAATTGCTGTACATTATGTTTTCAAACGAGACCTTAGTAGCTTACTTTTGCTCAAAACTTCCGCTTTCTCACAGGTGGCTTATTGATATCGCCAACGCAGCCATCTTTGTGCATCTCCTCGGAGGCTACCAGGTATGCTGCATTGGTTAGACTGAACATCAGGGAATTACAGCAAGTTTTTTTATGGCGCATGAGACCGCTCATCACTGACAGCCCTGACTGTACTGCAGGTGTGGATCCAGCCATTCTTCGGCTTTGTGGAAGCATCAGCTTTCAGATATTTCCCAAAGAGCAGGTTCCTGCAGTGGGAGCTCTTTGCTGTTGAGGTGCGGTTATGACACCACCAGAACTTCTATTTTACTCCCTGCACACACTTTTGGCTGCTGCTTACTGACATGCTACCCAGTAATGCTTTCAGGTGCCAGACATTGTGGTCCCAGCTGGTCTTGCAGCGTGTATGATCTGAACAAGCAATTCTATGTAGAAGTGTCAAACTATGCTTACTGCAAGTGATGTCCGCACTACCGGTTGTGACAAGGGGGGGAATGCCTTTGCTGATGGGTGGATGGGTGTGTGTAGATTCCCGGCATGGGCCTGTTCAGGGCGAGCCCCTTCCGCCTGATCTGGCGCACCGTCTACGTCATCATCGTCACAGTGAGTCCAGTTGTTTCCCATTGAACTCAATAAAGTATTGAACTCAATAAACTCCTGCTTCTGGGACTCGCATCTCTCAGTAGGGATTCAACAGTTACCAGGTCCTTACAGTTTTTTGCCTGTCGCAGATTGTGGCACTGCTGCTCCCCTTCTTCAATGACATTGTCGGCCTTCTTGGTGCGCCTTTCCCTCTGTTGAAATCTTGCATGTTTGCTCACTCACTAAAAAACCCAATAAAATAGGATCATCTGTATTCTTCATACTTGTCAGGCTCGAACAGAGCAGCAGTCTCTTGCATATCACTTCCTAAGCTCTGGAGTGACAAATTGGCTGGCTTTATTGCAGGTGCAATCGGCTTTGCTCCACTGACTGTCTTCTTCCCGGTGCGTCTCGCTGCCTCTTGCCGCAGCACTGCAACAGTGTCAACCTGCTTCCCAGAAAACATTCACATGTCAAACTTTTGCAGCATGTTGCAGACAGCATTGGTTATACAGCAAATGGGCCAATCTCCACCATAATCCAGAGTGCAAAAAGGGGACAGCAGCACCTGGGCTGACGGATAGCTGGTGTGTTGCGCGGTGCAGATCCAGATGCACATTGTGCAGAAGAAGATTCCCATGTGGTCTGGGCGGTGGTGCTTCCTGCAGGGCCTCAATGTCCTCTGCTGGCTCATCTCCATCGCCGCCGCCATCGGCTCTGTGGAAGGAATCTATGCAGACACTCGCAACTACACCCCCTTCCAGACCTCCTACCGCCGCTGAGGCCCTCCGAGTCGCGCAACCCGAAAGAATGCAGTGGTCGACCTTCCGCTAGGGGCAACAGAGGGACGTGGCTGGGGCATGATTGATGTTGAGGAGGCCTTGACACTGGGACTGGCCAGCTCAGAAAGTGCCTGGCGCCTTTTTCCAACAGCTCTGAATTCTCTCGGCTGCATGCATGCACGCGGCTCAAGCCAGCGTGCAGCAATGCTATATGTTGTTGCAGTGGTAGTAAGTCCAACAAGGATTTCCTTTACATGGGGAAGTCCTTGAAACGCACTTTCAGTGTGAAGGCACCCCGGTGATGCAGGGATGCCTTGACACAGCTTCTGCCTGCAGTAATCTCATGACCAGTCGCACCGATAATATTCCTTTCCGGTGCTTGTACAATGTGGGGACCTTCTTGGCGTGCCAGTGAGTCGGCTTGTGCACCTTTTAATAGCCCTGGATGCTGTTCAAATGTCTCGCTACCCCTGGAAATTGGCCAGGGGGTGCGGGCATGCTCATCCCATGAGGCAGCCCAATTATTGGCTGTTGAAGCTTGCCACCTGGCACATTTGCCAGGAGCGCAAGGGAACTGTGAGCATGTTGTCAAACAGCTGGGTCATTTTATGAAGCAAGCTCTCACTCAAGATGTGAGACCTTGCCTGACATGAAAGACTTCTACAAGGGCATGTTTCCTTTTTATTGTTTCATGAGTCGCGGGTGGTCTGGGTATTGCTAGTCCACCGCAGTAGGGTCACTTCTTTTCTTCAATGGCTAGAGCAGGCTATTGTGGGGCATTCTTTGGTGGGTCTTATTGAGGTGCTAGCACCTTGGACAAATTTTTGGGTTGGAAAAGTATTGTTAGCATGTCAGCAAGGGAGCGCAAGTAGATAGTACCACAGGCATGACTTTGCTTGCTCACTACCTTAGTGCTGTTGCTACCAATTGGGTTGACTTGTATTGCCAGGGAGAAGTTGGACACCTATAATATTACGCCTTCACACTGTCTTGACAAGTGCACACATTTTCCTTCAAAGAGATCTGTAAGTACGTGTAGTTTATCTACAACTGCTGCAGTTCAGTTGTATTTACAATGCTCTGGAATCCAAGTTCACAATTTATTCGCTATCGTGACCCTAGCTCGGCCATCTTCTGAGGCTAACAGGGCAAGCACAATTGGACACCAAAATCAATCTCACTTGCGCAAACTGGATTCCACTCCATTATGTACATGCGAATATGCATTGTTGCAATCAGAGGGGCTCCGATCACCCCCAGTCAAAGGTCTGCAGAGTATGGCATTTCAGAATCTAGCCTGCAGTGCAATTAACCTTTATGTAGGTTTCCTTGAGAATGGGTTCTCACACGTCTGGTGAGCACCACCAAATAATGATCTATGTCTTGCATGATAGAAATTTGCAGTCCCCCATCTAATCGTAGAAAGAATACACCATGCCATCTATGACAACTCTCAGCAGCCATTCCCTCATCACTTCAATCTCTCCTCATAATCACCACCCCTCTTATTTATCTGTGCTCCTCTCTCATCCTGTCGCTATGTCAGACAAATTATGCTAGCCCAGCACTTGAGCTGCTCCCTGCCATCTCAACAAGTTCACCTACTGAGAACACTCCCTAAGTGTCAACCCAATAAGCACTTCAGCTGGGAGATACTGAGTGGCTGTCTGAAACAATTATCTCGTCGCATGCTGCAAGTTTGTACGCTGGTCAGAGGCACTCCCTCTCTGTCAAACCATTAACAATCGAGCAGGGATCTGTTTGCAGAGATGTCAAAGGCTCCTGGCTCTGCATGATCCAGTGGTGTCACGCAAAATGTGCATGCTGGTCAGAGGCAGTTGGGCGGCCGCGCGCATGTGACCTTGCCGGAGTAGTAAGCGGGCGCCTCAGCGGCCAGTTCTACGGCGCGAACCTCCCCCGGCCGCATCGCCAGGTCGCCATGACGCCGCAGGTCCAGTCCCAGCAGCGCCGCCTGCAGTAGCAACGCAATTTTCCCCTTCTGTCCCCTATAAATCAGGGTAGTGAAGGGTTTACAAACACCCCAGCAACTTTTACCACCTACGCCATTTTGAGAAACCAAGTGCGCAGAGGGTGAGCAGCCGCTGCTGACTGATTTGCTACAGTCTTTCCAAGTGGATGTAGCTAAGCACTGCAGGTAATATCGCAGCATGATCTTCTGCAATGACACAAAAGAAACATGTTGAAAAAGTAGAGGAGGTCAAGGTGTCGAGAAGGTTCCCAGACCTGCAGCACTGACAGGTTGTCCGAGTCCGGGGACACCACGATGACATTCGCGCCGCTGTACTGCGTCTCCATCACTGAAAGCACCTGCGCCGCGCACAACAACATCTCTCCTCCACATCATAGACCGGGACACCTTCAAATGAGAAGAGCAGGCCCCTGACCCATGCAGGCTCTGCCTCGTCATTCTCAATTTCACAATAGTCTAGGAGCTGCAGCAGGCATGTGGCAGGTGCAGGGCATGAAAGAATCTGATGTTACATGGAAATGCTGGATAAAGGCTGGCTCATCCATGCTTGAAATTGGCACAAGGAGACGAGGCAGGGCTTGCCTGTCTCACACGCACTAGGACGTCCGAGATGCTCTCGTTTGGAGTGCCATCCGTACCCCTGGGTGGTCTCCATTCTGCAAAAACATAGTGGCGTACTCAGCAATTCGTGCGTCATGCCCATGCCAGGGGTGTTCGATAGTACAACAGTAGTATCAACCAGACTTAATGATGGCATTAGTCATATGCAGTGCAAAAAGCATGCATGCAGATTGCCATAACTGCCGCATTTTGGAAGCGTTCACCTGCAGATGCTGACAGGACGCAGGCATGGGATAGATTACATCTTAATATTATACGCGCAGGAATCTATACCTGGAGACAACTGGTCGCCAGTGTTCACTTGCAAGCGAGCAGACTCCCAGGTCAGGCCTTCCAATGCTCCCAGACCCCTGCAAGCACACGCGGTGCCCTTTGCTTCACCAAACACTGTGCTGGAAGCATGCGAGGGCTTGCACTCTACTGTAGTCTTTTGATAATGTCACATTGAATGTCACATCTCCCTATGAAGGGATGAGAATGAAACTCACAGCGCCAATCATATGCTATACAGCAGGACAAATACCACAGGAAGAATGGCTGCACGCCGGACAATGCTGGTTTGAGGGCATACTTATGAGCTTACCAGTGCCTGAACGGGGAACTCTTTGTCGTACAATTAGTTTAGATTGCCCTGGCCAAATTGGCCCAAGGAACCAAGAAGGGTGGAGGGTTGCGCGCACCGGGGGTCGAGGAAGCTATATTCGGGGACGATGCGCGAGCGGCCGACGCCGAGAAGCGCGCCCAGGATCTCTGCGGTCTGGTAGGAGCGTTGAGTGATGCTGGGCCACAACCAGCAGTCCGCCGCGCACGCCCCCATCGCCCGTAACGCCGGAGCAGTCTCCCGCACCACCTGCGCTTAACTGCATGCTTGAACTCCAAGCAGCTATTCCATACTGCCTTTCAAGACCTCCATCGCTCCCATTCTGTGGCAGGTGCAGGTGCGAAGTTTGCATGTACCATCTGCCCTGTCAGCAAGACAGGAAGTGTTACTCCTCAGGATCACCACTTGTCCTGCTCATTGCCTGACAGCCAGCATTGGTCCCATGTCGGCACAATAAGCACATCCCATGCCGGAATAGGAAAGCGTGATATGCATGCATATAGTGTGCATGGATATGCCGTGCGGCATTACGCACCTGTGCCTTGCCGCGCTGGCTGAGGCCGGAGCTCATGGAGGTTTTGGCCACTGGGTTAGTCAGCACGTAGTTCTCCGCCTCTGACTCCCCCTCTCCAGCCCTCACCTGTAGCAGAACTCCAACATCTCAAGAATGTCGAGAAATGCAGCGTACTAATCTGCTTTGGCATGAGAAGTAAGAAGGGATGCAATTGAGAGCTGGATGCAGTGGGGTCTTGATGGCAGCCAGAAGGAGGCGGAGCCTACCAGGAAGTATTTGTTGTGCAGGGAGCTGGCGGGGAACTGCACCAGAGCAGCCTGCGCCGTCCTGGGTGTCCACATCCACCGCAGGCTGCATGCATGCATCATCTTTATTATATGTTCAAAATCATCGCATGCAGCAACTGATCATTGACTGCTTCCGCTCCGGTCATCTAGGTGCATGCAATCTGGAAAGGGCTGCTCTTGGCGGCCCAAGGGCTTCATTGGTAGCAACACAAAGTCTAGGCAAGTGTGAGTTTGAGTGGAGTCTCATACGTTGCTTGTGGGCAGAGCTTGGTGCACCTGTCTGAGGAGAGCACGCCAACTCCGAACAGCATCTGGTGCAGGGCATCTCGGCGGCTGGTGTGATACACCACTTGTGTCCCATTCTCGTTGGTGACGGTCACCCGGCTCTGTGTGCGCTCCTTTGTCTGCGCATACACATGCAAATTGAGCACAAATGTCCCTGTCACATGAACGAGCCTGCCGTCCTCTCAGAGAAGAGACAGTTCAAAAAAACTCCTTGAATGTATGTATTGACATGATGCAATGCATGCAGTGGGCGGATGCAAGAGATGTCATTGTAACAGGCCACTGATAAGGAGTGCAGAGCTTTCATTCTTGCTTGAGACAAGCAGGGCTCTTACAATTCCTTGTGATACCACAGCTTTCCTTACCTGGTCTGTCTGTTGGAAAGGGACCCTCAAATGGCTGGTAGGTGCTCTGCTGCCAGCATCAGCTGCCACTGGTGTTCCACAATTTGCTGACAGACGTCTCTCTGGAGAAGAGCCCATTGAAGGGGCATCCTGAGGACGCCGCAGATCTGGTCTATCCTCTGGACTTGGCAGTGACTGACAGACCATCCACTTCCGTATCTGCCGTCCTTGGGGCATCCTTTGCGCATGATGCCAGACCTGCAGCAATTATACTCTGTCATGTAAGGAGATGTGGGACAATACATGCTTTTTTGTATGTTGATGTCTTTGGTGATACAGATGACGTCTCACCTTCAATGCCTTCCTTTGCAGGCGAAGACCAAATCCTATTCCCGTACATATTGGGGTCCTGACCGTGCAGGTCCCATGCACATCATGCCCCATCATTGAAGCCTTGCACTGTGTGTCGGCTATGTCTGGGAATTTAGGGCCTGTTGAGCCTGCAGGCGTCTCCTCAGAGCGTGCACTCCTCCAAGGCGTGGGCGTTCAAGCAGCACTGCACAAAAGCTGCCCCCCTTCAAATTGAAGCTTGATCAAAGATTATCGAACTGTGCAATGCGGACAGAGTAATTCGATTCGAGGAATTGCAAGGATCGTCTGGGGCGTCACATTGGAAAGGACGAGCAACATTCAACGTCCCTAGCAATCGGACTAGGCCACGTTCAAGCCAAAACAAGATGATGGAGAAGATAAATAGACCATTCGTACCCCACAATTGCTGTCACCAGCGTCCTTTTCAAGCTAGATCACCTTTGATCCATGCCCTGGCAGGAAGGTTGGGAGGGGCAGTGCTGAATGTCATTTCGCGCCTACATGGTCTCACACGCTAGCGGGGATCTGCGTCTGTCTGTGTTCTTGATCATCGATATGCTGGCCAGGTCCAGGTCAAGGACCCTTGTTTCCGACTCAGCTATTAGTATCCCTCATGACTCATCATGACCAACAATAACAAGTTCTATTTCGGTGAGGAGCGTTCGTGCCCTTCTGCTCAATTCATCGCAGAGGTTCTTGTTCCATATGTGCATGCACTCACATCACTGAGGCGCACTGTTAGAGCGTCCATGAAGGGCTCAAATAAGCCATCCGTGACTCTGATGATCGTTGGAAAGAGAACTCTTGCCTGATTGCTACTCAATAGCTATTGAGTGGACAGTAAGCTTCCAAATCAACTGAAAGAACAATCAAATTCTGGCTATTTACGTTAGAGCGACTTTCGTTTGACATACTGACAGTTGATAACTGGGAGAAAGCAGAACTATGGTGAGGCAAAGGGAGAAGGGCAACCCCGACAAGGATAAATATGGGACCTGGAAGCAGAATCTGCCCATTATGTACGACTGGATAATGAACCACAACCGTGGATGGCCGTCTCAGAGCTGCAGGCGAGGCCTTGATCTGCCCTCAAATAATTTCCCTGTCGCAGGATACACGCTGCAGACATTGTGGTTGTCAGGATGCATCGAATCTGACATTTTGCATGCAGGTGGGGGGAGGCAATCGAAGACTTCAAGTACAAGAAGCGGCATTATCTGTACCTCTCAGACAGGGTGTGTATTCTAACAGAAGCATGTCGTGTGTCTCTTTTATCTAATTGAGTCTCAACCGTTGTCTTTCTCCCCTGTCCCTAAATTATATTATGGTGAAAGTGCAGACGGACCCCGAGGGAACCGACCCAAACAAACTGTCTGTGTGGACGCTTGACGTCACCAAGGTGAGTTAATCGGATGAGGATAATGTCATCATATTCAGTGTTAATTTCCATGGTACTTTGTGCGTCGCACAGCATGTGTCTGAGTGGATTTGTCTGTGCAGCCGCGGGTTGCACCAGCAGAGTCCTTGAAGTATGATGAGAAAGCCAAGAGCCCAAACATCAAGCCATACTCCACCATCATCCACCCAGGAGAGGCAAGCCTGCCATCTCTCTTCTTGTTGCAGAGAACCTCATCTTGGGGAATACACATGCCTAGGAGTACAGCGTTGTCCTTGGCCTTCTGTTGACCCACTGTATGTGCAGAAGTGGGCCTGACGTGCCGAAGTGGTTTGGGGCGCAGGTGAATAAGATCCGTGAGTGTCCGCAGCACCCGCACATTGTGGTGACGCACACGGATGCAAAGGAGCTGTATGTGTGGGACATTGAGAAGCAGCCCAACCGGGCCACCGACAAGGTCAGCTCTTTTGGGTATTTAGCTGTATGTGTTCAGTCATGATGAGAACTTGGGACTTGCATGGCTGTGGTAAGGCCAAGGCCAGGCTCAGAGCAGCATGGCTGTGTCGTCTGCTTGATCCAGGAGCTTTGAGTGCTGGTGTAAACTGACGCAGTAGCTGGAAAGCATTGGAACTTTTGTGAGGGTGTGCATGTCATGCATGAATGGGGATGCTGTGCACGGCAGGGGGATGAGCTGCAGAAGCTGTCTATTCCGGACCTTGTTCTGGTGGGTCACGAGCAGGTGGCGGCCTTTGCGCTGGGCATGAGCTCGGCAAAGACCCTTGTAGCCAGCGGCGGCGAAGATCAGAAGGTGCGGATTGTACCGAACATAGACCAGGGTTTCAGCGGCCTTATTGCCGTTGCCAGCTAGCAGAGGCCAAGCTAGTTACAGCGGCTGCATTGAAAGCCTGAGAGGAGGAGGCTGCCTCAAATGCAGCCATTGTGAAGGAAGCTGCTGAGAGCAGACAATTTTGGTGTAGGTAGCTGAGGAGCTAGAGCACAAATTTCAGCTGTGTCAATGCCGTGAGGCATTCTCTGAAGCTAATGCCTTTCTGACATTCAACACTATAGACTCAGGCGGTTGCAATGACCTGCTGCTATGGGATGCTTGAGATACCATTGCATGATCTGCACAGGTGGCTGAGTGGGTTGGATTGGGTCAGGAGTGCCTGTGCATGTGGTACTCTGAGAGCCTGGGTTGGGTGCTTTTTATGCAGGTGCTCATCTGGAATTTGGAGGACCACGATGGCGGCTCCTGGCTTTCAGCGTCCAGGAAGAAAGGGGAAAGCGCGGGGCCGGCCAAATACTCGCCGCCTGCCCCGTCCCTGGCACCTAGGTTCAAGCTCAAGGTGCATCTTTGCTTCCTTTTTGGTCCGCATTTGTATTTCCCTCAGGACACACTCTGTTGAGAGAAATGCTGTCCTTGCTGTACATGCTGCTGCGCCACTCCGTCCTGTCTTCTTTTGAAGGGGGGTGCTTCTTAAAAGGAAGCAGAGACAGACTGCTGGAGTTGCATGCAGACACATGGCAATACACCCATGACATATCACTGATTGGCTTCTGCTGTGACAAAACCCTCTTTAGCAGCTTTATTACAGGGCAGAGCTAGCAAACATTCCCTCTCGCTGTATTGACTTCATCCACACCCTAGCTTCCACTTACTGAAGGGCTCGCATTATTATGGGGAAACAGGGTCACAGCGCAACGATAGAGGATGTGGTGTGGCGGCCGGGCAGCACAGAAGAGCTGGCCAGCGTGGGCGATGACTACAAGCTGCTGCTGTGGGACACGCGCGCGCAGCCGGGGCCGGCTGCCGCTGTGGAACAAGCGCACGGCCAACAGGACGTCCAGTGCGTGGACTGGAGCGCGCTGCAGGAACATATGCTCGTCACTGGTGAGGGCTGGCCTTTTGCACCTGAATACTCACATGTGTGCATGCGCACCTGCACCTGATTAGTCACATGTGTGCAGCAGGGCTTTGACCATCCCCTTGCGCCCCTGACATTACCCTGCTTACCAAGTAATGCGTTGGTGGAGCCTTGTTGACAGACCTGGTCTTTTGCAACCAATTTGCAATTGTGCAACTCAGATGTTCTGAATAGCTGGAATTTGCAGCAACATCGGCATGCTGCCAAGCAGATGCCACAGCTCCTCCAATATGATGCCTGCATGGTCCTGCGCACTGTAGAGGCGAGCTGGGTAGGCCTAAAGTCTGGTGCATGTGTGGTTGTGTGCAGGGGCTGCGGACGGCAGCGTGAAGGTGTGGGACCGGCGGCAGCTGAAGGAAGCGGTGCACACCTTCAAGCTGCATGACTCGGCCATCATGCGAGTGGAGTGGGCACCCTACAAGCCAGGTACATGCGCTGTCCCAATTGCGATTCTTCGGCCCTCTGTGCACACCTTTGCTGCGGCAATTTGCGTAACTTTCCGAGATGTGCCTTTTCTGCACACTCGAGTCCAGGCTTGCTCACATGCTGCTACTGCTGCCCCTGGCACAATCACACCAAGGCCCCACGATCTTCGGGCGGCATATCAGCAAGGTCAGACTTGAGCTTGCAGGAGACACACCAATCTGCCTTGCACTCAGTACCATACTGTTGATGTCGGGGTCCTGCCTTTCAGGGGTGTCTTTTCAGGAGATTTGTCCGTGCAGGTGTGTTTGCGAGCGGGGGCGAGGACAAGCTGATAGCAGTGTGGGACCTGGAGCGCCAAGACAAGATGCCCGGCGGCGGCGAGGAGGCCGGCCCGGATGCGAAGAAGGCGCGCACCATCGGCGCCTCGCTGCCGCCGCAGCTCATGTTCCACCACGCGGGCCACCGCTCGCAGGTGGGCGCCTTTCTGTGTGTTCTTGAATTTATCTTAATCAATTCATGCTGAAAAGAGTAGGCGTGGCATTGCATGCATCCTGTGAGCGGACATGCTGCAGCCTGCCAGCAAGCTGATTTGATTTTAGGGCTGGCAGCGCCGCTGTTGCTGTACCGGTCAGTGTTGCTTTGGAGAAAATCTGTTTATTGGAGTTCTTGCTGTAAGTGGGAGAGTTGCTTGCTGGCACCACAATAACAGGGTTCGACTACCGTACGTAATCTTGATCACCCCAAGAAGTTGCTCCCTGAAGCCGGCGCCCTGTTCTGCGGTTTACATGACCGAGAAGGCTAAAGTCCATGAGCGCCACGAGAAGTTGTTGCTGGGGTCGTTAAGTAGAATCAGGGGGTACTCAATGGGGTACTCAATGGCTGACCTAATTGTTTCCCCTCGAAATTTTGGGCGGGACTTGAAGAACCCCTGATCGTGGCATGCAGGTGGTGGACTTCCAGTGGCACCCGACGGATCCCTACACCATGGTCAGCGTGTCGGACGCCGGAGCAGGGGGCACGCTGCAGGTATGAACGCCCGTTAGAAATCTTCTGGTGCTGAAGAATGAAAGTCTCACAATTCACGTAGGGGTGGGGAGATGTTTGTATTCTTACTGCACTTTCACACAGCGAGCAGCCCTTCCTCCCTGGATTGGAGCTTGCACTGACTTATAATGTATGCATGTATTCTCTCCTGGTTTAATGAGGAGCAGAACAGTAAACAGCATCTTTGGTTACATGCAGAGTGATCATTCAAATTCCATACTTCGAAATGAGAAATTCGGATTTTAATTCAAGCTGTAACGGTCCCATGCTGCAGGTGTGGCGCATCAGCGACCTCATTTGGCGCCCCATTGACGAAGTCCTGCGCGAGCTTGAGGAGCACAGGTGCGCGGCCCTTGCCATACAGCTTCAACTGAATTTTTAGCTGCAACTGATTGCTTTGGCATGAAAGCCACCGCAGCAGGGATGTTGTTTAACTGCATAGCTCATTGAGCACCATACTGTCCCTGTTTCTTATGGGCAAATTACTACTAGAGCAACCGCCTGTACATTTTAGAGACAGCATGGTCCTCAAAGGTCTCTGCAGTTGTAGGCTCTGCATCTTGTCAGGCAAAATCTCTTTTGTTAGATGAGCATTTCTTCTGTTAGCACGCGGTAGGCATCACCCTGTCAGCACTTGGAAGTCAATGTGGACAGCACACCATTATGACAAATGAGTAGCACATTCCTGATCTGCCCGGCCTTTGCAGGCCGCACATTGCATGCAGATCATCCACTTGATGCCAATCACAGCGCTTTTGCACCCGTAAATGCAATGCCAAGGCAGGGATGCATTGTTACGGTCTTCATACTGCTCCTCTCGCAGGCGCCCTACGGCAGTGCCCTGATGCACGGGTTTGTGCAGGGACTACATTCTGGGCGTGAAGGAAGAGGCGAGGGAGGCTGCGAGCGGCGCGAACACAGCTCCTGCTGCTGATAAGCCAGTCAGGAGCGGAGTGACAGACACGACTGTTGTGGCGCCGGCAGCGCCAAAGGGCGCCAGCAAAGAGGAAGCTGCAGCCAGGGCTGCTGACAGTGCTGACCCCATGGACGAGAGCTGAGTCATCGCTGACAGATGTGATCCTGGCCCATTCCGGCCAGTTTGCCTGCAGCTGCAGTAGCTGGCTACGTTGGCATTTCCCTTCCTACTAATGTGCCTGCAGCTGCAGATATGCCTGCAGCAGCAGTAGGTGGCTATGTTGACAATTTTAAGGCAGTCTCATTAGACCCCCAAGTAAGAGGGATTGAGTCAGGCAGCGAGGGTGTGCGGCCAGCCAGTGCTGCGTAGTCTCGGACTTATTGATTTGTCTCTTGGGCAGAGATATGCCCGTTGATGCGCTGTGCAGCCTTTTACCTATGCATGTGGGTGAGTGGCAGGCTTGTGTGCTTTTTAAGGAAGGTTGGACTGCTTGGATGTCACATTGATGACTTTGTTATGCTTGGCAAAATAATTCTTTCATATGGAAGTGGTCCTTACATCGATCTAATCTCAAAGAGATCAATATACGAAACTCTGTTGCCAGTGGCAAAGCAAGAGCGAGTAAGCTCCCGTACATATGGTCCAGGGATTACTGTATTGCGTTTTGTAAGTGGCAATTCAATCCGGCTTGAATGCAAGACATACAAGACAAATCTGCGCTGTGCGAGCGCTGATGGCAATTGGAAAAGTGTACTTCCAAGCACTTATTGCATGCAAGGCCTATTTGCAAGGGTCCACAGCCGATCCGACTTGATTTACAAAGGAACACACCGAGAATATCACCATGCTATCATGGGAAATTTAAAGTTGTGTGCACAATGCAATCATTCCAGGCCTCTGATCAGAATGACGTCAACCGGCTGCCTGACAGCTGGTATCTACACCAATGTGAAGAACTTCCTGACAGGGATGGTGACCTTGAAGTGCGTCTGGCCTGGTGGGAAGTGCACATAGTCTCCTGCATTGATCTCCACTGGCTCGCCACCTGTAGTAAAAATATTTTCTCAACCTCATGTAGGCAAAAGTTCTGTTAGATTCCAGTGATGAGCGTCCTCCTCTACACACAGCATGGTGGCAGGTGCCATTGAACAATGATCACACAATGCTTATGGCAGCTCAGCTGCAACCGCAAAGGATCTGCTTGTCTTATAAGCAGTCTGCAATGCCTAAGTTGCAGGGGTCGAAGGGCATCAGGACTGGTGAAAAAGTGCCCACCTTCATATGTGACGTAGAACTGGCCAGCCAGGATGTATGCGTACTCGTCCTTGCTGTAAGTCCAGGGAAACTCGCTGGGAGCGCAGTCCCAGAATGTCCACACCTTGGATTTGCCAGCCACATAATCGTCCAGACTGAAGGCTGTCAGCTTCTGCAGGAAAGATAAAAAAAGGCTTAGGCTCGTTCAATAGTTGTATGCCCGCCAGCATGCGAACGTAGAAACTGGTGGCTGTTTAATCACACGTTATGTATTAATGACAAAGATGCATGCAACTAGACTGCTCTTTGGGATGCAGATGTGCTTTTGATGCACCTGTAGTGCCTCGATGGGCTCGCTCTTCGTGATGGTGATCTGGGGAGCCATGGTGGTGGCAGGTCTTGCAAACTTTATTCAGAATCTCCTGTGGATCACAAAAGTTTGTCTATTTAGTAAGTCGACCTCAACTGATGCGTATACGCCTTACGACATTGCGGTGCAAATGATTATATGGCGCTAACACCTCTTGGCTGAAATTGCCCGTCATAATAGACAAGATCGCAAGCTGTACATTTTGTCCTGCAGTTTCTGTCCGTTTGCGTGGCATACAGAGATTAATCCCTTAACCTAGGTCGATGCACCTACAGCCTATTTACAACATCACGGCCACACTTCCATCTCTTCAGAGCATAGCACCACTGCCTTGCGCAGGAACAAGTAATGCAGAAATATCGTAAGTAAAAATCGTCACGAAAATGCAGGTGACGAGAGAGCACTTTGGGAAATCTAGCGAGCACAGGCCTGTCGTGAAGAGGGTTTACCGGTTTCGAGGGGTAGGTAAGGCGGATCTCAACGAAGCACTCGCCAGCCGTAAGTTATGCTTCAGAAAGAAAGTTTGTTGCGGGAAAGCAGAGACACCCGAGGAGCCATGGCTGAGATCCAGGCATTCGTTCACGGCTGCACGTAAACCTGCGAGTCTACTTTGGCCGATCGTCCCTCTGACGGCGTGCTTACCTCATGCTTCAAACTCAGGTTCATCAGGATGATGGAGCCCAATCCTAAATACTCCAAAGGTAAATATAAGCATCGTGACTACTCAGGCTCACATGATACTCATTGTTGTCTCTGAGCAGAGGCTCTTTGATCAGCGGTCTTGGGCCAGAATTGCCTGACTATAGTCTAGTCTAGTAAAATCTGCAGTCGCATGGTGTGCACTGGCAGTGCCACTATACTTTGATTGAACATTTCATGTAACATGTCATGACCAAAGCATGCTCTTAGAGCTGGCAGTCTGGCGCTAAAGCAGCCTGCGTGTGCACTGCGTTTGCATGCGACTACTAAGTCATTGTTGCAAAAGTCACATTGTCCATTAATGGATATTATTATAATTAAGTTGTTGAGGCACGATTGTGAGCATGATACAAGGAGCACCAGGGTTTGGTGCTGACTTTACAAATCCGCGATTACCTCACTGAATCCACTACTACTGGCAATTCAGAAGTCAGGATCCTTGAAAATTCTATGTTCAGCACTGGGCTCAACCATGGCATGGATGAGATAATACTTGTCCTGCAATGTCATTCTCTCTCCCTGAATCACAGACGTTGAGGCATGAGTGCATGGATTTGATCCATGATATGCGCATGCAAAGCGCTCGCTTGTGCCGCTGGGATCCACAGGCCTCCAAGCGCGAATGTGCCCTGCAGCCAAAATGCAGCCCAAGTGTTGGGCACTCATCTTATTTTGCTCACTAACTTCCTTTTCAAAATGATGAAGCGCTTTGTCCAGCGGTCATTGCAGCTCTGCATCCAGCACTGCCCGAGTGCTGAGCACTCGACTCCCTGTGCTGCTGATTGCCAAACAATGCTCACAGATACCCATCAGCTCGCTCTGGCCGTACAACGCCACGGCAACATTGTAAGTAGAGTGCAGCGCCATGGAGAAATAGCCTGAAGGGAGGACAAGAGCTCATGGTACACACCTGTGTCACGACTGCAGTGGTGAGGACTCCCACCAGCAGGCCAGCCAGGACATCTCCAAGGAAATGGCGACCCATGAGGCAGCGAGAGAATGCTGTCGCCAGGCCCCAGACAATGATGGGCACAGCCCAGGCCATCTGGCTGCCTTGCTGCAGCCACACCAGCGCGTACAGTGCCAGAAACATTGCCCTGCGCATGCACCTTCCTGTCAGTAGGGATCCCGCTGTAAATAGTACTGGGGAGAGCCTGTCTTGACCACAATAAGGCAATCCAATGTGCTGTATCATCAGATGGTGAACGTACTGATCAAAATAACCTCAATATTCCTCGCCGAGTTCAATCAATTTCGAAATGAAATAACCACAGTGTTAGAATCTGATTTTGATGAGTGAAGATCACCTGGCTGCATGTCCACTAGGGAAGGAGAAGCTGTCAACTGCCACAACGAGGAGGAAGTCACCAGCGTTATTGTAGACTGGCCTAGCCCGTTGCATCAGGCCCTTGAGGGTGCCTACAATGGCGATGTCCACCAGAAGCCCCACCAGCAAGTTTGCAGCGCATGTGCGCACAAGGGGGGATGCTGATGGGGCAAGGAATACCACAGGCGCTAGTGGCAGCCACAGAAGACCGCTGCCAGTGTGCTCTAATGCTTTGAAAACATATCTGGGAATTTTTGAGCCCACATTCCGGTACAGTCCCAATGAAACCTTGGTGTCTATATCAACTATAGCATTGCTGCGATCTGGTGGTACTAATTTCTGATTCGACATGGCAAACGTGGTGCATGCAGGCCTGGATTTACAATTGACGCTTGAAAGAATCATATGCTAGAATTGCACAATCACTTGTCCTCCAACAAGACCGCAATTGTTGCGTCATGGCATATCTTGCATAAAGCTGTCTTGGACGGGCTCCTGCTCCGTTCAAGAAAATTGCAGATAATTGGAGCCTCCTTGCTGATTCTGTGCAAAAAAAGAGAAGAGGATGCAAATTTGCAGGGATCAGAAGAACAATTGCACATATCCCTGTCCAGATTAGGAACACCGTGGACATGTTCCCTGAAGGCTTGATCATTCTAAAATTCTACCCAACCGCTCGATCAGATCCATGCTCAATAACGGTTAGAAGTTAGGTCTAGACGCACCACTTTTAGCAGAATAAAACCCTGAATAGAAGTGCAGGCCCTGAGCAACTGAAAAGCTTTCATTCAGCAATCGAACTTATCCAAAAACGACCCAAACGAAGCTTTAACTTCCTGAAAGTCTCTAAACTCCAACTCGCAACTATCTCTACAAATTTGGGGGAGTTTGGCTTCAGGTCGCTCGACCCCTGAATACACGATCAGATGGGTGAGGCTCTCGCTGTCCGTGCCTGGTGCTGCATTGGATCTCGACATAGCCTTAATAATAGCCCACTAGCATGTCCCTAATTGACATGCACTACAATATTGCTTGCATTAGGGCTGTGTCGTCTTCAACAGTATGCGTACAAAGACATGCAATCTGTTCATAAGCTTTGCCTTGGTACACTGTTGCTTCGTCGTAGGACCTTGAGGTACCGATGTGTGCAAACAGGTATCCCCAAGTTCTACAGATGGCTGAGCGAGCGGTACCCGCTGGTGAACCAGCCCATAGCAGAGACCAATGTGCCAGAAGTGGACAACCTGTATCTGGACATGAACGGGATCATCCATAATTGTACGCATGGCAACGATCCAGGCACAAAGCTCACAGAAACGGAGATGATCATCAAAGTCTTCAACTACCTGGAGAAGCTGTTCCAGATAGTCCAGCCCAAGAAACTCCTGTTCATGGCTATCGATGGTACCGCCCGTCCATACAATGATCTTTCACCGCCAGCCAATGCCCATATTACAAGCTGTGTCCACATGCATGCAGTGCAGCCTGCAGTGTTGCGCTGCACTTGAAGCTGTATGTCCCCCGCAGGTGTTGCCCCGCGCGCAAAGATGAACCAGCAGCGGTCACGCAGGTTCAAAGCTGCAAAGGAGAGAGTGGAGGTCAGCACCAACTGCCTGTCATGCAATTCACTTGGGAACTCATAAGATCCTTGTCAATGGACCCATGTATGTCTCAACATGTCTCGAGTAGAGGAAATACACAGTGCCCAGTTGGATGTCTGCATGCACAAGTTTGCCTGACAGCTGTCGCGCATGATGGCAGGCTGAGAAGGAAGCGGAGAGGAAAGGGGAGGTCACGGCAGGGGATGCCTTTGACTCCAATTGCATCACTCCTGGGACGCCCTTCATGGAGCGGCTTGGCGCGCACCTGCGCTTCTTCATCCGCAGGAAGATCGCAGAGGATCCCGCCTGGAGGGAACCCACAATTGTCTTCTCAGGTGGGATCCTCCTTCGGAGATTCTCATGTCTCCTCCAAGCAGGAAAAGCCATCAGAAGCGCCGCCTGCGCGCTGTCTCTGTCCATCACCACACAGGCCTAATTTCTGAGCTTTGAATCACTTCCCGGTTGATATGCTGCATCATGATGGAGCATGAAATAGGGAGTGAGATCGTTTGTATCTCAACAATATGTCTTCAACTTTATCAAGTTCTGCTTAAAAAATGCTGAACACTCCTGGTAGACACTGCCGTGCCCCAAACCAAGAAGCCGCTGATCTCCATGATACCCCACACAACCAAATTAGACAATTAGTAGCCAGAGCTTGATTCTTGCACGTTGCAGGCCACGACGTGCCCGGGGAGGGTGAGCACAAGATAATGGAGTATGTGCGGCTGGCCAAGCGCAGCCCAGGGTACCAGCCAAACCTGCGCCATTGCATGTACGGCCTGGACGCTGACCTCATCATGCTGTCGCTGGTGACTCACGAGCCCCACTTCTGCCTCCTGCGCGAGGTCGTGCGCTTCGGTGGCGGCGGCAACCGCGGGCAGCCCAGCCGGGAGGTCCTTGACAACCCCTGCGCCGAGCACTTCATCCTCTTCCAGATCGGGTGCGCACGCCGCCTGCTCTCTAGTAACCCTAGCTTCATTATGTCCCAGACCTTATGCATGCAACATCTGAAATTCTGCAAGGTTGAAGGAAGAGGCTGAGGGGTGCGCTCGCAGCACCGGCACTTATATAAGCTGCCTTGATACCTTGTGGCTCTACCAGGACTTTGTGTTCATTCTGTTGACCAGAGATGCAGGCCTGCCGTTGGGTAAATGGCCGCACCACAGAAAGAGTGTCTAACGTGCGTGGTGGAGGGTCAAGTGTTCTGTGGTGCTCGGAACTAGTTGTGACTTTTGGCTACAATCTGACAAAGACCTGGCAGAGCTACCAGTAGCTTTGTCTGGGAGTGAGCTGTAGGGTGAAATTGGGGTGTGCTTGTTAACTGCAGGCTGGTGCGGGACTATTTGGAGCTGGAGTTCAAGAATGCGGAGCTGCCGTTTGCGTTTGACGTGGAGCGCGTTGTGGATGACTTTGTGCTCTTCTGCATGCTCATCGGCAATGACTTCCTGCCCTGTGAGCACCTCGCGCCATCCTGCCTTGCTGTGCATGCTGCCTTTGCCCTGCTTGAAACTCCTTCTGCAGCCCGGAAACTTCAGTCATTGAAAACCCCTGTCACTTTTCAACGAATACGTCCGAGTAACTGTAAGGGGCGCTCTGGAGCATACTGAAATTGCAACTGCAGTAGTTCCTGTATTCCACAGGTTCCATGTCACAACCTCAGATTTATTTATTCACCTCCTTTTGGCATTTGGGTTTTAAGGACTCCGCGGCTTCTTGAAGGACTTATGGTGATTGGTGTGCTGGTGTCCCGCAGCGCTGCCCACGCTGGATGTGAACGAGGGCGCGCTGGACAAGGTCTTTGCCATCTACAAGCAGCTGCTGCCGGTGATGGGCGGCTACCTGACGCATGCAGGGGAGCTCAATGCAGGCCGCCTGGAGCTGCTGTTGCAGCAGCTGGCGCTGCTTGAGCTAGAGACCCTTGAGCAGAGGGCTGCGGTGCGCGCATGTCCCGTGCAAAGTTTGTTGCATTTCCTCTGCCCTGAAGCCGTGGCCCTGCCGGGCTGTTACAGGTGTCCTCATCGGTGCAGAGTATATTGCACACACTGCCGGCAGAAGCCAGTGGGTACTCGATGACGCTGCCTCGGAGACAGGCAATCAGTGGGAGTTGCTATCACCTTACTGTTGTTGTCGTGTCTGCAATTGGGGAAGAGGTGAGTTCAGTTCAACTCTGAAGAAATTCATTCGACTGTGTCATTGCTGATGCATGCATATTGCGCAACAGGATGCCGAGTATTTTGAGGCGAAGCAGACCCGGAGGGGCGGCCGCCAGGGCAACTCACGAGCCCCGCCGCAGCCAACATTCCCCGAGCCTGAAGAGGACACCTTCGAGGTGCGCTGCAAAACCTGGCACTACAAAGCATGTCACTGCTGTCCAAGAACCACCCCTTCACTGCCGATCATTGCGGAACCCAATACATGCTGTCACATGGCTGTAGGGGCGTTGTTGCCCTGCTCTTGTGCTGTGGCTGTAATTGGGGGGCAAATGAACTCTGCCTGCAAATCATCTAGTGCGACGGTGCAGAACGGAAGGTCTAGCAAAATAATATGGCTGAGCTGTATTGGGCTGTAGCCCAAAGCACAAGGTCTGGCCATTCATGTGGCTAACTGATGTTGTGCTATAGGCGGAGGTTGCGGCAGCGGAACTGGGTGAAAACCCACTGGCGCCAACTGAACTGCTGAAGGAATTGGAGGATGGTCCGGAGGAGCCGGCCGGGCCCACCATGATGAGCAAGGAGGCGCGCCAGCTCATGCTGACCGGGCAGGGGCAGGCAGGGCTGCAGGCCTGGAAGGTTAGTGTTCTCCTCTCCTGCCACTGCTAGGCTGATTCATACTTCCTCGTAGAGTATGGAAGCTGCAGATCAGAAGATCCAAGCAGAGACGGTCATGGCTGTTGTCTGTGGGTGCTATGGCGGGAAATTGACAGAAGCTGGCTGGGTGCAGGATCGCTACTATGGCGAAAAATTGGGCATCAACCCCAAGGACGCCCTTGCCAGGAGGAAGGTGGTGGAGCATTACATCCAGGTGCATATCTTTAGTTCAATACTCGTTTTTCATGGTCACGCTGATTCCGCCTGATAACAACTTCCTGTGGAATGATTGTGGACGCATCGTGATACGGAATTCAACGGAGGGTGGAGGGTGTTGTACTTGATTGGGTGTTGAGGTGTTTGATGAATTACAGGGAATCAATTGGGTCCTGGAGTACTATTATCGCGGTGTCGCCTCCTGGACATGGTTCTATCCGCACCATTTCTCCCCCATGATCTCTGACATGGTCAACATCTCCGAGTTCAGAGTGGTCTTTGAATATGGCAAACCATTCCTGCCCTTCCAGCAGCTCCTCTCCGTGCTGCCTGCCGCCTCCTGCAAGCTGCTTCCCGCCCCTTACCAGGTAAGCTCCCTTGCTATGCCCAAAAAGGCATGCTTATCACTAAGAGACATGGGAGAATCAGACCTGCCACCATTACACAGCGGGCATGCAATAGGCTAAATAATTTTATGGTGACACACTGTTGTTGTCACCTCTTTCCATGCCATGCCATGCCTTCCTGGTCATGTTGCTTGTCAGTATTCTTTAAATGCATGCAATCCCGTGTTCTTGAAATGGATGCTTCCATATAAATCCGGGGGCCACCTCCGCGCAAACCAGTGATGCATATTGGAGTCT